TATTTTTCTATATCTTAAATCCTTTATTTTAATATATTATTATTATATCTTTTCTATATCTTAGTTATCTATTTTATACCCTCCCTCTCTTATTAAGAGTAAAAGGTTTAAATTATCTATTTTCTATTCTAATTAATTTCTTAATACCCTTTTAGAACCACTAGAAAGCTAGTAAATTAAGTAAAGCCTCTCTCTTATTATACTACTAATACTAAAATAATCTAATAATTAGAAAAAGATCTAGATAATTTTTAATAGTATAAATAAAATAGAATTTTTAAACTAGTAGCTTAATACCTAAATTAGTAATTTTTATAATATTATAAAAAAAAAAAATCAAAAAGGTCTATAATAGACTAATATATAGTTATATTTTAATTAAATTATATATTTAGTAATAAGAGAGCTAAAGCTCTTATATAAATAATATAGTAAGATTATAGACTATCTAGTCTATATTAAGAATAAGATAATAGATCTCTAATATTACTAGAATCAGAGTATATATTAGAAAAACTAAAATATTACTAAATATTTAATAATCTAATATCTTATAGAATATATAGTATATTACATAGCTATTATTTAATTTATAGGCTAATCTTTCTTAGATTAAGAACTCTTTTTAAATAGCTTAGCTAATTATTTAAGAGCTATAGAAATAATAGTTAATTATTATAATAACTACTTTATAGCTTTCTTTTTAAACTATTAAGTATCCTAAATTCTAAGCCTTTTTTTAAATAATTTAATTATTATTATTTATCTTTAGTTTCCCTTTCTATTAAATTATATAATATTAAATCTAGGGAATAATCTAAGATTAATAAAAAGATTTATTTTAGAAGCTTTTATCTAAGACTAAACTCTTTATTAATCTTAATTATTAGATATTATTATTTTAATAAATATTTATAGCTATCTTTAGCTATTTTATTAATATAGATTAGAATTATTAAAAGGTTTTATTTAGTTTCGAATCTATTTCTAATATATACTCTAGATAGAATCTTAATATAACCCTTCTTTATATCCTTTAAAAATATTAGATTAAAGACTAAGTATTTATAATAATAACTAATAATATATTAAATAACTTTATCTTTATTTTAAGTATCTAAGATTCTATTTAATTATTAGATATTAACTCTAAGATAATAATTATTCGGGTTTTATATATTATATATATAATTTAGTTAAGTTTAAAGTAACTACTTAGTTAAATAAAAATAAATCTTTAGAATAAAATAACTAAAACTATTTAATCTAAGGAATATATCTAATATATCTATCGAAAAATATAAAAATAAGATATTATAATAACTCTTATAAAGATATATATCTATACTCTTTATATATTAATTAAAATACTAATTTACTTTATATTTTAGATTAGAAACCTTACGATCTTTATTAATATAAGCCTTTAATATTAGGAGTCCTTTTTTAGTCTCTAGCTTAATTACTCTTAATTAGTTCTAATTTAAGATATCTAAACTAGATAGAATTTAATCTTTTTAATACTCTAATATATAAAATAGTTATAATTAGTCTTTAATCGATTTTACTCTAAATATAATTATTTTTATCTTAAAATTAATATAGATAAATAATACTAGATTAACTATCTTCTTAATATTATCTAGCTATTTTTCTAATTTACTATAATCTTCTTAAAAATAAAGGATATTACTATTTATACTATCTTTATTATCTATAATAAGCTATTTAATTATCTTAAAAGATTAATTAGATAATTTAGTAGAAAGAAGATTAGATAGAAATAATAGATATATTAAGCCTTTAAATTAGCTAAAGATAAACTCCGTAAATATTACTCTATAATAGATAATAAAAAGTTTAGTAATATCTATATAATTAGTATTATCTTAGTTTTTTAATATAAGATTAAATTTTTTTAAATTAAAGACTAAGACTATCTTTAGATAGATTATAATATCTAATACTAACGAAGTCTTAAAGATTAGTTTCTAAATTATTAAATTAGTAATATTCTAAACTCTTAATTACTATCTAAAATAAAATAATCTTATTAAACTAATAAGTTTAATATATTTTTAATAGCCGATTTTTCTATCTTAAACTCTTAGTCTAAGATAATATAATATATTAAAAAAGATAAATTTCTATATATATCTTTATTAAAATTAAGATTCTAAATAATCGCTTAAAACCCTAGTTTTAATCTATTAAATTTCTATTTTTCTATCTTTATTAAAACTAGGGTTTTAAAGCCTATCTTAGAACCCTAGTTTTAATAGAGGTATTAGTTCTAATCTATCTAAATATTATATTAATTATTATAATCTATCTTTTATCTAGATACTATCCTAATCTTATCTTATTAATTCTAGAAGGATTATTAATATAAATTTCCTATATTTATAAGCTTTATCTATAATCTTCTCTCGATCTTAGCTATTAATATTAATATTAAATAATTATTTAATTCTATATATAATATTTATTATTATTAATAAAAAGTATTAAATATATCTATTATATAAGATCTAATAATATTTATATATATTACTAAATTTAAAGTTAAGAAGAAATAACTTATATTTATTTAAGAGCTTTAGGAGTAGAATAAGTTAGAAATTATATAAAAAGAAAAAGAGACTTAAAAGACTTATAAAGAGATTATATTAATTAGTAATAATAAAAAAAGAAGGATACTATAAATCTAATAATTATAGTTAATATATTTTATTAATTATAGTAAAAAAAGTTAAGAAGTAATTATAAAGATAATTATAGCCTCCTATAGATTTCTAGTAAAGTTTATAAATATCTATAAATACTTAATAATTATAAGTTTTAAAATTAAAATTAATTAATATTTAAAATAATATTCTCTAGAATTACTTTTTAAGAATTATTCTCTTAATTACTATAAAAAATTATTTAACTAAAATAAATATAATACCTAAAAATATAGCTAAGAATAATATAATTTATAAAAATTATATAGTTAATAAAGTATCTACCTAAATAGGTTAAATAGGTTAACTTATTAACCCATAGGATAGATCAAAAAAATCTTAACCCGCCCACGGGTTAAAAGGTCTGACCCACGACCCGCCCATAGGCTGACCCACGGGTCGACCTATATAGGTTGTCCTCGGGTCTATCCAGGTCTAGTACTATCATAAGTCGACTTTGTCACCCACCTACACCCTCTAGGCGGTCGCCTCAGCGATGATTCTTTCTACGGGTAGCGGAGTCGCAGCGGCTAAGTTAGAGGGATATTCGTTAGAGTTCTTCCCCCTTTCCACCTCTCTTATACTACTTCCAGCTATTACACACCCGAGCAGCACGCTCTACTATCCGAAGCCTATTCGACTTCGGCTGCTGACCCCTAATACATTTTCTCAAAGGAAGAAGACGCGATCAACGGTATAAATTACACAAGCCTATCTCTCTCGTCCTTCACTAGAAGGGAACTCTTTAGACTCGAGACAATAGGCGTTTTAACAATCATATTACAGGTTTATCAGTAATTTTTTTTCGTTAAAACTACCTTACTTATTAATAGTACAGGATCTAGAAAATAAATTAAATAGGAATCATAACCTCGAAGAGCTTGCAACAAATCCGTAGATAGGTTATTTACCTCCCGTACTATTCTTGAAACTAATAAAAGGGCTATTTTATATATATACAACGACATCCGGTTTCTCGAGCAACTAGGCACAATCAGAGCAACGAAGCTTCTAGACTAAGTAAGGAACAACAGGCCGAATCCTCCCTCGTTTACACTCTAGAGCTATAGAGGTCCAGTAAATCCTCTCCTTTATAAAAAACCGCCGATACTTCAAGCCTCCAGCCTTAGCCATTTTCCAGATATTAATTCGCGAGTTATAACAGAAGCCCAAGGACCAGATAATTATCTTTTCTAGCTGCATTGCAGATATTCCTTTCCATACCAACTAATCCTTTAAAGGAATAAACGGTGTGCCGATGTCAGCTTCCTTATCTATTGATCTCTCCGTCAACGTCGATCCTGCTTTATTAACTACGTCGATGGTCGGTTAGGACCACACAATTTTCGTGCAAGACACTAACCCCTCCACTACATACAATAAAATACTCGAAGCCGAGGATAGCCCTATATTCATATCTCCTATAGACATCGACACAGCTATCCGGTCAAACGCCTCTAGCAAAAGAGCGCCTTCAGAACAGGATATACACTCCCTTTCCCCTTCTACGGGCAGTTTGTCGGATAGGAGCCTAGAGTATACAACTACTACTCACATTATCATAGGCCTTCCTACTCCACCGTCGGGCCCTCCCGCAAGCGTTGCTAAGAAAACCAACAGTTCTCATACCCCAAAATCATAGCAATCGAAGGTCAACAAAGCGACAAGTAGCCGCCGCAGGGCTCGAAAATCGAAATTATAGGCTATCGGTAGGCATCCGGAGCAGCGGATTAAATCTACCGGGATTGAGGGAGCAACGCCGTCGATCGGTTCATGTCTGCTAAGAAATGCTATTTCCCACCCTAATCTTCAGCAAGCTCTAGAACTTAGAGAAGGTCTAATAAAGGGTGACCTATCGGAATACCTAGAAAAAATATCCAGTATCTAGCAAAAGAAGGGCTTTTAGTTCGAAGATACAGTCAACCTGTTGATCTCGACGGACCGCTCCGCAGAGGAAAAATATTATCTAGTCTTTCAACACGCCAAGGCTCTAGCAACGCGCGGGTTGGATCAGAAGCTACGACTCCGCATATCGCAGACCCTATTGTATCTCTTGTATGAAACCTTAGCGCGGGACACAAAGACTGATATCCAATCGGGAAGGCTGGACAATCCGGATCAACGTCGTGCGTCGTCGATCTCTATAGATTACATCCTGCAGCGCTCCTGCCCTACGTGGAATTCAATGGATTTCCAGACCAGGAAAAACCCTCCGAAGCCAATTTCATGAGCACAAGAGACAGGGCAGCCACTGTTGGCAGGCCGCAGGCGTACTCATGACTCCGGAGACTCTATAGACTTGGCATATTGCGGTATAAATACATACGACACGCAACCAGCACTAATATAACCTCCGCCGCCGCCGTTGTTGCCTGTAACCGTCAGTCTGGCATTCGACACTGATCAAGGGACGAGGGACTCCTCTTACACTTCAAATAGTTATTCAAGATAAGACTTCGGCAGGTGACACTGCTATCGTCAGGCAGTGGCTGTTTGAAGTTCTGCGAATTGCCTCCCTTTAACTTGCAATCCGTCATCCACGATGCCCCAGTGGTGATGATCGGGTGCTCCCACAATCCCGCCGGGTACGTACGGACGTCGGTGTCCGGTGTGATGGCTGTTTTGTCGTCGTAATTATCACAAGCTTTCTTGAGGACAGAGTTCCACCAATCGCTGTCATCACTGTATGATGGTACGTCGTTGTGGTCAGACGCGTCGAAGCATTGCTGCTCGCGCAGCTTCATTGCCGCATAGGGCATGCCATCACCGCCATCATTACCGCCACCACCACCACCACCATCACCATCACCACCGTCTTTCTTCGGGGGTCGATTGAGAGAGAATGAGTAAGTGCCACAGGTGACATCTACGGAGCCCCCCTTGGCCAGATTATTCTGCTGGCTGCAAGTTGCCCCCATGAGCGAAAACGCCTTATCACACGACATATCACACTGGCCGTCATCGGAAGGTTCGAACTTGAGTGTGAACTGGGCATTGTCATGCGTCGGTGGTGGCGTGCGTTTATTCAGGGAGATCTGTTTCCCGTCCTTGTCGACCGTCCATTCCAGCTTGTCCTTGCCAACTTTGTGACAGAAGCCCCCGTATACTTTATCGGTAAAGTATTGGGCACCAAAGTCAGATGGCGCATTGAGCTCACAGGAAGGGTGTGGTTGAATCGTTTTCCCGGTCGATATGGGCTTGATAGCGGTCCAAGGCTCGATCGATGTGGTGGTTATGGACGCCGTTGTGCTCCCGTATCCAGCAGTCGTGCTCATGCATGCAGTCGTCTCGGCACAGCTTGTCGAGCATAGTCCCAAAGCACCAACAAGCTTACACCCCACTTTGCAGTTAGTTTCAGTGTGTCTCTTGTCTTCATCACACGACTCATTCGAGTTATCTGTGTCAATCGCGTCCTCTGGGATCACATTGGTGCCTTGAATCGTTTTGCCGTTCACCATCTTCTGCCAGACGAGTGGATACAAGAACTCAGTGACGCGCACGGCTTGTTCACTAGACATTCGCAGGATACTTGCGTGCTGGCGCACAAATGCAATAGCTTGGTTCATGGCACGCACTGCCTCACCTTTGATCCGCGGTGGGGCCTGTGTGGCCATAACGTGGAGTAGTGCGCCGGCCATGGCATTGTTTGCCATGGTCAGTTCCGTGCCGCAGACCGAGCCAGGGAGACCACTGAGTCGCCGTCGATCCTTTTTACTGAAGGCTTGACCGTCGAGACATGTGCCCGTTTGCTGCTTGCCCAGGTAGTCATCGAGCAGCTTGGCCAAGTCTTCGGGGATGATGATCCCGACATCGCCCTTCTTATGGCCATCCGCGCTATCTTTGAACGTTGTGACTGTGGCAGTTTGGGTCCTAGGTTCAGTCAGTTATTTCTATTGAGGATCAAGATAAATAAATCATGTCATACCCCGTGGCTGTCGGTTGCGGTGACGCTGTGATAGTAATACTCGATGAGGGCTTTCCGGTGGGGACCACGACAATTTCAGTGGCTGTGGCCATCTCGGATGCCACGCTGAGCACATCTGGAGCAAGATGAACAGGCTCATATCTCCCTACCGTGTTTGTCAAGTGCCAGTGCTCGAACCCGATAGCCAAGACAGCTGCCACTACAGCCAGTGGTACCAGGGGAACAAAGCGAGATTGTAGCTCGGTTTCCTTATCATCGATGATGTCGCGGATCTTCATGAAGCAGTCCGAATTCATCTCCTTGCAGTCTTTTTTCATGACATCGTCAATGCGCTTTTGCATCGCGTCCGAGAGTGCCACATCAATGCCATCTTCTGTCTTGCCCTCCCCGAACATCTCAAGCGTATTTCCACTTGGCTTAGGGAGGAAGGTCTGTCGCAAGATTAGTTTCTGGAAAACTGGCTGAGGAAAGAACATACTCCTGTGACGCTGTAGTCTTTTCGCTCGCCTACAGTGAAGGTCACCGGGTCAGCGCCGGAGAGGGCAAAGAAGCCCAGTAGAGGGATCATTGAGCGATTAGCATGCATCGTCTGTGAAGTTTCTAGATGTTGGAAGTTCTTCTACTGACGGGACACGAAATGATTTATAGATTTACTCACAACCAGTATCTGCTGGCCTCGCAGAGCCTCGCTGGACACTGCCACTAGTATGGTTACTTCATCTGGTTACAGTTCTTTTTTGCTTACACAATAGTTCGCATGGCCTGTAAGGCATCCCATGGTACATGGGGCTGAAATGTTACCAATGATGGCTCGCAATCTTCCTTCCGAAACAATCTTTTAAGGCGTCCTACTTAGTGTGGGTTGAGACCTCTTTCGGCTCGGCGATGTGACGGGTCGGTATTCGGTATAAACGTATAGTCCGTCTTACACTTATCTATCGCCTTAAACCCCTTATAGCGACCGAAGAAAATCGTGACCAATAGCGCAGGCAGAAAGATAGAAGCCTCACATGGTCTGTGTTCCAGTGCAGATCATTGTATTATTGAGATTGTACAATTCTGCACATTCCTAATATCAAAGAGATGCTAGCAGGCCCTCAATCTCAACGTATCCACATTCACGAGCCTCTGCCAGCGGAGTGAGACCCTCGAGGGTCCTAACATTGCAATCTGCGCCATACTCTAGCAAAATACGGACGCATTCCACTTTACCCGTGCGAACCGCATTGTGTAGAACGCTGTCATTCAATGTGTCCGCATTCACATCTAGACCCTGGTTTAAGAGAAAGCGCAGTACTGACACGGCATGGGTATCGCGCCTCATAACTCGTGGCAGGATATCCCGTGGCAAAGCATCGACCTTCGCTCCGTACGAAATGAGTAGTTCCAGCTCGGCCACAGAGCCCGAGACAGCAGCAGTTTCCAATGGCGTTGCATTATCCTGGTCGACGAAGTTCGGGTCTGCGCCGTTCTCTAGTAGCCAGCGCATGCAGGTATGATCCGAGGCCAGGAGGCTATGTAAGCCACCATTAGTGGATTAGGATACAGATCCTTATATATATGAGACATACCGTAAGACTGTTCCTCCGAATTGGACCGTGTTGACGTCCCAGCCATACTGTTGGAAGCGTTGGAAGATAGTGACATTCTTACTACGGCACGCGCCAACGAGTGTAAATGGGGTGATTTTAGCCCCGTGCGCCAGAAGCAACGTAACCATCTCCGGATTGTTAGCCCAGGCAGCCTCCTCGAGAGCGGAGCTGATGGCTTCTTCAGCTGAATCATTCAGCTGATGGTTGTGTAAGAATATGGCGAGATCGGCTTTGGATCGGAATTGGTCCAACCAGTTGGCTCCACCATTCTGGTCCATCATGGCACGCACGACAGAAACGCCAGAGGGGGGAACTAAGGTCAAAAATAATCTGACATGATGGGTGTTCCTTATGATATAGTTCCAGCGGGCGTGTCCCTGCAGCGTTGCATCACACAGCCATGTCAGGCCCCCTGCCTCAACCCTAACATTGCTTCTTCTTTGTAGGTCACTCGCATACTAAATCCATGGAGTATATGAAAGGCTATCATCCACTCCTGAAACGATGTTTCTCCTCCAAGCAACATACTCCGATCATCCATCATGAAGGCCGCCATTTTCCTTGCCTTACTTAGGGGCCTTCACTCTTTCGTGAGTGCCACGGTCGACGGTATGTACGATTCACGTAACGCACTACGGTGATCCTCGCTCATAACTCTCAGGCTCTAATAGTCAATTGCCCTCTGATAATCCGTCATTCTCAGACGACGCGCGCAGCCTTGATAGTGTTGCACTGTTGGAAAATCGAGCCGACAGCGATGATTCCGGAGGCGTTGCATGCGGGCCCGCGACGGTCGGCGTCATTGAACCCCGGTCATTCAATGATATCTTTGATGATTTCGGGAACTCTTCAAGTCTAACGCGGCGTACCATTACCTTGCCCAAGCGCAGAACGAAGAAGGCGATGGACGCGTACATCCAGGGGCAACTGGTCCCGCACAAATCTCACAGAATCATCTGGAGGAAGAATGTCGACGTCGGAAATGGTCAGTTCCAAGTTGAGGATATGGCTACCTCACTGTTCAAGCCCCTTGATGATGAGGCCTTCAGCTTGGGCACGAATCATCTATCCGGCTGCACTGTGCTGGTCATCGTTAGTCGAAAGGGGGTTTATATGGCACATTACTGGGAGAGCATCTCCTTCGTACCTGAAAATGATTGGAGAAGGCATTTTGGAAGCAATGAGAAGTGCTTCACTGAGACCGTCTTAAGGGGCCTGCGGCAGGGGGTGCACGAAGAAGGCGCGGAAACGGCAGAGCAAGTCCCCTTGACCTGGTTTGCGAACTATTTCGACGATGATACAACCGTCGCATACATCATGCGCCCCGAGAAAGACGCCTGGTACCAAACGGCCAAGAGATGGGAAAACCAATACCTCCCCAAGTGGAAAGAGATCAAGAAGGTCGTCGGGGAGATCGTACCGCGGCTCCAAAACGAGGCAAAGTGGAAGGAAATCGTGTATAACCGGTTGGACCGAGAAGACTCTCGATTGGACACCGAAGCCCGCGGGATTGTTTTGTACCAGTTTGACCCCGACAATCGATATTATTCCGCGAAACTCAAAGGAACAGCAACTCAGAAAAAGTCCTTACTTTGGGCAGAAGATAGCCCTGACCCGCGCCACGAGGACACTTGGGATGATGGACCGGTGAAGAGTAGTGGAAGGGGCAAAGGTGGTTAGATAGGATTATTTCAATGGGATAGAATGGCTGCATTCCAAACTAGGTCTCAGCTTTCCCGTCATTGCAAGCATCCCCGAATAGATTGATCAGAGAGTGAAGCTGCTTTAGCTATCACGATGTGCCACATGACTCGATGCCTTTTTGGGATCTCACCCCAAAAGCCAACCAATAAAAAGTGTCACTATTTCCACATAGCTAGTTTTGATAGTCTCCGAAATAGAGGTTTTTAAAGTATGCCTTCCATTCTAGGGGAATCTCTTTGTTGCCAAAGAGATTTGCCAAACTTGGTATAGTACCAGATTCCCCGACTACAAGGGAAAAGGGCAAGGAAACTGCATCTTGTTCGATCCTACTCACGACCATATTCGATGGTGTCAGCTGGCTGAAAGGGGAAGCATTCAATCCCTTGACTCCAACCTCACAAGCGAGCTCAACGAAGCGCGGTCATGGCTGCCCATCTCATCGCAAAAAGCGATCCGATGGTGCTACTGACTTGTTGACGACGGAACTTTGGAAACTGTTTGAGAAAGAAGTGCGCTGAAAGAATGAGGGATAACGTGACAGTAAACACGGTCAACGTGGTGGAGTGAATATACATATTTAATGCCCGTGCACCAACTCCTTTCGAGACCAATTCAACCCAACTATATTTCTTTCCTTTTATTATCATGTCTTCCCCGTTTCTCGATCTTAAAGGAGATTCAATTCCTCTAGGGCAGGTTCTTAGAATTGGTGCTACTGCAGTGGTTCTATTTCAAAATAGCGTGGCCGTCAAAACCCCGTTGAGATATATTTGGAGCTCAGACTCGGACGTCTAACTCAATACTGAAAATATACGACGTAAACAAGATATTTATCGGCGCTTTCAAATCCTAGAAGATAACCGCTCTAGTAGGGTTGTCTCTTGTATTAGATTTTTAACTGAAGCCACCCAACTTACTTCTATAGTTAATAGTGATCTTCGGTCTTATCTTGCTAAGTGTTGACCTTCCCGTCAACTTTAAATCGCATAGTTCCATGAAATAGCTCGTACTCTTATATATATCTATAATAGATATATACTTATCGTAGATATCGCTAGCCGAAATTTTCTTCTTAACTCTAATCTATTCCTTAAAATATATAATTTCTTAGAAGTATCTCTATTTCCCTTAGATTCTAATATAGATACTATAGATAATAATAGATACATAACTCGAGTTAATATTGGCCTTCTTAGAATAGTTATCTATAAATTCGTGACTAGCAATAAATGCGAAATTGATCTCTTTAAAAATAACTCTTCCGCCGACGGACAAGTATATTAGCTAAAGAGAGAGTCTTTACTAAATACCCAAGGTATCTAGCTAGGTTCTATTATTGAAGGCTGCTAGAACGGAGAATTCCGCAGCACCCATAGTCTTCTACGAGCATTAAATTCCGTCGATCTATGCCTCCAATCTCCTATCTCTTAATTATCTATCACTCACTTCTTGGTCTCCCTTAAGGAGTCAATCAGACAGTGGCCTACCACAACTATTATTAGGGCTTCGGGGCTAATAATTTTTACTCTGATTGTCGGAAGAAAACAACTTTGATATTTAAAGGGGTGCTGGTTCACCCCCCTCCCCCTCTTTGACTACCTCAGATCTCGATGCAAGTAAAGCAATCGAAAACTCTGCATAATAAAATGGAGATCATTATTTATCACATATAAAGTTGCGTCTTTTCATTTTGAAGCAAAATAGGTATAGAAGTGTATACTACAGCGAAAATATAACAAGATTCAGGGGATAATGCAAGCACCTTCGCTATTCTAGGGCTATAAACCATAACTCAACGTAGAGATTATTCCTTCGTTTCATAATTCAAAGCCATATAAGGCTATGTCACAACTTTCCTATCATGGCAAGAATTCACGGGTGGAATGATCGGAGTAGGGTTTATGGTCGATCAGAACCTTCTTCACACCCTTTTCGATTATGTAGATACCTAAGCATCTTGAACTCCGAACTCTGGTCGTCAATAAGTGCCCCCATATCCTGGTATAGCTCCATCCAACATCCTTGTATCACAGCACCACCAGCAAGTCCATGAACCGAGGGATACTTTCTCAAAGCAAAAAGATTATCTACCCGGTCCTCGTAAGTATTCATCTCTTCCATGGATTTGAATGAGCCTGGGGATTTGTAGGGCCAGTGGCCAGTTATGATCGTATAGAAGATTGACCTAAGACTAAAGATATCCGTTGACTCTGTGGACACCCAGGGATTGCAGGGGTTAAAAAATCCGGAATCAGGGAGATGTCCACTATCTATATCCCCATTTGTCGATCTTCCGAAGTCAGAAAGCAGGGGATTCGGCTTTTCTTCGGCGGTGCTGTGTAATAAGAAATTATCCGGTCGAAGATCAGAATGAATCACACTCTTTCGGTGGATGAACTGGACTGCCTCTGTTGCCTGTGAGCGCTATTTTAACCGCAAAGATATATCAATATTATCATGATGTTGGTCAAAGTAATTTTGCAAATTGCCATCGCTCTTCTCGGAAAACAGTAATCCACGCGGATTCTCCGAAACACCGACAAATATAGAGAACAAATTAATAAACCAAATCAGTTAGTTTTTAGACTAACGTACCGTGTGATTCTAGGGTGTATGCCCAAAATCTCCAGAAGTCGCTCTTCAACCTCGAAACTGCGCTTAATGTCTTTGACGAAAGTACTCCGTACTTTTCTCTGCCACGTCTGAATGCCACCATGAGTACCGGAGGCACTTGATGATAACACCTGGGTTCACGCGTGCGATCAAGCAAATTGACCCTTAGCTCAAGATTTCATTCAAGGGAGGTTCGTAGGGGACTGGATAGTCGTTTTCGACAGGTAGAACAGGTTTGCCTTCCATGACTGGTCCCAAAGAGCCGTTCTTCGCAATATTTGAAGGTTAAATTCAAAATAAGAGGTCTCAACACTTCAATATCGTCGGGCTTTTTGTGAGTGAGGAGGTTGAATACACAGCAAAATGAAATAACCCAGTGTGAAATAAAAAGCCAGTTCCAGAGGCGCGTCAATATATCGAGGAGGCGTTGGAGAGATTTGGTTCAGCAGAAATCCAAGGTTCTAACAGAAGTCAATATCACGTGGGTGAACATTCAGCCTCAAAGCAGACATCCCAAACACAAGAAATCAGCTGGTCATGTCGGTCTGCGATATCTGCAGGATCTTTTAGCTCGAAATACATTTTACTACAGAGGCAGCATCTGTGTGAGCAGGCTTAGAAGCGTAGTTTTATAGAGCAGAGGTAGATTCAACACTTCTTGAAATTATTATTTCTTCCTCAGTTCAAGTAATTTGCCACAGGTCCGAATAAGATAGAGAAAGCAAGAGAAAATACAACTCCAGGGATATTGGCAGAGCCAAAGCTCGCAGCACCACCAGTTTTTTGAGCGGAAGCAGAATCAGTAGCACTGGAAGTGGCATCAGAAGTCTCAGTGGCAGTCGAAGTAGCTGCCGCACTCGCAGCACTAGACGAATCCGTGGACGGGGGGTTCTTAAGGACAGGCGCGTCGGTTCCAGTGAGCCTCGCAAGGCTGTTGGTTGCGACGGGGCTATCGACGCAATAACTCCAACCTTCAATTGGCTTGCAAGGATCCTTGACCAAGGCGGGATTCTGAAGAGCATTTTGTTAATTCTTTCGGCCAAAGGAATGACATAGAATGAAATTGAGGATAATAAGCTGCTCACTCACCCATTCATGTAATTGTTTGAAATCAAGATCGAAATACTTTTCGAGCGCCTTGCAGGTATCGCCAGAAGCAATATCGTTGGCCCAAAAAGAACAGTTCTGGGTCACGTTGGGATCAGTTTCCCCGGTGGCTTTGTGGCCGGTTTTCCATGCACTAACTGCCTCTCCGAGGAAAGCAGCAAAGAAGAGCGTGGAGAACTTCATGGTGTTGTTTTTTTCTAGAAATCAAATCGTCGAGGGAAATACTGTAGAAGGAGAAGATAGAAAAATTAGTCACTCAGACTCGGCCCTGATAAAGGGTCATGTACCTAGCGTTTTAGGGGAAACAATGGCCCCGGGGGCCGGCTTGGAGTCACCACTGGCGGCTATTTCGGCCCTAGGAACCGAATGAGGCAAAGTTTGGTCAAGGATTCATTTTAATGCCTTAGATCCCTCACATAATATTCGAGGGATTGCCCTTTTATTAAATGACCCGGCAGAGCTCCCGAGGTGTTCCCGAGACATTATTTTCCTGTGTCTGGATTGGGGGTGGAGGTGGGGCTGTTGATGTTGATATACTCACCAGTTACACTCACGGCAGTGGGTCCATCTAAGCTTTTTATAACTTGGGCCAGCAAAGGAAGTGTTTGATTGGATCGCATGCATCTAATATACCCCGTCTGCAGGGCTAACTCTTTAGCTTTCTATTGCCCTGAAGATGGAATTTGGTTCTCCTGAAACTGGGTGTGGATTATTATATCTTCTTTTAGTCTACACAAATTGTTGGATGGAATTATCCAATATTTTGTGTGCCCGAGTGGGCGTAAGAAAGTACTTTGATCTCATTTTCGTCTAATCAACTTTTCTTCTTTCCCACATTAGTTTTGAATAGTTTGAGGTGCTTGGGTATATATTCTAAGGTATTATTTTCCTACTCCTCTTTTCCCTCTTTCTTATCCTCTTTCGGGAGATTAGCTTAAAGGGTTTTAGGGATCTATCAGAGTATCCTACAAAAGAGGACTACTTAGATGGGGACGAATGTTGTTAAGAGAGAGCATTTGCCTTTCCCTAAAAAAAATATATAAAATATATATATATATAAAAAAGCCTATCTCAGTTGAACTCAAGTCAATATACTGTATATAGATTTTTGGCGCAACAGCCACATCCTTAGAATCTTATATTATAAATAGCCTCTTTCCGCCCCCAGTGCCACCGCTAAGCTTCCTTCCATGCCGAATCAATCTGCCAGGGATAATACCTTGACTGAGAGTAATACCTTGTTGCCGCTTGGACTTACTCTAGCTGAGCTCTCACTTGGCAACTTGTCAGGGGTCACACATTATCCCCGGATGGCAAATGCCCGCAAGAAATAATCAACAGTGAGGCTGCAAGTCTGGTGCTAAAAGTGTCGCTAGAAACTGGCTGCAGATATGCTGATGCCGTCAACGACTGTTTAACATGATCTGGCATTGGTGGTCTGCGCTATGAGGGGAAGAGCTTCGCAGAACGGGTTTTTGATATCATTGCCTCTCCTATTTTAAAAGAGCTAGTTGGTTTTGAGAACTTGGCTTAGTGTTACGGTTGACTGACCATACCCAATATTAGTTAGCTATAGGTAGTTATTAATATAAGATTCTAAGATAGGCCTTTTTAGGAGAAGCAAATATTCTCTCTATATAAATTTCGCCCCCTTCTAATTAGTCCTCTTTACTAGGATACTCTGATAGATCCCTAAAACCCTCTGAGCTACTCTCTTGAAAGGGAGAGGAAAAAATAAGAAGAGGAGCAGTAAAATAATAGCAGTAGCAGGTATAGCTATCTATATACAAAATAGATATTGAAGCCTTCTAGATAAGATAAAATTTATATAATAAGGCTATATGATCTAATTTTGAGTCTCATAGGCCTGGGAGCTCTTGTTGCTGGCGGAGATACACTGAATAAGGTAATATAAGTCATGAACCGCGTTTCCGGATCTGGTTGGCAGTATACTCATTCACCTCGTGCAGCAAGAACCACAGTAAATTTCCAACCTCAAAGCTGGACGCCATCCTCAACTACATTGTACATGCTTATCCAGGCGTGATATCCCTTTACCATAAGCTTGATGACCTAGTGAAGCAAATTTTGCGAGGGGAAGCAATCACGATACAGCCATCCAGGCAGATAATTGACGACCTAATCAGGCGAGCTGCTATATTAAGGTTAACCCCTTAATAAGTTGAAGAATAATAGGAGCCAATTAACTCAGTAGTTGTTTGTGAAACATCTACGACAGAATTTGCCAGCGAATATATTTAATCTTACCAGCAAGGCCCGTAGGTAGTATTTCTTATAACAGGGAGGGGGCTACTAAATCGGATACAAGGATTACAAGTTCTAGCTGCTTATAGTGGCTTATTTAACATTGAGAATTATATTTCCATTCTAGATTAAACGACTAGTTTGAACGACAACAGTTTCGGTGCCCTAGCCTGTCTTCTTGGAGATTTCTAACAAGGCCTGGTGATCCACGCCAAAAGCGGTTAGGCTGTAATTCTAGCAAAGAGCTAGCAAGGCTAATAAAGGATCATGACAAGCACATTTAGACAAGATACACGATATTTATGCCGAATATAAGCAAAAGATAAATAATAAACGCAATACAAAGGATACCACACCTATAAGGTGACCTTTATACCAGAGCGTATCTACCAAAAGTGAGTGCTGTTTCCCGTTAGAATAAGATAGTAGTTTGATATTTCGATAGTTGATCGGACTTACTTCTCGCAGCGTTTGGATTAAGACTTCCGACGTAGTGATAGAGAGAAACCTAGTAATAAGGGAGTCACAAGGCCACCGATTAATATTATCCACGCCTGTTCTATTATCCCCCTTATCGTATTTCTGCATTAGCTCCATCGTGATTACCTTTAGCGCCTAGAAATACTGTGGCGCTCGATCTTTAAACTCGAGGCATTCCTCTATAGCACCTATAGCCATAGTTAGAGGACGCCTCCGTGGAAAGGAAAGATCCATACCAATCTTTACTTCTCCTCGTCCAGTTACTAGGATGTTGGAAGAGCTTAAGCATGGGTGTTTAATCCGCTAGCTATTAAGGTATAGAAGACTATCGAGAATCCTTTATAATATTACTGCTGTCCTTATTTATTGTATCAGTTAACCGGATTAAACTTACCTAGGCCAGGATCGCTACAAACTCTGGTTTATTTAGGTAGGCTTCATACGCGACTAAATAATCTAACGAGACGGGGATATCGTCGTAAAGAAGGAAGATTGATCCACAATATAGATAACACTCTCGAGAAAACAAAATATTGGAATACTGTATGCTTTCAAAATGTCGGAGTGTTTTATCGATATCTCGCCTCCGAATCGTCCGTATCGCAACTAGTCGGTAGGGGCGGACACGATAAATAGCTACGTCGAATAGTCCAACCAAATCGCACTCGTAGACTTTCCTATATATATCCTATAGTGACTCGCGTCGAACCAAAAATGCGGTCTCAGGGTTTTCTCCAGCTCGGGATAATTCTGGGAGGAGCAAATTTCTCATCGAACCACGTATTCGCTTCTTATTAGGCTCGGGGTCAAGAGTAAACACTATCCTTATCGGCGGAGCTGGATAATAGGCATCCTTTAGTTTATTAAGAAGCTTACCGCGGAATTCTACTAGCGGCAACTCTCGTCTATTTATTTCGAGTATGAAGCGTAAGTAACTCTGTTGGCTGTTAGGTACAATATTGAGGATTCACCGGACTAGGGAAGGAGGGAAAAAAGGGAGAGAGAAATAGAAGTTCGTGGCGGATAGTGAAGTAGTTTAGAAATAAATATAAAAAAAGGGCGCTTAAGAAGGCCACGATTAACACTACCGACTAAACCGTGCCTAGAGGATAGAAGAGGACGCCCCTCTCTACCCCTATTATTTATCCTCCGTTCTAACTTTCCTTGTACTATATATCCACCCTATATATAATAGATTCTCTCCGGTTTACTTAAAGAGAGACCTAATTAGTAACAGAAAGACGCCTTAAATTCTAGGGCACTGCTAAAGTTAACCTAGGTAAGATCTATTTTTATACCAAAACAAACCGGCAGCTGGACGAAGGGAATATTGAACGTCTATATAATATATTTCGATACTATGAATACCAAAACCTAACAGTAGCCCACCGCGTGTCTGTTATAGTATCACGGCCCTATCTAGCGGCGGCGCTCTAGCGTGTAAATATAACTTTCCCTGTATCGGTAACTAATCCAGAATTAGAGATACCTTATGTCCGATTTCTACTAGGGCAGCTTCGAGGTCTTTATAGACGGCACCGGGTCGCGGCTAGGGTAGAGGTCTTGCTACCTACCAACCGCTAATGGGCGGTCGACCTATATTTGGATGGCATAGTTTATATTTAAGGATATACAAAGCAATCTGACGATTGGCTAGATATTAGCGAAGATCTAAAGACGAGTCTTATCGAAGAGTACTCTAATAAGAAGCCTTCTAGTGACGGAGAGATTTATCGCAAAATTCGCCAGTACATAAGCGACGGAAATCTTCACGGAGAACTACGGTGGAAGACACGACTTTATCCGAATAGTCTTACTCGCCTAGAAGCGCTTAACAAAAACACTCGCCTTCGGTATACCTTTAATGCTGTCCTAGGAATACTGGGGCACCGTGGTGCCATACGGATCAGTATGCTTCATCGCGTGATAGCGGTCAAATACGATAAAGTTAGTTTGAGCTAACCTATTATTATTCGATTCTGGAACTAACCGTGTTAGGAGATTGTCCACTACTTAAATTATGTGAAGGACTTCTGGTTCGCTCTAGCTAACGACGACCCTACCTTAGTAGCTAGAATAGACTAGTAGACGGTCGAGAAACTACAACTACTAACACCCTAAACCGAAGCGAAAGTCGTGCACAGGCTTATCATTAGTGGTTAGGCTTTTGTAGACTTTAATTTAAATAAACGGGCGGCTATATAGGAGCGTTTTCGATCGTTCAACGGCCTAGTTCCGTCTTTATATTCTTTCTTTGAAGACTTCAAGTATTTCGAGAGCTAGGCTTACTGCCTAGAACGACTCTTTCCTTTAGAGCAGTCTACCACCGTACGCAGCACTATAGACCGCCTACGGGTATATTCCGACGATAATAAAAATATATACCTAGTTTAAATATCCGAATCGGCCTTCTCCAGCCGTGTCGAGCCCACTAAGAGGCATTTTGATATAGCCTATCGTCAGATATAGCTCTATACGATACGCTATTATCCGTAAATGCCTCGTGATCCACAACGCAAGAATCGACTGCCTAAGCCAGCCAATGCTGCTACGGACGAAGGCGCGGTGTTCGAAATAGCCTACCTTATACGTCGGCTAGGATTTAAATCCGATGAGATCATAAATCTTAGCGGCCAATCCCCTAACCGACTTATTGCCATACAAATATTACTCTACGCTCGCAAGTCGGATCGGTTTAACTATAATAGGTTAATCCTAGACTCATTAGTCGATATAATAGTAAGTTATTTTGCTCGGGCCGCCCCAAAGGATGTTATGGCCCTATCGCCTATTCTCTTAAGTCCTTCGGTAAAGCCAAAGACGCGTTATAGGCATCCAACCATGCCTGTGCTCCTGTAGGACCATCCCTATCTCTTCCTCGACCATATACATACGGTAGACGTGCCAGATAGGGTTACCTCGTTCTTTGTAAGACGCTACGTCTATCTGGCATTTTTTGGCCCACGACCAAACCTCCGGGGAACAAACGAGTTACCATTCACCGCCGTTGACCGGTAGCTTAGCCTACCTATATCACCACTGTTTCTTCGCGACGACAGTCTTTAGGACGATCAAGATCACGGACGGCCTCTCCTAACCTTATGGGACGATAGTCATATTTCTTCTCAGCAACGAGTGGGGCAAGGCTATTTAACCGTGAATGCTATCGAATCAGCAGTCGAAGTAAAAAATACGCTAGCCGAGACCACAGCACAGTTAGCCACAGAACGATAACGTATTCAGCAGGAAGCCGAGATACGAACAAGGGAAGCTTATACGGCTGAAAATACACGTCTGCGGGCGAGGGCCGACGATATAGCTTGACAAATCCAAGATACAAAAGAACGGGCGCTTTCCTAGGCGGCCGAGCTGGAGTGGCTACGACGAGAAACGCGTGCACTAGCGCCAGGTGACGACCACAGAGTCGATAAGAACCTCGAAGAAATCCCCTAAGATAGTATAACATAGACGGTGGCTGTATACACACAAGAGGAGAAGCAACAAATCGCTCCGACTCAGAGGCAGATTAAAGCCGAAAATGTTCTCTTGCCACCTAAGACCGAGGATTTCTATTTAGAATCTTCCCGGCCCGTCACGCGTATTGACGTATCAGATTTGCTTGCAAGATAGCGTGAGCGAGGAAGTTAGCAGCAAGCAGAAAGCGATCTGCCTCGCCTGCGTCGCAAGCCACGTGAGAAGACTATCCGGAAATCGCGACGATCTAAACCGGCTGGTATTAGAAAGTCTCGGATAAAACACCGGCCAACGTACTAAGATACTATTCGCAAGGACACCCGTGTTGCGGCTATTCACGACGACCTAGGATAGGATCTAGACGACTCCCCCTCCACTCGCTCGTTACACGTTAACTCGTTATCGGTGGGGAATATACTATTAAACTAGCTATAGGGAAAGACTAGGGGAGCAATGTCGCAGAGCGGCGTGCAGCGGAGTCGTAAATACAAAGCGATGCGGCGGAAAAGTCAGTCCCTGGAACCGTGGTAGAGATACTCGACTCGTAAGGTTATTGTGCGGAGCGGCCCTTGCCAGCTGACAACTAGGGACAAGAATAATATATAGACGATAATAGAAAGGTCACCGCGGAAGATGTGGACGAGCTCTTTAATGAAATACTCCGGAGCGATACGGAATAAAGGGTATTAGGCGAGTAGGATCCTTTTGATCGTGCTTATTCGGATAGCGAATCGATTGAGGCTACTCAACATAAATATAAGGAAACCCGAGTGGCACAAAAAAGGGCAATAGCTCTTTCTCAGCTGCAGGCTAAGACTGATTAGATTTCTGGCCTACCGGAAACTAATACTTCTCCGGTGGAAAATTCCTGGCCGGTCACGCGTATTGAGGTGTCGGGCTTAATTACAAGATGGCGTAAGCGGGGACACTAGGGAAACAGGAATAAGGAACGGCTGCCTTACCGTCGGCGATAGCAACGAGCCAAGCCTGTTAGGGTTAGGAGGTCTCAGCTAACGAGGATACTACTACAGAGTGGTAGTTTGCCTATAGGCGTACGAAAAGCCAAACCTTCTAAGATCCGAAAACCTCAGAAGTCCAATTCGACGCTACGGAAGGACCGAGCAGCCATACGAACCTCTGCGGTCAAGGCTAAACTCAATAGCAAAACCGAACTTCCGCTTCCTCCGCAGATATTCGCCGTTTAACCTATAACGAAACCTACAAACTTAGCGGTGCGGCTATCGGAAGTGACAGCGAAGAGACGTCAAGTTCGATTTAATACCCCTACCGAGAACGATAATGTCGGAGTAGCCAGGGCTAAAGGAATGACTCCAGAAGGCGCATCTAGAGAGCCCTCCTCCCGGCGTATTACCGAGTACAACTTCAGACAGTTAACTCGCCAGACGAATGCTGAGAAGCTTAGTATCACTTTCTATATCTACGAGCGGGATAAGTAGAAAGTGGCTAATATCTTACGAATCGATCCTTCTAGGCTATCAGAACTAGAGCGGACAGTGCGGCGATACAAGGGACGGGATATAGTCTTATATAACATAAAGATACGAACAGTTAGTGTAGCATCTAGCTTCCGAGCGGCGACGGCAGATAGTGCCAATATACTTCTATTAATTCCTCGGACGACGATAAATCAAAGGGATGGACGCCGACCGATAGAACCGCCTCCTATTACTCCTTGGGGGCAATTGTAGCCGCGTCTATAGCATAAGTAGCACATATAAGTTATCTCAAGCCTATTGCTAAGATAAGAGAACATTCTTAAGAGCAGGAGAGTATTGTCTCTTTATCAAAACTAGGACAGTTGACTTATAACCGACTATAGCAGGACGGAGGAGACGAGACCGTTAACCCATAGAAAAGGTCTTATAAATAGGGATTTAGTGAGATTAAGCTAGAAATCCCGTCTTATACTATATACTATCCCGTACCGGCTATCTCAAGACAATGCTAGTCACAAGACCACGGGAATAGGCTACAGGTCTCGTGACTAGTATTATCTTGAGACAGCCAGTACAGGACAATAACGCTCTTATCTTCTCTATTTTATTACATAACTAGTCATGGCCCAGCTCTCCTAATTTTGATAGAGAGATAATACTCCGGTACTCTCGGGAATTAGCTTAAGATAACCTATTCTACAAGACCAGTACAGCACTCTTCAGCCAACGATACTCTCAAGATACTACACTAAGTATTCCGAACACGCAAGCGCCCTTGTTACTTCCATAGCGGAGTATTAAGAGCGTTACTCTCATAATTACTAGTTCTCGCTTTCTAGCATCTCCATCTTCTACTGATATTCGCCCTATAAAATCTTCTCCATCCATATACTACCGCCAATATACCTCTTATGTTGCCTTACTTCAACGGGAGTTAGTAGGAGCTCAGAGCGCAAAAATAGTTTTATATAAATAGTAGCTTATCAAAGTAGGGGACCTTCGAAATTCTTAACAGGCTCGAAACATCTGGCAATCTTATTCCAAAACTCGTAGGGTATATCATAAAAAAGATAGGAACATATCTAGGCAATGATCCTCCCAAGTCTGGATCGCAAGGTTTATGTTTGTGAAGCTGCAGCCATCACCTCTTCCGTCTTAGCTGTGCCTCTCTTAACACGGATTTCCATGGACTCAACACATATATATATGTTGAACTGTTATAGTATTTCTTAAAACAAAATACCAAGAAAGCATGATCAATAATATGAGAGCTAAACAGAATAGCGAGACACATCGAGGGAAAAAAAAACCCCCCTTATATCCTTCACATCAATTCCGCTTCGCCGCCTTAGGTGATCTTCTTGGCTTGCGTACCCTCTTTGCCAGTCTCGATGATCTTCTTGGTTCGGTAGGGACAAATCGGCCCTATGATCTTCCCCGTTTGACCGACTTCGAACCGGCCCCGAGCGGTACATATTCATTAAATACTATTTTAGTGGTTGCTGGTTCGCGTGTAATATTTAAGTATGCAGTTAAAAAGTCAATTTAGCGTTAAGATTCCGCCGCTTCCCCTAAAAACGGACTGGTCGTTTCCTCCACGATGTATTCTAAGTTACGTTAATAACGAACTTTAAGGGGGTATCGTAGAGGCTCACTTTCTATATTATCTAGCCAATATACCAAAACGTGATTAACGCTGCCAACGGTTTGTGGCTCCGATTCATTCTATTAAACGTAAGTCACCGGTGACTCTATAGAGGCTTAAGTCTATATTAGACACCGCTAAGCTAACAGCTCTGTATCTATAGTTCTGAGGATCGGGATAGTCAATATATTATTATTTATATATTTCCGATCGTACCCACTAAGAACGTTTTCCTAGAATTCTGGCATACCTATAGCGATAGTGTCTGCGCCACTCTCTATCCGTGACTGCTCTAAAGAGACTTTAGTCTCATAACCATCATCGGGATCGATAATGATCGGGTTAGCAGCCGGGCACCCTAAAGGAGCAAAATCATCGCTGATAAGGACAGGGTTTGCCCTAGAGCCTTAGTCGGGAAAATCATCGATGACAATCGGATATTCCCGAGCCCCACTCAGGAAAACACTGGGTTAGTGCATCGAAGACGACACTAGGTTCCAACACTGATTAGCAGTTTGAACTAAAAAACCAGTCGAGATCTATCACCTACAAGCACCAAGCACCTTCTTGTCTGCGACACTTCAATATTATTTACGCATAGGAGTGGTTCTTTTGCCCAGGATTTCGCGGTTTCGATATCGGATTCATTAGGTAACCCAGACGCGTAATGCCTCACTTCTTGTGCGATAGCGGCTGAATCCTTATCAACATGAATTATAATAGGATTGGAAGGCGAGCCCGAAGGAGCACGATCATCGCTAACCAGTATAGGATCGGCCGCCGTGCCTGGCTCGGAAAATCTAGGCGAATCCTAAATAACCAGTATAGCCCAGTTGTCTGCTGAACCCGATACTTCTCGGTTGAAGTTAGTAAAATAAAAATACCTCAGTAGGAGATCGTATACTAAGGTCTTCCCAAGATATATTTAAAATATATAGAAGGGCTTTTATAACTAAAGTAACCAGAAGAAAACGGACCAAATCTGCCGTAGATATAGAGTAATTCCGAAAAGTAAGATGATGGAGTACGAAAAGATTATAGAACTTCCAACTAACAACGCGGGAGATCCATAGCTTTATACTTCTTATCCAGCAGTCATTAGACCAGCGGGATGTTGATTCACGGTCCCGGATCCCGGGGCAGACACGTCTCAGCCTCAATCTCACACGCAGAATGTTTCTGCGCGATATATTTAGTCGAGATCTATCTGCTAATCGTTCTATGTCCGATACATAGCGCAGGGGGCAGGCGGAAGAATGACCAGCCTTCTTATTATTATAATCCAATCATTCTTTAGTTGAATACTGTTGCTATTTCCGGAGAACGGCATATCTACGCCTCGTGTCCGCTATTAGATAATGTTCACGAGGCCGAGGGGGCTCTATCCGCTAGTCGTTATATAGCCCAGGAAAGGAGCTGAAACGTGCAGAACGGACCAACATAGTGATAATAGCCCTTTCATTATCTCCGAGTCCGTATGATACTGTTACCGTAGGAGTGAAACCGTGAAACCTTGCTCGCCGGTTCATCTCGCCTAGTCTGCCAATCGATCGAGAAGCTGACGATGTATTACGCGAAGGGAAAGACGCACTCGGTGATAGGGGCCGCGGATGAGCTCTTGGAAGCCAAGAGAACTTAATATTTGCACGCAGTCCGACGGCGTGGCCGTGCAGCTGTTCAAGCCTAAGACCCGTACCAAAGTCTCGAAAAGGTCTTCGTGAAGCTCCATGATCATTGCGAAAGAGTATAGCACCACTGTAGTCGCCTCGTAAGCTGTTGCAGGCTAGGCACCCATCGTAGCAGACTTTCAGCGAGGTCATTGTATAGCTGGGTGCAGGTGACGTTGGCATGGCGCTGACCCAGGCCCGTCTTGAAAAGTCAATGCTGTCCGTTGAGCTTTGTATACCAATCGTTCGTGGCCCATCTACAATAACATGTTTAAAAGAGTACGGTTGGCCGGATGGTGTAGTTGGTTATCACGTGTCGTTAACACCGACAAGGTCCTGGGATCGAACCCCAGTCTGGTCATACTTTTTGGCTCCCTATTTCCCTGCCTCGTTTGGTTAGTAAAGAACGACAGATTGAATGATCCTACCCACCAAGGCCTTCCACGGGTTACAGCTGAGGGGGCCCCAAAAATACTGAGCGGGCCCCAAAAATCGGTGGAATATTACGCCGACTTTTGGGGCCGCCCCCTCAGCTGGGTGCCCGGCTTTCCATGGATGCTAAGGCAGAGCCATTAGTTTTAACTAGTCTGTTCTTATGTAGATATCTCTCGTTTATGTTTGCCTCTATTTCTTCATATCTATTACCAATATAGTCTACTCTTCAATATATTACTGATAGCGGATCCTGCTTGGTATTTAAGAGATGACGAGCTTACTGGACTCAAGAAACTATTCCAAGTCCTCCAAAATTCGTTAAATTCTTGGAGTCTCAAAGAAAGATGCTATGGCACTGGGCTAGATGGGACTGATAACCAGGAAGAGAAACAGAAAAGTAAATACAGCCAGGAATATCACATACGCGACCAGGTTTGTCGAAGAACATGGGTAATTCATGGGTCTTGAAATGCCGCTGGAGCGCATCCTTTCGAGCATAGCAGAACTCTCTTGCTGCTGGGTGAAGTTCTGCACGCCCTAAACATACCGGGCATTGCAGAATCTGCTTAGGCTTTATATCTTCTGATTCCTTGCGAGAAGTGACCTTTGAGGTGGTTTCATTGAACCGAATGTGCGCTTTCAGACCACTAGGCACATGAAGCCTGTGGAGTTCTAACCGTAGTTCCAGAGACCGAATTCGGTTTTGAGTCAACTCATCATCATCAATCTTGTCAGCATCTCTGTTCTGAAATTCAAGATTGGCGAGAGTAATTCTCTCTGGCTGTATTCGGCCGGTATCAGAGGTAAATTTGATTTGCTCCCCTAAGTGGTTGCTCTCAATAATGCGATTGCCGACCTGTCGAAAGAAATCGGCACGAGCATTACTCTTTGCGGAATCACAGAGTTTCTTTCTCCTTGACTTGATTTTGTTTTGAAGCTTTTGCAATTCACCGGAGCGCTTGTCGCCTGACTCTTTAGCCGTTTTCAACTGCCCGTACTCGATGATGAGATCCGTCCGAAGTGTCTTGCATTCGTTTTTCCATTCAATCGTTTTGGTGTCCAATTCGACCGAGTCTTTCTGCGCAGGGGAAGGGCATTGCGGCGCGGAAGGATCCCGCGTTATGCTTGCGTGGGTGGCAAGGCTAAGTAGAGACTTTCTAGCGGGAGTCTCCATAAAAATAGATTGAGTGTCATCCATCACTGAGATGTAATTGGCAAATGTTTTGCCTTGGGTATGGCCCATAATGCGATTCCGCGAATGTTCATCGAGATGCCCTGCCAGGGGATGTTAGTGATTTATCCACTAAGTGGGGGTTTATCTAGTCGTGCTGATATTCGCGGCCGCTCCTTTGCGGTACTTGTAAAGGGTTCCTTTATCTTTAAAGCCGGCTGATTCACTAGCCGCTGCCTCCCACTGTCGCGCTTGATTATATTGAAGGGCACGCTGAGGATCCGTGACAAGAAGACCGGCCTGGTTCCGACTAGCGCCTCGCAAGATAGGAGTTTCCTTGACACTTTCCTTGAAATTGATGGGGGTGTTGAGGCGGTGTTCCGGTATAACGGTGAGGCGCCAGATATCTCGAGGGCATTTGATGTGTTGGCTGTCGAAGGCATTATCGAGAAAAGCATACATAAGTATGTCCTGAATGACACAAAGTCCCAAGTTGTCGTTCCGTTCTGTATATGTGTAGACAGGTCTTTACCGACTTAGTATATGCATCGCAAGCCAGGTCAAACATTTTACTCACGGCACTCCTTCGTTCCTTCGACCCTTGTTCAACCTATGCCTCACCCTCATAAGAAGCATCTGGGAGGTGGGATTTTCGGGGTGTTTCACCATGAAGAGCTCAATATCTTTCCATTTCAGAGCGTCGTTTTCATGGAGATATCCCGACGATTCGATCAAGGTTCCGGGTCGGGCACTTGTTGAAGTCATCATTTTTCTGAGCGTATTTAATTGAAAAATACTTCGCACAGTCGGAAAGGTAATGGGGCACCAAACAAGCAGATGATACGTTGTAAACAAGAGATCATCGATGTTGAACGGAGGTTGCTCGTGCGCGCTTAGTTCAATCTCGTATTGATCCGACAGCGTGCCATTCACGAGCTTGAAAAATTAGTAAGAGACCCCTAGTTTGACTGTTCGAAAGCCTTACTCTTTTGAGCTTCTGCTTGAATTCATAAGGCGCCTCCTGGCTCCTCTCTTGATTACAAAACATGGAGAAGTACCTCGCCAGGGTTTGGAAAGCCGACTTTCGCACAACATTATGTGTATTGAGGTACCAGCGAAGGAAACCCTCAATAAGTCTCAAGCTGAATTTTTCGAGAATCCAGAACCTCCAGTCTGGTGGATCGAGTTGCTCTGTCCATCTAGAGAACTGAGTTACTATTCAGATCAAGGGCCAAAGGTGCGTACCTTTTGAAGTTGTTCTCCATAGTTGCCACTTTTCGCCGGGATCTTGTTGTCATCTTCGGGTTCTGGGTCTGATTCACGGAGAAAGGCATGCGTTCTTGAGGTTTTTCTTAGAAGAGGGCATTTCGTGGTGGCTGGAGACAAAGTGATATAAGGGTGAGGACTACAGGCGGGCAGTTGTACCCAATTTATATTCCCCACTCTACGAACTCATGATAGAGCCGCCCTAAAGTTGTACTATTTTGAGATAGAAGACTAATAGACCTGATTAGGTAAAGCGTGTGCGTCGCGGTGGGGGTGTCGGTGCCGCGTGGAAAGACCATGACTTTTTGAATGAATGCCACGATTTTTGAACGAAACGCCACGCACAACTGTGGTCTTTCCACCGTCATCCCCCAATTATCACGTATCGTTAACACCGATAAGGTCCTGGGATCGAGCCCCAGTCTGGTCATTTTTTGCACTTTTTTTTCGTCTCATTCTTTATAGTCCTTCTGAATAATCAATCTATGTATGCAGTCAATAACAAATTCTTTGTTAGTAAGTAGAAGCCACATTTACCTATATCTGTCGCCAACCATCATCACTACGCCCGTCGTATTGAGCGACTTCTAGTCTCTGTCATCGATGATCAAAGTCGGAAAAGGTAAGTACGAGGCTAGTTATAGAATTCGGCTTATTTCTCATGATTGAGTCTATTATAATAACATAGCCAAATCAGCTCGAACGCTGATTCGTCAAATCATCATCTCCATTATCAAATGCTCTGTTCCCCTTATTGCCATGAAGACCAGTTTTCTCTTGCGACTTCGTCAAATAGAATCATCCAAATCCTTAAACCCATGTGAAGCAGCTCTTTTCTTTTTAGAATTGGGCTTCGATGGTGGCTGTCTCGATGGGTGATCAGCCGGCTTCATAGGACCGGGCACCAATCTCGCATTTTCCTCTTTCTGCTCCTTGGTTCTCTCATAGCCCATATACTTGTCCAAGTTTGGAAATTCCGTAAGGGGATTTTTCCACTTCCTGACATCCACCACCTCGTCTGGAAGGTTGGCCCATGATTCATTGCACCGCACATAAAATCGAAGTTGCTTCACGACCTCCTCGTCGTTCATCAAAGCAGCCGGGAAAACAGTCTGGATTAAAAGACGTTTGTCACCCCTGGCAAGGTCGATATGACTCATTCGCACCACTCTTTCAGGGTCCCATTTACAGCCAGGATCATGAATTCCAATATAATTAAGGATCTCATCCTCAGAGGTACCCCATGACAGGCTCTTCGGCAGCCAGGCATTTGCAATAAGTCTATCCATCGCGGCACTATCTGCTTTAATGACGCAGAACCTTAAGAACCAAAAGTCAGCCATTATATACGTCCCCTAGAGCTTGGGGTCACTGTACCAATCGCCCTCGTATTCTTGGTATTCGCGTGGAACCGGCGTGGTATAGAGGCCGTTTCCGTTCTCCCTTTCTTTGCGATGCATGCCTTCCCAAACAATAGTCTTTTTGGAATTATATAGCCTGCCTTGAGCCTGGATCAATCAATTCACCCATTAGGATTGCAATATAGTGGAAATAGAGGGATGAACAAACCGGATGAACAGTTCGATAGCTCACAATCCGGAGACTTGGATCATTCTCTCCATCCACGTGTTGATCACGTCTAATATGTCTTTGGCCTGGGGCAGCTGCAACGAAACCACTCAAAGCCGTGAGATAAAGCAACCAAAACAACATGGTAAGGCTTGAGAAAGGCATGGTACCGGTGACTTGCATCGAATTGACGACTTTAATACATTGCAAGGCATTTCTTATATAGCTTTGGAAGGTACATTAAATCCCTTAAAAAGTGCCCTGAATCCTCCAGGAAAATTCTGTTTATTCTATGCAACCATGAAATTAGTTTATTTTATTTTTTTCTTGTCAGGTACTGTAGGAATAAATAATGGGGCCAAAGTAGCGCTCAGTGTCTGTGTGGTCCCATCCGCTTGTGGGCCGGATCCGAATTGGGCTTCCTGTTGCCCACCTCTGCCTCAAGGGGGTGACTTGTAGAAAGGCAAAACCTGCATGAGGAATGCATCCTCGATGATCCTTAGGGTCTTGACTGGAAGAAAATAACCTCAGACCCACTGGAGGATCATTGGTGTCAGAAATGAACGTTCCTGCAACAGGGACAATCTTACTCAGTCTTACTCTTCATCAATATAAATCCCTTAAGCCACCGAGTCAAGATGGAAAAGTGATTTTGTTACTTTCTCCATGCTTGCATTGGAGAATTGATGTTTCGGCTGAATGGGGCTCTCCCTGAAAAAATGCAGAATTGGTCGCATCACGCTACGTGTTAATTTAGCATCTTCATGGTAAATCTGCTTCCCTGATCGACAGCCATACGCCGATCCATCTGGTGAGACGGGACCTATCACCAGCGACGAGCCAGGCAACATTAGTTCCTCCAGGGAGTAACAGCCAGACGGACCTTGAGCTAAATGTATTCTTATTCTCCCATGGGTATCTTGTTGCCTATAGATATTTAATAATTCCTTTTCAATCTCTTTTCAAAAAGGAGAAAAATATCATATGGTTACTTTAGTATTAGAGAGGAGAGAATGTTCGCCTACAGACTATATAGCACTTTAAAAGCCCAAGCGCCCCCTAGGCCATAGGGTTTTATGCGTATCAATCCTTGATATGCCTATTGGTTAAATACCAGGAATGTACGATACAAGGATAAACAGCCAGGCTAACTAGAATTTATTGTAAATAAATTGACTCTGGTGGACCACTTCTGCTCGTTTCAATCCATTCATCGACACATCTCCCCATATTGTACATTCACAAGCGCACCAAGACACCCCGATACCTCATCTTCCCCAAGCGAAGGGTCTCCATAGCCAGTTCAACACCGCTCTTGTCCAGTGGGAATGTCATCGTGGTCGGCACAATCCTTTTCTCTGCGGCGAATTGCACCAAACTGCGAAGGCTGTTCCGAGAAGCGACGAGCGATCCCTGGATCCGAACTCCCTTCTGATTCACAGACAACAGGGGAACTGGCGAAGGAGTCAGGTCCACAGTCAGCGGGTAGATCGACCCGTGAATATCCATGAGCGGGATAAGACTAGATGGTATCGAATCAGCATGTTTCAAAGATGTTCTCAAGAAAGGAACAATCACATACGAGGAATAGTCAACACTGGCGCTGCCACAAAGCAAGAGATGCTTCACCGGCTTGAATCCGATCTGATCCTGGCCAGGTCGAAAGACGTGGTACTCGGATGCCCCGAAGTCGAAGGCTTCCTCGCGTTTCGCTTCTGAGCTGGAAAACACAACCACATGGCATCCCATGGCAGCTGCTAGCTTGATGGCCAAATGGCCCAGACCTCCAATCCCCATGATTCCGACGCGGTCGGTCGGACGCACACCGTACTCTCTCAGCACCGTCCACACTGTTGCTCCGGCACACATCAGAGGCGCGGCGTCGGCAGAGTCGTATCCATCAGGGATTGGCACCACACAGCCTGCATCCCAGACGACACCCTCGCCGAACGAGCCAATGTCGTGGTCATGGCTTCCATACTCCTTCTTATTTTCGCAGTATTGATCCCAGCCTGATCGGGTGGCGTGGTTAGTGCATGTTTTCTCAGAGATAGGTGCGCATCTCTCAATATACCTGTCAAACACTTGTCACAATTCCCACACACGTAGTGAGTGTATCCAAAGCCAACGCGGTCGCCTTCTTTCACATTCGTCACGCCTGCTCCAATCTTTCGGACGACACCCACGCCCTCGTGGCCAAGAACTTGCCCGGAGTGGAGGAAGTGCTCGTCGGTGCCGCACAACCCCGAGTGCGTGGTTTGGATGTACACTTCGTTGTGTTCGATGGTGCGTGTAGTCTTATCCGACACAATCTTTCCTTCCTTCGACCCGCGGAAGACTTCAAATGTGACGCTCATCTTGGCAAGCTAGCTCTCTGGTGAAGTTTGGAATGTCAAATGAACTGATGATGAAATGTACTAGATATCTTCTCCTTTTTTAAATCTATCCAACACTATCATGGCTACTCGATTTATCAGCATTTTGCATGAAGAACGTGCCGTTATTTCCGTGAGGGTGCCAATGACGACTTTGCAGAACGGAAGTGGATCAGATCACCATTAAGGTTATTCTAGAGAATTCTCCTCGATCTGTGGGGTGGATACCTATCCACGAGTGAGGATAATGAAAAAGCATGATCAAATTATCAAGAATTCGCTTTTGGTTGTACAGCCGAGGCATCCGAGGCAAAAAATCTTCGCCATCAAAGACCAACGGGAGTGACCCATTGGATCGAGATCCACTGAACCAAACATCGGATAACTGTGCGGCGAAATTCATTCCGCCGAACCCTGAGTTGCACCCGTATCTAATTTATACGCCCCTTTATTCTTTAGTCTAAAAGCAACGCTCTATTGTCTTTTTATCTAAGACGCGTTTATTAAGGGTCTATATAGTAGATTAGGTTTAATTAACTACTATATTATTTTCTTTATTATTGTTAATTAGATAGAGATTATTTGGGGGAAGCTTGGTATCTTTTTGTAAAAAATATTATTGGCAGGGTATAAAACCTATCAATCAGGTAAAGAAATTAATAGAAGAAGGAAAAGGGGGGAAATAGTATATCTTCGTTATTATTAAGACTGAATCTGTTAGGGGATTGGACCAAATTGTATCAATTAATAGTGTATCCTAGGTACAAGAAGGATTCATTAAGAAATATAAAGAAAAGGGGTTATATAAGAGTTAGGGTTTCGCTAGGAGGGCGGTCAGTTTTTACTAGCGAGGTCTTTAGGTCGAGCTTTATTATATAGGACTTCGTACCAAGGTTCCGTAATATATAGCTAGCTTGATAAAATTTTCAAAAGAATGACTCAGTCCACTTTATTCAAACCGCCTTCCAAAAGAACTTTTGCCGATCCTCTTGTCGGTTATAAGAGGCTTATAAACAATGATAATGATAATCATCGAAAAACCCCTCAAATGGAAGATAGAAATAATAAATTTAAGGAAGTAGATTAGTTAGATAGCTTCATGAACCAAAGAGGTGACAAAAAGAAAGTGTCTGAATGAATATTCTATGACTATGGATGTTCTGGCATACCCTAAACAGTTTAGCTACGGGTATCTAGCCAGCGAGTCTTGCGCTGGGCACAAAATGCAGGTCATTTTTGCTCTCGCCGATGTGTTTAGTGTTTTCAAGGCCCCTGTACCGACAACTTCAAATCTTGGTCTTTACAACAGCAAGGTCGACCGTCAAGCTCAGATTTCGACTATTCATCTCAAGCAAATAAATTTGCAGGTCGGCGGTGCTACCTCCAGGTGAACCCAATGGAGGTGCAAATTCTTTGGGTCACAGACCCTCGCCTAATCAAGTGAAAAGGGAATGGGCGTATACCTTCTCACCTGGAGACGCACGGTGCCATGGGCTGAGCAAGGTATTGAGCCAGGTTTGTGGCTTTAATAATAAATTTAGAAATTTATATAGAAACCATTGTCAAAATATTTGACTGCTTTGCCACTAAAGTTAGAAAGGTATATAATTCATACAGGGGGGGTAATAAAAGTTTCAACAATTTTCGCTTGATTTTATATATTAAATTTCAAGTCACCACTTTATAAAACAAAGGCCTAACATAAAAGAATTTATATAAATTAGCTGATTCTCTTTTTGAAAATTTATATCTTAGATATAAAATTCCATATAAATTGATATTAAAGCCTAACGGTAGTCGGTCGGATTATAGAGGTTTTGATTAAAAAGGGATATTACAAAATTGTTTAGTTTTAGAAATACAGTATCTATTTTTATTGAGATACTACAATTTACTTAAAATTTGGCGAGGTACCAGACTTTTGGCCTGTTGTAATTAGGAAAAAGATGGCCATGATATAGAGCCATTTCTGGAATTTTAATCTTCATAGACTCGCCCTGGTAGTATAGTGGCAGTATACTACCTTCGGGTATTCTTCGGAATCCGATTTGTGACCACGCAGATCAAGACTGGTAGTGACCCAGGTTCGAGTCCTGGCCAGGGCCTAGTCCTCCTATTTTTGCCTTTCTTTCCCCCTCTCCTTTGTCACGACTGTCGCTAAACATTGCCCATCTTACAACCAACCGCTCTCATTCCCCAAAACTCCCACGTGCAGCAATCTTGACAGCTATTGACAGCCTAGCCATGGCAGGCTAACGCCCCCGGCGCATTTTTGCGTTTTCGGCCTTCCGATGTGGTGGCGATGAGGTGAAGAATCAACGCCTAGAGAGCCAAGACCTGGCAATCTCCCCCGAATCTTGTACTGGTTTCAAAAAATCATTCTGATCGACCTCCCACACGAGGCTTTTTGCCTTATAGCCTGGAACCTTGGTCGCTCAGATCGCTATCACTTGGCCGTCTCGTCCCGTCGACTGCACCAGGTTTTGCTGCCAGACCTTTTTGCCCATGTGACCCTGTGCCACTTCACCAAGTTGCCCCAGACTGAGTAAGTCAGACGATTTGTCGATGCGATTGTTCAAACTCCCAAGTTGGCCAACCTCGTGCGGTTCCTAGAGTTGGGAACGTTGAGCGAGGAGCCAGATAACGGTATTAAATATGACACGACGCTCATCCTCCCGCTGCTCGACGAAACTGTGTGCGCGGCAGAGCAACGCGCAAAATGGAAGCAGGGCCTGGAAAGCGGTGTCACCGAAGCGTGGCTGGCCCTGCTTATTCCACGGATCACGAGCTTGCGGAAAATCAGCATCGAATGGCCTTCGTGACTCCTAGCTACATATCGAAAATGCTGGAGAGGGCTGCGACAGAGGATCCCCCGATATTCACCCATTCAGAAGAAGCGGACGCGTCGTGGTGGGATACCGAAGGCGCAGCCGACGCGCGTCTCATGCTTCCATTGTTCAAGTTCCCAGCGATGCGCAAACTGTCGGCGCACATGCTCGCCGAGGATCCATGGTGGCAACAAAGAAACACACCGACACCAGTGTCGCCTTCGTTGGGGATCACCGAATCGACCTCGCCGTGTGTGACGCCGGCCAGAATGGGTTTAAGGGCTGGATTGGTTCCTGTAAAGCACTGAGATCTTTCCGTTTTACACACGGTGGAACCGGAATGGGCCAGGAGACGTTTAACCCGCGCGCTCTTCAGTCGCTTTCACTCCAGAAAGAATCACTCGAGTCTATCTTGATCCGGTCCGAGGACTTCTATGACCCAACCGAGACTCAAGAATCTATGGGGTTTGCCGAGATTACGGTTTTAAAGCACCTCTCCATTGGCCTCCAGGATCTCATTGGGATAAACGAGGACGAAGAGCCGATCACAGAGCTCAGAGATACCCTCCCGTATTCGATTGAAACGCTGCATTTCTATGAGTGTGTTGAGCTATTTGGCTGGGCTGTTGAGCAACTTAAGAGCTTAATAGATGTACGACGTATGCCAAACCTCGCTACTTTAACTCTTGAGTCGCCTGTGGCCGAGGACTCCGAACATCAGCAGAGGTTGGACCACTTGGGATATGCATGCAAAGAAGCCGGGATTTGTTTGAATACTATTTCTACAGGCAGATCCAGGGTTCAAGTCTGGGTGGAGGACCCCGATCAGCCTGGCCTGAGACGCATCTGCGTTGGTAGTATATGAATCTATATTGGAAAGTATCCGATGAATTGTAATATTCTATAGACACTAAATATAAGCAATCTCTAAATTCTATAAACACCCGCATGATACCCGCACAACCTCAACTCTCGCCCACCCCAACGGCATGCACATTGAACACATGAGAAACACGCTCAGTCACCACGCCCACTGTGTTCTTGATCGGAGGACAGTGGAATTCCGCAAGGGTTTCGCGCATCTCAGGCTCTTCAATCTGGAGCTGGCGCAGAATCTCTGCAATTGCCGCATAGAGAATCGCGATATTCCCATCCTCGATTTTCACAGCGACCCCAATAGCACCCTCGGCACCAAGCCTTCGCGTTTGGTCTGATGCTCTAATCCCGATTCCATAGCACCCATCCGCCCCGAGCTTGCCAATAAGTGAGCCCCGGAATGCATTCATGAGCACCGTACAAAACCGACCGTCGCCGGCGACCAGTTCAGGATATCGTGCCATAGCATGAAAGATCCGGTTAAGCGTATGTGTTCGCAAAGGAGCTGTCTCTACACTGGTCTGCACTGTGTCTGCAGCCGCAGCAAACCTCCCATACACCCGCGCCAGGTGGTGCAATGGAAAAGCAGGGGCAGGCAGATTGCACCCATCGAGACCCCATTGCGATCCAGACTCCTCGAGACCACAGACATCATCCACAACACGCTTGACGTGCATTTGAATCGGGTGCGTGGACAACTTATAGTCCCGCACATCGGTGCCGAGTGCTCTGGCCGCGGCAATCATGCCGGCATGTTTTTCCGAGCAGTTACTGCAGACAGCAGACGGAGAGTAATCACTCTTAATCCACGCGCGATTCACAGCATCGGATAGAGGAGGATGGCCACCGCAGCGGAGATCCTCTTTGCAGGCATGCGCTTTCGATAGCATGCCTCGAGCGCGCGAGATGTGGCGCTCTTGGCTGCTGTGCGACGTACACATGAGAGCCAGGTCGGCGTCGTCGAGACAAAATTGGTCCATGGCGCCTGTTTCCACAATAGCCAGGGCTTGGGCTGGCTTGGCTGCCGAGCGGGCTAGTGTGACTCGCGCTGCGTCGCCCACAGTGTATTGAAGCGTGCCGCGTGCACACCATGCCGGCTTTCCACGATGCCGCCGAGGTCGGTGACGATGAAGTCGCCTGGGATGATGCGGCGCATGATTGTTTTTGTGGCTGTCAACTGGCTGTCATTTTGCTTCTCGGGAGATTTTGTCTTAGGGTTTGACGGCTCGGCTCATTGCGACCGGCAAATTCCGACGCAGAAGAATTGACTAAATTGACGGAAGAATATGCCCAGCTGTGACTGATCTCAAAAATAGTATGTTTGTAATGAAATTGCCCGAGATTCGCATTATATCGAGGCCAGTACAGCCAACCCAGACGTAGATATATATAGATGATCAATGTTCACAACCCGCCGTCTAAGATTTATCCAAATGCAACATGCCAAACCCATTTAAAAAAAATGCACAAACGCTGAATGACGATGCTTTCGAATCCAAAAGATGAGAACCAGAGACAAAACCAACAAAGAAAAAACCATGTACGTCAGATAGTGTAATATGCCAAAAAGTTAAAAAAAGTCACCCTAGAAGCTGAACAGACCAGTGCGCTTCTTGCCATAGGGGTAGACGATGAGAGCAGCGATGAAAAGACCAACAGTAATTCCAATGGCGACCTGGATCATGCCGAAACCGAGACTGGCCACTGAGACATCGGACATGCTGCTCGTGCCCGAGCTGGTGCCCGAGTCTTTGAGGTTCTTGCGGACCTCGTCGGCATATTTGAGACCGGCCAGCAAGGAACCACTAGAGGCGAGACCGGACGGCACGAGCACGAAAATACCAGGCAAGATGGCGGTCGCGGCGTGGCCGTGCCATAGACGACTGTACAAATTTCCCAGTACACCGATGGTAAAGGCGCCGACGGTATTCGCCACTTCAGACTGAGAGCCGAGCTTCTTGGTGCTGAAGTAGTTGGTGATGTAGCCGGAAATGGCAATAAACACCATGACTGGCATCTGCTTCCACTTGCCATGGTTGACGATGGCAAGAAAGACGGCGTAGATGGCAACGAAAGGGAATTGCTGTGCCCATTCCGATCCATACACCTCGAGATTCTTGCATTGCGGTTGGGAGGTTGCGTTGGCATCCATTAAACCGTAGACAGTGGTTCCGACTGTGATGCCGTAGCCCAAGAAAAGCGAATAGATGATGGCGTACACCATACGAATCGAGCCAGCGATGATTTGGTGAGATTGCAGTTCCAGACTGCTACACAGAACCATAAAACCAGGAAGAATAAGCGCAATAGAGGATTGGGCTAGAGCCGAAAAGCAGAACAGCTCCTCCGAGACCCCATTGCGAGTAACGCGGATACTACCCAGAGCACGCGCCAGGAACGAGGTCAGCACGGCGGCGGTAACCTCGAAGACGTTGGAGTAGAGGACAGAGCGAGGTGCCAGGACGTGTTGCATCAGCCCGACCAACGCACCAAGACAAAAGATAATGGGCATGTCAATAGGTCGGGCCTTGAAGGCGAAGGGTCCAACAGTCGCACTGGCGAGGCCGTACATCAAGACGAGAACCCACTTGTTAAACCGCGGTTTACGCTGCATGATCTCGTCCAGTTCCTGAGTCGCTTCTTCCACACCGATCAGATCATGGACGACATTTTTATAAACATTGTGCGTGTCGGCCAACCGCCCAAGGTCAACACCCTGGACCATGCGCACGAGTTTGACCTCGGCCGTGCGGGTTGTCGGGTCATCAAAAGACATGATCATGCATCCCGGAAGGTACAGGAATTGACCTGACACCTCGAGGACACGCGCTGTCATTTGCATGTATTCCTCGAGGCGATGGGTCGGGGCGCCGTAGCGCATGAGGGCACGGCACAGTTGCATAATATAACGTTGCCGAGCGAGGATCTCAGCGATGTGCACAGTCACACGGATTTCGTCTTCGAGGCGGGTGCGGCGCTTTGGCTTCTTGGGTTTCTTGCCCGGATGTACCGCATCCGCGGCGGCCGCGGGTAACGTCGGGCGGCTGAGGTTCATAGAGGCGTCGACCAGCGACGAGGTGGACCGGTGAGCGGGTTTCTTGTACCATTTGATCTTCTCCTTGCGTGGGGTCGCGGCGCCGGAGGTCGGCATCGACGGCGACAGAGAGCCCTTCTTCGGGGTGGTAGTCCCCGAAGACACCTGAGTCTCGCTGTCCGAGTCATCCGTGATCACACTCTCAGGGCGCGACGAGCCCGCAGTCTGGCTGGCTTGTAGCTTCAGCAACTGGGACAGAATGCCACTGCCGCCGCCGAAGCCACTGGACCGACGCCGGGTAGCAAAGTCGCGCAGGAGTCCCTCTGGCGTCGCCTGCCCCGAGCGCTGATACGCACCGCGGGGCTTACGCTTCCGGAGATTCTCCTGGGCCTGGGTCATACCGCGCACAAGGCGATGGGCCTCGGCACTGGGCGGAGGCTGGAGCAGTTCCTCGCCGCTCTCGAGCGCACGCAGGCGATCTGCATCTTGACGGGCTCGGCGGGCCTGCACCTCCTCCATTGGAATACCACCCTCGAAATCATCGGGCAGGATCGAGGCATTGAGCGCCTCCCCCTCATCCGGCGGGCGACCGAGGCGCTCCGTCAAACGGACGGTCTTCTGCCGGAGGAGCTCGCCCGCAGCCTTGAACCGCTCGCGCGTCGAGCCCGTCCGCTCAAGCTCTGCCTGCTTTTCAGGGTCGGTGGCATTCAATTCCTCCGGGGTGTGCGCGCTGGCGAGGCCGTGGCGAGCGTAGGTGGGGGCCGGCGGGGTTACGTTCCCGGACAGCGATACATCGCTCAATTGTGCGGCGGGCAATAGTGGGCGATTTGCCAAGTCGGATTGATCGGAAAAGATGCGATGTGAGTCCTCTGGCTGAAGGTATTGGTTACTGTTGGATCGACTGATCGAGTGAAATCGCACTCGGGGCGACCGGACTCGAGGCTCGGGCGAGGGAGGGCCCGCGTCATATTGATGAACATCGGCCGTGTCCTCGCGCTCGAGGCTTTCGCGACTGCCAGGGTTGCCGGGCAGAGGGAATTCGGTATATTCTTCACTGGGACTGGGGTGTGGAGCGTGGATTGGATCCGACATGAGAAACAATGAAGAGGGATGTAGTAGAGAAGAAGAGATAAAAGAAAACGACCGACAGGAATTGCCTGATCACAGAAGAAAAGAAGACCAGGGAATAAAAGGATATCAAGATATTAAGCCATATAAAGAAACAAAAGAAAAGAAAAATAGAGAGAGGCGAACAATCAACGAATGAGTTCCCGGGGAGAAGAGCAAAGAACCACGGCGCGCAACCCACCAGACTTATGGTTCTTTCAATCTCTGGGTCTTTTGGAGATCTTCGTCTTCCACCCATTCTAGCGCCCCTCAAGTCATCTTGATAAGCTGTATGCCATCACGGGACTTTCTGATTCGCAGAGGTTTTCCTGCCTACCTGACGCGCGCCATGGCCCTCTGTGAAAATCCCTGAGCTTGCGCGCCCGGAGAATTCTAGACGGGCGTATGTTTTCTGTCGGCCCAAGGGGTGGGTCGTGGTGGCAAAGGATGACAGTCAGGCCGAGACATCCGTGTGTTTCTTCCATGACTTGGCTGATCTTCTATCCAACGAAGCTAGTTCTCCCATATCTCTCTCTCGACATCTCACAGCGACCACTCATATCCCGTGGATGGCTCACCGGTCACCGCGCGTTATCTTTTCCATAATCATTTCTTTTCCCCTGAGAATGCATCCAGTCTACCCTTGACGATCTCGGGCCCACGCCCAGTCACTTGGCACAGTGGCAGCCACCTCCTGAGCTTGCAGTGGAGTGGAAATCCAGGAAATCCCTCGCAGGAGTGTGAATATTGGCATCGCAATGATCCACTGTGATGGGCTCATGTTGCGACAGGTCTGGGCCGGGAGACCTCGAACAGACCAACCCAGTTTATTGATAGAAAAGCTGGACCCACCGCACACAGCAAACAGGGAGGAACGCGGATGAACATCATTACGAACCGCCCTGGAGGTTGGCAGTCTCGCCACTCTTCGACCCCAAAGTGGACCCAATCCTGAGGGTTGCGGCCGAGAATTGGATCTTGAGTCGCGCGTTGATCAAGTAGATGATTTCATATTTCTAGGCAAGGTATGGTCTGGGCGCCAGGCAAACACAAAACACAAAGCAAAGGAAGACAATCAAAGGGTCATCTCTTTGTCTCGAACCTCTCTCTCTCTCTCTACTCGGATTTCTTCTCAGGGAGAGCCCAGTTGTTCAGGATCCCCACTCCAGTGTTGAGATACGTGGCATATGCCAGCCAGGCCGAATAGGGAACCATCAACCAGAACGCAGTCCGGTCGGCCTTCCACCAATTTGCCATGAGCATGCCGACAGTGCCCGCCAGCAGAGCCAAATCCCCCAGCGCTGTGGCCGGCCGGCCGAATCCGAAAAAGAGGGGCATCCACATGAAATTGAGCACCAGCTGCGAGGTGTAGAGAGTCTGCGCGCTGTGGTTGGCGTCCCGCACGGCCAGCGTTAAGGACTGGGACGCGGTCACAGTGGCATGGTGCGAGGCATAACCCATCAATCCATACAGCAAGGTCCACATGGGCGGGAAGAGCCATCCTGGTGGACGGAATGGCGGTTGGCGGAGCGAGCGATAGGTGGCCTGGGTTTTATTCCCTGCAGAAAATGACATGCGTTAGTGCTGGGATGCACCCAGCGAGTCTTATCTCTTACGGTTGACAAGGAGGGCCACCACATTCCCTGTCGCGATGGGCGTGGCGACCGCCAAAAACGGCGACGCAAAGATAGGCTGCGGGAGGGCGAAAGACCACGGCATGATTGATTGGCAGTAAATATCCGTAGATCAGTAGAGATGAAGGAGGTCACTGAGCAATAAACAAGGGGTAAATCGTCACTTCCCCCCAGATGACCAGGTGACCCTCGGGTTGGGGGCAGACGAAGCCGAAGAAGTCAATCGCGATCGAGTGCGATGCCCTACGTCATCGGATACCTCGGCGCCATCATGGCCTCAATATTCCGGCGTCGAGATAGATGCCTGAGGTGTTGGTGAATTCTCATAACGCGCATCGATGGCCCCGAAGAACACCATGGCAAACTCGCAGCTCGATGAAACCAAATGATGCATGCATTACCGTGCTGTGCAACTCGGATAGCATCAACTCCCTTGCGGGCCAGGCAACACCAAATAAATATCTCTGGCCCGGGGACTTTTTCAACCATGCTGTCGAGACAAGGATGCGAAAGCACCGTCCTCACGAAAGAGGGCGAAAGAGGGCGTCCAGGTTAACATAAAATGCATCAACAGACTGGAGCATCGTGGCCCAGCCATCCGCCTCTACTCATCCTTCTGTCCTGGGATATAACCGGCGACTTTTTGAGGTTCTTATCTTTTGTGATATCCTGCACCACGGACCCCAAAATGCCCCTGCGGCTGCTGTGTCTCCATGGATGGGGAACAAATCAAAAGGTCGGTAGCTACGAGTCCTGATTCTCGGGGCAGATGCTGACCTTCGACAGATTTTACAGTCACAGCTGAGTAGGCATGGCCCAAACATTTAGTGGGAAAGTGATTCACAGAGGTTCCAGGTGGCCTGATGGGCGACCTGCAACGAGATAACACCGCGACGTTCTCGTTTCTCGAAGGCGACATCGACTCCGATCCAGGACCCGGCATTGCTGGGTACTACGACGGCCCGTACTACAGCTACTACCGGTTCCCACGGACCTTTTCTCCCGAGGACAGGGACGAGTCCGATATTCTCGAGGCATACGAGCAGTTGTACGAGACGATCGCCCTGGACGGCCCGTTCGACGGCATTTTAGGCTTCTCACATGGGGGCACACTGACGGCTGGATTCTTGATCCATCACGCCAAGATGTATCCGCACCAGCCGCCCTTGTTTCGGTGTGCTATCTTTGTCAATTCCCTTCCCCCATTCCGGATGAACCCAGGAGAGGACCCGGTCATTGAGGAAGGACTCGAGGGTTATATCCGCATTCCTTGCGTGAACATTGCCGGCGCGAAGGATCCGTTGTTTGACTACTCAATGGCTCTCCATCGGATCTGTGATCCGCGCCAAGCGACGTTCGTTGTACACGGGAAGGGTCATGATATTCCCAATGACCGAAAGAACATTACTGTTTTGGCTGCTGCTATTCGCAAGCTGGCTATCCTGGCGTTGGGGATCTGCTGACATGGGGTATGGAGGTTGGACAGACATGGGTTGGAAAGAAAGGTGGGCTCATTGGAGGCTTAATTGGAAAGGGGCAAGGCTGCAGCATAAAATCCAGCTAATCCCGGTATTTAACCGCTTGTCACCTTAACGGCAACTTATTTTAACAAGGAAGAGGGGGGATATACCCCTTTGCAAAAGAACCGAGAGACATCTCCGCAGTAGCTATACCTTGAAATGTTCGAGGAATGCAAGCTTTACTCTTGAGGACTGAAAGGCCATCTGGTAGTAATACTCTCAGACATACTGATAGCTTTCCTTGGCCTCCCTGTTGGTTCTCATCGCTATCTTCTCATTGATGACGTTCAAACAATGACAACAGACTCACCACCCACCCAAGCCAGCCGCGTTGACCCTGCAACAGAAGACAGAATGCCACAAAATGAACACAATCATAGCCTCAAAGATGCATCTCCAGATGGTCTGTCGATTTTGGACTCGGATTCGTGCATACCGATAGCTATTGTGGGAATGGGATTTCGGGGGCCGGCAGATGCAACGAACGTCGAGAAGCTATGGGAGATGATACTCGCAAGGGGAGAGGGATGGGGCCCTATTCCTGCTGCACGATGGAACGATACTGCCTTCTATCATCCAGATCACAGTCGGCATGGCACAGTGAGATCTAATTCCGCCTGGGTATCAATCAACAGGCTAACAAAACAAATGAAGATAAACATTGAAGGTGGTCATTTCCTTGATGAAGACGTTTCATTGTTCGATGCGCCATTCTTCAACATGACAAGCGATGAAGCAGCGGTATGGTCCGGGGAGTATTTCTGCTAGAGAGCCTCTGTCTAACACGGCATCTTCTTAGGCTATGGACCCGCAGCAGCGACTTCTACTGGAAGTGACATATGAAGGCCTCGAGAGTGGTAGGTTCGCCCCAGCCATCATGATGAAACCGATTCTCAACTTTCACAGCGGGCATCCCCATGGCCCAGATCATGGGTAGCAAGACCGCGTGTTTTGTTGGATCCTTCTGCGCCGACTACACAGATCTTCTCCTGCGCGACCCAGAGAGTGTCCCCATGTACCAATGCACAAATGCCGGACAGTCCCGCGCGATGACCGCAAATCGGGTCTCCTATTTCTTTGACCTGAAGGGGCCAAGTGTCACCGTCGACACGGCCTGCTCTGGCAGCTTGGTTGCATTGCACCTAGCATGCCAAAGTCTCCGGACTGGTGACGCATCCATCGCTATCGCAGCTGGGGTGAATCTTGTTCTCAGCCATGAGTTTATGTCCACAATGAGCATGATGAAGTGCGGATGTCCGAAGGGTCTGTGCTCTCCAAACCGGGCTAATTGAAATGATGCAGGTTTCTGTCCCCAGATGGGCGCTGTTATACCTTCGATGCCAGAGCCAACGGCTATGCCAGAGGCGAGGCAATCGCATGTCTCATCCTCAAGCCACTAGCCAATGCAATCCGAGATCGGAACACAATCAGAGCCATTATTCGGGGCACTGGATCCAACCAGGATGGGCGAACCCCGGGAATCACACTTCCCAGTGCAACCGCACAGGAGGCCCTAATCCGTGACGTCTATTCCAAAGCTGGCCTCTGCCCGAAAGATACGGGCTTTGTGGAGGCACACGGCACAGGGACACAGGCGGGCGATCCCATCGAGATCGGGGCAATAGCTCGTGTGTTTGGGCCTGGCCGTCCTCCTGATCAGCCGTTGCGGATAGGGTCTATCAAGACCAATGTGGGCCACCTGGAGGGGGCGAGTGGCCTGGCTGGTGTGATTAAAGCAGTCTTGATGCTGGAGAATTGCATGTTTCTCCCAAATCGCAATTTTGAAACCATCAACCCTCGCATTCCACTGGATGAATGGAAGCTCAAGGTTTGCGTGCCTGCCGACGCTTGCCAGTAAGCCAACTGACAATGACAGGTTCAATTGAATCCTGAGCAATGGAAGACCAGCCAGCCGCATAGAGTGTCGATAAATAGCTTTGGATATGGAGGAAGCAATGCTCACGTCATTGTGGAAGATGCCCACGGTTATCTCACCAGTCGCGGTGTGAACGGAAGTTCTCGAAGAATTTCAAGTCCCTATCACCAACAATTATCAGCGAAAGACATCGCTACCAACTCAAATATACCCAGAGGTCGACTTTTGCTAGTATCAGGGTTTGACGAGCGATCCTGCCGGGAGCAGATTCGGAAGCTCCAAGAATATGTATCCGACAAACGAAATACAATCAACAATGAGGAAAGCCTTTTGGATGACCTTGTGTTTACTCTTAATGAGCACCGGTCAAAATTCTTATGGAAGGCAGCCGTAGCAGGCCATTCCATTACAGATATCGCCGCATCACTCTCTTCCAGTGTCAAGGTGAGGAGTGCAGTGCGCAAACCCAGCCTCGGATTCGTCTTCACAGGGCAGGGGGCTCAATGGGCGGGCATGGGCAAGGAACTACTTCAAGCCTATCCTGTATTCCGGGAATCCATTGAACGAATTGATCGATATCTCGCTCGCATAGGGGCATCGTTTACCGTGCACGGTATGCAGTCCACTTTGATCTCCATGACTTTTCGACACACTAACATGAAATCCCCGATATGAAGAGGAAATCTCAAAGCTCCCCGAGGACTCCGAGTTGAGCCATCCGCTTCTTAGTCAAACCGTGTGTTCAGGACTGCAGATTGCTCTTGTTGACCTCTTTGCCTCCTGGGGGATATACCCAGACTCTGTCACGGGCCATTCTAGCGGTGAAGTTGCCGCTGCATATGCCGCAGGTGCGCTCTGTATGGAAGATGCCATGGCAGTGGCATACTATCGGGGCGTTGCAGCCAGTCAGATATCAACAGAGCACCAAGCGCGGGGGGCCATGATGGCAATCGGAATGCCCGCCAACGACGTTCAACACTATCTCAACAATCTCAGCTCAGGTAAAGTCGTTGTGGCATGTGTTAACAGTCCTTCTAGTGTTACTGTGTCTGGCGATATTGCCGGAGTCGATGAACTGGCGCAAATATTCAAGGACAAGTCGACCTTTACTCGACGGCTCGCTGTGGATGTTGCGTATCACTCTCATCAAATGGAACTCGTCAAGAATGAGTACTTGGAATCCCTGAGACACATCAAGCCCCGAAGGGATGAAGATACCCCAGGGCACACAGTGCAGAATCGATTACCGTCCTTCTTTTCCTCGGTATATGGAACAGAAATTCAAGCGCAAGAACTAGGGCCTGGATACTGGGTATCCAACCTGCTCGGGAAAGTGAAGTTTGCAGACTCATTAAGGGTGTTGTGCTTTGAAACAAGCACTCAGCGCGGCGGCATAGGAGGAGCCACCGCAAAGCGGACGAAGAGAAATCCGGCACGCAAGGTGAATGTGGACTGTCTTCTGGAAGTTGGACCGCACTCGGCACTCTGCGGCCCTATTAGACAGATTTTCCAGGCAGATACAAAACTAAATACCGCCGAAATCGTGTATGCAAGCGCGCTAGTGCGCAAGGGCAATGCAGTCACGACTGTTCTCAATGCTGCCGCGACGCTAGCCTCGCTGAGCTACCCACTCGACTTGAACGCTATCAATTTTACAGAGAACCAAAACCACAGACCCCCACAACTACTTGTGGATCTGCCACCATATCCCTGGAATCACACCCGGTCATACTGGGCTGAGCCACGGTTGAGCAAAATGTATCGAAATCGAGGATATGCCCGCACGGATCTACTCGGTGCCTCCGACAATATATCATGCCCCTTTGAGCCCCGATGGCGGAACCACATTCGAGTGTCAGAAGTGCCGTGGTTGGCCGAGCACCGAATTCAATCGAATATTGTGTTTCCTGCCGCAGGCTACATAGCCATGGCAATTGAGGCATTGAGGCAGCTCACACAAGGCGAAGGCAATGTTTCCGCATTTGTTTTGCGAGACGTCATGATCAAATCTGCTCTAGTGATTAATGAGCTATCTGCGGTCGAAACTATGGTTTCACTTCGTGACTCTAAGGAAGTTTCAATGAAAGGACTAGGTCAGATGTACCAGTTCCACATTTACTCTGTGACGGAAGACAACAGATGGACCGAGCATTGCACAGGCCAAGTTGGGAGGCAGAGCAGTTTCAGCCTAACTGATGAAGCTACCAGCGACGATGCAGACGGTTTTGTCATGATCCCTTCCGGTACAGAAGTTCACGGAATATCAGCGGTGAACGTCCAGCAACTGTACGAAAGGCTCCATAATATTGGCTTGGAGTACGGCCCGTGTTTTGCCAATTTGACTGAAGCGCACGCTAGCCAGGATGGTGCATGCTTTGCAGAGGTCACCATCCCGAATACAGCAGCCGTGATGCCCATGTCATTCCAGTATCCTTTTTTGATTCATCCATGTACTCTGGACAGTATATTCCACAGTGTCTTCGCAGCTCTACCCCCAAATATGGGCCTCGAGAATGGTCCGCCGATTCCAGTTTCAATCGATGAGATGCACGTGTCCCCCGGGTTGAATGCATTAGCCGGCGAGGTCATGAGTATCTGCACTCATGTCCGACAGGGGTCTCGGGGCGACGTCCTCGCATCAATCGCTGTGGTAGACTGCAACGACAGGCAGTGCGGGCTGGACTCGAGTATACTAATAAGTGGGCTGCGATGTAAACGACTCGAGCAGGAGTCGGGGGATACTAATAGGGCAAAGGAGACATGCATAGCCTACAGGATCGACTGGAAGGCAGACCCAGAATTTCTCTCGCAGGAGAATATCTCACGGTGTTTTCCGCAACACAAATACGAAAAAGTGAAATCAGCGCCACGAAAGGATCATGAGGCGTGTGCCGCATATTTTATCAGACGTGCACTCGGCGACTCCAGTGAGCCAAGCGAACAAAAGCCGGGCCCTAGATCCTCTTCGGCATACATTAATTACCTCAAAAGTGGTCTTCAGATGTATGATACATCTCATGCAAATGCACACGACCTTTCGATTGAAAACGTTCGGTCATCTGGACCTCTGGGGGAGCTTATATGCACTATAGGCGAGAACCTCGATCTTATTTTGCAGAAAGGCAAGGTTGCCAGCTTGATGGAAAACCCCCATCTTTGGGATGCGTTATGGGAAAATCTCTCAAATGGCCTGGGATACCAAGAAGCCGTCGAATACCTTGATTTGATAAGCCACAAGAAGCCGGACCTCTCCATCCTCGAGATTGGAGTTGGAACAGGCCAAGTGGCCAAGACCTTCTTAGAACGTCTTGTCAATGGTGTTGCCGTTCCTCGTTGCTCGAAATATACATTCGTTCATGGCGATAAATCGATTCTCGACCACACCAGCCAATCTCTGGAGCAATGGGCAGAGCTGAGTGAGTGCAAGCGGTTGGATATGGAGCGCAATCTCCCCGAGCAAGGACTAAGTGATCATTCATACGACGTCGTTGTTGTACCAGATGGGCTGTACTCAGTGCGTTCATCTCGACAAACACTGCTTTCGATTCATACTATCCTCAAAGAGTCGGGCACTTTAATGGTGATTGACCCTCTACTCAGCACACACAATGTGCAGGATGCTCTTCTGTTGGGCGCTTTACACTGCTTATCTGCGGACGAGCTTCATTTGAGTGATAGAGGTGGCTGGAATGAAAGCCAATGGAATGAAATGCTTCGCGAGGCACACTTCACCGACCCAGATATATTCAGTCTCAATGAGCAAGAGAGTTCCCGGCTGTTCATTTCCAAGCCTCATCGCGTTCATAGACAACCCAGAAGAAAGCTTTTGATCATACGAGAAGAGAAAGATTGCGGTATTGCCGTTGATATCTTGCAAGGGCGCCTTGTGGGCTGGTCATTCGAAGTGACTGTCACTGACATTGCTCACGCACAAGCAGAAGGCCAAATATGTCTTGTTCTCAGCGATTTGCAGGTTCCTCTGCTAGATCACTTTGACGAAGGTACCTTAGCAAAGGTCAAGGATATATTCTTCCGCAGTGCCGGGGTCTTGTGGGTAACCAGAGGGGGCGCAATTAAGCCCACTGACCCACGAGCAGGGTTGGCTACTGGCTTCGCAAGAACAGCACGATCTGAGTCGGGCGTGAGTCCGATCATCACGCTTGATCTCGACTCTCAGAATCAACTGTCTAAGAAGCGCGCCGCTGAGATAATTGGAGATCTCGTCGCATCACGCTTCCTCTCCGAAGATGCATCAGGGAATGACACAGAATATGCCGAGAGAGATGGCTCAGTCCTAATTCCGCGAATCACGGAAAGTGTGAAGGACAACCAACAGATCAGGGCATTTAGCGAGCCAACAACCGTTGTGGAGCAACTTTTCAGAGACCGCGACCAGCCTGTTCGTGTCCCAAAAACCGATAGACAGCTCGTTATTGTACCTGATACGCAGATGAGCGAACTCCCTGTGGGCTACATTGGAATTGAAGTCCATGCCTTTGGCCTCAGTGAACAAGATGCTCCCAACAGTTCCGATGATGTTGAATCAGAATCAAATCTAGGACTGGAATGCAGTGGAATCGTATACAACATGGGCGCAGGGGTTCATGGATTTTCTGTGGGGGATCGTGTTGTCTGTCTTGGGGTTGGGACAGCAAGAAGCTATTACCACGACCGAGCCTCGGCGTTTCAGAAGATCGACGACGATATGCCATTCGAACTGGCGGCGGCATTGCCGGTGGCGTACTCGACTGCATACTATACAGTCGATTATCTGTCCCGGATCGAATCGAATGATGCGATACTGGTCCATGACGCAGCCAGTTGGTGTGGGCAGGCAATAGTTGAAATGTGCCGCTTGCGAGACGCCCAGATCTTTGCGATTGTCGAGAACCCCGATCAGAGGACACTGTTATCCAGCAGATTTGCCATTCCAGAGAAGCAGATCTTCATTCAAGACATGGACGACTTTGCTCGAGGAGTCTTGCGATTGACAGGAGGGAAAAAGGCCAGCGTGGTGATCAGCTTTGATGATGTCAAGGAGCAAGACTTCCTCAAATGTGTCGCTTCATTTGGTCAATATGTTCAGCTCCGAAGGCACGACACGCCGCATCAAGACACGCCTTGTCTATCGAAGAATATTTCTTTTTCGACTTTCAATCTGTTCAAGCTTCGCAAGGAGCGAGGCGACCTCGCAGACCAGATATGGTCTAAGGTCTTTCGTCTATTCCGTGAAGGAAGACTCCGGGGCCCATCCTCGACAGTTGTATACACAGTTGACATAGTCCAAGAGGCGATAGATGCAATTGCAACAGAAAAGCATGTGGTAGTGACCGCAGGAGCTGACGATATTGTCAAGGTATGATCTATTCGAACCCCGACAGACCTGTTCTGATTTCGTCCAGGCAACCCTTCCGAAGATTTCTCCGGTACTGTTCCAAAGCGATGCCTCATATCTTCTGGTTGGTGGCCTGGGAGGCATCGGACGTGCAATCGCTTTGTGGATGGCGGAGCATGGCGCTCGGAGCTTGGTGTTTGTTAACCGAAGCGGCTTGGCAAAAGAAGATGCCAAATCAACGGTCAAGGAATTGGAAGACAAGGGGGTTCAAGTGATGGTGCATGCGTGCGACATATCGGATGAGACACAAGCCCAGCGAATGGTCATTGACACCTCCCGCTGTGCGCCTCCAGTGCGTGGAGTAATCCATGGAGCAATGATTCTAAAGGCAAGCAAGCTGCGAGTACGGCGAAGTGAAGATGGTTCCAGCTAACTGGAATACAGGACGTCCACATCGAAAGAATGACGGCAGAAGATTATAACACAGTGTTAGGCCCGAAGTATGCCGGAACATGGAACCTGCAACGACACCTGCCACATGACCTCGACTTTTTCGTCATGTTGTCTTCAATCAGCGGTGTTATTGGAAATGCAACTCAAGCTGCCTACGCCGCCGGGTCCACCTTCACGGACTCGTTCGCCGCATACCGGAATGCGCTGGGTCTCCCAGCAGTGTCCCTGGATCTTGGGACCATCACTGACGTTGGGTATCTGGCAGAGAACAAAGATCTAGCAGCAAAGATGGCAAGACAAGGGTTCCAGGGCACTGGAACGTCAACACTGCTATCACTCGTTCAAGTCGCCATTTCCCAATCACGGACGACAGACACAAACTCGCAGATTGTGACGGGACTGGGCGAATGGAAAGCAGGCGAGTCACTTGCAAACTTTGAGGCGCCTCTCTTCTCCCATTTCCGTCGCAAGTACCAAACAGATACCCAGATGGACGTGCGGGATGATTTCGTGCAGAAACTACGGGATGGACTAGAGGCCGCGAAAACGATGGACGACGCCACATCGATCATCTGTGACGCACTCAGCGCGAAGATTGCTTCGCATCTGGCTATCGCCGTTGAAAGTATCAACCCCTCTAATTCGGTTTCTGAATACGGCGTGGACTCCCATGTGGCGGTGGAGCTGCGAAACTGGATATCCAAAACCATGGGGAATAGCGTGCCGATTTTGGAGATACTGGCAAGTGGCTCGATGTTGGATTTGGCAGGGAAAATAGCAATACAGCAACGCCGATGGACAGAGGAAAAAGAGTGACAGACGTTAATTAGCAGAATGCGCATATATATAGAACTGGTAGTCATCGAATATTTCATCCAAGTCATCTTTCAATGTCATATTAATCGATTAAATATAAGTTGAGTTGAGTAGATACAAGACGCAAAAAGCCATAACACACCTCGCAATGCCGGTCTATACAGCAGACAAGAACATCTATTTATTCGTTTTGGCTGCTCAAAAGGAGCCGTTCATTGGGCCTTCTTCGAGGCCTTGGTCCGCAGCTTCATCAACAAAAAGACGAGAGCATACGAACTCAGGACGAAAATGCAGATAATGGCAGCGTCACGCCATCCATAGTAGTAGTCCTTGAGATTGAGCGTGTAGAGGTAGTCGCTTCCCTTGCGGTACTGACACACCTCGCAGCCCTCGGTCGCACCAGGGTTGATGAGGTTCATGCGCGAACCAATCGTCTGCATGAAGGGGCCGAGGTACTCGCCGCAGGTAGTTCCATTGGGCGGAGTGATCAGGGCGAACTCACCCTTGGTACACTTGATGTCTACATCAAAGACATCGAAGACCAGGATGCTGCCCATCAGGTAATTAAAGGGATTCAGCCAGTAGATCCAGTAGCGCCAGAAGGCCTGGATCTGTTGGTACGGCACAAGAACACCGCAGAAAGAAACCAGGGTTCCAATGACCACGGGATTGGTCAAAGCCGCGAAGGTGGCGTTGGGGGCATAGGCCGAGATCATCTGTCCGATACCCGTGTACAGGAACTCGTAAGCGAGCATCACAAAGAAAGTGGCGCCGGCCTTGTCCGAGGCGCTACTGAATCCAACAGTGTAGTACCAGCAGACAAAGTAGAAAACGGCGCAGAAACAAAGGTACGGAAATTCCGACACAATGAGCGCGGTCACAAAGGCCTTCCAGGAGTACATCTTGGCCTTCTTCTCGCGTGTGTCGTAAAGGTCTCGTCTTTCGATGAACAGAGGCTGGAGCTGGTTGATCACACCGGGGGCGACGAAAATGAAGTTGAAGATCGTGAACAGCCGCAACTGCAGGTCCCCAACGCTATCACCAATCATCCAAAATGAAAATCCATTGAACAAAGCGGATCCGATGTGCAGGGCGATTTTGTTGTTGATGTAATCGGTGTTGCGAAACAACGCGGTACTCATCCGCTTGGTCACCAGCTTCATCTGCTCTCGGAGCGGCGTAGCAAACTCTCGGCCATCATCAAGGGTACCGGGGGCTGAGAGGCAGCGGTGCTGATGATGCCATCTAGCTCCTTGACCACTTGAGTGTGCTCGGGGGATTCCAGCCAGACTTGATTCCAGTCTCTGCCTTGGCTCAGATGCCCAGAGACAACGTCGATCATGTGTTCTGCCGGGTTGGTAGCCGAAGGGCAAGGGGTCCCGTAGCGCTGGAAGTAGTCCTTGACTGTCTGGCCATTGTCGCCAATGTCACCAAAGTACACAGTTTTGCCGCCCTTGGCCAACAGTAGGAGAGTATCGAATTCAGCGAACAATTGTGCCGAGGGCTGGTGGATCGTGACCAGAACAGCCTGGCCCACATCGGCCAGCTTGCGGAGGAAACGCACGGTGTTGTAAGCACTCTGGCCGTCCAGACCGGAGGTGGGCTCGTCCAAGAAGATCAAAATGCTGGGCTTTGAAACCAACTCGACGCCGATGGTGACACGCTTGCGCTGTTCAACACTCAGCCCGGCGCCGACGTATCCGATCAGAGTGTCGGCGAGGTCATGAAGCTCCAGGAGGTTGATGATAGTGTCGACATATTTCAACTTCTCCTCGCGGGGGATGTGGCTGGGCTGGCGTAGCAACGCCGAGAATTCCAGGGCCTCGCGAACGGTCGCGAAAGGTTCGTGCACATCAAGCTGTTCACAGTAACCGGCTGAACGTTGGAAAGATACGGGCAAAGGTCGGCCATCAACCATAATGGAACCTCGGATGGTGCCTTCGGTCTTGCGCTGGGCCAGCACGTCCAGCAAGGTGGTTTTGCCTGCACCGGATGAGCCCATCAGGGCGCCGAGCATACCCGGCTTCACCCATCCATGAACATTGTCCAGCAGCACGCGGTCACCCGAGGGTGTCTTGACAGTGTAGGTTAGGTTTTTCCAGGTGAAAACCGAAGTGTTTCGAATCAGCTGGTTGTCGATGTCCTCGGTGTCCTGACCCGCCTCGGAGGGTTTCTTGGACTTTTCCTGCACCTGAGATTCCTCATCAGTCTTGTTGACCTGGCTGTGTCGGTTAAGACGCTCGCGGGGAATAGCAAGAGAGTTTCCGCTCTCCGAAGGGGATTGCCATCGTGAGGTGGCAATAATCGTGACGACGACAAACAAAAACCAGTACGCCCAGACAATGCCAAAATTCCGCCAGACATGGGAGTGGCTGTAAGACAGCGATGCCAGGTAGGCCTCTCCAGTAACTGTGGTCTCTCCTGGGATAGCTCCGCCGACGCCAGCGCAGGACTGGTGTTGAGGATTAGTGTATCCCGGGCCCTGGGGGATAATGTTATTGCCAATGCAAGGAATAATTTTGCCTTGGAACTCGTTGGACAACAGCGATTCAAAGCCGTAGGACAATGGGTCAATCCAGTAGATCCAGCCCAGCCACGGGTGCATCTGGGGTCTTTGAATCATATAGCCGGTATACATGATCAAGGCTGAAATCAAAAATCCAGAAACTTTGGACGCGCCGTCAAAAGTTGAGAAGAGTGCACCGACGGCGCGAAAAAGAGCAGTTGTGCACTGTTATATTGTCAGAAAAAAAAATACAGAAAAGGAGACAGAAAGGCCTTACCATTGTAACTGCGAACACCATGATCCAGTAGGTGAAGAATGTGGCCGCGGACATAGTCAAGCCAACCATGAAATAAACCACCAACGCAAACATGCTGATCTGGAACAGAAGTACCGGAATATCGGCAGTGAGCTGGGCCAGACAGAATGCTGCGGGGTGGAATAGAGCGAATCCCTTGTGCTTGATGAGGACTGGTCGGCCACTGAATGAGTCCGTGACCTCGGACATCGCCAGCAGACTGTGGTAGAGCAAAGAGAAGAAGAGAGCACCAGACTTGATGAAAAGACCGCCAGAGTTGTTGGGGGCATTGTAGAACAGAGAGCCTGCAATCAATGCCTGGATCAGAGTGGCAACCTGCTTGATGATAAACGTAGCCTTGTCACCCCATAGGATCTGATATTGCCGGACAATGCAAGCCTTGATCTGCTCCGTGAAGCTGACTGTAAAGGGGCTGTGTTTGGGAAGTTGGTTGGAGGTTTCGAAGGCCACACCGTCTTTGAAATCCTGGGTTCGTTGACGGGCGAGGTCGGAGTCCGGGTAGTTGTACTCGGCGATCATTTGTTCGTGGATGGGTGAAGCCTCGTATTGAGCTCGCAGCGCTTCCGCATTCCGGGGGAATCGGTTCTCGTAGCCTTCGCGAATCCGTCGCTCCGTTGGGACAGTAACACCTGTCAAAAAGTCGGCCACATTGGATCCCTCGCGACAGATGAATCCGGCCTCCTCCATGAAAGGCCGGGCTTGCTCCCGGGTTCCGTAGAAGACCTGCTCGCCCTCGTCGAGAACCAGGACTTTGTCGAACTGCTCGTAGATTCCGTTGCCGGCTTGGTACAGCGTCACAATTGTCGACAGACCCAGGGTGTCAGTCATGGCGCGGACGGCCTTGGTCCATTCCAGCGCGGTGCTCGCATCCAATCCACGGGTACTATTATCCCAACAAAAGACAGAGCCTCGCGTGGCCATACACTCGATGATGGAAACACGCTTGCGTTCGCCGCCAGAGACACCGCGCACGAACTCATTGCCCACTTTGGTGTCTTCAGTGTGGGAGATTCCCATCGACTCGAGCAAGAAGCGTTTAGTTTCCCTCCGATAGTCTTCAGGGGATTTGACACCGTTGGGCAAATGGAAAGGAACCTTGAGGCGTGTGGCAAAGTCCATGGTTTGGCCGACGGTCAACGTGGGAAAAAACAGTTCTTCTTCGGTGTTCATAGCGATTTGGCCTCGGTACTTGCTGGCCTCTCGATGAGTCAAGGAACCGAATCGAACATCTCCTTCGATGGACTTGTAGCCTAGTCGGCGGTTGGCCAACATCTTCAGCAAAGTTGTGCATCCCGAGCCCGGGCGACCCAGAACCAACAACATCTCGCCGGGCTTCACACAGCCATGGCTGTTTCGCAGGATGGTGCGCAGCGGAGCCTTTTTGCGTGACTCTTTGATATGCTGAGGGATGTTGAACTGCGACAAGGCGTTCTCGTTGATCGCAGCCTCGGCACTAATCACGTCGACGCTGAGATTCTGCCAGGTGACACCCAGTTCCTGGCGTTTGAAACCAGAGGCCAGATCTCGTTCATGTTGTTGCTGGATCTGGGACAAGAGACTCCACTCGTTGGTTTGGCTGGCAGCAGGGCTGTCCTTGCGAGGGGTCTCATCGCCGGTGATGGTTGCGCCACTGGCGGTTTCATCTTTGATATCGACTGGCCCTGTCCAGGACAACGAGGGTTGGTCAGATCCCTCCATGATGGACAGTAGATAAAGAGGCAAGCATCTAACAGACTATGCATCATCAGGGGCGACCTTTTTCTTTTATGTAAGTCCGAATCTTTTCTTCATTCAATGTGGTGGGTCCATGGAGAGATAGAAGGCTCCGAACCTCCGACCAGCGCAGATCCATTCGGGATGGTGATGGATTTTGGAGGGGAGACCAGGCCCCGAGTCACGCTATATTTTCATTCAAAACATACTCTCAGACCGATGGATGGCTCACCCTTGGCGTTTCAAGCCAAATGTTGCAAATGTTGGTCTGATCGGAGATCCACATGGCGCACCCAAATCGGCGTCGAGTGGAGCCCCGACGAGACGAACAATCCCTTCATGGGCTTGGAAGTTCCGTTGCCTCCGCTGAGTCATGTCTAGGACCAATCATATCCTCTCATCACAATAACCCTGCGCGCCTTGGATCGGATGGTCTTCACCGCGTTTCCTCCCTAACTTCATCCAGTGAATTTCTACTGGCCTTGACAATTATACTGCCGAATTCGAGGCGTGTATGGGCATTCTACCATGGTTTATGCGTCTGTCAACCGTGGTATTGACAGATATAATGACTTTTGGACCAGAGAAAGGCCTTCTATTAACTTAAGAATGTTCATGGTCTGCCTGAAAAATAAGGGGTATTAGGGTAAAGGAGGGTCGGGACAGGTCGGCCTCGGCGTTTGGCTGCTTTGGTGCATTTGATAACTCAATCACTCGGACCCTCAGCAACGCGAGCACCGACATGGCCCACCCTACCCACATGGCAAAGGTGCAACAATCTCCCCGACTGATCCACTCTAAAAATAATCGCCTGGAATTGGTCGGGATCCGAAAATCCGCCTAAGAGTCTTGTACAAAGACTCCACTAGCCTATATACGCATGCCATTGTGGGAACTGTGTCGGTATTTCTTAGTTTGATTGGTCTCCAAGAAACAAGGGGGGGGGAAGGAAAAATAGGAAAAATAGGAGATGAAGAAGTGGTTGTCGAGTTAGTCCCAAACGAGTTAAAAGAACATCTCCCTGGCCTCAGCCAAAGGCCATGCCAATCAGGGACACAATTTGTGAAAGATTTAAGAGTCTCTGCTCCGGCACTGGTTGCAGACCTCATACTCCATCCCATCCAAGTCAACAAAGTCTGGTCGGTCCATCTCATGCTGTCCTCGGACGCAGTACTTCTGCTCGTGCTGCAGGCAGTATATGCAAATGCACAGACCATGTAGCCGGACGCTGCGAGGAACTTGGCAGTGGGTGCAAACAAAATGGAGAGGCAACGAACCCATCGGCATCGTCTCTTCACCGGTTTCAATGGTCTGTGTGCCCATCGAAACTCGGGAGGGTGTGGGCACACTCACCCGGGTGAGAATGGGCTTGATGACATCATCTTGGGGCTCTTCGACGACTGTCGAGGCGGTGCTTGATGACGAAGAAGTTGGACATTTGGTATTTTCCTCTGGTGGGGGTGTTGTTGTGCTCATGGGATAGAAGGTCGGCAAGAAGAGTGAGTATGACGGGTTGCCTATATTCAACCGTAGAGTCAGCAATCTTGTATATCGAAAAGCAGAGCAAGAGCAGTAAGATGATAGTATGGGTACCCTTTGGGGCAGGGTCGACTGTCTTTTGCTTATTTTGCGACGGTGATTGCTGTTTCGAAACCAAGCCCTTCTTTCGACGCTATGTGCAAGTTAGCAATTGTCACAAACCTCCAAACTCCTTCATCATGGGATGCTCGTAATTGGGAAAAGGCAAAGACAGAAAACCCACCATTCGACTTCTATTTCGAAACCGCAGACGACACTGAATGCACATTCGGAAAATATGGGACTTCCCAGGGGAGCGATAGTCAGCTAGGGGGTATGACTTGTGGCAGGTAGAACAAGTCTTCATATCCATGGCCATAGTAACGGAGTATGGCCTGGAGGTAGTAGGGAAGCCCCAAAACGAGTGTATTGGAGTCGTGGACGGCCAAAGGGGAAAAGGCAGTAGAGGGTATGCAGAACATCAAGGGGGCAGGACTTTGCCCCGCCGCCAGAGGGATAGAGGGATAGCAATAGAGGGATAGAAGCGACGGGGGAGCAACGTGAAAGTAACGTGAAAGTGACGGGAAAGTGACGGGAAAGTGACAGGAAGATATAAATATAAACCGGTAATTCAGGATAACACCCAGAATCGATGTGGTTCCCGTGGGCTGTTTTTTCCATAAGTGTTCAGCTGCAGCGCATAGTAGGATGGCCATCAAGCAGAGCAGGCTGTTGATAGATTCATAAAGTTACCTACCCATATTGCCTACTATACTAGCGATACCTTTTAGTGAAGAATCTATATTCACTAGTCACATATTTATATTACATAATTCTCTATTTTTCTTATGCGTTAGTCCCTCCTTGGCACTATAAAGAAAATCTATAAAGCTTGAAACGAGTTGCACTATCTACTAGCTTATCCATCAAAAAAATATCTTTATTAGAGTCCCTTTTGAGAGAGAGAGAAAATGTTTCCTCAGCGCCATGTACAGTTATTCCGAGCCCTAAGTAAAACAAGAACTAAAGAGTAGCTCTTACTCCAATATGAGTCCACGCTATGAAGCCACTTAGGCCAAGCCAATGTTAACGGCCTATAAAAAACCACTAATTTATCTTGTCCTTTCTATTCCATTTCTGTGCTGTCCTGGCTATGCTATTGTCCAGAACCTTCGCAAGCCACATAATTAACCAGTCAGAATTACCGTTTTTAATATTATAGATATATCGACCTCATCCGAAACATCCTTGGGTATGTCTATGACTAGAATTGAAGGATATCGCCCTAGAAAAGTGAGGTTCTAATCCTTGCTTTAAGTATAAGTAAAATGTTGAAAGATCTCAGAAGATCTGCCCAAAGTGAATATGTAGGCTTTTTAGCTGGATGGGACTTCAACTTAAACCGCAATTGCTGGCACCTGACTGTAAAGCGATACTACACAAGGTAAGAGTATGTAGATAGACCTATCCTCTATGTTCAAAGTCGTAACATATGGCCTAGACCCTAATTTAAAGATTTATCTATAGATCAACTCATTAAGTTATTATCGGTCTATTTCAAGACTTTTACGGAGTGATATATTCCCAAGTCTTACACCGTAGTAGTTCTCGATCCTCCGGAACACAACCGAATTTGGGAGCTAGATTTGGCCCCCTACCTTGTATATGTACCTAGGGGCCGGCGAGGGATCAAGGACCAAGCATATGGCCAAAACCATACGGATTAGACTCGTTTAGAGATGGTCTGCAGAACCACAGTCGTGTGTCAAAGCATGAGATGCATAAATACGTTGAATATTGAATATCGAATGATTGCTGATGAAGCTGGACTGTTCCTGATTCCTGGTTAAGGCACAGTGGGGCCAAATCTTGAAAGTGCGTTTTTTCATGCCACTTGGATTCGGACAGAAGTGCCCCACTGGGGGCTGGGAAAGACGCTCTCGACATAAGTCCTTAACTCCTTTTATAATATAAAAAATTCTGTCGAGCAGAGATGGCCACATCTCAAGATGGAAAACCAACCCGACGCCGTGGATCATATCCCAAGTTTCCGATAAACTCGCATCAAGACACATCCACTGTCGTGCATCAGGGATCTAATTGACCCCCCTAATCCTTGCCCTAGAGTAGGACTACACGGGGCGTGGCGATGGCTTGACTAACGTAGCGGTGGGTCGAACTTGGAGCCTGATCCGACCATCCTTTCGTTGAGGGCTCTCCAGGGCGTACATAAAAATCGCGTGGGATCTGCTACCTCCCATCCAACGGCCTACTCACAAACTTTCTCCCCCCCCCCCCCCCCCAACAAAATGCGTCTTGTTAATTCCCAGCTCATATTATGGGGTATTTACTCTCTACTGGTCCCTCAAATATCGTCTTTGTCCCTTCCTCAAACCCGTCCCTCCCACGACTTGCAGCTTCCCCAGGCCCATGCAAAGCCGCTTGTTCACCGAAACGTTGCCCACGCGCATTCACTCAAGCGCCGCGAAGATTACGGCCCTCCTCGAAGCTCTCGCTGTGATTATCTTGTCGGGGGTGAAGCTGACTTCGACCCGCACACCTATTACATTTATGATTACTGGGGAGAGTTTGCAAAGGCGCAACTCGACGAAAGAATAGGAAAAGGAGGCCAAGGATCGATTTGGCGGGGACTCCTCATCTACCTCAATACGAAAGAAAATCAAAACGCGGGTATTTCTATCGACAAACCAGAGCCAGTGGCGATCAAGGTTGCAAAGGGAGGCCGGGGGGTCGACTCAGGCCTCATACAAAACCAAATAAACAGTCGACATGTGATGCGCTTAAAGGAAATTTTCTGGTCCAGTAACACCAGGGCGTCGATTCAGGTCATGCAAAGAGGCAGCCACGACCTCATGAGTGTGGCGGAGGAGGACAAACCGTTTGATTCACGGCCGTGGATAACTGCCGCTGGAATGGCCTTGAAGGCTGCCCACCGCAAAAATATTGTTCATCGGGATGTAAAGCCCGAAAACGTGCTGAAGGGAGACGATGGTGTCTACTACTTGATTGATTGGGATCTGGCAAAGAAGGTCACGAGTAAGTATGGTCATGGGAGCACAGGGACGAAATTTCACTTGGGTCCAGGTAGGCTGCACCCTTCTCCGCTCACAGTCCAAGTGCTTATGTCGATATTCAGAGCAGAAGAATGGAGAAAAATATGATGTTTACAAACAGGATGTTTGGGCATTGGCCTGGATGTGGTTGCTGTGCGAAATCACGGGCCATGCAGAAGGAGACGATGCCGAGTACCTTTATGAAGAGCTTACGGGGGGTAGGGGAATGGAGAAGAAGCCGGGATCAGAGGAAGAAGAAGAGGTGCCACCTGGCCTGACAGCCACGGACACCGTCAACCTTTTAAAGAGAAAGGTGGGTAAGTGGGTGGCACCTGCTAAGATACCCTGGATGGCAAAAGGTTTATGCAAGCAGGATCAGCGCAACGAAATAGGGGAGTTTATGGAAATGTACGTGAAGGTGAAAGATATCGAGAACCCAAAAGCTGGGGAAGGAGGGAAAACATAGATGGGAAGGACATGTCTAGTTCTCGGTATCAAAGCATCATCAACATGTATATTCAGATCCACACTGGTGTTGGCTAACTCCAGATCTCTTTTTTTTTCCTCTTTTATTTTCCTTCGTTCCCCTGACATGAACCATCTCATGGAACTCAGGCCCGCAGTTTCATTGACCCAGGAACGTCAAAGCCATTGTGGTTACCACATGGGTTAGGAGAAGAGGAATGGAAGGATTCGTTGCGAAAATACATGCCTGATCATTCTGCGGCACGCGAATTTTGGCGAGATTATCATTGTCTGGTATCTGACTTTCCCGAGAACGAAAGGCGACAGAGACTCTTTCAGGAGTGCGGTATTGATACTAAGATACCAAAAGAAGAGGGTCAATTTGCTCTTAATCGATGAAAACAACCATTCCCCCCAGTTCGGTTTTGTCCATCCAACTATAAACTACGAGCACTTCTGAGCTGCGACCTCTTCGAAGATGAGGTGGCCTTTCGGGTTGCCTGAGATATGGGTCGATCACATCTAGAGTGATCCATTAATTACGCACGAAAATAGGTCGAGTAGAGGTGCTACCAGCATCGAGAACTGCAGAGTCTTGTGTCCAGCGAAGTAAGTTGCCCGCCCTTACATATATCCTATCTGTTATTGATATGGGTTTATAGGCGACACAGACAACCCTAAGTCTATGAGATAGCTACGCAGGCGCTTTATCCGGATTGAAACAAAAATCTCCAACTGTGAACAGTCATAGAGTTACTCTATGGAAATTTCTCGTCATTGCTTGAAGCCCATGGATGCCAAGTCAGTCCACAATTAGGGGGATGTAGATCATTCAGCCCCCAAAACACCCATCACAACCCTTCTCGCGGCAGATTCCCTTATTAGGTGTTTGGTCAATATGAAATAAATATCATCTTTGAAACTTTCTTTTTTGGGTCGCAAATATAATAGGATATCAATGTCAAAAAAACGTGGGGTCAACACTGACCACCTTGGGGACTCGTGTGGAGACAGCATCGACGATAGATTCACGGATTGATCGATTCCAGGGGACACAGTTCTTTGGCTCGTGAGCTCCAGTCAGTAGACATCCCAGCAAAATGACCATGTCTACGCGAAACACAGCAAGATTGGCGGATCTTGAAGTGAGGCCAGTTTCCCGATTAGGAATTTCGTCAAGCGTGAAGTAGTACACGCTCGCGCATCCTTTCTGTTTTGGGGCTAATTAGGGCCACAAATCCTGCATGATCCTTCCCCTGACCCATCGCAGTCCCCACGGCCACTAACGCGTCTTTCTGAGGAAAAGCCGCGGGGCGAGAAGACGATGAATATTTAAACCAGCCCTCTCGGCCCTGGTCTCCGGGTGATTCAATAACACAATCCAACCATGGCTATCCTCTCCAGGTTCTGTATGCTGAGTGCGCTGGCGGGCCTGGCTTCTGCCTGGTTGGCCGGAGACAACAAAGAAATCACCAGCAAAGATAACAAGAATTTGTTTTCGTCTGTTAACAACAAGGTCCGTGGAGTCAATCTCGGCTCCCAGTTCATCTTTGAGCCTTGGCTGGGGGAGAGTGCCTGGAGTGATATGGGATGTAGCGGCCGGGCTTCGGAGTTTGACTGTGTCTCGTCGATGGGTCAGAAAGCAGCCAACGAAAGCTTTGCGAAGCACTGGGGCTCCTGGATCACTCAGGACGACATCAGTGAGATGGTGAGCTATGGCCTCAACACTATACGTGTACCTGTCGGGTACTGGCTGCGCGAGGACCTGGTCGACTCGAGCGAACATTTCCCCCAGGGTGGCCTGGAGTATGTCCAGAAGCTCTGCGGCTGGGCCAGCGACGCCGGTCTGTATATCATCATGGACCTGCACGGAGCGCCCGAGGCCCAGACTCCCAATAATGCCTTTACGGGTCAAAATAACCCTAACCCGGGGTTCTACCAGGAGGATCAGTATGAGCGGGCGCTCAAGTTCCTCGAGTGGATGGCCGAGATGATCCACAGGCAAGACGAATTTCGCAACGTCGGTATGCTGGAGGTGCTCAATGAGCCCATGCAAGACAACGACAAGGCCTCGTCCATGCGGGAGAACTACTACCCCAAAGCGTTCGAGGTGAGTGCTTGCCTTCCTTTCGCCCCTTTTCAACACATACTGACAATTCCTTACAGCGCATCCGCGCAGTCGAAACAAAACTGTCCGTCGACAAGAAAGACTACCTCCACATCCAGATGATGGACAAACTCTGGGGCTCGGGCGACCCAACCGAGCACCTCGATGACCAGTACTACGCCGCCTACGACGACCACCGTTACTACAAATGGGATAAGAGCGTCGAGACAACTCACGACAATTACATCAGCACGTCCTGCAAGGACAAGCGCGACAGCAACTCGCCAACGATCGTGGGCGAGTGGAGTTTGGCCGTGCCCAAAAGTATGGACAAAGCCTCGGACTGGCAGCCCAACTCCTCCAACGCCGACTTTTATCGGAAATGGTTTGCCGCCCAGGTCCACTCGTATGAGCAGGGACAGGGCTGGGTGTTCTGGACGTGGAAGTCGCAGCTCAATGATTATCGGTGGTCGTACCAGGGTAAGTTCAAGTCAGTTGGAGACAGGTGGGAAAAGATGCTAACATGAGTGCAGACGCGGTGAAGGCTGGTGTCATCCCAAAGGATTTCAACTCCTTAGAGGACGTGTGTGGCTGAGGGTAGCGCACCTAATCTATGTTGGCCATTTTGGTTCATTCGTGAACATTGTACTTTGGCCGAATATGTATGAAATCTAGAGCCGCGGCATTGATGGGCCGCGTGCAATGTACTTATCCTTCAATGAACGCACATTTATGACACTCGAGGGAAACATGGTACATTGGCAAAAGCACCCGATGGTATTTCAAGGAGTACGTAGAACCGAATGCCGCTTACACTGTTATACTGCTCATTTTGAGTGAACCTGGTGCAGCAAACTAGACAATAAGGATAAGGAAAGTACACCGTGCACTGAAGGAGACAAATTACTAGCTCACTTCTGGCCACCATACCATTGCCCATAACGGAATGCCCGGGCCGCCTGGTTGAATACTAGCGTCAGCAGCCACCTTGCCCTTTCCGAGGACAATGACCTCAACTTCCTCGAAGCCCAATGACAGGTACAGGTTACGGGAGTTGGGGGTTGTCGCCTCAAGCCAAATTGGCATATGTTCCCTTTTGGCAGTCAGCTGGACATCGCGCACGATAGCCTTTGCAAGCCCTAAGGTGATGTCAGGGATGTGGAACGAGGTGAATGGTCAACAGCGGCGCTCACCCTTCCCTCGATGCTCATATTCAGTCCCAATACTAAAAATATAGTAATAACGCTTTTGACCACGCAGGCCCTTCCGCTTGGCATGATCGGACAAACCAGAGAACTCAGTCCAGAGCCGCTGAGGCAGAGGTTAGACGACCACTCGACTCGATGCAAGAACCCGGCAAAGACATACCATGAGACCGGAGTAACCGATCCTCCACAGGACAGCCAAAAATCCAGCGGACAGCAGTGACCAGACATTATCAATGTACCGCCCGGGTGGGATGGTCACAGAAGCTGCTTTGCACCCCTCGGCCTCGGTGATCACAGCATCATTGAGTAGGGCCGACTTGATCAGCGTCGCCCAGTATTTTGGGAGGTATGCGAGCCTCTCCTCTCGGGGCATGTCAAACAGCATGTACGTGATGACGGGGTCATTGTCAAAGACACGGCCGTTGAGGTTTGCGACTGCTTCTAGCAGTTCTTGCTGCTATTAGAGCTCGACGCCATCAATCCAACCCCTTCGAAAGCTTACCGTTTCGGCCGTGAGTGACTGAAATTGGGGAGTCTGGCATCATTAAGAATAGTGTAGGCTAATTTGCGCATGGAGAATATAAGGATAAAGCACCCTGGTAGCTCGTCGCAGACGTTGGTGGATGTTGAGTGGCGCATCGCATCGCAACCTCGAGTCCCCGTCCTGGCGACGTCATTCGCCTTAGTAAGCGCCTGTCGACCTTGGGAATTGTCGACGTCTTTGTTTTTGCTTCGTGAATTACAGCTCATACCTCAATTAAGTGGTGTGAACAGCAGCCATGATATACCCTCGACCTTCAGTGGGCGATCCTGCGAAGGACCGTGGTGGAGCACGCACCTGAGTCTCTGAGCCAGCTCCAGTGAAAGCTCCCCCCGAGTCTCAACCGAACTCCTCGAATTTTCGGGACGCTTTGTACGCGGATAGCTACCATTTCGAGCCGAGTCTTTGGGTGACCCCTATCGCTAAAGCCTCAAACTACCGCCTCCTGCCGCAGGGAAGGGTCGCTATGGAGACTGCCAGGATCCAGTGGGACAGTGGCCCACCCACACCAAGTCTGGCGCCCCCGAGCTGGGACCCTCGTGCTTCCTTTTGACGAGGACTGGCTGACAACAATTGAACAAAAAATGGCTTAAACCACAATTTGTGTTTCTTCACCTGATACTGCCAATGCCTCGAGTCCAGGGGCACTCTTCGCACACCACTAAACCAGATATCAGACCAGACATCAGAGTTCTAGGGATCGTCGCTGGATACCTGTCAACCAAGCCCACTTCCCCTGGGCACCCGCTAAGCTTGCGGACTACCAGAGCACGCGTCCACTCCCCAGTGATTTCCCTCCCCTATTTACTGATGCCTGCGGGCTTCTGCTGCTCATCCCCAGCGTCTTCACCCACGCCATGGCAGGCAACCGATACTTGATGCATGTCTCCATAGTGAACCTCCAATTTTATTGCGAATCCAACCAGTTAAAACTCAAAATGTCCCAAGACTGCAAATTCATTTCTTACAGTCCCAAGATGCTCCATTGTTAGCGTGGAAAGGATTTTCTTCGCTCATCTAGCGCTGTGGGACCCCCCGAAAATGGCTTGTAACCCCAGGAACCAGCCACCGAAAAAAGATTTTCTACTTAAGGGCCGGGGGTTTTCCAAGTTGAGTCCTCTGGGGCTAGGCACCTATCTTGTTGCGGCATCTGTTGAATCTCCCGGCAAGGGTGTCTGTCTGCAGGGGCAGTCTGGCTCTACTTCTGTACACCCCTGTACAGAGGTCGAATCAAGACGATTATCAGATCGTGATTGGTGCTTTGAATCCTATCAAGAACAGCTTTGGTATTGCTGTCTGTCTCTGGCCTTGAAGTATTGGAAACAGGTGATGCTTCAAGTAATTGGCGCACCACCGCAGTACATCATATCGTCAGAAGTGGGCACAAATATCGCTGGCGCACATTTGAGGCGCAAGGCTGGCATTATGAACATCCCGACACGCAATCGCCGACTAGCAGGTAATTATCGAGGTGGCAATCGTCGGCCAGCAAGTGAACATGGGCGAGCAGGCGATTGTGAGCCAACAAGGGGAAACTACTCGACTAGTCAACATCAGCAATTTGACGAACAACAACCAATCGGTGGACACCGACAAAGGAGTGCGCGGCAGTCATCAACTAGGCGTCAGCAGCCGGTACCTGACAATCGACTAGCAAGTGAACACCAAGCAAGCAGTCATCCCCAGCAATTTGACGAACAACGGCCGATTAGTGAACGCCGACCAAGGAGTGCGCGCCAGCCAGAAACTATCCGTCAGCAGCCCATACCCGAAAATCATCATCGTGAATCACATAAGCAGAAAGAGATACTGCCGGAGCCCGACGAAGAGAAAGTCGTGGTCTTGGGCGAAACGCTTCACAAAAATGGACACCCCCAGCTCACTTACGCGAGGTTGATGGGCCTAGCAAATATCTATGTTAGGTCGATGCAAAAGCTTGACCGCGGTCACAACTTTCCAAAGACCTTGTCGCAAAATTGGGTCAAAGGCTTTTTGCGTAAACGTCCAAAGCTTGCGGCACGTCTGAATATGGGGAAACCCAGGCAAGGAAATGGTTCAAGCAAAGCTCCCAAGGATATGAATACCCAGCTGTTGGGGTTCGTGGATCGATTGGAAGAACTCGGGTCGAAACACAACGTCCAGGCTAGGGATGTCTACGTCCTCGGCGACATCGGCTTTGCCACAACCGTGAGCAAAGAAAGTCAGATGGTGATCCCTCGAACCATGTCATCATTTGAACAGAGGCAAGAGACTCCCGATTTGGCATCTATCGTCCTGTGCTACGGGCATCGCGGCCGGCCTCTTTCTTCATATGTCATGGTGAAAAGCAGTGAGGACCGCCCCTCTCGCCGGCATCAAGATACCCAGCTTTCCTATGCCGCTACTGGCTGGGCAAGTGAGAACAACCTCAACGGCTGGCTCGAACGTATCTTTGAGCCTGAGACTAGACGGGAAGAGGGCACGCATCGCATATTGCTAGTTGATAGCCAGCTGCCTATCCACGAGAAGTTTTTCTTCGACTGCGAGACTAATAATATATCCTGTCTTCGCTTCCCAAAAAATGGCGGTGAAATACTTAGTCCGCTTCACTGTGGCGTGTTTCAACACCTTGCAGTCCTCTACACAAACCACATGACAAGAATCTTGGGCGAGAGCATAGGAAACTCGGTCACCCTGGACGAAGATCAATTTGTCGAAACAATCCAAATGCAACTGTTGGAGCCGGCACACATTCTAAGAGCGCAAGATGCTTGGTACAATATAGGCATATTTCCAGTCAACCGGCCAACTATCCGCAGCCGACTCTGTGGTGGCCAAGCAGTCTCCCCTCCTGACAGCTCACCCACTCCTTGTGGTCGTCCTCAAACTACAAGGAACTTTTCTGTGGATATTCCCCGTGTGTTCTCTAGTCCTGAATATGAGCCTCCGTCACCACTGCCATCGTCGCAAGTTTTGCCGCCGTCTCCAATACCCATCGAGGATGCATCTGATTCACCTGACGCATCCGATGGCGAGAGTCCTAATAGCTCTTTGGGGCCTCTCACGCCTCAGACGGATTCCCAATCGCCAAAGCCAGTGGAGCTTGTTATGTCCATTTCGCAGTTTTGCGAATGCTTGGACAATTACGGAAAAGCCAGCAAGCGGAAAAGGCACGAGGAAGAAAAGAGACTCCGGGAACAGTTGATGTTGGGGTACAACGGGTGTCATGCCAAAGTTGAGATACTCAAGGAAGTCCTTGGGATGGAGCTCTCTGCGTCCAAACGATACAGGGCTCGTTGATCTTTCTGCCAAACGTCCTGCCTCATTGTGTTTACTTTTTCTGTATCGTTCCTTTTCTTGATCTTTTGCATTTTTACCGAGGCATACCTGCCTTCGGTTTACCATCTTTTGTATCATCTCTTTCCCATGTCAAAACCCCCTGTCCATGATCGTGGTCGTCACCCCAAAAGTCGTGTATATTTCCTTGTGTACTTGAACAATTTATGTTGCCAATCTAATCACGCCCCTAATAGATTATAGCAACCGTAGCATGGTATTGAATAAAACACATTTCAGTCATAACCTTGCACTTCATCTTGGGAGACAAAAGTCTCAGAGCTTGACCTGTCCTCGGTCCTGCGGCCCTGCACAACAAGCCGGCTCAGGATGCAGCGTGGATTTATTAAACGACTGCGTCGACGGAGGAACATCGAGCGCAGGGTTTTTGGTGAAGAAGCCATCCGGTTTGAGCATGACACTAACACGTTCCATGGGCATCACTGGAAAGTCCTCAATACGCGGGTTGTGAGTAAGACCGAAGGCTAGAGTCAGACGGGTTAGCATGCGCTTGCGACATAAACGAAGAAAAAACTTACTATGCCACAGCACGACATCCTCGTCTTCGACGGCATCGTTCCTTGCCGCCCACACCTCCACGCCGTCGGACCTCTTGCTCTGGTTCGTGAATTCACCCGCCGCGTACAGCTCGTTATCTTGGTACTTGGTGACCCAGATCGGGCGAGTCGCAAACTGGGCCCGCTTTGTGCCGAATGAGTTGGGTCGTGCAAGGAGCATCTGACTAGGCATCGTCTGCAGCTTGTAGGCGATGGGGTGGTAGGTAATTGGGTTCATGATGTGGTCGTTGCGGATCTTGAACACGCGGTTGCGGTCCACGCTTGTCGATGCGCTGCCACTGGAGCGAATAACATTCTGCTCCGTGGTATATCCGACCAAATATGGGTTGCTTTCATCCTGTGGCATAGGTACGCTGTCCTCATAATATACGGTATTCTTGAACCCATCCAAGGCAGGATCGATCCGCAGCGAGAACATGTGTTGGTGGAACGGGGCCATCACACCAGGGCCAACGTTCGTGCCCCATGGCACGGTCTGCCCATTCTCATTATCGAATGGCACGGTCGACAGAATCCCCGTTGCGCGCACCTCGAGCTCGATGTTGGCCGCTTGGTCGAGTATGAACGCAAAGATATATTCGTAATTGGCGACGGTGCAGATCATCTGGATCACAAGCTGGCGGTTTCTAACTACAGTGGCTGCTCCACTGCGATAGTTTGTATGTTTATGCTGCAGACCGTTATCCTGCTCATGCATACAGATGACATTTTTGAGCTGAATCGGGGCGCCCTGTGCATCGGAGCGGTAGCCATCAAAATACTTGATATGGCCTAGGCAGTCACAGCCTAGGATGAGTTGATTCGCGGTGATGCCAAATCCGACATCGCCTACATCAAAGGCCTGTTTGCGGTGATATGGCGCGCGAGGGTCTAGTGATGTTAGTTGTAGTGGCCGAGAGTATAGGAAGTTGGGAGCTCACCTCCATAGGGGACCGTCATCTCCGACACCGAGAGACGATAGAATGTGCTACGGCCATCATAGGTCACATTATGCAAAACCAGCCCCTCTCGACTATTAAAACCAACGCGGAATCGCCATTTCTGCCACGACACTGCGTTTCCGATCACGTTGAATGACGCACCCTCGGGCTGTTGAACAACATATGGCTTCAGATCGGTGCGCAGCGGCTCATCCAGCAAGTCGTGTGCGTATTGGACTGCAGGAACTGGTTTCCATGGCTGTGTCTGGGTGCTCTGGGTGTCTGCCGCGCCAGGAAGAAAGTCCATACGGACGAGTTTGCGGGAGATACCATCGAAGACCGGGGAGAATTTGCAGGGCAGTGAATACTGATTGTTCTGAGGATGGTCCGTGGCCACAATGTACATGTAGCATTGGAACAGTCGGCGGGATTCTTGCGGGTTGTCCGTGCCATAGATCCACGGATCTATACACACAGACATCCCCGGGGGAGCTTGAGTTTTTCAATCTCTGCCTTGACAGCAGGGTGGTTCAGACATAGCTGCTCGATCTCGATCATCTCGTCGACATCCACTGGGCCTTGGACGTCCTTGGGCAGTTCCTTGGCAGACACCAGGGACTTGGTGTCTGCGTTCAACAATGCCTTGAAGAATGACCCGTTATCTAGCCGGTGGAACAGCGCCATCAACAACCGAGCGGGCTTGCGTGGGCATTTCTCGCCCCGCCGCTCGGCCTCGATGTATGGGATGACCTCATGTTTGGAGGGTTCCTGGAGATCAATGCGCTTGTATCGCAGCTTGATCCCCGGGAAAGCGGATTCAAGAATCCGAACAGCCAGCTGGATCTCGGCACATGTGATGGGGTCAAAAGGGTGGAGGCTTGCCATGATGAAGAACACAGAGTCAAGTTGTGGAAAAGTATCAGCGAGACATTGCGGGCTTTATAACTTGCGGGTTCATAGCGCCCGTCGATATCTTCCCTGACGATTTCCCGTTCGGGTAAATCTACCGCGCAGGTGGAGATGAAGTGAGCGAGTCAAATCTCCCGGCGCATCTTTGCCTGCAACGAGTTTAGTGCGACGTCAAGCAGTGACAATCGGATTACTCCCGAGGTCACCACGCATCCATCGCATCGCGACATCTAGAGGCGAGCTGCCATGTGGCGGGGACCCTCTGTGAAATGCTCCCACTGAACTTGGATCGCTCACTCACGATCACGACAGGAGTCCTTTCACTCCCTCGAATTCCGGGCCCTGCGATGTGAGAAATGTGAGGATCGAGGCTCATACTCTCGGAGTCTCAAAGTCGACATTGAATTCTCGTGTTCACATTTCAGAGACTCGAGCGATTGAAGATGAAGAATGTGACGCGAGGGGCCCAAGGGACTGCCCGCCCTTGGGAGAAGCCGCTATCGCACCCCCGCGATTATATCACGGAGCCACCCTCAAATGAAGCCGCCAATTGTCAATTGTCTGGAAAATCCATTAGTGCTCAATGTTGTCGAAGTCCACAACCAAAATCACAGGATGAAGTTGTGGGCCAAGTGCGAGAGGAATTCGGGGCTGCTACTGTTCCTCTGGACGGTCCCTCCTGGGGCGCGAGACCAACATTCCTGATCCAAGGCCCAGACCTTGACGCGCCAGTATAAAACCAGGTCGCGTCAGTCTCGCGTCGGTGCTTTGCGACTACGACTCCCACGACACGATATCGACCGCGCCTGTAGACATGGATGCGCAGTACTGAGCGCGTTCATTCCCGGAAACCTCGACACCATCTTCTTGGCCTGATCAACGCATACTCACCTTCCACTCCGTTGTTGCCGGCCTTTCCTTCAACATGAAGTGGGGTATCTCTATACTCCTCTCCATCGCCGCCGCTGGGTACAGCCATGCTGGTTCGCACGGCCACCATGGCCACGGACACCCAGTGCGGCATACCGAGGCCATGGAACCTAGAGACTTGGCCTGGGACAACACGAGCCATATTCCCGTCGACACGGTGGTCGAGTTGCGCACACTGACAACCACCGTGTTCAAGGACTGCGCGTCCACCGACACTCTTCATGTTACAACGACCGTCATGGAGCAGACGGACCCTGCGCCCACTCAGCCTGAGCTCGCCCAGTCTAACCCTCCGGGGTCGGAGCCGCTGACCACTATTCTGATGACCAGCACTGTCACGGAAACCGCTACCGACAAAGTCGAGGCTACTACCTCGCCTATGTCGAGCAACACGACGGAGGGCCGGCATCTAGAGCAAACCGCCACCTTACTCAATTTGGGACCCAACATCCTACCGTCACTGTCACCACTCCCGCAGCTGCTGCCCGGCTCACCCAACAGTCCTCAGCCGGATGAGGAGTCACTACCCGCAAATCTGGACTGGACATCACATCCTGAACACGATGGTTTCGCGACCAAGGCATTCGGCGGACGCACTCCGCCCAACGACACGGACATCCACTACCGCGGAAACGTCGGCGTGCCCTGGGGCAGCAACATTATCTCCGTGGGCCCTGCTGCGGTCCATCGCTACAAGTACGTGGCCCAGTTCACGGGGTCCAACACGGACCCCTGGACCGTCACAGTATGGAACAAAATAGGCCCGGACGGCAAGATGAACGGATGGTACGGACACTCTGCGCTTACCTTCACGCTGGCACCCGGCGAGACGCGGTACGTGGTGTTTGATGAGGATTCAGAGGGCGCCTGGGGTGCAGCACCGGGATCGCACGGTCTGCCGACGGACCATTGGGGTGGTTACTCGTGCACCTGGGGCGAGTTTACCTTTGGAGATTCCGAGAACGGCGGCTGGTCGGGCTGGGATGTGTCGGCCATCCAGGCTCAAATCGCCGGTGACACCGTCCAGGGCATGCGCATCTGCCAGGCCAACGGCATGGGCTGCTCGAGTATTAGCCCGCAGGCCAAGAAAATCGTCAATGCGTACACCAAGTCGAAGCGCAAGCATAATGGCATTGGCGGTGCGGCTGCACCGGGGCCAGTGCGTTTGAGGGTGCAGATTGACTGGAAAGATAATGCTTGATTTTTTGTATATAATTTTGACTGGCTACATGTATGTCCTTCAATTCAACAGTACCCTCTTTCAGGGACTGACTCGAGGGTAGTTGTTGTCGTGGTTTGATCACTGTCTCGTTCAGTCCACCCTATTTCCACTTGCTACGACATGGCAGGAATGTTGATGCGCTGGATCGTCCACACTTTGCCGCCCTCACTAGACCCCAGTCCCTTGCACGAAGCCCCGGTCGCCGACGCAATAGTATCCCCAAACGCGGTGTCAGCAGAGGCGAGCGTGATCTTGGTGTTTCGATACTCCTGCGCAGCAACAGTGCCAGTGCAGTCATCATTACACTCCGTCCCAGTACCATGCCTAAAAGAAAGCATCAGTAAATACTCCACACCACCCAAATCATATTCCACAAAATCAAACGCACCCAGTCATATACGGCCCCGAGACAAGGGAGTAAGTCGACAGCAGATCACCCGTCTGCGCATTGATAACAGTTTGCTTCCAGGTCTCTCCATTGCTCTCCACGTTATACTCAATCCGCACCTGGTCCGACCCAGCGACGGCACTAGGCTCGCCGTCAAGCTGGCCGAGCTGTCAAAGACACTGGCACGCACGCACCATTGACTTGTCGTGGCACCGCACGATGAATTGTCCGTCCAGCTCTCCAGCGTCGTCTGGATGAGATCCCCTGTGCCGTTGGACATGCCGGGCCACAGGGAAAGTACGCTATCTACGCCGTTCTGCGTGGATGGTGCGGTACCGGGGATGAGGGTCGACACGGCGTTGATGGTGGTGGATTTAGTTGGTCCCAGTGAGACGCGACCACCCCAAGTGTCGCGTTTTGTGGTGGATGACAGGAGACCTGCGGTGGCGAGGCTGGCACTAGCCAGGAGAGGAATGCAGTGCATGATGGACTTGTTGGTTTAACTATACCACAGAGAAGGGCAATATTGTTTGAGTTGAATGGTAGGGTGAATTTATCGAGTCTTGCATGTCTCACTCGATGTTTATATTCCAACCCACTTATACTTCGAAACCGGAGTGGTGGACTTGCTAAAGTCGAAGTGCTGTCGAGCCAGCGTTTCGCCTTGAAATCATGTTTGGAATGATGATTCTGCAGCTCAAGTCTGCTTGCCTACATGATACACTAGGACGTGCCAAGCAAGACAGGGTATTCAAAATAGGTTCTGCAGCCGACATTTCGAATACATAGGCTACGCTAAGAGTGGCATTCCCGTTCCAAGGATTGCGTGAGTGGTCCAGTATACATATGGTTATTTCAAATATCACTATAACCCTCCACATCCGTACCCAAGAAGACATAATACGCGGCCTGAAGCCCTCATTTACTGCAGGTACTCCCCGTTGGTCTCGCGGTGGATTACATCAAACAGCGGCTTAGCACTAAACCAGCCCGCCTTGGGAGTACCAACCGTCTTATAGGTGAACGCAGCATCGGCATCATCAATCTTGATCGTCTGGCCACCCCGACCCGCCGCCGCCGCATCGGCCAGCAGTTGGGCGTGACAACATTTCTCCAGACTGACGAACCAAAACACCGTTTCCTCGATAGAGCGGCCTACGGTCAACAAGCCGTGATTCTGCAACAAAGCAGCTTTCTTGTTTCCCAGCGACTGGGCGATGTTCTTCCCTTCTTCCTCGGCCAGCACGATGCCGTTGAACTGACGGTAGACAACGTGGTCCTATACACGACCCTCATTAGTTTTCATTGCCCTCGAGTAGTGATCATGGCATTCCCTACATTATGGAATGCGCAGGAATCCTGCGAGATGATATCTAGAGGTCGGCCAAGCGAGCAAAATGCCCGTCCATGGAGCGAGTGGCTGTGGGCGGCGCACATAACCTCAGGCCGAGCAGTGTGGATGGCCGAATGAATCATGAAGGCTGCCGCATTCAGCAAGCGGTTTGCGCCTCCGTCGATGACCTCGCCGGTATGATCAACCAAAATCAGGTCCGAGGCCTTGATCAGCGAGAAGGCCGTCCCGAACGGATTTACCCAGAAACAGGTGGGATCGATTGGGTCTCTGACGGTAATGTGCCCGGCGACACCTGTGGGAATGAGCGTGAGCATTTGAAGGAGCGCATCCTTGTATATCAAGGAACGGGAATCAATATCCTACCCTCGTCGTAGCCATACTTGCCGAAAATCCGAAATGCAGCCGCCAGTCGACCTTTTAAATACTCTCGCTCCTGCATCTTATCTTCAAAGACTGGCATGGAGGGCATCTGCATCTTTATCTTGGCCTTTTCCGCGTCGGCAGCCTGCGGCGACTGCGGCGCTTGCAACTTAGTCACATTCGCAACAGTCTCGGTCTCAGTGGCGGTAGGAGGAGCCATATTGGTATATTGCAGTGAAAGTTGCAGAGTGCGAGGAAGTCAGGCTTATAAATTAAAAGACTCCGAGGGGCGGTTAGCACTGCGTTCAGTTGCAGACCCGGCGAAGTTGTTCGCGAATGGCAAAAGCCATCAGAGAGGCGAGAGCCGAGGTTATCCAGCTTCTCCGCACTGCACTTTAACCACGCTCTGTGACGTCGGTATATCTGGACCAACGAACGGAAGAATAGCCTAATGTTGAAGTTGACCCTGGAGATATCCATGGATGGGTTGGAATATGCTGACACAAAACGCTGACCCTTTGGTCAGGTAGGTGGTGGATTTTAAAGGCCTATGAACCAATTTTTACTCTTTATTTGATATATAGCTAGCTATTCTACTCCTGTTTTCATTGTTTCCCTATTAAGTTTTATGGCTTTGTTATCTTTACTTCCCAATGAATATCAAGTCCATGGTGAACGCTCCACCTCCGCCATCAACACCTCGAACAGTTCACGATCAGCAGAACTGAAATCTTGAATACGCGACTGGTCTGGTATGCCGACCAGTGGTTTGAGATCGGCTTCACAGAGCGTGCCGGATTTAGGCAAAGCGCCAGTCTGGAAGTAGCTACGAATGGACTTTGCTATACAGACCGATGGCGCAGTGACTGAGGTATGCTGGAGGAGATAGGTGCACGGTTAGCCACGGTAAAGATGGCGGAAATCAAGGGCCTTACGCCTTCTGAACGTTGCTCCAACAGGGCTGATCCAGGGAAGTGACTCGACATTTTTTGCGCACTGGGGGAAGTTAGTCCACAACTCTATTGTAAGGAAAAACATGCTTACCTGCGCAGAGGAGTCACTGGGTCCAATGTGGTTGACACAAATAGCATCGGATGTGCCGTTGTGCCACCCCATGGACCTGGAATAGTCAACATAATGCCCTTCGAAATATCTAGAAAAGACACATACCCAAGAACTTGGACTTCGCTTTGGCCTTCCATCCAACACAGCTCAAGTGAATGTGGGCCCAGTAGTCACCTAGAGACGCACTGTCGACTTTGAGACTATCCCACTTTGCTTGGAACTCTTCGATACTTGGGTCAGCCAGGTGATCTGCATCGCTACAAAGGATTGCAGCGCTGGCATATAACTCGTTGTTCTGCGCCCGAGCGCACGAAGGCGACCAAGGACCTGCGCGACTGCATTCGCTCGAGGGACACACGCCAAAGTGACGGCGATGCTTGAAATCTGCAATGGGTCCGGCGTTGCCTTTGGCCAGTTCGGCTATCATCTCGGCCAAAATGGGAAACACCAAGAGTGGCTGATAGACTGCGATTCGCTCAATCACCTTCAGGTCAGTCCAGGTGACGACCTCGGGCCCATGAGTCGCCGATGCCATCACCGGCATAGAGGCGTTGAGCAGCTGGGCTCCCAGATCCCGATAGGCATTCTGAATTGCGTCGGGGCCTCCCTCGATATAGAATGGGCAGCCTGTCGGACCGGCTGCATTGCAGAAATGCCCGAATTGATGGAAGACAGCATCTGCGTCCACCACCGGGTTGGGTCCTTTGCCTTCATAGTACGTTTCCATGTCGACGACCCCGTCGAGCACAGCCCGTGTAACACGATCAGGGTATAAAGCAGCAAACGTAGCGCCCAGCACCGTGCCATACGACCGGCCCCAGTACAAGAGCGGCTCTTCGCCCCGGCGCCATTGGGTTCGTTCTGCGATCGCGCGCGTCTTATCAAGACTATAACGGCCGTCGGCGCCCGACCGGGCCTTCTGGCCTTGCTTTCCCCGCCACTCGCCATGGCGCTCGACAAGAGTCACCATATCCTGCGCAACGAGCGGCGTGTTGAGGTAGGCAGTAAAGGCCTCGTCGTCTTTAGCACCAGTTAGATCCGTGGTGGAACAACCTTGGTTCAGCGCCTGTGCACGCTGCCAATTCCTCTGCAGTGCTTCCAATCCACTGCCCAGCATGCCCTCTGTTTCCATCTGCAGTTCCCAATTCCGCTGGGACATAGGATTGGGGAAGCAGATGACTGCGGGTGTGGAGGCACCCACGCCGCGAGGATCAAACCCAATGATATCGAAGTACTTGTCACCGGTGTCTTCGGGTGTCACACCAGGGGCGGTTTCTGCATCTACAATGGTTTGCAGATTGTGACCTGATAGGAACGCCGAGAGGGTTCCGGGGCCACCAGGGCCGCCTGGATTGATCAAAACAGCCCCGCCATACCGAGGATCTGTGACGGGGACTTTGGCTGGCAATCGAGCCACCGCCAAGGCGAATTGACGACCATCGGTTCGGTTGTAATCCATCGGCACCTGCAGTCGGGCGCATTGAAGGCCATCCCCGCAGTCGTGGTATTCCAGCGACTGCGAGGGAGTGACTTGGTCCCAGCTAAAAGGCACCGACGCAGGAACCGGACTGGTCAAAAACGACCGCGGAGGCCATGCCAACAGGGTCACGGCTGCGGCAATGAGTGAAAGGCCCCAGCGAGCAGCCTGTCGCCAGCGCGAGGGTTGATATGGAGGCGGCTTCGGCACACTCCGTTTCAGATCCATGGCTCTCACAGTAAGGTGCAATATCTCAGAGATTGACTGATAACCCCTGTGTCTGGATTTCCTAGAGCAAAAGAAAATGCCAGTCCCTTCGAGTCTGGTTTGACTCTTCCCCCCGAGTTTGCCTGAAGAATTCAGGAATCAGATCGACGTGCAATTGGGAATCCATGCGATCGCAGGGTCCACAATCCACAAGTGGGGGGAAGTGAGAGACGCCGATCAGCTGAAGCCAAGAATGTGGCGGTCGGACGATCGCCAGCACGATGTGATCTTTTCATTGGATTTGGGCGTTGGTTGATAAGAAGACTAATGCGCTTCTGAATAAGCTGTGTTTTCGCTGGTGGGCTTGGTCCAGGGAGTCTGTAGCCTGGAGTTTGCTTGCAGGCGATCAGAGACCAGCGGGAAGGAGACATGCTAAAGACGCCTGGAGGATGTTTCGACGGCTTCAATGGTTCGAAGTGGTTTCTTCTTGAATTTTCTGGGCTGCTTGTCAGGATATATGGTGGAATGGTAGCCCTAACTACTTGGGTGCTCGAGGAGCAAATCCACGATTCTGAGATTGAATTAGTATGGGAACTGACCAGATGAAGGTTGTGTAAATTAGCGAGAGATTGCCAGGTCACTTGACTTCGACTCACCTGCACCAACTCCTCCAACCGCCCAGGCAGCGGCGTCAACTGGCAGTGCCGTGCCAGTTGGGTTGGCGATGCCCTGGCGCAGCAAAGAGCCGCATTGAAGTGGACATAAAGAGCCCCCTCATCTCCCAGTCTACAGCCATCTATCAACATCCGGGAAAAACAAGCAAATTATTTGACTACTTTTCACCACCATTTGAAGCAAAATGGCCCCTCTCCAAGAATACATCGACAACATCCCCACTCTCGCCCTGGCCGACGCCATACAAGCCATCATCGACCTGACTCCGGGCCTAACCACCTCAGTCTCCGCAACAGGCGACCGACTAGTGGCCCACCCAGACTATGAGGGACAAGGCAGTCTCAGCAACCTGGGCAGATACTATCTCGAATGTGCCGCACGCTGCCAGACCGAGCACGCGTCCTTCAAAGTGCGTCTGCTGCACCTGACGCTAGACGAGGTTTTCGATACACTCTATCGAGAGAACAACAAGATTTTCGAGAAGGGCGTCAAGGATGGGAGCGTGACTCTGCCCGAGTACGAGGAGGGCTGCGCATGCTGCAATGGTGATCCCGATGCGCTTATCTTGGCTGGCTTCAGCACGGGCGAGTCGTTGCTGTTTACCGACAAGGAGTACCGCCAGCTCTGGGGTGACCAGGAATCACAGGGCAGTAGCCACCGCAACTGGGTGGATGGGAAGGGTTGGACGGATCACTGGTTGCGGGCGTCGAAGGAGCAGGTTGAGGAGGCGATGGCTCGCAATGCTATTGTGCCTAGCATGCTCTAGAGATAGTAGACTACGGTGAACAAAGCACTCGAGATTTCAAGTCCATCACCCCGTATTTGAAGATAGATGATATTAGAATTATGTATAAGACATCAATATAGCTTATCGACCCGGAGACCCTGCCACACACACAAACTCGCGCCCGGGTTTCTCATCAAGCACATTCTTGACCAAATTCCACACATTCAAATCATACGCCTCGCCAATATGGCCGACGGGATCGAACTTGCAAGTATCCTGAACCCAGAGATTGTTTACCCCGTGCTCATGCACAAAAGAAGTCTCGGGCGGCGTAACCAACTCATCATGCTTCGAGGCAATAACGGTAAGGGAATTCCCGGGCTGCACAATCGGCTTGCCATCATTCAAGCGCCTAACAGCAGCACCGCCCGTGCCGAGATCATCGCAAGCAGCACAGCCAACGGCATGGAGAACATCGTCAACAGCCTCACGGGAGCCATTCCCAAGCAGATACGCCAGTTTATACAAGCCAGCGAAATTAGTGGCGTGGGTGGGCGGCGCAATCGCAACAATCTTATCCACGAGATGGGTGACGCCCTCGAACTTGGGCACGTAGAGGGTCTGGAAAGCGCCCTCGGAGTGGCCGACGAGGTCGACTTGGGCGCGGCCGGTTTTCCGGACGACCTCTTTGATGTATGCGGCAATCTGAGGCGCGGAGTCTTTGATGGGTTTGAGTCCGCCGACGAAGGGGAAGCCGCCGTATGCACCGTATGTCAGCGAATAGGTGCAATATCCTTGCGTTTGGAGCCAGGATTGTAGATAGTTGAGATCCTCATAAAAGGTTGCGCCTAGCCCGTGCAGCAGCACCACGGGGTTGGAGCTGCTTTTGCAGGAGAAGTCGTTGATGTCGCTGCCCATTACTGCCAAGGCCCCGACGAGGACAGCTATCAATAATCGGCGGAGGGAAAACATCATGGATATAGAAAGACAAAAGAAAAGAAAAGAATTTCAGAGTTGCCCCGTGCCACTCCCAGACAGAGTATTAGAGTGTATGGGGCGAAGATGCGGAGATTGAAGGATTTCAGAGCAAAGTCTGGCATGGCTCTCACCCTTTTTTCTTGGTTTTCTGCTCGGCTCCATCCGTCAAACTATCGATTGTCGATCGATCAGACGCGTCTCTGAATGGCCGCTCAAGTGGATCCTGTCCACAGCTGTCACTCTCTCGTACCCAATGACGCGCGCAAAAGGGGATGTGATGGCTCCGCTGTGGATGTTATAAATCAGATGTTGCACGGATCCATGGATTGCATATTGGCTGCGAAATGGCGCTAGATGCTAAGGAGGATATATCCGCGAGAAATCATTCATACAAGTCGTGCCACCGTGTTACATAGCAGTGGGATACTTTTAGTCCTTATTCGCGAGACATTTGTGAGTCTGCTTGTGTCGACAGCTCCTCCATAGCGGCGCTACCCCAAAGCCCGAGGGAATGCCGTCGCTCGACCAGCTGCAGCACCTCAATCATAAATTTGCGCTCCGGGCCATCGTCCGGGAATGCCTCCCAGGCCACACGGGTGGGGAACGCAAGGCGGTTGATCATGTTGCCTGGAGCGGTCATGATGTAAAACTCCAACGAGCGGCAGATCCCACACGCCAATTCGTATTGCTCTATGGGTGTGACCCGATCCTGGGGTCTCGTATCGATCGACGACAAAACCAGCCGGAAGGCGTAATAAAGACACATGGTCTGTGCCAAGAGGAGGTTTGGGTAGGAGAACTTGGTCGGGGGAAAGGCGGCGCCGGTGCGAAAGTCACGTTGCTGGAAGACAGGGAATTCTTGATCGGAGGTTTGCTCAACTTCCTGTGAAGGCCCATCGGGGTATGTGTCAACCCAGTCACGGCGCCATTGATGGAAAAAGGCAGTGAGCTCGGAGATTTGGTTCCACAGCGCGGTCTGCTTGACGGCCATCTCCTGTGCGCTCATGATAGAAGCCCGATTAGCCCGTTTGAATGAGTCGGATTGGGCCAGTAGACCCGGGACCTCGGTGGCCAGGTCTAATAAATGATGGAGAATATCCTTTGTAGTCGTCCCGGCCGACCAGGGTATTGTCTTCCATTCCTCGCGGGCTAAAAATGAGGGTTGTCGAACCGCCATAGCACCGCCAATCTAAGCCATTAGTCTTGATCTAATCCCCAAAGCGTGGGCAGACGTACCCAATATGGGCGAAGCTCGGTGAAAAGAAGATGCTCGACCCCATACATGTGGTTTTCCGGTCCACGATGCTCAATTAGGCGCACTGCGCCCCTGACATGAGCTGCGACACCGCGTTGAGTAGTGCGCTCCACGCTCTTAATAAGGTCCAAGTTAGCAAGCAACAAAACTACCATGGAATGGAAGATCCAACCTCAAAAGCAAGAAGAAGAATGACGGTAACCAGCGTCGATTCAGCTTTGCATCGCTCCGGATCCATCAATGCGTCTTGCAGTCCACGTAACACTCGCGGGTAAAGCCGAAAGCCGGAGGCCTCGATCTGCTTGTCTTGGACCGAACGCCCAAAGAACGCCACTGACACGGCCTCGAAAGCATCGGTGATGAGTGGAGAGAACATTCGGACCTCTGCTGCAGCCCGCAACGCGCCAGCGCGGCCAGACTTGACATCTACCTCTGGGGCAAACGCATCGACAAATCGCTGGACAAAAACATCCACGGCAGGTCGCTGCATGCTCATGATTGAAATTGTGCCCGACGACGACGAAGAAGAAGAATCAGAACCGCTGGCCACTGACATGAGTTCTCCCCGGTCGCCATCTTCATCGAGTTCAGGCACATCATTAAAGTCCTCATCTGGGCCCGCCAGAAGATGCCGGCGAGATGGGGAGGCAGAGGTATTGATGGTTTCATACGCTGAAAGATATCAGTAGACAAGTCTGATTCTTAACATCGGGTCGACTTACCTTCTCGACCCTCCCATGGCCCAACGGGAACCGCATTTCTCTTTAGCCCACCTTGTGCAGATCGAATTTCGCGGACAATACTATCGACCACACTGAGTGGGGCCGAACGAATAGACTCAAACAAGCTCTCTAGCTGGTCCAGCCGCCGCAAGTCTTGGTCGCGCGAGTCTAATGGCGCGTTAATGTCTGTTGGGTCTGTGGGGTAGTGGGGAGTGGCATGTTACCATCACGTCTGTCGGCAATTCTCGCTCGCAGGTCTCGGATCTCTGCCCGCAGGTTCCGAATCTCCTCTGCTTGGCTAATGGGCTGGGCTTCCTCTTCAGGCACGCTGTCATATACACATCTTGAAGGATAGCCATGGGCGCAGCATGCGTGGCAGGGTTTCACACGGTCGCACTGGGGGGAATCGACGTTAGTCACACTCGTGGAATGCACCCGTGGACCTTCGATAGCCAGTGAAACATGACATCAAGGGAATGGGGGAATGGGGGGTGTGAAGAAGGGGCCCGGCATGAGAGATGATCTGAGCACCGTGACGGACCTTGACCTTGCGGAGTCGGCAGACTTTGCAGGACCGCGACTGGCGACTTGCAGACTTCCTGACTCGGGAGTCGGGAACAAGTTGGGGATCTTCAAGCATGGGGGAAGCAGAGGAGGGAGAAGAGGGAAGCTCATGGCCAACGGCAAAGCGGGATTGGGGCTAGTGAGATTTCCGTGCAGAGTCCGAGATCTCACAGAGCGGTGGGCCGTCGCATTAGCGTGGTGGGTCGGGCGCAGAATGGATGTGATGGAGATGAGTATTTCTGCTATTTGTGCTATTTCTGCTACGATGAGAATGATGAGAATGATTAGAATGATTGAGAATTGTGAGCAAATTTGCAGGTAAATATCGTAGGAATAACTAAGTCTTTATCGAGAGGACTTCTTTATACTTCGAACAATCAATCAAAGCTGTCCGATCCAGCGACGTGACTACTGTGGTCATAAATAGTAAGGCATAATAGCAAGGCTGTTCCATCATAGTATACTCGGGAAATACTCTGGAATCCATGGATATTAATTTTACTGGAGTGATCAACTGCGGGCCCTGCTCCTCCAGCGACAGCGAGTCGCCCTCTGAAAATGCCCATCAAGTATGAAACTTGCTAAAATTATAGACCCCCGGATGCAAATTTCGTATTTATCGCTCAAAAGAAAAGCGTTCAAACTCATCAGCTTGTCAAAGACATTATGGTAGCAGCTAGCATGCGACTATCTCGAATCATGTACCTAGGAGACCTGCAAAGAGCGTGTTTACTTTGTCTCATGCCTCAGGCTGGACATATGCCGGGTTCATGCCTGATTATCAGGGCAGCCAGACAAGTCAAGTGACCCGTCGACAGCTTCGAAGGTTTGCGAGTCCCACACGGAGCAACTGCGAGACTGTCGAGACTTGGTGTCTTGGACCCTTTTTGATGTCTTCTATGGCGCTGAAAATGTTAATTCGAGTGCGGTGAGAAACCTTGAATATGAGAAAACAGAGTTGGCGCCAGGAAGAGCGTGGGATGCCAACCTTCGACATTGCAGATACATGATCTGCTCGATTCCTGATGTCAAACAACATCTTCACCTGTTTATCCTGATTTAAGAATGGTGAGTTTCCTACAGATACCCACTGAGGCAAAAAGCATGCAACAGGGGTCGAGGCTCGGAGAATGGTTTTCCTCACCTTGAAATAAGAGTCTGGGGAAATTTCCCGACTCGACGGGGGCGGGTGCCGGTGAAGGCGAAGTCTAACCACGGCACGGTTCCACGGCAGATCGGTCAACGCGCGGACTTGGTCCGAGATGCACTCAAAGAAACTCACCAGTCTCGAGAGCCTGGCACACGGACCGGCGGACGTGGGGGGAACTCGACAGCCCCCGAAGGCTCTTGGCAGACTGCCAAAGGGAGCTTCAACGAGTCACCCTGCGGGATATTTGGGCCACGGAGGCCTTCACTCGCGATGCCTCGGCCTATCAGAAATGGCGCGTGCGTCACTACACTCGCGATTCTCGGGGCTCCCGTCCCCCGCATTCCCCTGACGATTCCTATTGGCGTTGCCGATGTGGTCCCCCCACGTTTTTCTCCAAAATTTCCGGGGTAAACCCGTCTTCGGCTGTGAGAGAATGCCAGAGGGAGCCCATATGGCAAACTCAAATGGCATCACCTGCTGCTCGAACGATACATAAAGCGATAGGCTCGTCCTAGACGGGAGCGGATTGGCAAAGATCCTTTTTACCACCTCTCGAACACACCTCCCTCTCTCTCTACACCATGGCGGATACAAACCATGCCATTTCCGACTTGGAGGCAATGGGCGAAAAGGCGGAGATGACCCACGATGAGGTGGTGCATATGGCAGAGTTGACCCCCGAAGAAAAGGCCATTGAGCGGAAGTTACGATGGCGCATTGATGCATTGATCATGCCGCTGGTCATTCTCGTGTACCTCCTCAACTATATTGACAGGTTGTTGTGCTCTTCATGTCTTTTCGAGAACCCGATACTTACGGCTGGATCAGAAACAACTATGCTGCCGCCAAGCTCCAAGGCCTCAAGGAGGATCTCAGTATCAACGAGACGCAATACCAGACCGGTCTTTCTGTTCTATTTGTGGCGTATATCCTAATGCAAGTCCCGTCCAACTTGCTCCTCAACTACATGGGACGGCCATCGCTCTACATCGGCTTCTTTGTGTGCGCTTGGGGCCTTGTGTCGGCTCTGACATCCCAAGTGAAGAATTACGGTGGCATAGTCGCATGTCGGTTTCTGCTGGGACTGGTTGGTACGCTAAAAGCCTCCAAGATTCCCTAGGTGCATGCTGTCGCTGATCACATCTTCAGAGGCACCTTTCTTTGCCGGTGTTTTGTACTATCTTTCCAAGTGGTATACTAAGAGGGAATTGGCATTCCGAATGTCCATCTTCTACTCGGGGTCCCTTCTCAGTGGCGCTTTTGGCAATTTGATTGCCGCTGGCATTTTGTCGGGGCTCAAGGGGCACCGGGGCCTGTCTGCTTGGCAATGGTTGTACATCATTGAAGGGGCTATTACATGCCTCGTGGGGTTGGTTATTTGTTTTGTCCTTCCTGATTTCCCTGAAACCTGGAAGCTTCTCTCGCCGGAGATGCGGAGAGTGGCTGAGCGGCGGCTGGCCATCGAGGCGGCCGAAGTCGATGTCGACGAAGAGGGGGGTATGAGCCAAATCAAGGGCCTGAAGCTCGCCATGACAGACCTCAAGACCTATGCGCTTGCTGTGGGGTACATGAGCATCACAGGAGGTAAGCCTTCTCATTTCCTTCAGGCGCATCGCACGAAGTACTGACAGGAAGAATCCAGCGGCTGGGTTCCAAAACTTTGCTCCATCCTTGACCAAGGGACTTGGTTACGATAATATGATCTCGCTGGTGTTGGTGGCACCCCCGTACCTTTTCATGGTTGTCTGGAGTCTCGCCCATTCGTGGCTGTCGGACAAGCTTGAGATGCGGTTTTGGTTCTTCATGTATCCGATCCCAATCACGATCATCGGCTTTATTGTCTTTATGACCGTGGACTCGTTCGGTCCCCGCTACTTCGCCATGTTCTTGATGATGTTTGTCTTTGCTCAGAACGGTACTTTGTACTCCTGGATTGCCAACGCCATTCCGCGACCCCCGGCCAAGCGCGCCGCCGCGTTTGCTTTTATCAACAGTATTGGCAACTCGGCAAGTATCTGGACGCCGTACACCTACCTTGAGAAAGATGTTCCGCACTACCGCACCGCTCTTGCGATTTGCATTGGACTCCAGGCTCTCGGGGGGCTGATGGGAATGTTCATGTACTGGAGTCTCCGGAGTCTCAACAAGCAGCAGGAGCGACTGGAGAATGAGGATATTCAACTGAGTGAAAAGGAGCTACGGAGGCTGCAGGTGACGGCCGAGCGGGAGGGATTGGATCTTGCGGCAGCCAGGCGACTGCAGAAGGGCTTTCGGTATACGCTGTAGAGATGAGTTGCTCAACTTTACCTCTGACCAATTCCACGATGATCTATTCAACCATAATTTATTTCATTGTTCAGCGTATATACCACAGTTCAGAGTATAGCAGTGAATAGTCCGGAGTGATCTGCTTCGCTGTGCTACTGGAAATGCGGGGCCCCGCATCCCCGTCGATCCGAGTGGCGAGCACATAGAATGACATTGTCGCTCTTTTTCAGGGATTCCCTTCTATATAGCTTGTCACCATCCTGTTCCCTTAAGTCGGATGATATTTGTATATGCCCACACATAAAATCCCCATGGCGCCGCGTTTAGAAATCACCTGACCGATGAGGTCATTCGGATGGTATAAAGCAGCATCTGCCTGCTCCTTCAGCAAACCACGTTAATTCTCAGGTCTCGGATCAGGCCACTCGGCTCGTTTTCCTGCGTAGAATTGCTTCACTCTCAGAATTATTTCTCGTCGAACCACTTACTCGATACCGATCGACCCCCCAGACACACACCTCTCCCCTTTCCGAGTCTAGCTACCAGCATGCAGAGTCTCTCACGACCGATCCTTCGTGCAGCTGCTTCCCCAAAACTGCTGCGGCCCTTTTCTGCTGCCCCATCCGTCATGGGCGAAGGCGACCTGGGCTCCCCCAAGACGCGCGGGTTCCTCTCCGAGAAGGACCAATTTACTCGACGCGAGGCTGCGCAGGAGGCCATGTACATCCGCCAACAGGAAATCGAAAAGTACGCTCTACTGTGTGATTTGGCACTCTCCCTGGAATCTTTTTCTGTCTATCTTTGGATGTTCGTGCTTTTCAAACCCTGGCTTACCCCATCCGGTAGACTCAACCGCCTGCGAGAGAAGTTGAAGGAACAGCGTCGCCACATGGACGAACTCGACAAACATATGTAGGAGATCCTTCATCTGCGAGTCTGCGGTAACGAGAAGCTACATGAGTGCTGACGGGCTACAGTGAGGAATTCACCAAGAGCCAGGGAGGCGAGCAGAATTAGTTCTACTTCCGGCTGGAAAGCAAACCAGGTTTATTTCTATGCCACATCTTCCTGACTTCTTGTCTGCAATATCATACTCGTCGATACCTCATTACACTATTCCAAATTGAATCAAGTCCATTCTGGCATCTTCTTCCCGATTTTTTTTTTAAAGTCTCCCCCCCGTCTCTTACTTTTCTTCCTTTCTGATTACCAGCTTATATCTTCGCCTGCCAGCGCCATCGGTAGCTCAGACAGGCCCAGCGAGCCATGACGAAAAACCCGAGCGCGACAACCAGCACGCTTCCAAGGTATGCCACCATGGCATTGCGTCCAACCTTGTCCAGCATCTCACCACCAATGGGAATACAAATGAGCGTCCTAAATCATTAAGATATTAGCGCATGCACTTATGCTTATGACTCAACCCAGGGAGTAGCCAGAGGAACAACTTACGCCAAGCTAACCACAGAATAACAGATCCCGAATCGCCCACCCACCTCGCTCGCCTTGGATATCTGACCAATGCAGGTGGGCGCCAGGCTCAGGAACGATCCCGACGCCAGGCCAAATACCGTACTGAACATATACAGGCCCGCCAAGGTATTCCCAAATGGCAGCCAGATGGTGAAGATGGCGATAGCGCCCACGGCGATCAGAGCCGTTTGAGTGTTGATTCGGCCATAGCGATCTGCGATTCCCCCGGCAAACAGTCGACCAACGGTTGAAGCTCTGGCAGGTGTCAGCCTGTTTCTTGATTGAAATGTCAAACACATGCTAGACTTCATACATGTTCAGAATCGACAGCAGAATGACACTGGTGGAAGTGTTGAACCCTTGCATCACAACATAGGTTGGGTACAGACCCAGACCGGCGAATACCTCCAGCTCCAGGCCTATGAGTTGGTTAGCATGAACTGGCAAATAGGGCTAACCACTTGCAACATACTGAACGTGCCCAACGTCAGCCACGTGAATCGAGCATCTTGAAAGGCGCGCAAGTTGATCGTCGCCCGACTCATGCCCCTGGGCAGACGAGCCCTAACGAGCGCAACGCCCAAGCTACACATAACGACCACAATCAAGGCTAGCAAGCGCATCCCCCACTTATACCCGAACCTCGTAAAGGCAGCACGCAGCATGAGCGGAAAACACACACCACCCAAGCCGGCGCCCGCAAAGGCAATCCCCATCGCCAGCCCCACGCGATGATTGAACCACTGCGGCACCGAGGCCATAGCGACGGTACTCAATAACACCGCCCCGATGCCCGTGAGCAAACCCAGGGTCAAGAGGAAGTGCCAGAAGCGATAGCACTCAGCCAGCAGCACCAACCCAGCACCGTAGCAGACGGTGCCGGCGATCAAAATGCCCGTGGGCCCGTAGCGATCGAACCACGGCCCGACCTGCACGCTCAGCCCCAGCCCGATGAAGGTGAAGATGCCCGAGATCCAGCCGATCTGCGACGCGCTGTACGCGGCCAGCTGGTGCGAGGCGAAATAGCTCTGCAGCACGCCGACCGAGTTCATGAGCCCGAATGACGCCATCAGCAGGAAGAACGATCCCATTACTACAGACCATGACCGCAGCCCGCCGTCTGGGAACAGGTCCTGGCCATTTGGGAATGAGTCCTGCGGCGGGTTCACGATGTGCGTGGTCAGCGTGGATAGCTCGGCCGGGGGCTCGACCACGGCAAAGGCCGAGCGGGGCGCCTCTTCGTCTTGCGGTTTTGTGAAGCCGCTTGTTAATTGGTGGGGTTGGTTGGTTGATATGGGGTCGAGAGATATTTCGTGAGCCATTCTTGTTGTTTTTCTCTCTCACTTGAGAGTCTTTTACGTGGATGGTGTGGTGGACAGTCGGTGGAATTGTTAAATATTCAACTGCTCATTACCCTTCCATGAGTCATTGAAGAACGTGCATTGAGACGCAAGACTAGTCACAGTGGGGCTCGGCCTCGGGGTCCAAAATGCAATCTCGGAATGAGAAGCCGATGCTCTAAGGAATCGATCGGGTGGGGGGGCCGTGTTTTATAACGTTGGGCCAGATTATAGTTCGGTTTCACGGCCGCATGGTTGATATCTACTTTATAGCTAATATCCTCTGGCACTGAGCTATATCAAAAAGATACAGCGAAATAGCTGAGCCTGTAGACATCACTGTCATACGCATTTACTTGTTTTGCATTGGAACAGAATAATAAGCAGAGGTGACGACTCAGGTAGAACGATAGGATTCCCAAGGAAGCAAGAGTTTGACATCAAGTCGATACGCCGACAGACAACAATAGGTTTTCGAATATGATTGTCCGATATCTTGAATTATTGGCATAGCGCTCGCCTTTTCCCCTCGTTTTCTTTAGATTACTTCCAATATGTCGGATTGGAGGCTACATAGGTCAAGCCCGAGAACAATTCCTAGTGAATCCCGAGAGAGATTTGAGTATATACCGAAGAGAGTGGTGTTCAAACCAGACCCCGTGTCCCAATTCCCTAACCTTGCATTATCTCTTGCTGCCCGAGGTTTCACCGTACCACAAAGTAAACCAGGAAGAATTATTTCGGGGTGTGCAAATCCCGCTAATGATCTCCAAGGGAATAATAGCCTTGGTGGTTAGTCCCGGAAGTGATTGTTCTCGAATGACTTTCTACCTCAGCCCTCAGAGTGTACCCTCTCACTCTGCTATTCAATATCAGACCCTCTATATATCTATTTTACTAATTTATCCAGAGGTCTCTAGGTGTCACCAATTCTTCTAATACCCTGCCCACACCGAATCCGTTATATCAAAAGGGATAAATTCATAGAAAGTTGCTAAAATACAACTTCTGGTTGCGTTCGGGATGTAGATTTTGAAGGTCATATCGGATAGCCCTTCCCTCCATACAGAAGTCAAAGGTTCGTTATAGATTCTGGGGTACAAGGGGCTCATTGCCGACCAGTCTCTTTTTTGCCAAAAGGATCGCTCGATCTTCCAGAAATGCTTTGTATGGCGCTTTCGGGACAGTCCTATCTTTGTTCTCCCAAATTTGAAGTTGTCGAGTAAGATTCGAGCTCGGTTTGACTTTTGGTTTCGACGGGACGAAGTTCAATACTTCCACTTTCGGGATGCGGAGTTTGCGCATCAGATAGGCAACAATCATCGTTGGAGCATGATATACCTAAATCACAGTGGATTAATATAGCCTCCGAAGATGCACCGCATAGCTCGTCATTCGTGATATGTTTGTGGTCGATAGGCAAGGATGACAATGAAGATAGAGCAGGAGATGCCATTTGGTCAATAAAAGTCGTAAATCTCACTTATATGGACAAGAAGGTCTTGCGTTGATACAATTTTCTCGGAGCATGTCCCGGTTGTGTGAGCCTCATCCGGGCCGTGAAAGCCATCTCCCACTTCTTGTTCCTGTCATTTTTGGTATCCTTTTCTATCCTTTTCTGTTGCATGCTTGTCCATTATGGTTTACTTGAGGTTTCTTTTCTTCCTCCTTTGAACCCGAAGAATGGTGATGGCTGAGGGATTGAAGGTTGCTTGCGGGGTTAGAGTGGATGAGAGTAGCGCCCGATTGTGAGCTCATGTTTCGCTTAGAAACCCTCATATAAGTGAGCCCTATCCCAAGGTTGACTGCCTAACTTAACAAGAAGTGACTAACTATTCTCCTCGATTCGATTATTGAAACCCCTCAATCTAGTTTTGTTGTCTTGTGCATCTGTCCCACTTCTATCTATATAACCCAGTCGTCTCTGCTATATTCTGGCGCGGCTCAGTTGCCTGGAGAGTTTAACAATATAAAAAGATGGGTCGCAGAAGAGAGCCCCGCTGTCCGGCATTTGCACCGAAGCCCGAATCAGCCGCAGAGTGGAGATGACATCCGGGGATTTCTCGGCCGGCCGAACCCGCATCCACCTCGGGTGTAACGAGAAACAACGGTGATACGTGGATCACATTCATCGGCTCGGCCGGGGTACGGCAGGAGCCAGCGATCCGGCCGAGTGGATTAGAGCCCCGTGGCACCCCAGAAATGATACATATACATTCTAATGAAGTGTCCCGCATCTATACAATTCACACGACTGGACCGTCCCCGCTCATACTCGGAAACAACATCACGTCTGACACCCGGGCCAGGATATTGCGCATACTCCAGTCCTCGACCGGCAGCACGGTCGCCAGCTTGGGCGGGAGTTCCGGACTCGTATCAATCGACGGAGGCGAGGGAAACACCCGAGTAGGAACAACCGGGGCGGGCTTGCGGGCACGAAAGGCCTCGCGGATCTCGCGCAGCGCCCGCAGCGACGAGGACAGGTGTTTGGCAGAATCGGTGCGATTATTCGAGTGAGCTTCCCCGTCGTCGTACACATGGTCGGCCAGGACCACCTCCAGACGGTCTATCAGCGCCAACGTCTGCGGACCGTCGTCGTTGGCGACCAGCAAGAAGGCGGATGCAATGCTTCGCTGCAAACTGACCCACGAGCGTGAGCAATGCGAATTAATCTCGTGCAGCTCGACAAAGGAGTCGACAGTGCTAATTAGACTCGCAATGCAGTCCTCGCGGATCAGGGCCCGGCGCTGCTCGTCAAGATGGGCATGCGGGTCCAACGAAACCCGGCACAACACGGATAGCAGATACGATGAATGCAGTCGCAGCTCGGTGCGCTCGATGTGCTCGACCAGCGTTTGGCAGCGGTTTCGGTGCTGCAAATGCGGCGTCGCCTCGGCCAATATCCGCTGGATCCGCTGCTTGTACTCCCGGATTTCGTGAAACCGCGGTTGTGAAGAGGCCGGATACATGCGGGTCCGCAGCACTTCTAAAGCCAGCGACACGATCCGACACAGGGTCTCAAAGTAGGACCGGTGGCCCGGCATCGATTTACGATCAAAGGGAATTTCCGGCTGGCTGACCATGGTGATGGAAGGCCGATCATACGCGAGTGAGAAATGGCTGTTTTGAAAGGCCATTGTCCACCTAACACTTCTTAGTATGCAATATGCAACCTCGAAAAATCCCCCGGGCTTCTTACCAGACACGCCTCCGCACGGCTTGCTCCGCTAATGAAAAGCCCGTCGACTCGACGTGGAGACCCAACATTAAACACATACGCTCCGTCATGCCTGGACGGGTTAAAGGAATGCTCAAAATTAGGGGAAGTAATCACATACCGAGCAAGGTGTAAGAGGCACCCGCATTCATATTATATGATAAAATATTGCTGATAATCAAGAGAATCTGTATTACCTCAACCGTGGGCTGCGACACATAGTTCAACATTCGCAGACAGTGATAGGCGCAAGACACTGCAGCTGTCAGTATGGCCACTTCTTCGGGTGGAAAAGAGATAACCCACCATACACCCATGAGGTCAATTCGCGGTCTCGACTCGGGAAATCAGACAGCTGGCAGCCCGAGGCAAGGACCGCAAAAAGCAGACTGAGAAAAGCCAAGTCCATGCCAAACGGCTTCACTAACCCATTGGCATCGGGTCGATATTCCCCACCAGCACGCCGCCGACCTTCAAGGAGCTGACTTGTTTTGCGTTCCAGCTCGTCCAGATCGGACAAAACTGGATACAGCACGGCACCAATATCCTTATAGAAGCCCAGAAAGCTAAAATCGATCAGCACAGGCCACCTAGTCCCCAGACCAGAGGAACTCACTGCCAACACTTATCATCGTCCGGAAGAACATCGCACACCCCGGCAATATTGAAGGTGAAGGGGTCGGAGGACCACAAATCTACAAACGGGTATGCCACAGACTCGTTTCCCAATGCCAGCTCGGCCAGCAGGTCATCCTGCGAGGGTGCCTGGGCCGTATCCTCAGACCGTTGCGATTTGTTGAGAATGTCCACCAACGCCGAGCGGTATCCCAGATGGACCGCACCCGTCTTCAAGGCATTCGACCCATACACGCCCTCCGACCGATTGGAATTCCTGCGCTCGACCGGCGGCCAGTCCGGCCGTCGACGGTTAGAATGAGACTGGAAGAGCGAGTGCAAACTCCCCAGGATGTGTTCCATGGCAGCCATTTTGGTATTGATGTCATCCCACTCCGACTGCGAGATATCAACGAGGTCGGGCAGGTCCGGATCGTCGCTCGCCTGCGAGGGTAGGTCTGTTGCAAAGGAACCATCGCGTGTGTGGGCCCGGCGTGGATATGGGTAGGATGGCGAGGAAAATGAAGGCGGCTGGAAGGGAGTAGAGGAGGCGGAGGCGAGTTTCGTAGACGGGCGACCGTAGGAACAGGTAAAGTTGCGCTTGACGCAATTGCCGCAGGGAACGTTGCGATCGCAGCGGACTTTGCTGGCGCGGCAGGGCAGACAGGTCTTGCATTCGCGCGGTCGGCGGCGGATGGGGTTCCCATAAGACGACATCCTAATTATTCTTTTATCGGAACCCCGCGGGTGCTGCAGAGCGAGGGGAGGGAAAGTTGGCGATCAAACGGCATGGAGTGGAGTCGGAAGATTGGCAGCTTAACGGGCGCTGTCACTGGGAGCTGTCATTGTCACTTCCACTGTGCTCATCATGCGGGCGAAATCAGGTTGATCAAGATCAATTCTCTTGGAAGTTTATCGATTCGAGTCGAGAATCAATCCACGACATAGACCGTCGATCGCAGAGTGAGATAGAAGCTAAAACCTTGGCGTTGGAAGCTGGAAGATGCTCGAGTGGATGATTTCATCCGCCTTAAAGTGGAATGGCCGCATTAGGCATGTTGCTGCCCGAGGTTTCTACTATATCAACGTCCAACCTCCAAGGGAGATATGAATGGTTCTATCAAGGACAGGATGGTATTTCTACACAGGATCAACTCGTCATTGATACATTGCTACCATCAGGCGGGTTTCGCCGAAACTTGCGGCACCACCCACCAGTCGTGCCACCGGTTTTTGGAGCCCACGTCGGGGACATCCACCTGCAGTGTTTTCATGTTATTAGATGTCCCGGTAAGCGCCTTTTTGACCGTCTCAATGGTAATACTGCTGCCAATACAGGCGCGCATGGTGTCTTTCACGTCGCGCTTCCAATCCTCCTCAATGGCAATGCTCGGCATTTTCGCCGGCAGAGACGGGTCATCAATAAATGGCCCATGGGCAAGTGTGGCTTCCCATGCGCGCCGGGCTTCGATAATTGCTTTAGATGCGCGCTCTAAAACAGTGGCATCGCTATCGCCCTCTAGAGTCGCCTCGCGCTGATATTCCTCGTACGGGACCAGTTCCGGCAAGGAGATAGGAAGAAAATGTTTCATGCGTAGCTCGTACCGTAGCTTCTCACTCGAATATGCTTCGGGGGATGACGCAGACGGCAGTACTTTGTGACGAGCCAGCAGCACATACAGTGCATGCAAGGCAATGGCAAAAGCATCGACCGCAATAAGATGAGTGGTCAGTCGTTCAAGGGTCCGGAAGGATTTGTGGAAGGCGGCCGATTTAGGAACAAGATTGTCCGCGCGATTGCTGGCGGACATGATGTCTCGCTTTCTCGTCGCAACGGTGAACGTGCGGATTCGATCGATGTGTCCAAGATGCGTGGAGCATATATGAGACAAGTACCAGTACATGCCGGGAAGCTCCTCCGGCGCGTAGATTGAGAGCTCGAATCCCATTTGGAGGATGAGCCGAAGCTGGTTGAGTTTCTGGTGGTAAGCCCAGCTACTGAGCGGATACGTAAAGGTCTGCTCTCCGTTCTGCAGCGGCATCGGTGGTTCCGCGCTTAACGTGCGGATTTGAAGATCAAGATCCTCGGCCTAGTTACGTGAGTCAAAGTTCATCAAAATGAGATATTCAACTGACCTCCATCTGGAGATTATCCCAGTCCACAACGGTATGGCAAATCGTGCGACGAATACGACATCGGTTTAGACAAGCAGAACGCACAGTATCCACAAAAGGCTGCGGGGGTTAGCAGGGATAATATAGCAGTTGAAGAAGAAGGAAAAAAAAGTCGACAAACCTGCGCAAATCGTTTCTTAAACTCGTCCATCTTTTGAGCAATCTGGAAACGAGGATCAGACGGAAGCTCCACCTCGTCCGTGCTGGCCTCGAGCAAAATACTGGAAGGCAGCACCAGTTCGGCCAGATCGTCAAAAAGAAACTGCTTGACGGGAACAGCACCAAGAATAGTCATTTCACTGACTATCAAGGCTTGCAGGAGACATCGAATATAAACAGACGGCTGCGGCTTGCGAGATAGCAATGTCCATACAGCAGTCTATGGATGTCAGCGATGTTCAGTCAGTGATATAGTAGAGGCCTACCTTGAAGTTACTAGACCCGTGGTAATCGAGGATTTGTTCCATGTCAATGGCATCTTGGCACAACCGTTCCAAGTGTGCCAGCGCGTCATCGTGGCCGAGCTGCACTATCGGACGAGGTGGCACAGTGCTAGCGAGTCTTCGTTGGATCTTCATGCTGAATGCTTCGGGCAATGGCTTCCCCAAGGGCACTGAGCTTTTCAGGGGACCCAGATGAGATACACATGACTTAAAATTTTCGGTCGACCTGGTATCGAGAATATCAAGATCCTGGTCCAGTGCCGCCAAAAACTCACGCCGAAACAATAGCCGGCATCGGATGGCATCCCGGAGCTTCTGGTCGATGCTTTTCTCTTCATCAACCCAAGCCACTGCCTGATCCAGCAGACGGTAGAAGTGGGATGTATCAAACATGGCCAGCAGATTGCGATTGTAGAGTTGCGAAACAAAATCTTCCTCCTCATAAAAGTACTCAGAGGTCACTCGAATATGGACCAAATCACAGGCCTTGATCAATGCCAAACAGTATGCCCTTAGAACGAGGTTGACTAGAGGCGAGTCACTGGGTGGGCGATCGAACCGGGCGTCCTCGGCTGTTTTTGGGACGGGCCACAGTAGTCGATCGATATAAATCGACGTAAAAAGTGTTTGCGAAAGAGGATGGCCCCTGTGCCACGCCATCTGTCCCAATATCAGCAAAGAACATAACTACCCGGCCACAACACACCCACCTCGTGACAGAGCAACTGATCCATCAAGCCCACGACCTCTTCTGGTGTCAACGCCCGCCGCACATCGTAGTCGTCCTCCAGCGCCTGCGCATGGTTTTCCCCCGGGGCAATATATCCACTGTCCATTTTGGAGTCCATAATCTGAAAGCGATTGGGAACGGATCAGCGTTTCGTTTCAGATCGCACTTTGTTGGTGATCACGCACCTCCAATGCGCCCACGGCCTCAAATAACGTGAAGAGCTCATCTTTGACAAGCTTTCCGGTGTGTAGCTCTAGAGAACACCGTGAAAATTAGCTCTGGAAAAAAAAGATACCTCCAACGAAGATCAACTCACTGGCGGCGGCTTCTGTGAACTCGGCGGTGATGTCGCGCGGGACAGCGGACTGCGCAACCCGCGGGCGGGGAAAGCGAACCTCGTTATTTGGCAACATCACAAAGGACAGTCGAGGCTCTGCAGTCCGCTGCCGATGCTACTCATGCGAGCAAAGTCCAGAGAGCGCAGGAGTGTAGGATCACACGAATCGAGGGGTGGGCGGGGGGACGAGGGCGGAAAAAAGCGCTTCGGGCTGGAATTGGGTGGGAGTGACGCGCCCCGGCCACCACAGCACAAAACAACGATTTCAGTAACGTGCACTTTGAGCGCATCCGACCGCTTCCCGAAAGATGATTCCACCGTGCATAACCCGACCCATCTTCGACAAGACGGCCATGGATTTAAAGTCTGGATTCTGTTTCTGCGAGTCTGTCGAGACATGCTCTGCGCACGAGTGATTGATCCCGACAGGGGGGTCTTCACAGTGCCCTGGGCATGGACTATCTGAAACAAACCATCCACAGAATCATCCAAATTTTGTGAGGGCAATTAGCTCGGGGCCTATTGATAAAGCCCTCGAGCGCGAGAACGACATCGACAGCGAAGAAGTCCTCGAGTTCTCGTCTACGAGCACGCGAGTGCGGGCTAAACGTGCAAAGAGCTTATACACATGTTCTTTTGTGTGTTGATGCCTAGCATAGACACTCTCGGGACGTTTTTCGTGCATATCTTCTTCGCCTGTGCTAGGAACCTGTCTGGGCGAACCTACACTAGGAGGTTCTGGTCCGCGACATGTATCTGTCAAACTTGATGTCTGAACTACAGTGCCCACAGAGCATTATAGTCTCTTACCGCTCTCAAACTAATCTTCTGCACCAGGCACAGCACTCTTCCCGTCCCTGTGGCCCGATTGGCTCTCCCGATCTGCTCTACCCAAAGAGTTGAATTGAAGGGCAACTGGATGAACGTCGGGTTGATTACAGTACGTTGGCTATTGACAGGGCCACCGTTGTACCCCATTAGCTATATAAGGTGGTATATATTTATTCCGCTCCCTCAATGAATCATGTGTTGTTGGCATCTCCGTTGCTTCCAGCCATGGTGCGTGAAGAGCAGGCTTACTGACTCTTATCTTCTATATCGCACCACGGTTTCTTACTGCACTACAATGTTTGATCATTTTACGCTCATCTTGACTCACAAATAAAGTGAATATATTCAAACAAGCTAACCTGCCTACTTTGTAGGTATTCATCATTGGATATTAAGCGAAAGGGCTCATAAGCTATTGGGTTCACATCAGTCCCAATTAGCGGGGAGGCGACCTCGTTCAAGCCCTCCGGTCGGTCATGGATTTTTATCCTAGTAGCATCGATCATGATAGAATGCCTTGATTCAAGTACAGTTATACGGTCTGCCATTTCAAGCTGGGTCGTCATAGATAGTATACCTCGAGCCGTATACCTCGGTACCTAGGTAGGCATTATCTAGGGCTAGGTAACGAGTGCATCTGGGCTGGGCCAAAACCATAGTGAATTTTAATTATGAACAATCTCCTACCCCCATTTTCTCATCCTCGCCATGGTTATAATGCGAGTCCAATTTAGCTCACTGGGTGGAGTGATGGCGAGCCTTGTCGACAGTAACGATAACCCTAATCGGCGCTTGTCATTGGCCCGCAGGTAGAAGGAGCGAAGAATCAAATCGGCTGATCGACAGACTAAACTACTGAAGAAATGGAGATCTTAAAGTATTAAATCACGGAAGAGAGGGAAAGAGACTGCAATGAGTCTCTCCTACCACCCCTGAGTGTCTTTGTTTATTTGTTTTCGCAAAAGGCGCGGCCCCAATCCAGGTGGCTAGTCAACCCTTTTTTTTTTAGGGCCATCCTCTCTTAAGCGATCAGGATTGATATTTCTGCCACTATGATGCTTCCACTGTAAGCGTATCCACAGTAATCTCAAGCCCGAAAGTCACAGCTCAACCCTCGGGAAATATCTATCCACCGTCAACACCGTGAAGGAAAAGAAAAAGAAACCAAGCCACGGGCAAACCAGAAAAAGAAAAGAAAAGTTCCACTCTCTGTACTCTTCTTCTTTCCTCTTCCAGGCATACTGTACACAAATAAATAATATGGGGCATACTAAAAAGTCAACCAGTGGGCCTCGGGGCCCAAACAGGATCTGCGCCAGCTCATGAAAATCTTTTCACTGCACTCATGAAACCATCCACCAGTGGAATATCCCCATATTTAGAATGGATTTGCATGCAAATGCGAGGGTAGACTAAAACAAATCTGGATCCTCAACAACCTCCATAAATGAACCACGCCTGTCGCATGATAGATCTCCAAAAGAGGAATCCCATATAGCCTCAGAATCATGTCCCCCTGGGCGCTAGGGCAGTTGAACTGTATTGGGCTACGATGGGGCGCAACAATGGAGAAAACAACCCGCCAGTCGATGCTGGCAGGTAAAGGGGACTCCACTGAGTTTTATATAGCATAGCTCGCGCTTGTGTGATTCCCTGGCCCCGGCGATCTTATCCGGATTCAACGTTTGAAAGTGAGCCCAAATTCTACTAGAATTGCTGACCCACTCGTGAATCCCAATCCGGTGTCCTAGGCTGTTGCTTTGACATCGCCCATTCTTCCTTGAAAGCACTAAACCCATCGTCTATACGCATGATGTTGCTTTGCCCCAGCCGATGCTTGTCCATCCTTCATTCTTGATACTCCAGAAAGTGTACATCCAGGATGGCCTGGCTGAGAGAGAATCGGGAAACTCTTCCCAGTGTTCTTTTGGGGGCCTCCTGGAGGATCCATTCAACTTTTCTGGTGGGTAAATCATTGCCACTGTAGACTGTGGCGGATAAATATCGTCCACAGGCCAAGTCTCAATACAACTCTCCCTATAGGCCCTCTGAACCAACTTGCATGGACAGGCCTCCACACTTGAGCGCCCCCATTCATTCCACTCTCTCATTGAGGTCACCTCACGGGGAGGGGGGGGGGGGGGGGGGTGCGCAGGATTTCGGTGTTTGTAGAGACTCAGGGTGAGCCAATTGATTCCAGTAGTTCCACCAGCGTATAAGATGAGGGTAAATGTAGTGCCCCCAAGGAAGTTTCTTTTTTTCCCCTGTTTTTTCTCTCATAGCGCTGTCAGTGCTGCTCTTTTTGTCGTTTCTCTTTTTCTCTTATGTTTCCTCTGCTGTTATCCCTCCATTCTGCTTTACACAATGCACATAGCAAAGATGCCTCTACTTTTTGGCTGCTTGCTAGCCCTAGCCGTTTTCGTTGCGCTTCCTGATCCCACCTCTGCCTACCCAGCTCACTCGCAAGATCTCGTACCTCGAAGCACGGGAGAGGTAGATACCTACCCAAAGAGGCAGGATACGACACAACTCGGTAAACGACGCCCAACGCTACCTGCCATATTCCTGATCACCCTAGGAGTTGGGTTCCTGGGAACCCAGTCCCTGCTCGCCGGATATTCAATGAGTACCGCATGTGCCAACGCCAAGGGAGAAGCTCCAGGCGGATGGGAAAAGGCATGTATTGCCGCATTTGTCGAGGTACAAATCGAGAGGGTATTATACACATTCTTTGGCGTTCTGTTCGTCTTGGTCGGGATCTATGGAACCGGGAGAGCCTCACGCACGGAAGGGTTACATGGCACCGAGGGCACCGAGTACGACGGCATGGATCCTGACCTGGAGCGAATGTCCCGCATGCAAGCCATGAGGGCCCAACTCTGGGCCTATCGCCAAGAGGACGACCCAGAGCTGGGTCTGCCCCGACGAAAAGGAAAAGACCGCCGGCATTCCAACGACGGACATCCATCATTGCTCGGCGAGAAAAGCTGTGAAGACGACGCGGACTTGAACTGTGTGCCGCACCGTGTGTGGTATGACTCCCCCAGCACGGGCAGTCTCCACCGACGAAACGGCGCCGGCGACATACACGCGATCCATCACACTCCTCTCGACTTTGACTTCCGCACCCCTTCGCGTCGACGCCGTGACATTCATATCAACCCCGTCCAGGACCACTTCAACGACAACTACATCGAATGCGCCGGTGAAGAGGTGCCGTCGAAGAAAAACGACGGATTTTTTAGTGGGACCGTCTACCGGATGAATCTGGAATCCTTGAAGCATGTGCAATTGAAGAACGACTCCCTGAAGCTCGGCCACGAGAAACAAGCATTGGGCGATGCTGCGCGGGCGACGCTTCCGCGCATGCAGCCTGCGCTGAAACAAGGCCAGGAAGGCATGTTCTGCCTGGACTTCTTTGTCCAGGACACCGACGACAAGTGGCACTGGGGTATTACGTCCTACTACTACCAAACCACGAATCCGAATCATCATTATGGCCGCAATGAGACCTTTCTGGAGAGTTGTGCGCGGGCAACTTAAGCTGGCGTGCGTTGTTGATTCGAGGATGTTTTGTCAAAACTAGCTGGGCCGGCGTCAAAATATTTCTTATGCATTTCCCGGTGTTTTCATGCATAGAAGAATAAAACCCATTGTTGACCATGGAGTTGATCTGACCTTTGGCCTCTTTTCTCCCTGTTTTGGTCCCATCAGTTATGGCAATATAGCATTGGGCGTGGCATGTTAAAATGGGGTGTTAGATAGTCACTTAGGAGTATGTACCATCAACTAAAAGACGCGAATCTTGGTTGCATGTTTTTTCTTGAATCTTTTTGATAGCTGGTTCTGATTACGTTTCAAGTCCATGGCACCGTGGACTATGCCGGAATAACCAGATCCCAATTGAAGCCATTTTGATTTTGAATGTATGTTAGCTGAATGGTAGATCAGAGTGAGATGAAGATGTTGCAATAGCAGCTCCATAACCCAGTCACCAAATCAGCGGAATGAGATGCGTCTTTCTCTTTTGGTCGTCTTTTCTTGCCTTATTCATCTTTTATAACCCAGATTCTGTCAACCTCCACCGGCGCATCTCCCCAGATCAACTGCCGAGATGTTCAATATCACTGCATCTACCTCCTCTTTCCCCTGGACCAAATCAATTCAAGGTGCTATGTGGGAAAAGAACACGAAAAAGAGAAAACAAGAAAACAAGCCAATCACCTGTCCACCGGAGAAGCGCTGGTGTTGGGACCAGAGAAGCAAAGAAATATTGTACGAGAAGGCAAAATAACAGGTGCCTGCACAGGCGTTGCGCAGGATAAGGGTAAGACCGGGAGCCTATTAGAACTCCCAATCCTCTTCAACCGACTTGATGGCCCACTCGAACTTCTCACGGAGGGCCTTGGAAAAGAACTTCTCAATGGGCACGTCAAACTTCTTGCTGAAAACAACAGAGAGACGGGGATCAATGTAGTTCTGGAGAAACTGTTAGTCAATGCGCAGTAGTGCCAGCAGCCAGACCAAGAAACTCACGATCTTCGAAGTTCCCAGCGCGACCTCTTTGTTGTCTTCTTTATCCTGGGCCTGGACGGACATGTTCTCGACGCGCTGGTCAAGCTTGACAATGTTGGCCTCAAGCTTTTCAACCGAAGGCCCCCTGCCCTCAGCCTCCACCTTGCCGGTCTTGTTCTCCTTATTGAATTTCTTATCCATCTCTTTGACGACCTGCAGGCGCTCCTCGAGTTCAGAAGCCTTCATCTCCTTCTCGCCCTCGGCGACCCGCTTCTCGTTGTCTTTCTCGAACTTCTTCTTTATTTTCTGAGTCTGTTCCTCCATAAGGAAAGCTTGGTGCTCCTTGACCCAGTCCTGGTCGAGATCCTCGTCCAATTCAAAGAATGAGGCGCCCTTCTTTTTCTTCAGGCTGGGCTCCAGATCGAGCATCTGCTGCTTCATCCGCCACTTTTGGTAGCGAAGTCCTTTGATCTGTTGGTAAAATACAACCATCATTAGTCGTCCCTGACTAACGGGAGTAAAGTGACAAAAACTTACCCGTTCGCTCATCTTCTCCATCTGGTTCGCATGCCCGGCGGTGACGGTTCGCTTGTGGTTACAAAGGATAGCAACCTTGCGGTTCGCATCATTGTACGCCTTGACTTTCTCGGCGACTGTACCCGTGGCTTTCATTTCCCTCAGCAGGTTGCCCATGGTAAAGGAAGCGTTGTAGGTACGGAACACCTTAGCAGTCAAGCCCGGCATGTAGTTCTGAAGGTGCTTGTTGAGAGCAGAAGTCTTTGTTCTGGGTCAGTTGCGTCCAAGCTTGTCCACCGGGGGGCATTCATACCGTCAACCGGTCAAAAACCTCGTCTCCATTTTTCTTGGGGGCCTTCTTAAAGATTTTCAAATTCTTGAAAACTTGCGGGTCCACCTTGACCTCGTCATAAAACCGAATGCTATCCTTACCCAGGAAATCGAAAACGACCGTGTTCGGCGGCTTGAGAGTGATGTTTTCGTACTTGAGAGAGCAGCAGCCAACAGTTTCCGCCTCATCTTCACCTTTCTCATTTCCGGCACGGAGAGCAAATTGATCAATGAGGTAAACAGCTGTGGCCTTTTGGCGCTCCACCATCATGTCATGCTTGAGGTTCTTTTGGTAGTCCTTGCGAATCCGGTCGATGTATTTCTTGAGCTCACGGGCCTTCTCGAATTTCTTGTAATCGCTTTGTCCTTTGACGTCGGAATTGGCGGCCAACATCACATACTTGTAGTTGCCGTTGATGTTCTCCTGCCACATAGCAAGCCAAGTCCCTTCTCGGTCATGTTTCACCTCCTTCCAGCGGTGGCCTTCTGGGGGTGGCGGGACCTTGGCCTCCTTGCCGATGTTGATGGTGATTTGCTCAGGCTGCACTCTGGTCTTGACACGGCCAGTTTTGGGGTGCTCGCCTCGTCCACGGAAGAGCGAAGGAGGTTCCACACGGAAGTTTCCTACCTTCTGCTTGCGACCGTCCCAAGTGCAGAACATGTAAGGACCCTCTTGCTCATCTTTCTCAGCTTTGAGGCGCTTTTTCTCGGCCGCAGGCAGGTTTCTCTTTTCGTCACGCTGGGCATCGAAGAACTCGAACATAGGCTTGAAGTCGCACTTGGAAAACTCCTTGATGTCAACCTTGTTGCCTTTGGAATCTTTCGCACCCCCGGTCTCCTTGAGAATATCCTTGAAGTCCATGAAGAAGTTTTTCTGGAACACAGGGTTCTCCACATTGTGGGTGGAATTAAGCATGGTTCCGAAAAACCCAGCAACCTCTTCGGCTTCAGGCGCGAGCGTGACTGGAATTCCGTCATACTTCATTTTGACGTTCTTGGGTAATGGTTCATACGGAGGAGGGAAAACCACGCCGTTGTGCTCCAGCGTCGTCCATTTGGTGGTCCCATCGCTCTTGGTGGGGTCTTCCCACCACCGGTATTCATCTTCTTCCTCTTTCTCATCCGCGTCCTCGCTCTCTGCCTTGACTGCGGTGGCTTTGCCCTTGCTCTTCTTAGGGGTCACTGGCTCTGCTTTCACTTTTTTCAGAGCGGCCTTGTTGTCAAGGGGTTCCTTCTTGACACCGTTGGTCTGCTTTTTGGCTGCCGCGGGCTTGGCCTCCTTCTTCGGAGCTGCAGGTTTCCGCGTAGCTTTTGCGTCCTTGGCCGCGTTCTGTTCAATCTTCTTCTTTTCGGCAGAAAGCTTTCTTTCGATTGGAACATCCGAGTCCGACTCGTCCCCGATAGCCGTCTCGGAAGCCTTGGGCAGCTTTCTTCCGTTGAGTGCCAGAGGCACATCGTCGTCTGTTTCGGGATCCTCGTGCTTCACCGACGTCCGGCGACGTTTGCTCTGTCGAATGGTCAGCCGCTGAAATCAACAGCGACGCTAGAGTCGCGGAGGGTAGAACGTAGACGATATCATCATGGAGCGTAGCGTACCAATGGTTGATCCTCTTCCTCACTCGATTCAGGTTCTATATAGAACTTCTTCTGATCCACACTTGCACGGGATTTGCGCTTGCTGAGCCCACGCGCATCGCCCTCAGCGTCCTCCATGTTGACGTCCTTGTCTTGCACGGGGCCAAACCGAATAGAGACACCGGGGTCGATGTGACCATTGGCTATTGGGGCACTGGCATCTTCCATTTTGACGTCAGGGGACTTCACGTTGCTCTTCGCTGAAGGAGGGTTGGCTAGAATAGAGGACGGCATGTTAACCAAGGTCAATTTGAAATTAAATGCAAGAATCAAGAGCCAGAGCTAGTGAGGAATAGCGGGGATAGGGGGGAATGAAAGGAAAAAGTGACGGGTTGCGATGAAAAACAGAGAAAAAAAAGCCGAGGGAGCGCATAGATGCAACCGAGTCACCCGAGGGGAGCTTACCATTAGCACGACCATTCGCGCGTACGAGGGGGGTATCGTCCTCGGAGGAGCTCATGATGGCAGCTCGAAGCCCTGGAAGGCGAAGGCGAGTCTGAGAGTGAAAATACCGAGTCGCGAAGGGGAGATGACCTCGTGCGCCGCGCCGGGCAAACAGAGCCGACACCTGATAGAACGATGAAGTCGAGCAAATTCTGGCCAATGAAGAGAGAAGAGACTACAAAAAGAGGGATGATGCATCAATGATGCCAAGGGGGAAGGGGGTTAATGGGGAGACGTGGAAGGTGAGGAAGATGAGGTGAGAAAAGTCGAGAAAGTAGAAGAGGTTGGGGGAAATGAGCGAGGAATGGAATGGAAAACGAGGCCGTGACCACTCGTCGATGGGCTGCCTGAACTTACAGGCTGCCACATGCGCCGAATGTCGGAATGGCTCGCCGTAGAGAATTGCCTACTTGGGTTTAGCGCGCCCTCCCACGGCAGGCGGACGGACCCAGGAGTTCAACTTCGCACTTCCATCCCGAGCGAGGCTTCTGCGTCGAACGAGTGACCCTCCCTACTCTCCACCCCTCCCTTTCGCAGTCCCCATCTGCCATCCTCAATCCTCTTCCAATCTCTTGCACCATGCTTACCCGTGCTGTTCGCCCGGCCCTGAGGGCTGGCAGTGCTGCCGTGACCCGGTAAGTCCTCGGAACCCGCCTCGTGCCAGCTGCCCTTTTACCCGGAGCACCCGACGCAACTACCTCGCTGCGGCCCCAGCCAGATATTGTCTGGCCTGGAGATTTGAAACACAATTCGAGTTGCTAACTAGGAATTTAGCACTGCCCCGCCCAATGCCGCCAACTTCGCGACTCTGCGTGAGATCGAGGGCCGTCTCAAGTCCATCAAGAACATCGAGAAGATCACCAACACCATGAAGATTGTTGCGTCTACCCGTCTCACCCGTGCCCAGAAGGCTATGGATGAGTCCCGCGCCTACGGTCAGACCTCCAACACCGTCTTCGAGAAGGCCGAGACCAAGCCGCTGGACGACAAGAAGACTCTGCTGGTCGTTGCCAGTTCCGACAAGGGTCTTTGCGGTGGTATCCACTCGGGTCTGACCAAGGCCACCCGCCGTATTTTGGAAAACACTCCCAACGCCGACATTGTCATCATGGGTGAGAAGGCCAAGGCTCAGCTGTCCCGTGTCGCCGCCGACAAGATTGTCCTGAGCTTCTCCAATGTCTGCAAGGACATCCCCACCTTCGCCGATGCTCAGGCCGTCGCCGACCAGATCGCTCTACTGCCGACCGACTACGCTAGCGTCCGCATCATTTACAACTCGTTCATCAACGCCCAGAGCTACGAGGCTACCGCGATCGAGGCCTACTCTGAGGAGGCCATTACCCAGTCTCGTGCGTATTCCAACTTTCTCAGACACTCATATTTTCAATGCTAATGCCACTGTTTCTCTTCCAGCCAACATCTCGTCTTTCGAGGTTGACGATGAGGCTCTGGCTAGCCTTCGTGAATACGCCCTTGCCAACAACCTCTTCTGGGCCATGGCCGAGGGCCATGCTTGCGAGATCTCGGTACGCATTTTCTTCCAGGTTCAATCCAAAACTGATCCGCTAACCTTACCCCCAGGCTCGTCGTAATGCTATGGAGAACGCCTCCAAGAACGCCGGTGAGATGATCAACAAGTATGACTACGTTCCCTGTTTTTACAGATTGTCGTGACTAACCACCCCTTAGGTTCCAGATCTTGTACAACCGTCAGCGTCAAGCCGCCATTACCGGAGAGCTGGTCGAGATCATCACTGGTGCCACCGCTAGTGCGGACATGTAGAAGCACCCTTCTACACGAAGAAGTCGTCCTTAGTGTAGACTTGTTCATATTTAGATCAGCCTTCTGCTTGTGTAAAATCAGTGTCAATCCATTTCTATCTCCTTTGTGTCATGGGGTCAATTCCCACCGTAAGTGGTCGTGACGGCGAGTACCGGATACCGTGATGTCTTGCCAGGCTCTTTCCGTCTCACGACTTTGCCTGAATCTGTGCGCTGCCTCCCTTCTACACCATTTCTCTATCATTATGCCCTTCTTTTCCTCCCCCACAAACCAACCCGTCATCTCCTTTTTCTTCAAGAGAGCCAGCTTCTTTTTAGACTGATTTGATCCAGGCTCACGACTGGGGTTATCTGCAACACCAACCTCCTCTCCTTGTCCAAGTCTTCCCAAGACAACACACTCGAGAGTGAGATACCTGCTTGCATTACTTGATATGTCGTCAATTCGAGTTGCTGTCGATTTCTATGCCACCCTAGGTGTGTCCCATCGAGCTACAACCAAAAATATCAACGATGCTTACCAGAAGCTCGCACTGAAACACCATCCAGACAAAGCCGGCACTGACGCTGCCTCTCTGGGGAAGTTTCAACGTGTAATTCACTCCCACTTGTGCTTTCAGATCCTGGTAACTAATCAGCTCATGGCCAACAGATCTATGAGGCAGTGGACACCCTCCGGGACCCCGATCGACGCCGCAGATATGACCACTTGCAGGGTATCGATAAAAGAGACAGCCGATATGAAGCAGGTTGCGCGAGAGGAACGGTATACGTGGATCCGTGGTCAATGGAAACTCTTCAGCCTTGCTGCGACCCGAGCGAAGAGAAACCCGAGTCTACAAACACCTACACGCTTGAAATATGGGAGGCCGATTATGCCGGCATCGACCCGGAATTAGAAAAGGCAAAGGAGAAAATGCGTAAAGAGGCAATGCAGCAGGAAGGGCTGGACGAGACAACAGGGAACGAGACCGATGTGGAACTAGAAGACGGGGAAGAGGGCGTCGAGCTCGACCAGGCGACTGAATATGCAACTGCTGAATTCTGTTTTCACAATGGTGACGTCTGCGACTGCTACCGCTACCTTTTCACTGATCTCACACTTGAAGATGACGAGGGCTCTGGCTGCCTCGCTCAAGACAGTAACATGGAAACCACTGATGACGATGAATCGAACAATCGACTCAATATCCACCAGTCCGACGAAGTCGCTGAAGTGCATCTTGATACCAACGCCAATGCCCCACTGGATTCATTGAGGGCATACTTCCAAGCCAAACGCATTGATGGTCGTGGCCACTACACGACTGAGGACATGCACGCCAAGCTCCATTGCATGGTGCTGGGAACCTTCTGCGGCTGGCTTGAGGGTGCTCGTCTATCGTTCCCTAATGCTCAGCCGGTGTCTAGTCAGTCTGATCCACATTCTTGTTCTCACGTGGGATCTTGGATCAAAGGTTTGACTCGCCCCGGTGCGAGTTCTGTTACCAATGGTTGCCCATCTGTGTCCTGACTTGCCCAGGCCGTGGCATCCAGGCGTGCGTCCGGTACAATTTGCGAGATATTCGGAAGTCACTGCGACGTCAGATCATTGATCCTGGGGTTTCTTTTCCTTTTCGTTCTTCCACGGCGATTTCCATGTTACGTAGCATGTCATGGACGGTGGAGAGCAGTGTTTACTCGTTCAGTAGGGCCACGCCGCTACGAATGCTTTTCCCCAAGTCGACTATTTGTTTTCATAACCAACGGTGATGTGCCCTATGCCAGTTAGTTCCAGATTAAGGCATCAATTGAAGAAAAAAAAAGTCGATTGATTCTAATTTCTAAGCATCAGTCTATATGTGGGTTGCATTCCTTCGTCAGACGTGTCGTATTCAAACATGTTTCTTCGTGTCATGCCAGGCAAGGTTGTATAGGCTATGCTCGAAATGCTCAGTGGCTCACGTTTTCAACAGCATGTTCAGGAGCGTCGACATCTACCAAATGTGAAGCTGGCCAGTATGGTAAGGCTACCTTCAGCAGGCGTCATTCAACGACCACTCCAATAGTATAATGGATTCCCCTGCGCATGGCCCCCTAAGAGGATGCGATAGGTGGGTGTCGTTGTATAGCTCGTTGAGTTCAGTACTCATCGATCAAATCGATAGATGACCAGCTCCCGGTTGCAATTTTCACCTAGCAAGTATCTCTCGCAGCCGCATATTTTGCCTCGTCCCGTGAAATCCAGGTTTTCCGCCGTGGCCTGTGAGCCAGGATTCTGAATACTCAGGTAGATCGTTGGGTCTTGAGCCCAATTGATCGGATCGAAGTGCAGACAGAAGCTGAGGCAGGCCTCTTGGTCGGTGACCTGGGCGATGACACCAAACCAGGACTCGACCAAGAATGCAAAGAAACTCAGAGGCATTGCTTGTAAGCTACAATTTCCACGATACGGTGGCAGTATAAATTCACTGTGTCGTCGCCAATGGGGACCATGTCCTGTTAGTGGGATGCTAGTGGTGATGGTCTGCGGAAGGCCGAATGGCTCGGGAGGTTCGTCGGTCAACCAGTTGCAGATGTTCTCTGTTATTTCCACAGCCTGGCCATCCTTGGTGACCTCGAGCCGCTGGATACTAGGACAACCCCGTTGTCGGACGGAGAAAAACTCCAAATCTCGGAACCCGAACCGTGACACAATGGATGGCCGCTGATCAGATTCCTCCTCTCTTAAACGCCCGGTAGGATCTAGCGATGGGCGGTAAGAAGATGGCATCGAGATATCCCAGACAAACAGCGACTCGATGGGTGCATCTTCGTCTGCCGTGTATAGGCTGCGATTAGGTTGCCATATATAAATCACATAGTGCGTGTTGCTATGTGCAGAGAAGAACCGGTCTCGCTCGCTCAGCGGATGGCCGAGGAACATTATCTTCCATTCATTGCGTGGAATGATGCTCCAGCCGTGATTTGCATTTCTGGTCACTTCGAAGGATGAGGCGAAGTGTCGATGCACTCCATCGCTATCATTTAGCCAGTGGAAGGCCTTGGGTTCTGCCCACTCCACCACCAACAACCGGTCCTGCAGCCGAACGCGACGGACAACTTTGCCGCGGATGGTGAAAGGTACCATGAACCGGCGGTCATTCTCCAAGTCCATCAGGACCAGACATTGGTCATCTGCGCTGGGATACACTAGCAGCCCGTCTTCCACCGACCATAATGCCTCGGAGAACTGGCGGTCAACGATCTGTCTCAGGTGGCTAGCGTGGGACTCCCATGGCTGGACCTGAAACCATTCTCGATCGCCTGAGGTGCCAAAATCATCGCATAGTCGATATTTTTGGATGGAGCGGGGCTTTCCTCGCTCGAGGTGATCATATCGAGAGGCGACCTGATCAAAGACCCGACGCCCATGGCGGGTGTCTTCTACGCCTGAGCGACCATTCTGGAGATCGCGGACTTCTTTGGTCCATGGGAATAGCTTCTTCACCAGAGGGAGCAAGATAACCGGGTTGCCAAAGGCCTCGTTCCAACAACGTGAAACGCGGCGGCAGCGAACCAGATCCCGCGGGGCCAAATAACCCAGGATCATCCAAAAGATGTCCCGGGGCAAAAAGGCCAGATTATTGCGAGTTTCCTGCAGCGTTTGGGTTGGGGCTGTCATTGTTGGGGACGCATGGGAAGGATGGCAGTTGGAGAAGGCGCTCTCCGCATGCCAAGAGCTTCAGGACACCTTGCGTCATGCCACTTTTAAACTGGCCTTTTCGCTTCTTCTTCTCTCCCATGCTTTTCTACCCTCTTGTATAGCTGTCCATTTGGATTTGCCTACACCCATCATCATGCAGAGCTCGGCTTTTCTGCTCGTCGCGTCACTTTTGGCAGCTTTGCCCGTCAACGCCGATGGAATATACACGAAGAAATCGCCGGTCCTTCAAGTCAACCAGAAAAACTATGGCTCGCTGATTGCGAACTCAAACCATACCTCAGTAAGTGGCAATCTACGACAGGCGCTCGATTTATTGGCTAATTTTCTTCATAGATTGTAGAGTAAGCTCTTTCTTTCTGTCATGGTCCCTCTGTCCCTTCTGACACGATCAGATTCTACGCCCCCTGGTGCGGTCACTGCCAGAATCTCAAGCCCGCCTACGAGAAAGCCGCGCAGAACCTGGATGGGTTGGCTAAGGTCGCCGCGGTCAACTGTGACGACGATGACAACAAGGGTCTCTGTGGCCAAATGGGCGTCCAGGGTTTCCCAACCCTCAAGATCGTCGTCCCATCCAAGAAGCCCGGAAAGCCCCGAGTGGAAGACTACAAGGGAGCACGCAGCGCCAAAGCCATCGTCGAAGCGGTGGTAGACCATATCCCCAACCATGTGAAGCGCGCTACCGACAAGGACCTGGACAAGTGGTTGGGGCAGAACGAGGAGCGGCCCAAGGCCATCCTATTTACGGAGAAAGGCACCACCGGTGCGCTTATGCGCGCATTGGCAATTGACTTCCTGGGCGCGATTGATTTCGCACAGGTGCGGAACAAGGAGACCGCCTCTGTCGAGAAATTCGATGTCTCTGAGTTCCCCACACTGGTCCTGGCCCCTGCGGGCGACGGCGAGAACAAGGTCTACGATGGTGAGCTAAAGAAAAAGCCCATCAGCGAGTTCCTCAGCCAGTTCGCTGCACCCAATCCAGATGCTGCCCTGGCCTCTGCCTCGGCAAGCGCAAAATCTAAGCCCAAGCCCAAGCCCAAGCCCTCCGCCAAACCCACCTCTATCGCGGACGATGCCGACGACATCAAACCTACCGCCTCTGCTGATTCGTCTGACGCTCCCGACTCCAAGCCTGCGCAAGTCCCCATCGCCGCGCCTCCAATTGCTACCCTCGCCACCCCCGAATCCCTTGAGTCCGCTTGTCTGGCTCCGAAGTCAGGCACTTGCGTTCTTGTCCTTCTCCCGGAGCCCAGCGAGCCGGACTCGGCGCTTCCATCGCTGGCCACCGACGCGCTCGCTAGTCTGGCTGAGATCGCGCACAAGCACGCCGAGCGTGGCGCTCATATCTTCCCGATGTACGCTGTTCCCGCCATCAACACTGGCTCGCAGACCCTCCGTAATGGACTGGGCCTGGCCGCTAGCCAGACTGTCGAGGTCGTTGCTCTGAATTCCCGTCGCGGATGGTGGCGCCACTACAGCAACGACGCGGACTTCGGCACTGTCGCGGTCGAGGCTTGGGTGGATGCGATTCGCCTCGGCGAGGGCGCCAAGCACAAGTTGCCGGACGGCATTTTTGTCGAGGCCGAAGCTGAGGCGGAGGCCAAGCCCAAGTCCGAGGAGCACGATGAGCTGTAAAAGTGAATATTGACATTCTGGGATCAAGTATGTTCGATAATTTGATAGCTCCACCCCGAGAAACCATGCATTTCTACCTCGTACATGCCAGTTCTACCTCGATTGTCTACGTATATCATATCGAAGTTCATGCGGTTAAAAATGCAGGCGAGTCATGTTGAGGTATATACACAAGAGGCGGATATCCTGCACGACACACTATTTCTTGTACGGAAACTGTTTTTGGGACAAAGGGAAATCCGACATAACACCTGAAGTAAAATGCAAAACACCGCTGGTATAAATCGAGACAACCGTCATGACTACTCTATTTTTTCCGGCCCTCGGTGCCCTTCTTGATCATCTTCTGTCGCTTCGAGTCGACCTCCTTGTCGTAGATTTCGCGCGCAGTCTCGCCCTTCTTCCGCTTTGATGCCTTGGGGGCTTTAACACTAACGGTAGAGGCGCCGCCGCCGCGGATCTGCTTCTCGGCGTCTTCCCATGAAGTGGAGCCGTTATCAATTTCGTATCTGGAGGCTGGAAATCAGTTATTGTTCATTCGAAACACATTCAAACCCAACCCAGGATATTGTGGTGACTTACTGGTCGAGCGGCAAAGAGTCAATCAGAGCACGCTGCTTCTCACGCATCTCGTCGTCGATCTGCTGGCCACCTTCGCGGAGCTCCTCGTCCAATCCGGTATCCAGAGGCTTAAATCGATCATTCGTGGCTTCGTCATGGGCATCGGTGGGAGGTGCCGTGGCGACTTGCCCCGACGGCATGGAGTCGGAGACAGCGCCCTCGATGACACCGCGGAAGTGAGTAGAGATCTTGCGGACGATCTTGAGGAACATGGCGAGGAGCTGCGAGGAGGGAAGGTTCAGCTCCTTCTCCAGGTCGTCCATACTCTTGCGCTGCAGACCGATGGCCAGGAGGATGGATTGCTGCACGCCAGAGAGGCTGACCTTGCCAGCGAGGCGATTGGCGAAGTAGTACTCGGAGATGAGGGGCACCATGTCCAGGATGACGTGGTAGTCCAGGAGATTGTTGGCGTAGCTATCCAGTCGCTTGAGGTCAAAGGGCGAGAAGACGGCGTCGAGGTCAGCTTTTCTGAGGGTACGCGGCGCGACAGACAGGTCGAGCTTAGCGCCAGCATTGGCAGATTCGCAGATACTGACCGAAAGCACCGAGGGAAACTCGCGGAACTGGTAGGACAGCAACGACAGGAACCGACGGTGGAAGTCCCGTGCGAAGGCGCCCAGCCAGGAAGCGTCATTGGTACCAGTGGCGAGTGTTCGCAGCATCACGCAGGAGTGCTCGCCAGTGAGTTCATTAGCAGTCTGGCGCAGGTAGACGGGGGCGAAGGCGGAGCGTTTCCAGAACTTGTGAAGCGTCGGGGTGAGACCGTAGCTGACACCGAGGTAGTCGAGAGTGTCGGGTCGACGTTCCGACAGTTTCCCGAACAGTGGAGGCATGGAGCGAATGTCCCGGACGCGGACGTTGTCATCCAGCAAACTGGAATTAGCAAGCTCGCTGTCTGTGAGTCGCACCATTTCTCCCTGAGACGCAGTCATGGTTTCGTCCAAGCTCGTGAACTTGCCCTCGTAAAAATCCATCAAGAGCTCCAGTGCCCGTGAGCCATATCCCATGCCCACGTATTCTGGGTTGGTCGCAATCCGGACAATCCGGGCGCCCGAGAGACTGGCGAAGTCCTCATCTTGGAACTGCTGGCTCACCAGCCATGGGATCAGGTCACCACCGGCTCTCTGGCCGCGACTCAAACTGTTGAGAACGCTTTGCCGGCTGATGCGACCTTCAAGGGCGACCTGGATGACACAGAGTGGCTCGGGAAGCTTCGTGGCTTCTTCATCGATGGGCGGCACAAGAACGTAGAGCTGATGCGCAGGTGCATCGCTCATGAGTTGGAGGTCGTTCGGCGTGTTCTTATAATGGCTGGCGACATAAAGCGCCATCATCTGCTGCAGGAACTTCTCGGAAACTGGGTGGAAAGAAAACAGGGTGTCGCGGTTGACTTGAAGCAGCTGGCACTGCGAAGGATGGGGGCAGCCTTGTGTGTTCATCCGGGACTTGGGGAGTGTTGCATCGAGGCACAGAAGCTTGTTTAGCCACTTCTCAACCGAATCGCCAGGTGCATATCGGATTGGTTCTGCCAGAGTGATTTCCCTCAGTGATCGGCCGCCCATGTTGGTGCCGGCATTCTTCGCAGCCTTGCCTGTGCTGCGGTCCGCAACATCTGTGTCATCGGCCTTGATACCACCACGCGACTGTTCTCGGAGCTGCTGGATCAGCTTCAGAGACAGTGATCGGCCCGTGCCTTCATAACCGTTGATGGTCGATGCCATGAACACCAGGTATGGTCCCATCAGCTTTCGTACCAATGGCAGCGGGATAGCAGCCGCCTCATCAATCACCAGCAGCTCAGCCTGACCTAGGACGTGCGCATCCTGGGGCTGGATGTATTGGATAGTTTGACGGTGGTTGCGGTGGACATTGACTCTCACAATAGCCTTGTTGAAATCGGGATTGGTTGATTGCAAGATTGTGTAATCGACATGATCGAGATACCCGAGCGCGTCGAAACCCTTGAAAACGAATTCAAAAAGCGTCTTCAAGTTCTCGGGACTCGGCGAGGTGATGAAAATGTTACTATATCCGTGAGCAATTGCGGCAGCAATTGCAATACCCAAAGCGGCTGACTTTCCTCGACCTCGACCTGCGGTGAGAGCAACAGTGCTCTTTAGAGTCTTCTCCGCAATGGCATCAGCAAAGGTCAGGAGCGCCTTTGCTTGGTCCACAGTGCGCGCCAGGTTGAGCAGAGGGCCGACAGGCTGGGACTCGGCTAGACTCTCTTTGATTTCTTTCAATTCCTTCTTTGTGCCCGAGTTGGATTCATCGGTAGACTCGGGGGGAGGAAGAGGCTTCACATCCTTGCCGCCAGAGATCGGCAAGACGTTCAGCTCATCATCAACCACCAAGCACGAATCGCAGCTACCCAATGACAGAATGAACCGCTCGTTGAAGCGGGCAACCACATCGTCATGTGCCTCCGTGCGGTATCTCGAGTGAATGTCCATGGACAATGTGTATAGCTGTTTCAGACTATTCATGCTCTTCAGCAGGAGCAACACCATGCCCCCTCCCTCAACTGTCTCAACGGTGCGTGCGAGCAAGTTTGGTGTAAGAGCCTCGAAGTCTTGCAAGATACACATGCCATATGTGTTACCCAGGATCTTCTCCGTCTCCTTGTAATAGACATAGCGGATCTGGTTGAGAGTGATGAAAAGCTCGAAAGGGTCCTCCTGGTTCGGTTCGCGAATGCCTCTTTTGACTTCCTTCTTGATCTTCGCTTCACGCTTCTTGCGGTGGCTCGTAAATCCCAATAGGTCCTTCTTATAAGCCCACAACACTGACTTGTTCTGCTTCACATCGACGCTGGACATGATGTAGTGGAGATGCACAATCACATCCTTGGCGCGGTCACCGACCACGACGAAAAAGCTCCGTTTCTTCTCTTGGACGCCATTCCGAATGAGCGCCGGGATGCGCGAGTCAATGGCTTTGCGGGGCATGATCGAGGGTAATGCGCGGAGCTGACCGCGAGAAAATGCGTTGGAGCCTCGAGTCTCCCGGGATGGTCAATGGAAAAGAAAGAGTTCAAAATTCCTGGGCCTCAATGGTGTTGTAATATCCCTGACTCTCTCCAAACGCAGTAATTCGACCTAACGCTGGTACTCGGAGAAAACAATCAGTTCCTGCCGCCGACACCAAAAGCTACCAAAAAGAAAAAAAAATCATACTGCTGGTACTCACCGCCTGTGATAAATTGACACCGCCTTGGCTGAATCTTGCTGACCTCACCATCCAGTCACATGGTCATCACATGACCTTAGGGTAAGAGGTGTTCCCTAATCCGGAAGGGATGCTCCGTTTTGGGTTGCAATCGACGCTACCCACGGATCCTCGGCCATGTTCATTTCCTGTCGCCATGAATGGTGTGCCCGCCATGGCCCCTTGACACATCCCGGAAATGGTATATTTCCACATCCATTCAGACCCAGACATGCCACAATGCTCCCCTACAATGGATATCAAGGTGACCCTCGCAGATAGGAACAAGGTGTCTATGATCTCATCAAAGTGGCCCACGCGGGAGCCCTTGGTCGATTCAGACGCCGATCCCCTTGGCACTGCTCCAACTGCTGTTGGTTGTCCGTGATTGGGAGTCTGAGGGATCTTAACTTAGAAACAAGCTTGACAATTCCCACTAGGCATTGGATACACGATCTATCATTGGGTCAATATCCACCATCGAAGCAATGCAGGGACCACGGTTGCGTGGTCCAGCACACTCAGCCTCCAAACCGCACACAGGCCCTGGCCCGTTGACGCAAGTCGATGTCAATCCTTTTTCAGTGGCCTTCTCTGATTAGTCGCTTATGGCTGTTGGCCCTCCGGGAGTCCTCGGGTCCGCCTGAACCCTTCTCCACATCATTCTGTGCCCTTTTCGTGTTTCGAGTGTCAGTCCCCTGAGGTCTCCACCGGCTGCCCGCGCGGGCTATGATCCTGCTCGGAAACCCTTATTGGGTTTTCTTTTTCTCCCACCCCAGTGCGTTACCTGTCAGAACCACAATTCCTTCCACGCGCAATTGCCAAGTCGCGCGATGGCCTACTCTATCTTCCAGGTAGCGTAACGGGCACAAGATGGGCTTTTTCCCCCCGACACGGGGCTAAAGATATGTGTGGGGTGAGTTACTGGCGCGCAAACCGCGATTCTTCCCCTGTCGCGAGAAAACAAGCTTATAGTCACATTTTGGGCAGGGCATTTCTTCTGAGTTCGCTGTTTCTCACCACCTCATACAATGTCACATTCGCCTTTGGTAAGCCGCTCTCGGCTCTCGATGCCGTACAGCACAGCAACCCCAAAATCGCACGGAACTCAAGCTGATGACGAGTGATGGAAATTTCCAGATCGCCCGGTTAGCACGATCATACTGGCTTGCTTTCTCACTGGAACAGCTTTCTTGCTGCTCGGTCGGTTCAGCTCTTCCGCATCTCGGCCGTCATCTCCCGCCGACAAAGAGGCCGGCATTCCTCTTACCGAAGAGTTCGTTCAGCAAATCCCTTTGCGATCCCATTTGCGGTCTCTATCTGCGACCTCTGCTTTGAGCGAGATCAGCAGTCCCGCGCAATCCCGCTACCAGACCTGGTGGACCAAACTCAAACTCCTGGTGAGCTCGTATGGTCTGCGAGTCGAGTATTTCACGCGCGTTTTGGGCAACACCAGTGATCACAACTGGTCGCGTTTTCAGTCATGGTGGATGAAGATTGGTCTGCTCGTAGTGATCTGTTGTCTGCGGGTTGAGACTTTTCGACAAGCCACGCTCAACACTGAGTGTGCAACCGCTGGATACACAGTAAGTGTTCTTGACAAAATATCGCTCGCCATTTTGGGGACGTTGACGCCTAACCACTTATTGCGAAGCAGTGCGCTATTCCGTTCATCATCTCCCTTTACGATTACCGGCGCAACCAGCGATTTCGACAAGTGGAGGCGTATGTCCCTCTCCAGCGATTTCAAAATCTACCTGTGCAACTGCTGCTTTCGTTCTGCCGACGAACTCAATACCTTCTCACGCAAAGTCGCCTGAAGGGTATTATCGCAGCTACCTTGCTCTCGTCAGGTGGACTATTGGCTGCGTCATTTTCAGCTGGAAGCCAGTCAACCTACATCTGTTCATTGACGACCAGTGACGCATCACATCTGCAGACAATCAAGATCTTCAACGTATTGGTGGACTCGTTACTATTGATTGGAGTTGTCGAGCTTTACCGAAATGGCTCTCGGCTTGACGAGGCGCGCAGAAAACGAACCTTGGTTTCACTTGGAGCCGGTCTCATTGTAAGTTGGTATTGGCGATGAAGATGTTCATAGTTGTCTTGAATAATCTGACCATGTGATTCAGGCTGTCGGTGCGATCTGGGCGATAACCGGGTTCGTTGTATCTAACGGTCGCCCCGAGCACAGCGGCCAGCCTGTGCTGGATTTGGACTACACACACAGTGCTTTCAACCAAGCCGTACTCGTGGTGATCTTTGCCGTCTCAGCTTGGCTTATGGTAAGTCTTCTCCACGGCTTGCCGTGTTGCCAAGATGCTGATTTCTATCTCAGCTGCCACATTTTGGCCTCCTGGGTCTAACTTTAATCGGTGGCTTTATGTTTATTTACTTCTCCTCGGTATCGATCTTTGTCGTGGGGCAGATGCCATTTCCATTCATCTCTTTGGCACGCTCCGTTGCCCCCTTTATCTTCACCTTCACGGGAGTTGTCATCTTCCTTCAAGGACGACCTGTCTCTGAAGAGCACACAAAACCTTTGTTTTTTCGCACCCACGTTTTGCTCCAGGTGTTCTTTGCATTTCTTGCCCTGGTCGGTCTCATCTTTGCCGGGAGTAAGCATCGTCTCGCCCATGTCCATCCCATCGAGCTTCTCATCCACGATGGGAGAATCCACCACAATAAGTTTGTCGAGCAGGCTAGTGTTAGTAAAAACATTTCAGCTGCCGTCGTGGAATATCGGCGACGATATAACCAGCACCCACCGCCGTAAGTTTGAGTGCGTTCTGAAATGAGGTATTTCCTTGGCTAATTACTATTCAGGGGATTCGACAAGTGGTATCAGTATGCGACTAGCCGATCATCCGTGGTTATCGACGATTTCGATCAAATCTACGATAACTTACTCCCTTTCCGAACCCTCCGCCCGGATCATATCCGAAAAATGACACATCAGCTCGCGACAAACCCGTTCAATGACCTCGGTGGGATCAGCATTCGCAATGGCAAAACCAAAGTGCAAGATGGTATCAGGGAGAGCCATGCATGGATGGTGATAGCCGCTGCGCAGATGATCGACAATTTCGCCGAGCATCTCCCCGATATGGATCTAGTCTTCAACTTAAATGATGAACCACGCATTGCCGTGCCATGGGAAAAGGCATCCGTGATAACACAAGAGGCAAGAATGCAGGAACCCGTGCCTGATGAGAATGTGGTGAGCACGTGGTCGGCGAACCGACATCAAAACTGGGGATCAATCGAACCGCCAGAACAAACCGAGGAGACTGTGTTCACTGACGGTGCATGGAGGGGCGTATTCGATCCCTACGTGAGCGCTGTCTGCCCTCCAACGTCCAAAGCGCGATCCCAGCGGATCTGGGACCGTCGAGAAATTTGTCTGAGCTGTGCGGGGCCGCACTCCATGGGCCAATTCCCCTTGGACTTCATGAGAGCATCGGAAATCTGCCATCAACCCGACCTTGCTTTCCTGCACGGACTCATGATCTCGCCTTCATCCTTCAAAGTGTCACAGGAATTGGTGCCGGTCTTCAGTCAAAGCGCAATCTTTGGGTTCAATGATATACTTTACCCCAGCCCATGGAACTATGTGAACAAAACCAAGTACGCGCCTTCGGACGAGCACCCGGACCCGCATTACTACCACAAAAAAAACTCTCTCTATTGGGTGGGCAGCACGTCCGAAGGCTTCAGCCGCTTCGGGGAGTGGAAAGGCATGCCGCGACAACGGTTCACGCACCTGATCAACAACAACACGCAAAGTCAAGTCTCAGTTCTTCTGCCGGCAAGCAAAAACTCATACCGGTACGAAATCATGGACGGGGGTGCGCCCATGCGAGACTTGCAGTTGCAAACCAGCGTTCGGCTCGCAGACCCGATAGTCCGATGCACCGACTGTGAGAAGCAGCAAGCTGAGATGGGCACTACGGGCTGGGCCGAGTTCCAGGACCACTGGGCCAACCGGTTCCTGTTCGATGCCGACGGCGCGGGCTTCAGCGGCCGCTTTCTGCCCTTCCTGTTGAGTCACAGTCTGCCGCTGAAGACTGGTCTCTTCCGACAGTGGTTCGATTCGCGTGTGACCTCGTGGATGCATTTCGTGCCCATTGACATCCGTCTACACGGCCTGTGGAGTACCCTGGCATTTTTCGCTGGCGTTGTGGACCCGGCCTCCGACCCCGACGACCCAGACATCTTGATGAAGCCGCATGAGGCCCAGGGCCTATGGATCGCTGAAGAAGGTCGCAACTGGGCCCAGGTTGCGCTCCGCAAAGAAGATATGGAGATTTATTTCTTCCGCTTACTATTGGAGTGGGGTCGGCTGACCGATGACCAGAGAGATGTACTGGGGTTCAAGCCGTAGTTATGGCTTTTCTGTGATGTGAATATCTTTTTCTAATTTCTGCTGTTGTATTTTAAGCTAGGAGAACGGTGCATATATATATGTCATGATCAGCATGTGCTTTGAGCTTACTTCAATGCGTGAAGCCTGCGAGTCATCTAAGCGAATCGACTATTTACCTGCTGTTTTGTATAGGCACTTGGTCTAGTCTGCTATTCAGTAGGATTGCCCTGTCATCCCTATGTCTGATGCACTGAAAATGACCAAAAGCCTGTTGGTTGGGTATGTTCAAACAAAACGAACATGTCCAGCAGATCCATATAAACAAGAAGTCATAAGCGGAAATAGCATAAATCAACCACGTTCCATGAAGACCGATCAAATTCTTTCCCTTCCCTAGCCACTCAGTCCCATCCGATATATCAAGCCGCCAGCTTCGGTGCAGAAACCCCCATCTACTGAGCAACGCGGTACCGATTCCGTCGATCCATCCTCGAGAGACGAGGCACAGGACTAGGACGAGGCGACTCGGTATCGGCATTAGTATCAGCAGCAGCGGTAGCGGTAGCATTGCCACCAGCGTCAGTCGTGCTATCGCGCTTGGAAGCGCCGTCCTGATACACCTTCAGCGAGTTGATGCGCCAGTACGTCTCGGAGAAGACGGCCGGATTGTTGGAGACGTAGGCTTCGCAGGAGTTGGCTTTAGTGTGACAGGCGCTAGAAGGCCAGACGGAGCCGGCCCAGTCGCCGCAGAAGGTGATGTCGAAGACCTAATAGAGTCAGCATTGCCATTGCCATGCGGCCATAGAAGGATATACATATATAGAAAAGAAAGAACATACAATCTGCATATCCTTAAAATGCGAATTAATATCACAACCCCCGCAAACCTAGCTACCGGCGTACCCCAGCCCGCAGGGTTAGGGCTTCCGCGCGTGATATCAGCGGGGATGCGCGAGCGCGGCCAAAACCACATATTGATCGCGGACCCCGTCCACTCGGTGGCATAGACGCCGCCGCCAGCGGCATTGAACCCGGAGCCATACGACTGGGTACTGGGGTCGCCGATGACGCAGCCCGAATTGGCGGACTGGCCGGGGGCGTTGATGTAGCAGTTAGTGGTTTCGAGGGTGCCGGAGAAGCCCGTGTTGGCGATGGTGCAGCCGTTGCTGGTGTGCAGGGTCATTTGGTTGGAGGCTTGGTCGTTGACGCCTTCAATGATGTCGATTTCGCCGTTGTTGGGCCAGTTGGAGCCGAGCATCCAGCTAGACATGTAAGTTAGAATTTATAGCAAGACATTGAATGTGAGAAACGCGAGATGAATCAGAGGTAGTTACGTACAATGCAGGCCATGATCCGCAAACACTGCCCGGCATATGAGCCAGGTCTAAAATCACCAGCCCATGCGTGTAAGTCTTGGTGCCCTCGAGACGCACACTCTGGCGGCCCGGGTTTTGCGCGACATTCTTGTGGTCTACACCGATGTACACCGAGCCTCCAGGCGTAGAAATAAGGCCGTTATTTGATGCTGTCGGCCGGTCGACGTATTTCACAAAGCCGTGGGTCGGATCAGAGTCCTGCCACCTAGCGTGTCAGCACATTTAACGGAATATAGTTCAATGATATAGTTAAATCGTAGGTTTCCCATACCGTGAAGAAGTTGAATTTATCAAAGAACGAGTCAGTGGTGCCGTAGTCGTCCCGCAACGTGTATGCGGCCACACTAAGTTGGGCGAAGAGGCCCAGGGCTGGAAGGAGTGTCAAGAGGATGTGCATGGTTCTGATCGCTAGATATAGGAGGGATATATAGATAGATGCAGAATACAATTCAATGCAAGGGTTAAAAAACAAGCGTCTCTAGCACGACGAATGGGCCGTCAAGGAATGTCAAAATGGGATCTGAAGATGAGGGTGAAGTATATACTCCCAGAAAGGAAGGTCGCCAAAGTAGAGAAGACACACGCGCTCTCTCGCTCTCAGAGAAAACAAAGGAAGGACTGGATGCTTATAGACAGAGCCTGTCGCTGGAGAACCAACACATCTTTTATATCTTTTATATACAACAACCGAAACAGAGAAGTAAAATATCAAAGGATCAAAGAACCACGTGTGGCGTACCTGATGCACGCACCCGACCCGACCTCGCGACTCTACTGGACGGGCATGACAAGCCCCATGTGAGCGAAACCATGGAGACAGCATTCCTACTGGGGTAAAAGAGGGAGAAAAGGGGGGGGGGGTTATGTCGGTGCCGAAATGCAGAATGCGGGAGATGAGGGTTACAGAGCTCTGGAGAAAAGAAGATCTCAAATGTCTGGAGACGGAGAGATCATCTGCCGATCTGCATATCAGATGCCTGCAAGGTCATGGATTGATTCTCTCTCTCTCTCTCTCTCTCCTGCTTTTTTGCTCCAATATATTTTGGCGAGTGGGCTTCTTGGATGAACAAAGAAGGCCCAAGAAGAGACTCGAGTCCAGACTCCATGAATGAAGCGGATCTCTCTTTCTCACTGAAACAGACCTTGCGTTTCGGAACTATCAGCATATTGTGTCGGTGTTTCTGGGATTAATGCCGACCGGGGAGGGGGAAAGGTGGGTTGTCAGTGGTTGCGCTCAGCTGAACTAACGGAGACCCCGTGGGAAATGTAAATCATCAAGAGGATTCTCTCGGCAGAGATGCCGGGCCACTCAAAGTTGAAACGAAGTTGACGTCCACCGCTACAAGAAGAGTGCCAGATAAAGTGTGCTCATCAAAGAAACCTGCGAATCCCACGGCTTCAACCCAAAACAGCCAAAGCAGATCGCAATCAAAATCCAAGCCCCCCCCCCCAGGAAACTAACTGTCCTTGCAGATGGATGAATACATGAATAATAGACTATGGAATCTCCCATTTCCCCCATTTGGCCAAGGGTCATCACCTTCAAATATTTTCGATGCGACGCCACAGCCATGGTAGTCACAGATCAAGTCGGCTGGTCTAATCCCTGCAGATTCGGGGTCTCCGATCAACTAGAGTCACATCTACTACTTCTCACTCAGGGGATGAACGGACGACCGACGGACCATCTCCATGCTAATTCAGGGGGGGATAACAAACAGCTATATGGCACATTCCTTTGTCATGCGCAAAATACCATCCAGAACCGACCCGACACAAAAGAAAACAAGGGAAAGAGAAAAACAAAACAAAAGGCATGGTTTATGTACATGTCGGACAGAAAAGATCCGCCCCGGACCAGTCGCGGAGGGGATGCTCATGCCGTGAGGACATCTCGGTGGGACGACCAGGGACATGGATGGCATCCATCACGCACTGCCGATGGTACAGATGCCGACAGGCGAAAACAAGCACGGGTCCCGGGGAAACGGCCGAGACCATCTCCAACCCAGGCTCGACACCCCCGTCGGCCAGCTCGTGGTCGCCAGACACATGGGAAGCGGCTGGCCGGTCCACGAGATGATGGCCCACAGCTGCTGCTTTGCCCTTGCCCTGCTCCGTGGCTGGGCCCTGGCCCGTCTCAAGACGTTTGGCAATGCGACGCTGGTGCTCGTCGCTTTGTTGCTTCTTCCACGCCGACCAATACGAGTCTCCCACGCTAGGGCCCCAGATGCGCCGGTGGCAGATTTCACAAACGTGGCCGCGAGGACGCCACCCTTGCTGGCGGAGACGAGTGACTTCGTCCACGTGCACGAACAGATCGCGGTCCAGCATGCCGTTTGCCAGGGCCAGAAGCGATCTTTCGTATGAGTAAGCGGAGAAGATCGAGGCGAGAACCGCCCGCAGCTCCAGAAGGGATGGCGACCAGGTGGCGGCGCGAGTGAGGAATGCGCGGAGAATACGAAGGAAGGGCATGTCGGTACGCTCGGCTGTCGCAAGACTGCCGCCTTTCACAGTGCTGGCCAAAAGGGCGGTAAAGATTTGCTGGACCAACCTCCGAAAAGAAGTCGTCAACCGGCCAGAGTCGCCTCCGAAAATCATGTCAGTGTGGGATGGCTCGGTGACCTGGGCCTCGTTGTCGCGCATGAATGCAAAGACATTGCTTGCGATGCGAACCACCGCCTCGATCAGATCAAGCCAAAGGGCCTCGTCGAATGCGAGGGGCTGGTCGAGCGCCGGCAGACCACGTTGACCGTTCATGCGGCCATTCTTCGGCTGCTTGGTCTTGCTCTGGCCCTGACAGAGCCACGTTCCGACTCCGGCATACTTATTGAGAGACTCAATGAGATCGTCGATTGCTTCGGAAGTCGTAGCAGAGTCAGGACTCTCGCGTACGCTTTGGAGAATCCCCACTAAGCCCGATTCCAGAGTGCTCAAATGCGCAATAAGGCGATCTATTGCTGCTCGCACTTGGCCTTGCCGGGCGAGCAAAATGACAGCAGCGTCCACCGCCCCGCTCTCCTCGATTGACGGAAGCAGTTCGTCGAGATGGATGTCGCCGACTCGGAGACCATCGACAAAGTCCGCCACATGTGACGGATTGTATTTGCACAAAAGTTGCACGTAGCGTTCGATCATCCAGTTCTCAACGGCTGGCGAAGACTGCCCTTCTGTGCTTTGAGCCTGGTGTTCGACAAGCACCAGCAGATACTGGTATTGCTGGTAAGGATCCTCCTTCAACACCCTAAGGAAAGTAGCGTGCGTCTCAGGAGCTAAATCTTGCATTGTTTGGGCAGCTTGCTTGACGTCAATCGCAGCGACTTCGTGGGCATGATCTTTCACCACGTCTACCACCTCTCGTCTTTGCTTTTTGCCGAGCCCTGACCCCGACCGGAGACAGTCATGCAGCGAGGTAAAGAGAGCCCCCTGTCATTTGGGTCTTCCAAGTACGTCATGATCCACTGAGGATATTGTTTCTCTGAGCGATAGGTCGACTTCAAAATTCGGAAAAAGCGGGCCTCTTTGAAACGGGGAATCAAATCCTGGACATCGGGTGGATGGTAAAATGATAGCAAGTACTCGGCGCTTAATTCGCAGTCGTCGGTCATGTCTTGCTCAGGGTAATGGCATAACCGCACAAGAACCTGATGAAGGATCGTGCCTGAAAGAAGAATGTACTGGGGGTATTTGGGAAGGTTGCGCGCAACAAACATGTCCAAGTAAATGGTATCAGAAGGGGTGAAGAACGACGAATTCATGACCTGAAGCAGAATGCTGATGAGGTATTGTCGGTTGATTGACACTCCTGTAGGGACATTCTCTTCGGACTCGGGATCATTCAGGAAGCTGTCCTCGAAGGCTTCGTTAAGCATACTCATGAAGCTTGACGCATCAAACTTGAGCATAGCCCGAAGTCCAGAGAGAAAATCGGCCGCGTCGAAGACATCGCCAGAACCAGTGCTAGGCAGGTGGCCCGAGAAAATATATTGGTACAAGGCGGTTTTGGCCCGCGACGCCTCGATTTCATCCATATCGTCCCCTGTGGGATAGATGCGACCCGTGAGAGCAAACGACAGGTAAGGGAACATTTTCATGGCATTCGTGTGCCGTTTCATCTCAATGGCGTAGTCCCCATTGATCAGGGGTTTGGTCGAGGAGGGAATAAGACTCAGCAGCTCCTCCAGCGGACTCACGTAGTCCGCTAAAGAACGGTTCCAGACGTATATATAGGCATCATACAGGTCATGCTGCTTGCATAGCGTTGTAACCTGATCGATATCCATCGTCGTGGTGTCTAGGAGGCAGATAATCTCCTCCAAGCGGCCGGCTGTGTGGGTTTTGACGAACTGGTTGATCAGGGCCTTGACTGCGGTCGGGGGAAGTGACCGGGTAGTTCCATCGACAATGCGTGGCTCGAGGGCATTCAGGAAAATCCCTGCAGAGTCTTGCTCGTCATACCAATTGAAAACCTCGTCCCAAAGGAACTCCTCGTCTCCCATATAGATACAAGCCGCGATCGACACATCGGCCAGCTCCTCAAGCTGCTGGTTGCCAAGGCGCCCATTGTTTGCTTCGGCATTTCGGCCAAACGCGTACTTGAGCGATGCTGAGATCATCTCCAGAAGCTTCTCTTGAACGATTGGCTGTCGCAACGCATCCTCCTCGGGGAGACCAACGGTGAGCTTCTCCGCGTGGCCACTGTAGAAGGCTGTCGCTAATCGAATAGCGGCAATGAAATCACCGGCCTCCATGAGCGCAAGCAACCTGTCAGCCCAGTTGGAGAGACTGCCGACCAATGCCTCGTTATAGCCAAGTAAAAACAAACGCCCTTTATACGCACGGAAACTCATATAAAATGCATCAGCCACTACACCGTGCATCGAAGTGTCTTCCTCGTCCAGTTGCTCGACGAGGGTGTGGAGCTGGGATGAAAAGAGATCGGCATGATACATATGCCGATTAGCGAGATCGATCGAATCCGTGACATGCATGGAATAGTCCTCGAGGATGAGCAGCTGTTGCGTGATTGTGAGAATAGCCAGTACGGAACGGCTCAGCCACTGGACTGCCACAATTGCTTCATCCGCTTTCCATCTGCTGCGTGCTTTGAAGATGAGGCTGGGGGGCTTGTCTCGATCGATCGGCTCATCGGTCTCTGCCTCGATGACTTCCAGCACGGTCAATACGTTTGACCAGCAGTAGGCAAGCTTCGTATTCGACGTCTGGCTATCTTTGCCTTTCAAGCGGATCGCCGGAAACCAGGCCAGAGCCCCGGTCATGGCGCTGTGGGCCGGCACTTCCCTGGGCCGCGGTGCTTTGTGCTGTGTGTGCGCTACAGGTGTCGTCGACACGATTACCAAGAGATATGGTGTCAACATAGCAACCAGGCCCAGCGAATCAGTTGGCTGTTCGATATTGCCGAGCGGGAGAGGAGAGAAAGCGAGAACTGAGCTGGGTTTCCGCGGCCGATTCTCCTCCAAGACTGTTGGGGGGTAGCGGCCCAGGATTCGAACTGTCTTCACTGCGCGCCCTACCGCACCCATGCCCCGTGTTGCCAAGTGCGAGAATGCCATTCCCCGCTTATCCGCCGACACAAGCGCGGTGCGCCTGCTCCCAAGAAAACCGATGTGAATGACTGAGGTTCCGGATAAATGGCCGTCGGAAGTTTGAGTGTCGACCTGATTTGCTGGGATCGGCGGAATATGGAGAAAGGGTCGCGCTGACCGCGAAATTTCCCAGGTAAAGATATCGCCCGAGTCGTGGCCACCAGCGACAGTGGAATGGTCGGCAGAAAGGGCCAGGGAAGTTATCGCTCCACATTCAACAGCTGGACTTTGATCAGCATTGCCGCTAGAGGGTAGAGCATCCCACTCAACTAACCCTTTGTCCCAGTTCCAATAATGGTCTTTAGACTCTGCTGGTAGTCGAACACAAGGATGATCCCTTTTGATGTGCCGACCACAATAGTTGTGGAGACGGCTAGACATGTCGGTCGACCAAAGTTGCGCTTCCCGATTTCCGAAAAAGCTGATCCGGTGATCTTGCGCAGCTTCGTCCATCGCACAACATCCCACGGGCCTTGTTGCGGCTCAGCGTCCGATTCTGGCGTCGGGGAAACCTGGCTGGTGATCGAGGACTGTCGAGAATGGAGGTGGGCGAGGAATGGCGAGGCAGACCGGGTGGCACTCAGTGGTGATGAGGAAAGCCGGGATTGAAAACGAAGGTCGAAGGGACGATGGGCTGGGCTGGGGCTGACTCGTGGAGAGCCTCGGAGGGCCAGAGCACTGCTGCTCTGCGAAGACGGAATAGATCCCTATAGTCAATCAGATAGCTATCCCGGTTGCGCAGCTAATCACACCACACTGACATGCAAGGACGGTGTGTCATCAGGCGTGGAAGCTGTCTCATCCACACTGCCTGTCGCTGCCCAATCCGCGCGCTGCGCCGGGGGGTTTGTGGAAGATCCGGGACATGGGTATCCGCCGGTTCCACCGTCTTCTCGGAAGCGTGAGCGTGTGTATCGTCTATTGTGTCCAACTCCCCCTCGAGTGGCTCCGGCGGGGAAGGCGTGGTGTGGTCATGGTCGGGTCGGGCGTCATCTTCTTGGCCCAAGTCCAGCTCGTCCTCCCGTGCCCAAACCTCATTGCCCTCAGCCATCGAGCTCATGAGTAAGATCTCCGAATGACCATTGCTCCCGTCTCGCGTGTGGAGTGACCAAACTGGCGACGGTGTGCTCCCAAGATGCGATAACTGTAAGCGTGAGCGCGATTCCCGCAACGGCGCAGGGGTGGGGAAAAAGCGAGAGTAGCGGGTGGATTAAGAGTCGGGGATGGACGCGCCGAGGACGTGGAGTGTTAGGGGCGGAACACAAGCCACAAGTGGCTGTCCCCCAGGAACACCTCGACTTGACTTGAAATACGTACAGATCAAATATAATGGTGTAGCTTGGATTTGTTTTTTTGATTGGTAATTATCGTTAACGGTCTTTTGAATTGTTCAAATGTTGGAATCAATTCCCAGTTCGAGTGGGCTTCGACTGCACCGCGATACCTCGACTCTTCGTGAGCCTCCACGGCTGCTTCGTTGGATTTCATACTCAGCATAAGCCGATGACTCTCGCTTTGCTTGGGTTTTAGCAGGAGAGAATAAAACTAGTACTGTAAAGCTTTCTTGATTGAATTGTGTCATGTTTGAGAGTTTTCGTGATCTATTTACTATACAGATAGGTATTTTACTACGACACTACTATTATCCTTTTTTATGAATCGTTTTTATCTCTATATTTTCCAATGCCCTTCTAGTCCTTTTTTTAATCTTTTATGAATTTTGATATTATAAACCGCTGGGGTCCTGCTTGGATTTAACATGCAGTGCTGACCCAACGAGGTCTTGATCCAAGGCCCCTACACCGCGCACCTCCAAACCTCGGGAACATCTCGACGGAGATACAAACCTCGTCAGACCCAACTGTGCTGCGCGTCACATCCGCAAAAACGGGCCCACCCAAACAGGAGTGATCGTCCAAGAGAGCGTATTAAAAGCGACCCCCTCTCACAGCTCTCCTGGGTCCGAATCCTGCACACATGGAGAAACCCCGTTATTGGCGGGGATGTCCTGGTCCGAGTGCAACAACGGAGCTCCCGTAGCTCGAACACTCGCGTCGCCGGCGTCGCCGTGAATGCATTCAATATCGAGGCCGGCAAAGACCTGCTTCTCCCCCCGCCTTCTTCACAATAGCTCTTGCATCGGACTATCGCCGTGCTCTAGCGTGCCGGTTCGGGGCCGTTACATCGAGTCACAAGGATGTGCTCAATACACATGGTCTACCGGCCTACCACCATGGCCGAATCACACATGAGGTGTGCTCCTGATCATTCGGTCTCCGGTGTTGTTCTCTCGCATTTTCCATTCCGGACAAGGATCGACAACGATATGGAATGTGTGGCCCGGCATGAGCTTATCACCTCCCTTGGAGGGGGTGCCGCAGACTTCTCTGCGTGACCGGCGACCCCGGCCCTATAATGCTCAGCCCGTCCGTGGAAGAGCACTGGGTGTGAGGAGTGCAGACAAAGAATACTGCTTTCTGACTTGGTATACTTCGCAATATCAGGATTGTCTCCGATAGCCAAACCGCGAAACACCAGGCACGATGGCCTCCATCCAACAGGGACTAACGCGAGCTCTGCTCGCCATCCTTCTGCTCCTCCAGCCCGGATTCGCACTCCCACGAGCAGGAGGGGTTCAAGCCCGAGCACCTGCATCCACCTCGACCTCATCATCCCCAACCCCAGCCCCGTCTACATCGAGGACTGCGTCGAGTGCAGCAACAAAAACCTGCAACGGCCGCTCAGAATACTGCAACCGATCCTACTCGAACGTCACCTTCGTAGGATCGCATGACTCAGCCTTTGTCGGATCTCTGCCGCAGCAGAACCAGAACATTGATATCAAGGCCCAGCTCGACATGGGCATCCGATACCTGCAGACGCAGACGCACCATTCGATATTGGACGACGACACCCTGGAACTGTGCCATACGTCCTGCTTCCTCAAAGATGCAGGCACCCTCAAATCATATCTGGGTACCGTCAAGGACTGGCTGGACGACAACCCGGACGAGGTGGTCACTCTCCTCCTGACCAACGGTGACTCGGTCTCGATCACTGATTTCGGGGACACGTTTAAGAGCAGCAGGATTGACAAGTACGCATTTGTGCCGTCGTCAAGCCCGGACAAGCTATCGATGGATGACTGGCCCACGCTGGGGGATTTGATATCCAGCGGCAAGCGGTTAGTCGTGTTTTTGGGTGAGTATTAAGTGTTCGTTTCTTTTTCTCCTTTTCCTTTCCTCCTTCTCCCTCTTCTTCACATTCTAATAACTCACTTTATCACAGACTACGGCGCCGACACCACCAAAGTAAACTACATTCTCGACGAATTCACCTACTACTTCGAAACCCCCTACGACGTAACCGACTCCTCATTCCCAGACTGCAAAATCGACCGGCCCTCCGGTGCCTCCGCCTCGGGCCGCATGTATGTCGTCAACCACTTCCTGGACGTGGATCTCTTCGGTGCCAAAGTGCCGGACCGCGATCACGCGGCCAAGACCAACGCCGCGACGGGCGACGGGAGTATCGGGGCGCAGGCGGATAAGTGCAAGGCGCTGTATGACCGGGCGCCAAATGTGGTGTTGGCGGATTTTGTGGATCAGGGGGGTGTGATGGATGCGCAGAAGGCGCTGAATGGGTTGTAGATGGGTGTGTTTGTGTGTAGGCGATGCCTACGCATCGTGGGACCCTTTTTTGCCTTTTTTTTTAATGGTCACGGGTAATTTTTATGATGCTGCTATGGGCAATGATATGAAATGCGTGTCAAGAATTAATGACCGACCTCGAATGCTGTCTAGTGCTAATTCGCAAGCCATGCCATGCAATTGTGCGATGTGTGCAAAATTCAAATGACCATGCGGTAGAGCTTCATTCCTCCAAGTCTAGCTGCATCTCCCGTTCTAGACATTCAGGTGTCAGCATGCATCCATGAATCTAGGCGCCACTATTTGGAATAGACCACGTACCCCAGATTTTATTCGCAGAGGCAACAATCGCCTCCGCCTTAACCACCAGTTTGGCAGCATACCGCTCGGCCTCGGTAGGAAAGAGCTGGCTCTTCTGCGCCTTGCGAGGGTTCACCTAGACACAAGCAGGTCAATCCAGGCCCTTAAAAGAAGACGGGGAGGAAGGAAGGAAAGATACCCACCATCATCAACACCGGCACAAGATCCTTGGGATCGGCTTCAGCCAAAGCCCGCAGATTCCGAAACCCGTTCTCGCGAAGCAGCCGGGCCGTCCAGCTCTTCACAAACGTCACCTGCGCCATCTCGAGCAGATCGGCGCGGGCGCCGGCCTCGAGTCGATCCCGCATATGGTCCAGCACGGCAGCCAGCATGCCCCAGTTCATACGCTGACAGAACTTGACAATGCCCGCGGCGAACCCGTGACATTGCTGCGCTAGCGTCTGCACGGAAACGCGGGGGATTTGGTAGCGCTGGGCGATGGTCGAGAGGGGGACCTCGTTGCTCAGGTCGCGTAGCTGGAAGGCCGTGTAGGCGCGACGGTAGATGCGAGCTTGTTTGATTTGATCGGGGGTTGTTTCTTTGAGAGTGGCGCCGGATAGGACCCTGTTTGATTGACCGTATCAGCTCTGGTAGATGCAAAACCTTGTTTTTGGATAGCAAGAAAAGCATAACTCACATCTTGTTCACAAATCCTGGCTGCACCCCGACGAACTGCAGTGCACGAATCCCACTCTCGTCGAGTCGGTCTAGCTGGTCGCGGAAAGTTGGCCAGTCAATCGGGGTGCTCATGGCTGCTTGCAGGGGAGTAAACATGTAAAATATATGCATGTCGCCGTCCATGACGAAAGCTTGCAGGGCTCGTTTGAGCTCCTCATAGACGAAGAGTCCGTCCTCAGGAGAAAAGGCCGATGCCACAACAGCGGATCCTAACTGTGTGGCTTCGTAGGACTCGTCCTCTTTGAAAAGAACCAGCTCTTCATCGACCAATTCCTGCAATGCAGACTTCATGATGGTGTACACAAGCTTCTTATCGAGAGTGCGACATAGAAGCGTACATCGCACGTATTCTTTTATCGCTTCGCATCCGGATACCAATCCTGTTGCGATCGCTTCCAACAGCGCTCTTGGGGGTGTAAGTTCGGACGAACACACAAGCCGAGGTATAGAGACATACCTCTTGAGGCCTCTCTTCTCGGGGGCCAAACAGCTCTTGATAGCTGGCATGTCCGCATCTAGTAAGTCACAAACAGCCTGCATGTCGGCCTTGACGCATATTAAATAGGTTTCCCCGGCTTCATCTTTGCCTTTGCGTCCAGCGCGTCCACACATTTGGCGTCTAGTTCAATTAGTGTCAAGTCCACAATGCCCATGTCATGTCATTAGGGCTCTTACAGCATTGCAGGGCCCACTAATTCGCGACCCATTCGAGCACCGTTTATGATGACTCGTCTAGCAGGAAGATTCACCCCAGCGGCGAGACTGCAGGTGGCTACTAGTACCCTCAATACGCCCTGGTCGTAGGCGTGGGCAATCAACTCCCGTTCTTCTGTCGTCATGCCAGCATCTAGAGCGCGGTTAGTGTCGCAACCCAGCTATAGCCAACATATTACTCACGATGAAACCCAGCCCCTTTGACAATCGTTGTCTGAAGAACGGGGTCCAGTCCACATGTGAGACTCCGCAATTCGGCAAGAAGATCTAATCGCTTGTTCATTTCATCGGTCCCGTCTGCGGGTAAGTTGGGCATTGCCTCGCTGATGGTGGCAGCGTGGATCTGGCACGCTTGACGACTGCCGCAGAAAACCAACGCCCCAAAGCCGGCGGCAGCTGTCTCGACTGCCAATGCAATCATTGCATTTGTGGCAGAATTGCTGAGCTCTTTGAATGACGAAGGCTCGATGATTCGATAGGGAGGGATAGTATCGTGTAAGGAAGTAGAAGCTGTCAACTTGGATGCGGTTTGAAAGAGTTGCCTCGATGTCGCAGCCGGGTAGATCGCATTCTCATAGACCAGGTACTCGTCAATTGGGATCGGGCGATAAGTGGATATATAAAACTTCGCGTTCATCCACTGAGCTAGCATCTCGGTGTTCTGTTGTCTAGTTAGAGCGGCCACTCGGACAGAGAAAGTGGGCGATCATACAGAAAGCGTCGCACTCATGCCAACAATCTGGATGTCCTGCTGAAGCAACAGCAGTTTGGTGACCATGAGTTCCAAAAGGTACCCCCGGTGCTCGTCGTCGAGCATGTGGAGTTCATCTAGCACCACCACGCCGAGATCACCAATGGTACACTCCTCGATGGCAGTATTGATTAAGGAATTGGCCTAGCAAGCATACAATCAAAAACTGAATTTCCCCCGGGGGGGTGTCCACGAGCGTGCGCACCTTCTCTATGGTACAGACGGCAATATCGGTATCAGCCCAGGTGGCCGTCGTGCGGCTGCCGCCGAAAAATCCAGTTACGCGAACCGATTTCTGCAATCGTTTCCATCGCTTGTGCGGGCCGTTGGAATCCTCTTCCTGGTCAGGAAGATGTTTTTCCACATCTTGCACGATGCGACGCATCCATTTGAGCTTCTCCTGGACCAAGGCGACATACGGCAAGACCAAGATGGCCTTGCGCGTAGGGTTTTCAATGATCCGCTTGAGAAGTAATACATCAGCGACCAGGGACTTACCTCCACCCGTGGGGGCAGTGTAAACCAAATGCCGTTCCCCAGACAACAGGCCGCGAGCCAGTAGACACGAGGCCTGCCATGGATAGATGGTCTTGACACCTAAGGCCGCAAATTTGGCCGTCAGCGCTGGGGGCAAGCCGTATTTGGGATGCGACAGGGCCAGCAGGGGATTCTGACTGGAACCCGGGGCGATGGAAGGGACCCTCGTTGGCTCATCCTCTGGGGATGAGGCGCCCGCGCCCGAACGGATCCTGCTAGCGGTAAATCGACCCGACGGAGGGGCCAAGGCTCGAGCTGATTCCAAGGGTGTTGACTCTAGGATATTGGGCGCGTCGTTGGGCCCGGACAACACTGTCATGTGTTGGACGCCCGAGACTGATTCGGCGGACTCAAAAGGCTGCTCGTTCGATGGCCTCTTGTGCCCTGCCACCGGCGCTACATCATAAACGGTTCTGCGGGCAAGATCAAGCGAGGTCTGAAAGCCGCGAGACTGAATCGGTTGTCCCGATGTCGACATGCCGGCGACCAATGCCGTCGCAACGCAATTCCATCGATGAGTAGGGACTGTTTAAGATGTTCCCCGGTCCATATTTTGGGTCTTTTTTTATTCCCACTTTATCTTTTTATCACGTTCTTCCCCTTTTGTTTTCTTACCGCGTTTGGTCACGGGCAACTTTAAGGCCTAAGGCAAGAACTGCTGACTTATTCTGGTTACGTAAGTTCTTAGTAACCGTTCCTGGAGCTCCAGGGCTGTCCATTTGGAAAGCTGCGCAGGTGGAAAGACCTTTTCTTTTTCATGCGTGGTCCTGGTTACGCACTTTGACGTGGGACGGCCCATGAGGGGACCCCCTTGCACAAAATCTGCCGAGATGTACAGGACTCGGGCATACAACCTGGCATAGAGTTCCCCCGGCCGCTTGGCTATATTGGATGCGAGTCAATCATTCTATTCCCATGTCGGGTTTCAAGGCATACCCCAAGACAATCAGGATAATCCGAGGGCAGGAGTGGGACGTGGTTCACTCTAAATCATGTGGGCATCACAAATACCGGAAGGCCTAAGTCTCCCACATGCCTAAGGATTCAGATATGGTTGCTGTGATGTGAGTGTTTTTCTGCCCATCTAAATCAGTAGTAAGTGATGGGTTTATTCATAATGTTCCTGGTATATCAAATTGAATCGTGGGAAATATCCACATTGTACACTTCAGCCTTGGAAGAATTCCACGTTAAACTAGTAAGTTGGTTGCAATATCATTGAAAATATACATCTTCCCGAAGATCTCCTTCTCCCAGGTATTATGCTAGTCCTTTTCGTCATATATATCCTTATAAAGATGTTCCCGAGCTCAGATCACTGATCACACGATGTTTGTTCCACGCAGTTTTCCGCGACTAGGTATCTTTATCCATGGGAGGACACGTTCTGGAGACTAACGATGTAAGGTGGCGACACGCAGAGCTCCCAGTGGCGATCATTAGCCCCGTTAAATTACCCCGTCTGTACCCGACGAAGGCTTCCCTTGCTTTTTTTTTTTTTTTTTTACTCTTATGATATTACTATTCCCACAATTCGTCGCGATAATATGATCCTCTATTTTATTTTCTCTAAATATTTCTTTTCCCTTGCCATATTCCCCGTGGTTTGCGTGAGTCTCAGCCCCAAGAGTAGATATTTACTATCAATGATTATGATTATCAAGCTTGTCACTTTCGCCCATGGACATGTCATTTGCATATAGTTGTTTTGCAGACGACCCAACTTGTCATCTCGACACTCAAGTAGTAGTATACGTAATAAGGTTAAAAACTTAGGACGAGATATCTCCCGAGGGCAGTTTAACCGAAAACCCACAAGTGCCCCCCCCTTTTAGAAGTATATCAAATGTCAAATACAAAATTTCGCGGTGAAAAGTGGATAGCAAATGGACAGCAAAATGGTACAATGCACTATTTCGGCCGAGTCCGTTCTGGGACAACTTTAAGGCTGTAAGTGTGGGTTGTACACATACCTTGAAGTACCGTCATGTATGGGGGGAATTTGTTGCTTTTTTCTTTTCTCATGGATGGGGGTGGAGTCGCGGCTAGCGTCCATTTTCACGCTACTTTGACCACAAACTGCCCGATATCAGGAAGATATGGAATATTGGAATATTGGATTATCCATGACAATTCATACCTCTCAAGTGGGTAGCTCTAGAACTTCCCCCGAGAACATCCTGTAGACTTCTTTATATACGCGACTTCCAACGCGCATACCCTACGTGACAGCATTCCGAACAATTCCCAATAACGTGCCTCGATTTCCTATTTCCCTATGCCCGGTAGATCACCGAGCAAGGGGAGAGAGAGAGAGATCATGAGCAATCGGATCCAGGTGTTTTTTTTTTCTCCTGGTTATGTTCCCAAGTTCCCATGTTTCGATGAGGATCCGTCATATTAACCCATCGGGACTAGGGGCGCTGGGATCCTCGACGCTTTTTTCCTTTCCACATCCATATTGACCTTCTCTTCTCATCTTCTCTTCTTCTCATCTTCTCTTCTTCTCATCTTCTCTTCTTCTCATCTTCTCTTCTTCTCATCTCATCTTATCCTGATCTTCCCTCTTCTCTCCCCCCTTCATCTCGTCGATTTCGATATCCCGTTCCCCCCATCCATTCACCCGCTTCTATCTACTTTCTCCCTCCCTCGCTCCCTCCCTCCCTCTCTCTCTCTAACTCTTGTTGTGTTTCCCATATTATTCTTATTCTCCCCTTCCCCCCATCCCGCGTCTTCATCTTTCTATCTCTTCACTCCCCTTCGACTTCTCCTTGCGGTAAGTATCGGTTCTTCTTCACGTTTGCTTTTCTCCCTTTTTCCTTGTTCGTCTTGTTCGCCTTGTACTCTTTGCTCTCTTCTCTTCCTGGTAAGGCTGCCGCTGGAGGCGCTACAGCCCCAGTCGCCTACCAACGATTCTGGGTCTCGTCATTGCTATCCACCTTGATATCTCTACCCTCGTACACCCTTCACCCCTGCAGAGGATCAGTTCTGACACGGGGGCCTCGTGATCCACTCTTTGTGTGTGTCTCTGTTCCCGCCTTCCCTCAATTTTCCTTTTTCCTCTTCCCGCGTTCTCCCCAATTTTTCCTTTTTGATGTTCCCGCCATCGTCCATATTTTTGAGATTTTCACCCCCCCCTTTGGTGTATTTGATTGTTCATACCCCCATCCTCCCTCCCATGACTCGCACTTTACTGTGTCCGCCCCCCCCGAATTTTGAGGATTTGGGCTCTGGATCTGACCACAGCAGTCGTTCTATATTTCTTGCTGGTCCCGATTTTCTCCTTGAGTCACGGCATCCAGTAGGGGTCACTGGACTCAGTGCTCGCCGTGGATGACTGAGGGTCACACTCGATGACCACTCCCAACTCCCCGGAGGCTGTGGCCGATTCGGCCAGCCCCTCCGCCACAGCCCCGTATGGGACGCGATCCAGGGGTCGCAATGCACCTCGGCCCAACTACGCTGAGGATCGTGACATCGACATGGACCTGGACACCTCTGCTCCCGCCAAGTCCGGCAAACGGAATAGTGGCGTAACACTTCCCCCCAACGGCTCTAAATCCGACAGTGAGAAATCGTCGTCGATGCAGCCTCGCAAGAGTCTGAGTAATGGTACGGCCTCGACCCCATCGGCAAAAGATGCCATCCCGGGTACTTCGTCGTTCTCCGCGAGGCCGGATGATGTGAACGGGTCCAGCGCGTTGCGCAAACGCAAACACACCGCCAGCACCCCGAATTCCAACTCCGGTGGTAACGCCACGAAGAAGATCTTCACTTCAGCCCCGGGGGGCCCCGACGGCGGCTATTTTACCAACATGCTCAGCTTTGAGAATTCCGAACCTCATCTCCAGGATGGGAAATTAATCGCCGATGATGGAACTACCTTCGCTGTGAATGGTTTGTTTCCTCCCTCTCATGATCTCCCCTCCCATCTCCATCGCGAGTTGTTTAAATTAACATCCTCGCGTAGACCATGTTTACCTGGTTTGTGAACCTCCCGGTGAGCCGTATTACTTGGCGCGAATCATGGAGTTCCTTCCATCCAAGATCAAGGACTCCGGGGTCATTGAAGCATTGCGCGTCAACTGGTACTACCGCCCACGAGATATCCAGCGACATAGTCCAGACACGCGGTTTGTATTCGCGTCGATGCATTCGGATACATGTCCGTTATCTTCGTTGCGTGGGAAGTGCGACATTCGGCATGTGTCAGAGGTCACTGAAATGGGGTCCTACAAGAAGACTCGGGATTGTTTTTGGTACGACAAGATGTTCGATCGGTATATCCACCGCCTCTACGATGTGATCCCCACCAAGGAGGTGATTAATGTCCCGCCAAATGTCAAGAAAGTGCTCGACGAGCGTTGGAAGTTCATTCTTGTTGAGATGGGCAAGGGGAAGGAGTTGACGGGCGCAGTCAAGACATGCAAGCGATGTCGTCTATATGCTGCCAATTCCGAGTCGGTGGATTGTGCCGTGTGCCATTCTACCTACCATATGTCTTGCGTGCGACCAGCTCTGACGAAGAAACCCGCCCGCGGCTTCGCTTGGGCCTGTGCGGCCTGCAGTCGTGCCCAGGAGCGCAAACTCGAGGCACGCAATACCCCGATTCTCGGCGAAAGCCGACCAGAGGGCGAAGATGAAGTCATGGAGGAAGAAGAGGAAGAGCACCCCCATGGTGCCGTAAATGGGACCTCGGCCAGCACCCCCGCGATCGCCGAGGAAGATTCGATGCCCCAGCCTGCAACAGCGGAACAGACGGCGCAGGCCAAAATGTGGCCCTATCGCTACCTGGGCATTCATTGCCGCGTGGAGGACGCTCTCGACTACGACGACCGGATTTATCCCCGAGCAAGTTCCCGCCTAGGAACGCGACACCAGGCAAACGTCAATCCTTGGCCGGGCCGTGAAATTGAATACGTGAAGCCACTCGATCTAAAGAAGAAATATGCCCGAGTGTCCGGTGGGCGAAAGGACGGAAAGCTTTCCAAGGATGCTCAGGCTGCCATGGAAGCCGCGAAGCACGAGAAGGCCAACCGACCGAAGTGGGTCCAGGATGAACCGGCAGGCTACGTGCATCGTGGAGAGGATGAGCCGGTTACGGTCAATGGAAAGCAGACGCGCACCGCCGAACTCATGTTTAAGATGCCAACCGCTGACCAGATTCCCGCCCGAGGCGAAGATGATGCGCCGGGTTCCCATTTAAGCCTGGAAGAACGCAGAAAATTCATCGATGACTACATGCGTCAAGCGAAGGAGCTGGCACCCGACATCGGAGTCGAAAAGTACTCCACAAACTTTCTGGACAAGGCCCTCGAATATCTGTATTCCGAAAGCTTCGACGTGCATGCAGCTCTCGCCAAGCTGAAGAAGGTGAACAAATACAAGGATCTCAAGGAGCCTCATCTTCGTCCGGAAGAGCTCAAAGCTTTCGAGCAGGGGGTTGCAAAGTATGGGTCAGAATGGCGCAACATCACGAAGCATGTGCGGACCGTGCCTCACTACCAAATTGTTCGGTTTTACTACATGTGGAAGAAAACGCCTCGTGGCCGGCAGGTATGGGGTAGCTACGAAGGGAGGCGTGGTAAAAAGGAGGTTCGACGGCACAGTGTCTCCTCCTCCAAGCTGGTGGACGATGTGGCCGATGACCACGATGATTCCGCCTTTGACACCGAAAAAGCAGTGATCCAGAAACGTGGATTCCAATGCAAATTCTGCACGACGCGCAGCTCACGCCAGTGGCGGCGCGCCCCAGGAGTTCCGCCTGGCACCGCTGTTCCCTCCGAACCCTCCAAGAAGGACAAGGGGTCTCTCCTTACCGTCTCCCTTTGTCTTCGCTGTGCGTTGCTATGGCGGAAATATAGTATACAGTGGGAAGATGTTGACGAGGTTGGGAAGAGGATTGCGAACAGCGGTAACAAGTCATGGCGGCGCCGTATTGATGAGGAATTACTGGCACAGCTGATTGTGGCCACCGAAACACCATTCACTATCACCAGTGCTACAGCAGCAACTGCGACGTCGATGGGAATTCCACTGGACACCAATCCTCAACTCCAGCCGGAAGGCAAGCTGGATCCAAATAAGAAAAAGCCGCGCAATGACAAGGACAGCACGGCCACTTCAGCTGCAACCTCAGTTGAGCCCATCCCTAAAAAGAAAATGGGAATCGATAAGGCCTCCGAACAGCCCCCGGTCGTTCCCGATCCACCAAAAGCCAAGACTTTATCATGTGCCGTTTGCAACAAGGTTGAACCCTCGGGTGATGAGCACATTTCATGTCGGGATTGTCGTCTGACCGTTCATCGCAACTGCTATGGAGTTCGGGAATCACGAGCCGGTCACAAATGGCTATGCGACATGTGTTCTAATGACCGCAGTCCATCTATCTCGACCACCTACGAATGTGTCCTTTGCCCGGTCACATTTACCGAACACAATCTCATGGAGACGCCAAAGAATAACAGCCGGAAGAAGTCGGAAAGGGACAAAGAGAAGGAGCGCCTGGAAAAGGAGATGATCTCCGAAGCCATCAAGCTCTATCGTCAGCGACAGGAAGCTGTTGGCAAGCCTGTCGGTCCCCGGGAACCCTTGAAACGCACTGCCGGCAACAACTGGGCTCACGTCATGTGCTCTTTGTGGACCCCAGAGCTCAAGTATGGCGATGCGAAGGAGCTGGAGCCCGTCGAGGGATTCGGTTCCATTCCCAAGGACCGGTGGCGGGAGGTGTGCAAGATTTGCAAGTCATCCAAGGGAGCATGTGTCCCTTGCCATTTCAACGGTTGCAATACCCACTTCCACATTGGCTGTGCATTCCAAGCCCAATACCGGTTCGGTCTCGATATCACGCCTGTGAAGAGTTCTCGGAGAGATAACGTGCAAACGATTCGTCTGGGTGGCGAAGTTGGGGCAGCCATACCGGCAATCTACTGTCCTCACCATAGTGTGTCGTCCACCGTGCACGAGATCGGCGAACAGGTGGGCCACGACGGCCTCAATGCTCTCCAAGTGTTTGCGCAAACATACAAGCAGGCTGATCTCACTCTGACTGGGACCATCCGAAAGGCGGCGTACGTGCAATCCTCAGTTGGCCCTCCACCACACCAGGCCTCCGGTGCTGGACACCGACGGACCTCGACAAGCAATGGGCCGGCATCTGCCAAGGATGGCCATAAGACTCAAACTACGCCGAGCGAAGAGGCGCCAGATGAGATGGACATTGACACGAATGACCATCCTGCGCTCCGGCCTGTTCCTGGGGTAGAAACAAATCGTCAATGTGTTCGCTGCTCCACCGGATTCAGTCCCAGGTGGTGGCCTGTTGGGCGGCGCACTGACAGTTGGGCGCCTTTCATTAATGGGGTAGGACACTCTCATCACCCACTGCAGGGCTCCCTCGTACAACCCAACGGGCATGGTGGTGAGCAGGCATACGAATGCCACAAATGCCATTTGAAGAATCCCGCTCCTGAGCCCGCGCTGGATCCGCGGCCTTCGCCTTACTCCGCGCCACGCCCTCCCATGCTGCCCACTCCCCGGATGGCCGGTCATACCTTTGTGTCGCACACACCTCCTGCTCCGACCAATGTCCTCGGGCGGTCGATGCCCCCGGCTCATCCACACAACGGAATCCCCAGCGGACTCCCCAGCTTAACCGGCGGATACGAGCAACGCCCCGCGAACGATCCCAGCCTCCGTAATGGCATGTCGCCTGGGACTTACTCTGCTGCACCACCTCCCCATATGGGAACTTTCCCGCCCCCTCACTCTACCGGCCCTCCGCCACCGCATTACGGAAGTGCTGTTCCTCCTCCTCCGCCATCATACCCAACACATCAGAGCCCTTATGGTCCGATGCCGACCCGGTCCCCACATCTGTCCCAGGCGGCGCCTCGGTCATACGCAGCCTCGGCATCTCCACCGGTTGTGCAGGCGACCGTCAGCCGGTCTCCGCAAACCTCACTTAGCGCACTCAATGGCGGTCCGCCGCCACGCATGTACTCGGTTGATCAACGACTGGGAGCTCCTTCCCACTCGCCGCCGGTAACCCAGGCACGTGTTGACCCGCGCGGGCCTACCCCTCCAAATCGACCGGAAGATACCCCTCCTGCTCTTATGACTGGCCCGCCGAGCGCCCGCCGGCACTCGGGGGTGAACGGCACCAGTGCAGGGTCGGGGGCTAGCGCGAGCCCGTCGCTCAAGAACCTTCTTTCTTAATCTCAGTTTTCTCTATGATGAGCTCACGATCACGAGCCGTCACTCGAATTGTATGATAGTTTTCTTTTCTTTTCTTGTCTCTTCCTATTGCATATCTGTGGCATCTTGAAAAGTGCATGGGGTTTTGCGTCACTTGAGCTCGGTCTCGTTCCCCCCTGTCCAACTAGGACTTCTTCTTGGTGTCTGGTTGATGACAGTCCTTTCTACTTCTACTTTTACTTCTTTTCTTCTTCTTTGTCATATTTTCTTTTCTCATGACATCTTTTCTCGGCGTCTGCGATCATGGCACCTGGAAAAACAAAAAAAAAAACACGGGGGTGGTTTGGGAATGTCCATGGAAACGGACACACTGGATGGGCAACGGAGTAGGGCGATGAATGATGATTACCATTCCCGCTTGTTTTTACGGTTAGAAGAATCGAGCATATTGGCTATTTTCCTGTTTCATCTGTGCCGAGTAACCGTGACACTCATAACCTAGGTCTCACCTACTTCCAAGGTTAAGGTATTGGTCGCTGACAAATGCCTCCCCGAGCTCATCCTGACGATTTCCACACTTCTCCACCGGGACCTTGACGCACGATATAAAAGAGATTGCATCCCTGGCTGAAGCAGTGCATAGAGAAAGCCAGTTCACATCTGCTCGACAACAATGAGTGACACCATGCGCGCTATCGGTAAGTCGAAAAGAGGATTCGGACCCCCGAACAACCCGCCACCAGTCCTCTACATCGATGAAGACATAACATGAAGACATCGGTGAAGGAAGCAACGGCATTGCTCCAGGGCTTTCCTGGAGTTGCATCAGCTGATTCCTTAGAACAATTTCGATCATCTTACCTCTTGTCCATTCACCATCTCTGTCAAGGCCGTCCATTAATCGTTTCTTTTTTGTTTCCCAATGATTATTCTAGGTGAAACTAACATGAATATCAAAACCAGCTGTTAAAGGCGGCAAAGGCCCCGCCACCGCCCTCTTCGTCGACACCATTCCCAGACCCGTCGCGGCCCCCGGCCAGGCGCTGGTCAAGATCCGCGCGTTTGGGCTTAACCGCATGGACCTGCTGCAGCGTGAGGGCCTCTACCCGGTCCCGCCACAGGCGCCCGAGACGATCGGTGTCGAGTTCTCGGGTGTGATTGAGGGGTTTGGCGAGGGGACGGGTGCGGATTTTCGGGTTGGGGATGAGGTTTTTGGTCTTGCTTATGGTGGTATGTCTTCTTTCTTTCTTACTATCCTCCTCGTGTCTACCTTCTTATCTTTTGACTCAAAAGTTATATACTAACACATTTTGATAGGCGCCTATGCTGAGTATATTGCCGTCTCCACCAAGATGCTGGTGCATAAGCCGGCAGAGTTGTCGTGGGAAGAAGCGGCCGGGGTACCGGAGGTATGTCTTGATATTCTACAACCCTACAAGACGGACATCCGCTGATACAAGATAGACATGGATCACCGCCTCACAGGCACTGTTCCTGATCGGCGAGTTCCAGGAGGGTCAGTCAGTCCTGTGGCATGCAGGCGCATCATCAGTCTCGATCTCAGGCATCCAGCTCGCCAAAGCCGCCGGGGCAAAAGCCATCTACGCGACCGCCGGGTCACAGGAGAAGATCGACTTCCTCGAGAAAGAACTCGGGGTGACCGCCGCCTTCAACTACCGCACCCAGGACTGGGCGAAAGAAATCCAGAAAGCGACCGGAGGCGCGGGGGTCAACCTCACCGTGGATTTCGTCGGCGGCACCTACTTCCAGGGCAACCTAGATGTGGCGGCGCGCGACGGGCGCGTGGTGCTGCTGGGCCTGATGGGCGGCGGGAAGCTACCGGATGGAGTGAACATCGCGCCGCTGCTGATGAAGCGGATTCGCGTGGAGGGGAGCACGCTGCGCAGCCGCGATGAGGATTACCAGGGCCGGCTGCGCGATACACTGGTGTCGCATGCGCTGCCCAAGTTTCAGGATCGGACGTTCCGTGTCTTTGTTGAGAAGGTCATGCCCTGGGAGCAGATTGTGCAGGCGCACCAGCTGCTGGAGAGTAACTCGACCAAGGGGAAGATCATCTGCGTGCTGTAACTCGTAACTCGTAGCTCATCAAATCCAGTGTACAGTGCAGAGAAAGTACAGACATCGGAATAAAATTCGTGGCGAGTTAACCCACTCCCCCAATCAGATGGCCATGATCACCGTTGAACCGTGGACAGAGAGAGAGAGAGAGAGAGAGACTGGAGTTTGCCACGCACGCTGGACAAATCAGCACGCCATGAGATCATCGTCCCGGACAATTCTTTGGCCCCAACTCTGCAGCGACCGGGATTGGAATCCTATCCACTCGTTTCGGGCGTGTGTGTGTCAAGAGAAAAGAGGACCTCGAAATCCTGCAGGCATTATTTCGAGGTCAAAAGTACTGGGCCTATATCCGATGAGCTGGGGTTTTGTTGAATTGTACATTCTCCTTACAACTTGTTCACAATGTGGGCTGGGCAGGATTTCCATCTTACTTAAGAGTGGGCCTTCTAGAAGAAAAAAGAAAAGAAGGAAAGAAAAAAAAGAGAAAAAAAGTGCGTGTGCACAGGAGGCGTCATGGGGGGTCCACTAGAGAGGCTCTGCGGGCGACACGGGAATAAATAGGCAGAAAAAAGAATGAATGAAAAAAAAAACGACATGAGAAGTACAAAAAAGAAATAGAAAACGAAAAGAACATACGTAGAATCAAAGAATGAAAAAAAAAGAAAAGAAAAGAAAAGAAAAATACGTAAGACAGCTTTTCGAGAACAACCAGGGATGACCCCACGCAATGCACCACCCCAAGCCGATCCCGTCCCGCCCCAAGGCCTTCTGGAAGGAAAGAAGCCCCCCTTCCCCGTGTCCCCCCTCCACTGTCCTTTGCAACTTTCTTCCAAATCCTTTTATCTCTCGTTTTTCTTTCTTTCCCTTAGTCCTCGTCTACCTAATCTTACATCTTCTCCCTCTCGGCCCCCCTCGGCCCCGACCATGTCGCCCTGACGCCTTTTCCTCCCTTTCCTCGTTTTCGGTACTCTTCCGCTATTGAAACTCCGACACTTCCCTCTTCCCTTTTGCCTCCCCCGTGACCTTTTCGATCTTCTGGTTATAGGTCGATCCCCATTGACTGAGCCCTATCGATACCATCCCGGGTCCCGGTCTGGGGTGTGTGTGTCTCGGATCTCCCCAGTCCGCAACGCGACTCGGTCTGGATCGCTGCAGCGAACACAAATCCCATTGTGAAAAAAAAAAGACAGAGAAAAGAGAGACTTGAACCAGACAGGTTGGTCGCCAACTCTAGTCATTCCTTCACCCGGAGTTTTGGGTTTTTTTTTGGCCTACGGTTTCGCTTCAGCCGTGACGACCTCGCTCACTTCCTTCCGGCCCTGCCATCGTGTCATCCGCTCCCGTTGCTTCTCCTTCTCGACCTCGATGATTTGAGCCATATGCGAATCATAGCACCTCCGATCGTCTCGTTTTCTTTTCTTTCCCTGGTTGATTCGTGGAGGAATCGAGGTGTCGTCGCCTAACCGGCTCTTCCTTTTCCCTTTTTCTTCCCTTTCCTTCCTTCTTCTTTTCTTTCTTTCCTCGTTACACCCTACACACAATGGTGGATCGTCTAGATTGTTCGGGCGTCTACATCGACGACCGTGTCCGGTCGGAAAGATGGGTGCGCAGAAACTCCATCGACACCACCGTTTCGTCCGCCGCCTCCTTCACCCTTCCTGAAGAGCCCGAGGCCCTGCATGCCGATGTGGAGTTGCTTTTGGAAGTGTGTAAAAAAAGTAAGGGACTTTCGATAGTTGTTCTGTTGCGCTCCCGCTAACCGTGTCTGGTAGTCTACCTTTGTCACAGCCGATCATCGTTTGCCACCAAACTGGCCGAGCTCAGCGACCGTGTCGGAACCGAATGTACCCCGATCTTTGCATTTTTCGACATCGATTTTGGTGGGGAAGACTCGAATCTGGCCCGTCGGAAGGCCAATCGGGCGTCGTGGACGGATGCTGCGCCTCCGTCGCCGGGGTCCATCCACCGCACATTCACCTTTTCATCACAATCGGACGATGCACTGGGCCTGTCGCTTCTTTCGGGTGTCTCCACCGACATTCAAGTCCAGGATGGTCCGAATCTGATTGTGCCCATCGCCGTGCTGCGTGCCGCTGGTTCGGATGCGCCTGGCGACTCTGGCGACTCTGCCCGCGACCAAAGCCGCAGCCTTCTCACGTTGGAGCACAAGCAGATTGCCCGCTGCCTCGACATGGGTGCCATGGATGTTTTGACCACCCCACTCGATCGGTCTAGGGTTCAAGGCCTTGTTGTTCATGCATATCGCGCTCGGCGCTCCGCCCAAAAAGAAATGTCACGCTTTATGGCGCGGAAAAAGTTGCGGAAGCATTCGTGGGTGGGTGTTCATGATGAGCAGCCGTATGCCTATCTGAGAGAGGCAATGTACGTTTCTCTTTTCCATTCTGGTCCAGCGTTTTTCAGCATTCTCGTGCGGGTTCGTTTGACAGAGTACTGACTAGGATATAGGGTGTCAAAACTGATGAAGGGGATATGCAACCCAGAAGAGATCATCGACGAATTCCAAGAGCGGTAGGTGATTATTCTCCCTGGTGCTTCCGTGGTGGAAGGCTGATTTTCTTGTAGGGATCTCAAAGTCGATCCGGAGCGTGAACCATTTATCAAAGAGCAAGTAGGGAGCTGGAAGTTCTCGGCCCATGAATTCTCCGAGGATGAGCTAGTGTTTGGGGCCTGTGAGATGATCCAGCATGCTCTCAACATGCCCGGGCTGGAACAATGGCGATTGACTCCCGGTGAATTGCGGACTTTCCTGCTCGCCTGCCGTGCCGCCTACAACTCCTTCGTGCTCTATCACAATTTCCGCCATGCGATCGATGTGCTGCAGTCCGTCTTTTGCTTTCTGCTTCACATTGGTGCCTTGCCTCCGTACGAACCTGTCGGTCAAACTGTGGTTTCCAAAACCCCGATCGCTGGACTTCTCTCCCCCTTTGACGCCCTCACCCTGCTCATTTCGGCCATTGGTCACGATGTCGGTCATCCGGGCGTGAACAACTTCTTCCTTGTAAAGCTGAACGCCCCTTTGGCACAGCTGTACAATGATAACTCCGTTCTGGAAGCATTTCACTGCGCCGCTTTCTCCCAGATTCTCCGTCGTCACTGGCCTGCGGCATTTAAAGATAAGCAGCTCCGGAAACTCCTGATCAGCTCCATCCTGGCCACCGACATGGGCGTTCACCAAAAGTTTATGGAGCGTATGGGATCATTGCAAGAAAAGTTTCACGAAAATGACAAGTCCGTTGATGGCTGGAAGCCTCAGGACATTGAGATGTACAAGACGCTTTTGTGCGGTCTGTTGATCAAGTGCGCTGACATCAGCAACGTGGCCCGGCCGTGGAAGGTGGCAGAGAAATGGACTCAGATCTTGCAGGAAGAGTTTGCGAACCAAGGCGAGATGGAGAAGGAGGTCGGCATGGAGACGGCGCTGTTTGGTGGGCCACCGGAGCTGGGTAACATCTATAAACTGGCTACAAGTCAGATTGGTTTCATGTCAATCTTCGCTCTTCCGCTTTTTGAGGGAGTCTCCGACCTTGTGCCACAATTGCAATTCACTGCAGACCACATCCGCCGCAACCAAGTGCAATGGCAGAAGTTGGCCAATGATGAGCTGCAAAAGCAAGGGCTGCCGGTCGAGGATCGGGCTGAAACCACGGTCTCGCCGCGCTCGCACAGCCCTGCGGTTCGAGCAACCGATGAGAAAGACACGAAACAGCCATCCACGGAGTCTGAAGAAGGCAAGGGAGACGATCTCCACTCACCTCAATCATCTGGCACGGCCTCACCATCCGCTGCATACAACGAGAACACCATTGAGCCGGTGGTATCACCCGATACCTCCGGCCCCCAGATCGAGATCACCGGAAGTCCGATTACACCTGATGTGCCGTCTCGCAAATCCTCCAGTGCCATGCCCGATCTCTCGTACTTCATCCCCAACGCACCACGATCGGCACGAGGGTCAGTCGGGACGCAGTATCAAAGTCCTCTCAGCGGGGCGAATATTCCCGCGGATGACCCGGCTGTCCTGGCCGCTGTCTTATATGCCAACTCAGCTACCAACGGCGCAAATGCCCCGACCCCTACGGAAGAGCGCGATCACGTCAGTGTATCCCCCTCTGAGAGACCGAGCAGTTCCCGCCAAGCGCCCACGTCATGTTCTCATCGCCACCACGCCCACCATAGCTCCTCGGCCCGGACGTCTGCACCATCCGGTTCCAACCGCAACAGCTGCACCCGGACGCACAGTGTCAGCACGTACAGCAACAACATGACCCCGATCTCTCCCTCGACCAACGCCACTAGTTTTCTGGCGGTGGACAGTGGAGACGAAAAGCGAGTTTCCGGCGACAGTGTCGGCCAAAGTGACCCAGACAGTCCGGATGACAACAGCACTCGTCCCAGCACGTCGGACCCATGCGTTTCGGGTGTGGGATCAAGTGTGGGAGACCGAGAAAGGAGCTACAGCCGAGGGCACAGCTCTGGAGTGAGTGCTTGTCATTCTCGTTCAGAGGATGGAGCCAGTAAAGATCATTCCCGGACGGCTGTCAATGGAACTCGCAGCCCAACTCAGTCGACTACGACGGGCGAGAGCATCAAAAATGATAGCCCGCAAGGGGACGACTCTCGAGGCGGTGAACGCGGGCTACGCAGGCTCCCGAAACGGCGGAGTCGATTGCGACTTGCTTTCTGGCGACGTCGGCATCACCACCAACCGGAAGTTCGCGGTGAGACGTGAAGTCTCTTCTCTTCTCTCTCTCTCTTTTTCCTTTCCCTTGACTTCTCCTATCGTGTCTCTGGCTGGTCATTGCCGGCTCTTTATAATGCGATGATGGTCTCATGAACGGTGTGCATTTTTGTGATGAGCGTTGAGACTCCGACGGAGTCGCATGATTTGATGACTTGATCAGCTGGAATCGCTGGAACTTTCTTTGAGTTGAGCCTGTGCAGCAACCGCGGGATTCTGGTGCTCTCGAGTCATCCTACGATCTCGTCCGATGTCCTCGTCGATGTCAACGAGGTAGTTCGTTGGAATGGCCATTCCGGGTGTGGATCAGACCCTAAAATCGAGTGCAAGACTTCTCTAGCCTTTTTGCTTCTTGGACGGTGAAGAAGACAAGCGGTGTGGTACGTTTGTGATACGGAGGCGAGCGACTCGCTTTCGTATTTTGTTTCCGACATAAAACGGATTCCGGCGCAGGTGGCCGTGCTTTGCTTTGCTTTGCTGCTTTTGTCTCTTTAGTTTTGCATCGGATTTTTTTGACTTGGGTATCCCTTTTTTTGTGTGATGATCATGGTCATGTTGGATGTTTTTTGTTTTCGTCTTTTCGAGGGCCAATACTGGTTTTTTTTTTTTTCTCTTTTTTTTCCCTTTTTTTGGGGATGGTCATTCTATTCTAGAGTTTTGGTTACAAAGGGCCGGTGGCGTTTGTTTTGTTGTCTTGTCTCGCAGGGTTAGGGATTGAGATTTGGCGAGCTTTTGGGTTCTATCTTCTCTCCTGTGCCTAGTTTATATATACACCCATCGACATATGTATATATATGTATATCTTGATCTTTTCTGCTCCATTGTTCTCCTCTGGTCGTATCCTTTTAGACTAGCTAGAGCGTGTCGAATGGATCTGTAGTTATATAGTATAGAGAAAATGACCTTTCCCCCCTTTTCTTCATGAACAATCTTCACATTTCTCTTTTTCTTGTTGAGGCTTGATTTCAGTCTTCTGCTGGCTCTCCTCCTGCTTCTTCTTCAATGCCCGATCCGTATGGCCTAGATCGCGGTCCGGGTCGATGACATTGCGAACAAGGGATTTGAGAGCCTTGACTTCTGTAGAGATGTGAGATATGTATGCGTGGTTATTATATACCCAGATAAGAAAGCAGGGTCATCTTTGCTAATAGTAGGTGGCATCCATGGATTGAGGGAATGCCATGGGGGTAAGAAATGAAATGAACTAGAAAGAAAGAAGGAAGGAAGGAAGGAAGGAAATAGCAGAAGCAGAGGCATACCAGGAAATCCCCCATCCCGTTTCCGATCCCACAACACCGATTCTTGTGTTGTCGCAGTCTCAGTCTCAGTCTGCGAGGCATGCCGTATCGTCACGCGGAAGATGCCGCCGGTCCGCGGCACGAGGGCGACTTCGCCGAGGTCTGTGCTGAAGGTCGAGAGGAGTTCCTGGGCGAACTGGGTATTGTTAATTGATTATGCTAATCCAGTCCAACAGGTCCAATTGATATTGGCATTGATATTGATATATAGGAGGGGAAGCTCGAGGATAATAGATCAAAGGATGGTAAGATGTCAAAGCTAAGCTCAGATAAGGAAGAAAGAAAGAAGAAAGAATCTCACATATGCAGCACGCAACATCCATCGACACTGCGTACAAAACTCGATGGCAATGCGCGGGACGAGGACTTGCTCGAGAGCGGTGGCAGCACTTGGATGGGATTGTTGCGACGGTGCTGGTGCTGATGCTGCTGATGCTGGTGCTGGCGCGGGGTTGGAGACAGAGGTCTCGACGGGCGCGATCGGTTCGGTCATGGTTTGCTGGGAGTGCGGATATACCGTTGAGTTGTCGTGCTTAGTAGGCTCTGGATTGTTGGCGGAAGTTGTGGTGGTGGGGTTTTTCATCCACGGGCTTCACGGGTTGGCAAAGTCACGGGCCAGAATGGATAAGAGTGAACAACACTCGATTATCTCGTTCTTGGTGATCGAGGAATCGAGGAATCGAGGAATCGAGTATGTACGGAGACGGAGTAGAGTTGAGACTGTGCAAACCTTCCAAGGTTGGGAATATGCGATATCGGATGATGTCAGCGGGGAGGTTGCTACCCGTCTAGGCAGGTGTAGTAAGACAGCCCGGCGTGCTGGGTAACAGCCCTCCAGCTGGAGTGTACAGTTGACTAAGAATCCCCCGAATAACGTGCATGATTTTTGCGCAGATTGCAGGGGCCATCGGTGCAGTCCCTGACGCCCCGTCATGCAAGCCCGAAACACATTTGGGGGCCGATCCCTTCAGTCGGGTCATGGCCTGAGTTTCTATGTTCTCCGGCTGGCATATCGCCTGTCCTGATGGATTGAGAAGTGGGATTAGATGGTAATGTATTGCCCATGGATGCAAATCGAATCTATGATACACGAATGGCAACCGACTCTCATGCATCGAGTATGTGAGAGGATTTTTAGAAAGAAACCCCAGAATACAAAAAAAAAAAAAAAAAAACAAGGAAATGGCCGACTTTCAAGGAAACACAGAGGCGAAAAGGGGGAATGGTGCGATCGATAGGAAAGACAAGAAAAAGAAAAAGAAAAAAAGAGACCCAAGAAGAGGAAAGAAGAAAATTTCACCGACACATGGTGCGTCCATGATCCCAAGAAGTCGGGGGTGGAAGGGTTCGTGCAGGACCAGCAGACGGTTATTCTTCCACATCGCAAATGTTTTTTCTTTTTCTTGTTGTGTCCGCACCCGAGGGGTGAGCGATCGCAATCATGATGGATCCGGAATTAAGAAGTAGGAAGAATCGAATGAGAAAATCAACGTGTCATGGCGAATTGCCCGTCATATGCCCATTACATGACGGTGCAACAGCCTCCCTGTTGCTGGGGGGCATGGGGATCGTCTCGCTTGTCGACCTAGAGCATCGAGCCAGTTAGTGGAAATGCGCGCGACCATTGAAAACTCGGAACCCAATCGCATACCTGTCCCCATACGGAAGGAACCATAAAATCGCGAGTGTTATTGCAGTAGTTGATGAGCCTGTCGAGGGGAAACAAAGAATGTTAACGGACCCCCGTCCAACAAAGAGAAGCGGGCCACACAACTCACGAGAGCGCCGCCTCCGACACCTTGACCCGTGGACGGTCCAGATCCTCTTTCAAACGGGCATTGAGCTCGGTCAATCGACGGTATTTGAGATCGGCCACACTCTGCTTCTTGTTCTTAACATCACCCCCAGATCGAAGTTCGTAAGCAGGCATCGTGATGGGTTGGAGGAATTGGAACGGGGACGCGAACGGGGGAAAGGGGGGAGAGGGGGTGATGGGGCGAGGTTCCAGGGGCGCGTCAGAATGAGGCTCGATTTAGAGTCGGATCGAGGCCAACAAAGGCAGAGAGAATATCAAAAAGAAAAAAAGAAAGGGAAAAAAAAGGAGAGAGAGGAGGACGAGGGAGTGTGTATAGGTAGAGGATAACAAAGAGAAAGGCCGTTGTGAATCTGGGGGGGTTTGCGCTCGAGAGGGATTTTCCCCGTTTACCGCGAGAAGAGAGGTCCGTGGGTTTTGGTTACACGTATTACCATTGTTTCCCAGGAAGCTGAATGTACCCAGTACTTTGGACGGGTGGGCTGATCAATAGTCCCACAATAGTGCCGCCCGTCGCCCCCCAAGTACTCGCTACTTAGAATGATGCATCCAATGTTGATCTACTATGGCCTGGGACAGTCAAAATCATAATACCTCGGATCAGCTGAAGAGCTACCTCGATCCTCGATATCTCCATATTCTTCGAATTTTAGTCCTACAGTGCCTCGGTGTCTATTTCTATCTTCCTACCAGGTCATCCTGAAAGAATGTCACAGCGGTAGTCCCGGTATTACCGTATTGTCGTGAGTGAATGTTGCCTGAGGCACCAGTCAAACCCACGTGACTCCATCGCTTAACCCAAAGTGGGAGGGTGGTTCCAATTTTCGCTGCTTCACGCACAACAGGTTCTCGATTCTCCCCCTCCAGGTAATCGGGCCTTCGCGTGGCAGCATCGTCATCTCCGGCTTCTGAACCGCTGCCCGTGTGAGTCACGCCTGTTTCAGCTCCATATCTCGATTTATCCCGTCAAGTCCTCTCAAATCATTTTTCCCCACAGGGGTGGGTTGCCCATCATGCCGCCTCCGCCGCATATCAAACCTGAGAATGTCCTCAAGGTGAGTCGCCACCTCGGAATCGATCGATGGAATCAAGAGAGATCGTCTTGCTAATGGGGGATTGTCGACAGAGGGCCCAGGAACTTATCGCCGTCGGTCAGGCCCCCGCCGCCTTGACCGTCCTGCACGAACATGTCACCTCCAAGAGGACCCGCAGCAGCCCGATCGCTTCCCTCGAGCCGGTGATGCTCCTGTTTGTGGAGCTGTGTGTCGATCTGCGCAAGGGCAAGGCCGCAAAGGATGGTCTCTACCAGTACAAGAACATTGCTCAGAACACCAATGTGGGCACGATTGAGGTTCGTCGCGGAAAGATCTTTCGCCTTGCGTATGAAGCTGGGGCGCTGACTCAAGGGCATTTGTGTGCTTTATAGGTTGTTTTGAAGAAGTTCATCGAGCTCGCCGAGCAGAAGGTCACCGAGGCCCAGACCAAGGCCGACGAGATCCAGTCATCTCTCGAATCTGCGGCCCCTTCCACCAACGTCGAGGACCTGGAGGCGATCGAAACCCCCGAGACAATTCTGCTCGCAACTGTCTCCGGTGAGCAGTCCCGTGATCGCACCGACCGCGCCGTCGTGACTCCGTGGCTCAAGTTCCTCTGGGAAACCTACCGCACCGTCCTCGAGATCCTCAAGAACAACGCGCGCCTCGAGATCATGTACCAGTCGACTGCACTGCAGGCCTTCCAGTTCTGCCTGAAGTACACCCGCAAGACTGAGTTCCGCCGTCTTTGCGAGCTCCTCCGAAACCACGTTCAGAATGCCGCCAAGTACTCCGCGCAGATGCATGCCATCAACCTGAGCGATCCTGACACCCTGCAGCGCCATTTGGACACTCGTTTTCAACAGCTGAACGTGGCCGTGGAACTGGAGCTCTGGCAGGAGGCGTTCCGCAGTATTGAGGATATTCACACTCTGCTGAGCCTGAGCAAGCGCCCCGCCAAGAACGTCATGATGGCCAACTACTACGAGAAACTTGCTCGGATTTTCCTCGTCAGCGAGAACTACCTTTTCCACGCCGCTGCATGGAACCGTTACTACAACCTGCTCCGTCTGTCGTCGATTGCTCTGGCCGCCGGTCAGGTCTCGAAGAAGGACAACCCGTCAGCGACCGAGGCTGAATTGACCAAGGCCGCCTCCTTTGTCCTGCTCTCTGCTCTTGCCATTCCCGTGATCAGCACCACCCGCTCGCGTGGCGCCCTGGTTGATGTCGATGAGGCTCGCAAGAACAAGAACACTCGTCTCACCAACTTGCTGGGAATGGCCACCTCCCCGACCCGCTCTGTCCTCTTCCGCGATGCCTTGAACAAGGGTCTGCTTAAGCGCGTGCGTCCCGAGATCCGGGAGCTGTACAACATTCTGGAGGTTGACTTCCACCCGCTGTCCATTTGCAAGAAAATTACCCCCATCCTCAAGCAGATTGGCGCCGATCCGGAGATGGAGAAGTACGTGGTGCCTCTGCAGCAGGTCATCCTTACTCGTCTGTTCCAGCAACTCTCCCAGGTCTACGAGTCGGTCGAGCTCAAGTTCGTGTATGAGCTCGCTCAGTTCCCCGACCCGTTCCAGATTACCCCGGCCATGATCGAGAAGTTTATCATGAACGGCTGCAAGAAGGGCGACCTGGCCATCCGCGTGGACCACATTTCGGGCGTTTTGACCTTTGACTCGGATGTTTTCTCTTCCTCCAAGGCCATGCACACCGGCAGTGCGGCAGGTTCTGCCGAGAGCGAGATTGGCTCCGTGCAGCGTCTGCAGCACACCCCCGCCGAGATTGCCCGCTTCCAGCTCGCTCGCCTGGCGAAGACCCTGCACGTCACGTGCATGTACGTCGACCCGTCCTACAACGAGGCTCGTCTGCAGGCCAAGCAGGCCGCCCAGGCTCGCGCTCTGGCTGGCGCCGCCCAAGAGCACGAGGACACCTTGGCCCGCCGTGTCATCATCGACAAGAAGAAGGAGGCTGCTACCGATGCCTTGCAGCGCAAGCAGCGCGAGGAGGAAACTCGCAAGCGCATCCGTACGCAGCAGCTTCAGGAGGCCGAGAAGCAGCGACTGCTCAACGAGCACCAGGAGCGCGAGCGCAAGCGTATCAAGGATGAGCAGGACCGTATCCGTCAGGAGGAGCTGAAGAAGCAGCTTGAGGAACTGAAGACGGGTGTGAAGGGCATTGACGTGAGCGAGATTGATCTGAATGAGCTGGATGCCAACCGTCTGCGTGCCATGAAGCTTGCCCAGCTGGAGAAAGAGAAGAATGAGCTCAGCGACCGGGTCCGCACCACCGCTAAGCGCATTGACCACTTGGAGCGTGCCTTCCGCCGCGAGGAACTGAAGCATGTTCCCGAGGACTATGAGGCCCAGAAGAAGCATGACATGGAGCTCTACGATAAGCAGACCAAGGAGACCTTGGAGGAAGCCAAGGCGAAACACGCCGAAGCTGTGGCGCTGAAGCACCGTCTCGGCCGCCTGGTGCCGCACTTCAGCAGCTTCCGCAAGGAGGTATCGGAGAAGCGTCACGAGGAGTTCGAGAAGCGCCGCAAGGCTGCCGAGCGGGAGTTTGAAGCCAAGAAGAAGCAGCGCGTCAAGGAGGTTCAAGACCGCCGTCGTCGCGAGAAACAGGAACGCGAGGAAGAAGAGCGTCGCCTCAAGGAGGAGGAAGAGCGCGCCCAGCGCGAGGAACAGGAACGGACTGCCCGGGAGGAGGAGCGCCGTCGTACTTTGGCCGAGGAGAAGGCCAAGCGGGAAGAGGAGAGAGCGTTCGTTGCCCCCCTTGTCGCTTCCTTGTCCTCTTTCAAGATTATCAAAGCTAACTGGCCATTTTCTTACAGCAAACTCGACGAGATGGCCATCCGACAACAGCAGCGCGAAGAGGAGGCCGAGGCCCGCCGTGCTGCCCGAAAGACTGGTGCCCCTGCAGAGCCCACCGAGCGAACGGCACCCCGCCTCAATGTCGCCCCTCGCACTGGTGGTGCCACCAGCTGGAGAGACCGACAAGCGGCCAAGGAATCTGCTGGCGGCGCTGCGCCGGAACCCACCCGGGAGGAAGCCCCTCTGCGCAAGACCGGCGGATATGTGCCACCCCATCTGCGTGCCGGAGCCTCTGCCAGCTCTGGATCCGCCCCACCCCCTCGTGAAGCCCCTGCGACTGGACCTACTGACCGCTACGTTCCCCGGCACATGCGTGACCCCTCGGCTGCCCAGTCCTCAGCTCCCCCGGCGGACTCCAGCAAGCCTGAGGAGTCCAACGGCCCTCAGAAGTGGGTCCCGCGATGGAAGCAACAGCAAAGCTAAGTGACTGGATGCACTAATCCATCGTGATCTTCGTGTTCCTGGGAGTCCTCGCGGATGGAGCGACTCAAAAGTGTGTATGGAAGCTCGTTTTACTATGGCGCATGTTCTCATGACCCTTCAGCATTGTTCATGACCGGCCCTGCGGGGTCTTTTGTGTTTTCAAATTTCATTTTCTGTTAATTTATCTGGAGGGGATGGCCCGTGATGTCAATGCCACGTTTCTTTTGAGGCTTTGCTCTGTTTTGTGTCCACGGGTAGATTTAGAAGCTGAATATGTAAGCATGCTTGGCAGAGTTCAAGCAGATCCTCAACCTTGCAAGAAGTTACGCCTGGCAGGTTCTCATAAACGGCCGACAGTCAGTCCGAGCCAGCACAAATACAGAGCACAAGGCTTGGAGCCCTTGATCCTAAGGGAACTTAAAGAGAGACATGATAAACAGGATATTATTCTCCGATCGATATATATATACTTCATTTAGGGCTATAAAGTGCAAGTCTCCCGATATCAACATGATCACCATTTCTAATAACCCCTGCCGCTCTAGCGGCTTGGCCGGTACCACTAGAAGCTTCCGAAGTTCCACAATCTACATCCCCAGGAACCAACTATATAGCAATCTTATCTGCCAAGGGGGAAACCACACAAAGTACTGTCACGTCACATACACATACTCTGTTGGGGGGGGGGATGTCAAAGAAGAACTTCGAGGTCACTCCAATTGATCTAGTATATATTCCCGATATAAGAAAAAGAACCATCATGTACGCTTCATTCAAGTCTATCAAACACGCAAAAGTATTATAGTATAGGCGCTGGATCGAACAACAAAAAAAAGACTATGTACGCAGCTCCTCGGTATCGCTTGGCCCGGCACCAGCACGCTCTCTCGAGTTCGCCGAATCGGGAATGCCCATTACATCGGCGTCGCTCATTTCGTCTGCCTGGGCCACGTTCTTGCTGTTCTCCTTGTTCTTGTCCTTGTTCTTGTTGGTCTTGCCTGTGGAGTCTTGGTTTGTCGTGTCCGCCTCGTTCGTCTTGTCCTTGTTCTTGTCTGCCTTGCTCGTTGAGTCTTTATTCTTTGTGTCGGCCTCGTTCGTCTTGTCGGTTTTGTTTGTCTTCTGCCCAGACTCTTTGGTGTTTTGTCCGTTCCCAGATCCTGATTTCTGGTCTTGTTCTTCTTCTTGATCTTCTTCATCTTCTTCATCTTCTGGTGTTTCCTCCTCATCCTCCTCATCTTCTTGTCCTTTTTCTTTTTGCTTGTCTTGTGTCTCCCCCTTTCCTTGACCTCCTCCTTGATCTCCACCTTGTTCTTCCGCTTCCTTTTGCCTTTCTTCTTCTTCTTTTTCCTTTGCTATTTTGGCGAGTTCCTCCGCATCTGGTTGGCCTTCCAAGTTGTTCTCTGGGCCATCATCGTGGTTGACATTGATCATTCGGCCGCGAGGAAGCTTAAATGTGCTCGGGTCAAGTTCACTTGGTTTGAAATCGGGCCATTGCGCAAGAGCGGTTTTCTCACCCTTGAGGAAGCGGTGGATGTTGAGCATGGTACTGAAGGTCGCGGAGACGGAGTGGGCTTCATGCCAATGGTTGCCGGAATCTCGCACATCCGAATCAGAGGCACTCATCCCGGCCTTACGCCAGTGGGTGAGCAGGGGCGGGTAAGGGGAGATGCAGTGGAAGGGCATATCCTTGGATTCGTCCTGGCGGCACAGACTCGCGAGCGCAAAGTCGATGGCGTCGTTGTTGGGTTCCAGCGACGTGGTGGCCAGCAACTTGCGCGCGCCTTGGTTGGAAATGCCGTAGCCGTGCGTGCAAATGTTGGCCGTGCCGTCCAGCACAAACCGTGACCGCTGGTGCTCGGGTCGGTCCACGAATCGAGGGTAATGGAACTCGTACCGGTGGTTGATCGGTCGCACCGTCGGGTCGAACGGGATGCGGTACGCGTGCTCCTTGTCCATTGCTTCTATCGCACAGAATCCAAACCAGAGCAGGTCCCAGTTGTCGCCGTAAGGGGTTTCCGGATGCGGCGTCTTGAGGAACTCACGCGCTCCGCGCGCGAATTCCTTCAGTTGCGTTCGTAGGGTCACGTCCCAGTCGGCGTCGTCTTCAAGGAACAGCGCCGAGCTGACGTTGTTTAGAACCATACTAAAAAGACAAATATTAGCCTATGGCCCCTTTTTTTCTAGAAATAGGAGAAAGGGGGGGGGGGGGGGGGCATACTCTTGGGCCGCATCCATATGAGCTCGCCAGCAGCCAACCTCATCGGGCACTTCTCGGTTCCGGTCCCAGGTCTAATAGATAGTTAGACGAGATCTCTCCCAGATGAGTCATAAGGAGTTTTGTAGGGAATCGACATACTGCGGGGTATGCTTTGTCCGGGATGTCTTTGGCCTTGACACCCTCGATCCAAGTCAATTCCATGTTCGTCATCGCCGCGCCAAGGGACAGGGCATCGCGCTTGTCGGATCGATCACTGAACCCCATTGCATAAATCTTCTCAAACTGCACCGCGACAGGTTAGAATGACATCCCGCATCACACAGCATGAGTGATGGAAGAGGGGGGAGGAATGCAACACATACCCCGAGAGTCGAGTTCGCGATATCCTCGATGGGATCGCGCCGCTTAGGTTTATTCTGGGCGGGCGCCGATGCGTTCGAGGCGTTCGAGGCATTCGAGGCATTCGATGCCGGCACAACTGGCGCGGGCGGCGATTCCGGTATGACCTTGACATCCACCGGCGGGGGATTCGTCGACCCCGAGGATACGGCATGTAGCCGGTCTTCCAGCATCGATTTGGGGTCGCCATTTTGCCATAATGTGATCGCAGCCATGTAGATCAGGATCACCACGAACACCGTGGCGACCGTTTGCACGGGCCGGGTTTTTCGGAACATGTTGATGCCCGGGGGGTGGGTTCCGACCTGAATGATGAAGAAGTTAAAATGTCCAAGCCGCGAAAGAGAGCCTTATGCGGATGGGAGGAGGGTCTAATAAAGAAGGAAACGCATTGGGGCCGAAATGGGGGAAGTGAGATGCGGACATGCACTCCGAGGGTCCAAGGCTTTTTTCTTTTTTTCTTTTCTTTTTGGTGGGGGCCGCTACTCATGATGATTTTAGGGGCTTAGTACAGCCTTGCCCCCTAAATAAGAGAACTATTATTATGATTCAACGGGAACTCGGGAAATGTGTTCCTTTCGAATCATTAGGGCTTAGTCTGCAAGTTCAATACTTCTGCTCCGAGTGGTATAATTATATTACTTGTATAATATATAATATATAATTATAGTAACATTGGAAAGCCGTGATCGTGTAGAATGCAAAGAGCCTTAGCGGTGCACGAGGGCCCCTCGCAGCAAATAAGAATTGGGGCGCGGCTCGGTCATAAGCACCACGCTATCGAGTCATTCTAGCTGCTTATTTCCGAATATTACTGTACATGTACTCCGAGCCGATCATGCATGTGTCCTCAGATAGGAAGATATTATATATTATATATTTAGAATAGAATAGAATAGAATATACTAAATTATATATAATGATCACAAAATATTGCAATGTAGACGCAAGAGATCCCAATTTTAGCCTTTATCTAGGAAACGTTGTATTGGCCCCTGAGTCAACCCTTGTACGGTACTGCCCTGAAGTGTATAAAACCCTGGGTCCATCAAAACCCTATTTTTTTTTGGCCCCAAACTCCACTTGTTTGATCCTCTATCTTGTCCTGTCCATTTACCGCTGCTTATGCATAATGTATACTAATTATAACCAAGAAAAATAGGGGGCAGTGCTCCCCAACTGAAATGTACAAATGTGCTAGGTGTGGAGGCGGTCATAGCGAAACGTGAAGGAGCGCCTGAAGGTATTTTAGGCCCCCAAGCGGCCTTATTCCATGGGGTTCAACTTTCGTGTTGCCTGAATCATGAGGAAGATTGCAATGGATCACCTGAGGCTGAGACTCGGAGGAATATTCCCCCGTTCAGGTCTTCGTACCCGAGGGGGAAAAAAATTCATGGGAAATTTCACACTTAAAAAAAAAAAGAAAAGAAAAAAAAAATATCTTGCATCTTGTACGGAGTAGCGATTATTATTTCCTCTCCTAGAGCTAGAGTTTCCCATCCCTTCTGCCGGCTGAAAAGCGGGCCACAATGGGGCTCTCACGCGACCGGTCCGACAAAGATCTTGAGGCCAACCCCAGGCATGAAACGAATCATGTTGAGCGGGAGTACGAGACGTCGGTCACCGTGAAGTGTAGATGGCTGGGTCTCTACGCCTTATCTGGCCTACTCTCCATCTTCTATCACCGGCGAATTGTGGAATCGGTGAGGATCTGCCCATAGAGCCTTACCCGTGGACGATCATCGTTCCAAGGTTTTTCTTTTACGTGTCTGTTGAACTTTGCTTATACCGTCGATCTAGTTGCACGGCCCGTGGACTTTCACCGGCATCCATGCACTGGTTATCTTTTGTGTAACGACTCTTCTCCAGGAAGGAGGCTATCTGCGGCTCTCGAGACTTTCGCTATGGGGTCACGTCGCTGTCGGCATGTACTCGATGCTGTTCAGCGCGAGTAGTGCCATGTCCTTTCTCTCGGTGCGGGTGTTGTATGTTTTTTTCCATGCTCTCTTCTTTCTTTCTATTTGTCTGTCTGTTCTTGACTAGAGGCTCTAACAATTTCCCATAGGCCTTTTACCACCCGGGCGTTCTATCAGACCATCTGCAGCACTGCGCCGTTGGTCATGGTTCTCGCCTATCGGGTGCGGTACTCACGCAAGTACTCCATAGCCACGTGGCTGTCGCTGCTAGCCCTCATCATGGGCACTATCCTGGTGATCAACAAAGAGTACCAAACCTCGGGACTCGGGATTTTCATCTCTCTTTTCAACATGGGTCTCGGAGTAGTGACAGTATGTTTCTACGATCCATTGGTTCTCTTCTAGAGAAACAAACTAATCTCTGACCAGATGATCGCAACCAATCGACTCTTGACTGGGCCCCTGGCACTGGCTCCCCTGGAGCTGATCCACCGCGTGTCACCTTACGCTGCCGTGCAGTCTGTTCTGCTGGCAGTAGTGAACAAGGAGCCCCGGGTCCTGATCGATGTACTATGGCCCCGCGCAGTTGATCAATCGCCACATGCTGTCATGGCCACGTGCGGGCTTCTCCTTGGCAGTGGGCTGATCGCCTTGTTGTTTCATCTATCCTCCTTCCATGCCAATCGGGCCACAGGGGCCCTGACCCTTGCTGTCTGCGGGAACATCCGACAGACACTCGGCTTAGTTGCCGCGAATTTTGTCTTTCGAGGGTTTCCCTTGGGGGTGTCGAATGCAACTGGGACTCTGCTCGTTGCCATGGGGGTTGCCCTATACACCAAGACAGAGTTGCTGTCCAGGAAAGCATCCCCGTCTACTTGATTGTAGACTACCTGGTATATACATAGCCGCCCTCTCCCCTACTTTTCGGGGCTGCAGTCTTTAGGGCTCGCTTGCACGCGATGCCCGTTTTGTCCAAATGTCCTTGCATACTGTACAGCAGTCTCGTCGCATATCCTATGTACATACAGTAGTGATGTCTGTTATTAGTGTTGATGTTATGATAATATACGCGCTTGCATATTTTCTAGTGTTCTTTTCATATAGATAGATATATTTCTCTCCATACGTCTCTCAAGTTAAAGGAATTGTACTGTACAAGACTGCTGTATATCTTGTACCTATATCCAAGTACAGTCTTTCATTTCGAATAAGACCGAGCCCCAAGAAGTAGGTCAAACTTAGGGCCCCCTGGCTGTAACCCGCTAGGAGAGTCTTGTGGCGATCGGTTGCTTTCGCGGTTTTTGGCCCCATTTTCTGTGGATTGTGCCACTGAACGTACGAGGCTATGTACATATGTATTCAGCCCTTACAATACAAGCACGCGACTCATGTTGTTCCGCCCCGACCCCTCTGTGCTGCGAGTTTATTACCATTCTGAGGTCTAGTGCGCTGCTTGCAGTAATAATGGATAATACATAACTAACCGTTCACCTCTGAATCCATACTGTAGACGTGTGTACAATACACCCTATTTGTGTACAGTATCTAGATTCCTAACGTTCTACTTTCTTCCCTTCTTTCTCCCTCTCTGTCTCTCTCTTGTCTCCATCCTCCGTTCCCTCATCCCCTTTCCCTCGCCTAGGCCATTGTTCAACGGGCTACGCAACAATGGTTCCCCTCGCAGATGCCCCCCGCCGGGTAAAGGTTTTCGTGGCGGTTACTGCGAGCATTCTGATTCTCCTTGTGGTCTTGCTCTGGCAGGATTCTGACGATGCGACGCCCGTCTGGGTCACAAAGAACAAACCAGGCCCGTCGAGTCCGTCAGCGCCAGCAGATCATCACGCTTCGGTCCCTTCGACTTCGTCGACCCCATCGAAAGACTCCAAAACAAGCGCTGCCGGCTCGTCGAAAGATACGCATTCAAACCCCAACCCCGCAAGCCCGGGGGTGAAAGCAAAGGATCCCCTGCACGACATTGGAAATTCCACTCTCGGGGTAAGGATTACATTCCGTACGGGGCGAGGGAAAAAGTTGACTGATATGTTTTGTGAAGTTTGAGCGGATTTTCGCCATTGGCTTCAGTAACCGAATGGACAAGAGGGATGCTGTGACGGTCGGCGCATCGATTGCGGGTCTGGATCTGGAATGGATGGAAGGCGTTCGCGCGGCAGATATTCCCGAGAAAGGATACCCTGAGGTACGCCTTTGTTTTCTTCTTCTTCTGCTCAGCGGTGCGACGATACTGATCTTGAGACTTAGGGATGGGACACAAATATTCGAAATGAGAATGAGATTGGATGTTGGCGTGCTCATATGAATGCTATTCAAAGGTATGATTTCGACCCCAGCGCTTCCATGAACTCTAGGATCCAAAAACACTAATCCGCCCACCGTTAATCTTTAGGATCGTCCAGGAGAAACGTTCTTCGGCGATGATCGTGGAAGATGATGTCGACTGGGAGGCCCATTTTCGAGGACTTTCTCGACACTTCGCCACGGGGGCGCGCGCTTTGCAAGGGTCGGCAGAGGAAACAAGGTCTCCGTACGGGGACGACTGGGATCTATTGTGGACAGGCGGGTGCGCCATGAGAACCATCAAGCCCACATTCTACGTCACGTATAATGAGACGACAGTGCGGCCCGTCGAACACCGCAAGGATATTTGGTGGCCGAAAATCTCGGAGGAGCCCGAGTACGAGGGCGCACGGTTCGTGTTCGACGGCGCCGTTGGGGACTGCACTCCTTCCTACGCCTTGAGTTATCAAGGAGCGCGCAAAATCCTGACTTATATCTCTATGGGAACCACCACCAATACCATCGACATCGCCCTCGCCCGGCTGTGCGCCGGCAAGCTCGATGTCCCCTTCCGGTGTCTGGGCGCCTACCCGACCATCTTCAGCAGCTTCTGGCGCGCAGGCTCCGGGATGCGCGATTCTGAACTTCGTGACGGCGATCCTGCGTGGCACCCGGCCACCTCGGCCGTCGCGTACAGCACCATGATTAACGCCGGACGCCTAATCAACGGCAGTACTACCGCTCTAGCGCAGTGGCCCGAGATGAACCCCCAGGAAATCCCCTTAGATTACGAGCCGCCCTCAGGAGAGATTGTCACGGTGGATGAGCTGCCTGAAGAGGATCGGACCGAGGATGACTTTCCGTGAGATGCAGCATGAAATCCGGTTTTTTTTTTTATTCTTTTTCCTATATGTATGTGCTCTTCTAGGGGGGAGGGGGGCATTTGACGCTCAGCGAGCTGGACTCGGGAGATATCTATCCATTAGGGTTGGGGCCGTTGTAGATCCAGTACATCTTAGTGTCTTACGAGGATTCGTAGTTTTTCTTGCTATAAATATGAGCTTGAGTATATCTTGCACTATGTTCTTTGCAGTAAAGATCGGCCGGGGATTCTGGCACATAGACGAACGGCCCCCAAATTGCCCAATTGCAATATTACGCTCTTATACGTATACTCATGGGGGCCAAGTGTATTTTGTATGAATACTGTATACTGTATACTGTTTACTGTATACTGTATGTACACTGTAGCCCCCATCCGCTCAATCCTTGACTTAGTTCAGATATTATTCATGGGCTTCTCAGCCCTGGTGTTTTTGGACACCTTTCTCAAGCCTCGCTCTCCTGGATCATGATAATATCTTGACTCTTTTCTTTTCCTTTTTCTTCTTCGTCCGATCCCATCCTGCATCAAGGACAAAGCCCGAGATGGGTCTAATCCAAGGCTACATAGGGTCCTTGGCGTCAATGAGACGCGGATGGATTCTTGCGACTGCAGTACTTTTTCTACTGGCGTTTTTGCTCCTTGGAATCCCCGGCCAGACACCCTCGATAAAACCCCTTACGGAGTATGCTCTCTCTCTCTCGGTCGAATATGAAGGTAACTAACGCAAACCTCCACCAGCTATGCAACTTCATCCAATTGCCCTCTCCCTCCCTCCGCGCCCTCATGCGCTCCCCCAGCGCCTCCTCCCCCGCCGCCTTCGCCGGCTGACCCGCCGGCCGACAAGCAGACCTCGGTCATCAACAGTCTCTTCCAGCCATTTCTGCTGCCGATCACCGCGAAGCAGTTTATTAGTCGGTCGGGCAAGAAATTCCCGCTGAAAAAGAAGCCGAGAATCACGAAGCCGCTCGGGAAAGACATCCTTATCATGGATGTGGAGACTCGGCCACTGGACGACGCCGGCAAGGTCCTCAACCGCCACCTCCCTGATATCGAAGAGGTTCCGTATGACACGATGGGCCGGCTTGATCACTATATGTACGGTAGGTTATTGATCTCTCCCTCTCTCTCTCAGAAGTCTATGTTGGGGATGATAGGACGTGTCAGATTGAGATGATACTAATGTTTTGAGTTTGATTACAGCCCGCATCCACGGGTACGATTATAAGCTGATGCAGCTGATCGAGGGCGACCTGAAAGCGCAATGGGCGAAAGTCATCGCCATGGACAAGGCCCTTCGCGACTACAAAGTCGTCGTCTTCATCGACGCCGACGCCCTCTGGTCCTACCCACACGTCCCCGTCGAATGGCTGATGAACCACTGGGGCATGACCGACGAGACGGTGATCGCGCTGCCAGACGACGTATCCGGCGGCTGGGAAGACGTGTACGGAAACCGCGGCATGAACACCGGGTTCTGCATCACGCAGCAGGCACCCAGCACGCGCGACCTCTTCGAGCGGTGGATTACATGCCCGGACGAGACGCGGTACCCGGAATGCTCCAAGTACAAGGAAGATGGCCTCAAGGAGCAGTCGGCCTTCATTGACTTTATCCGCCATGACTACAACGGCTCGGAGATCGTTACCATCCCCTGCACCGAGGCCATGGGGTACCCCGGCCAGAAAGAGGGCGATGGCGAATGCACCGGTGATTTTGTGCAGCACTTTACCACGTGGAAGGATGGGGTGGGCACCGCCGTGCAGCATTCGGTCATGCAGTATTTCATGGAGCGTGTGCATAAGCAGTTCCATGGTGAGTTCAATGATATTGTTGTTGATGAGCTTCACTCCCAGCCCAAGACTTATTCTGAGACGCCGTATTCGTGATTTTCTTTCTTTCTTTCTTTTTTCTTCTCGTTTACTTCGGTTTGGACTGCTTGTTATGCATTTCCTTGTTCTATTAGCGGTATTCATGAGCCCTAGGGTCTTTGCAATGTATCTCCGAATAGTCCAATGACCCTACACTTGAGTTCCACATCCATGGGTATATTTATGGATATCTGTGATATTTACGTAGTATCTTGGTGTTTCCAAGGTTCGATAAACTGATTGATCTCAACCCTACTAAGTAATGTACAAGTGGAATTCACCGGTTGAACATGGACATCCGGAATATCGTCAAGAACCAAGTCTTAACATAATCAAAGCACAACGAGTCGGGTGGTATCAAAAAGGGGTGAGCTTATATGCACATCAAGCTCCAATCTCGATATAAACAGTCGGGCCGTAGCAAAAACACAAAGGAAAAAAAAGAGGAAAGGGCATATAGTAGGTGGATATCTGACCAAGAAAACAACAGTCTAGTCTTAAAACGTGGGGAAAAGGAAAAAAAAAAAGACAGAAAGAAAGAAATGTCAATCATATCCGGCCAAGCTAAGCGGCTGCCACTTCGGCACCAGCTCCAAATAGCTTCTCGCGCCACTCGCCGCAGACGGCCTCGAAGCCACTAACCACATCCCCGCAGACTTTGCCGGCCTCGCGGTCTTGCAGCCGACGGTCCCACTCACCACGCTCGATCCACCGCGAGCCTTCTTCGCGGCTTTCTTCCTCGCGCCGGAGATCGGTGACGAGGTCGCGGGCGGACCGGAGTCGCCGCGATGCCGTCGAGGTCAGCTGCCGGGATTCGTAAAGGGTGTCGCTGAGACTGCGGAGGGAGTGGGTGATGTCGGTGGTCTGGGAGATGAGGGCTTGTAGGGAAACGAGCGGGCTGAGAGCGGACGATTGGGATGGGGTCGTGGGGCGAGAGCCGTGACGCTGTTGTTGTTCTGGAAATGGATAAGGGAGGTTCGGCAGGAGGCCCTCATCGATGAGGGGCATGAGTTCGTCAATGGCATCTTCGGAGAGAAGAGGGAATGGTGAGAATAGGAGCGGGTGGATGAGGGATTGGAGCGTGCGGGTTTGGTGTGTGAGGTGCGAGGTGATGGAGGAATGAGCAGTGATGAGCCTAGCACCCGAACAATTAGACCTTTCCATAGAAGACTTCCTCTTGTCCCTCAAACCCATTTACTTACCTCATGGCACTGTTCTCAATCCCACTTTGTCCACCCAGATCGCGGAGTGCCTCCACCGCTCGTTGGATGACATGGTCGCTGTCACTCCCGTTGTTCTCCATACCCCGCCGCGCGAGGCTCTCGATCTCGGCCATCTGGCTCTCCAGCGCTGGCGGGATGTCGGCCGCCTCGTCGAGATCCGAATCATTCCCGTAGTCCGAGCCGTCATAGTGGGACTCTTGTCGCCGGTGTCGCAGATGGGCCGATCGAAGCTTGTTTCTGGATGAATGAGCAGCCCCACGCTCAGGCGAGAGGTCTGCAAACGGGGATTGGGTGCGCATCTCACGGACAGACTGCAGATATGCATCTTCCCCGTCGCTTTGCTCCAGCTGCTGGGACCCGGCTCGCCCGTTTTCCTGGCCCGATGCGTACCCATACCCGTCTTCTTCCTGCTCCCATGCATCAGCAAGCTCGTCGGCCAGGTTTCCTAACCCCCCTCCACCGGTCTCTGCAGCGGCGGAGAAATCCCCGGATTCGCGGTGAGGTCCGTTCATGGCGGAGGCATTCTGGCGGGGGGTGACAGGGGATGGAGGCGCGGAGAGCCGGGGCGTTTGAGGTGACCGCGGGCTTTGAGGTGCAAATCCGTTTACCCCAGACGTTCCAGGGGAGATAAGAGAGTCGTCCATGGCGGAGAGGTGGCGGTGAGAGATGTTCAGGGGAGCCGGAGTGAGGGGCGGCATAGATGGAGTGGAGGAAGACGGTGATTCCTCCTAGTTTGGGATTAATTGCCCTCGAATAATGTGTAGTGATGGCAACAGGAACAAGGAAGCCAACAACTCAGAGACAATCCAGCAATTGTGCGGCAGACAACAGTGTAGGAGGGGGAGGCGGATCCCACGAGGTATGGATATATTCCCAAACTGAGTCAAGGTCACGACATTGTCCGCATGTAGCAATCCCAAGAACCGAAAAAAGAATAAGAAAAACAAAGAAAAACAAATCCAACAAGAAACAAAGGAACAAATTGACTCTCACATCAAAGATGTGACTTGCATCGCCCCGACGCTAAGGACGGAGAGCGAAGAACGCAGCCAACGGCCGCCCGGCAGAAAAAGCTCCAGACGCCAAACCCCACATTCTTCAGAAAGCATCCCAGCTTCTCTCAGGACATCAGGACAGACAGACACTATGAGTTCCATTCATCGCATGTCGCCATTGGACTTGCTGTCCCTCAATCTCACCAATCTCGACCCCCTGACCGAGAACTATGACTTGGGTTTCTACCTCAACTATCTCATGCGGTGGCCGTCACTCTTCAGCACGGTGAAGGACCGCGACGCCGGCACCGTGGGCTACAGTATGGCTTGACCTCGCTGTATCAGACGATATTGCAATGGATTCCGGGATCTCATTCGCTGACGCCGTGTAGTCATGGGCAAACTCGAAGAACAGCATCCGTCCTTGCGACAGTCGGAACACTACACGCCGTGGCATGGTCACATCACCGTGTTGACCGTCGCGCCGGCCTGGCGCCGACTTGGGTATGCGCGCCAGCTGACGGAGCAGCTGGAGCGGGGATCCGATATAAACAATGCCTGGTTTGTGGATCTATATGTGCGGGCAGGGAACAAGGTGGCGGTGGATATGTATAATGGCATGGGGTAAGTGGAGCGCGCGAGAGTCTCTCGAACTGAGAAAAAACAAAAAAAAAAAAAAAAGAGAGAGAGAGTTGTTGGGTTTCGATGGCTGACCGCACTTGCTAGGTATTCTGTCTTCCGGCGGGTGGTCAATTATTATAGTGATGATCCCACGGGCATGTCGGACTCGGGCGAAGACGCATTCGACATGCGTAAACCATGCAGTCGGGATCGCAAGCGCGAGCATGTGCGAGAGAAGGGCGAGGATTTCCTCGTGAGCCCGGAAGATGTCTCATAGCACTATGCTTGTCCACCGACCATTTGATGAATATACGAAACACCCCAGCTTTGAGGACGGCCTTGGCGTGGGACTCGAGACAGTTACATGCTTATATGCAATCATCTACTGAATGAAGCTTCATTAGACTAAAAGAATTAATTGATGCATTGCATATCTTTCATATTTCATTCTGTTCATATACGTCCATATATTAAACCCAGCTCAACCTGCTCTATTATGCAAATATGCGTTGCTTGTGTTGATTTGATGTAAGGATGCAAGGCGTTTTCATAGACCTGGGAATCATCATCGACGAGGAAATGGGTTGAAAGCGAGTCAAGAGTGAAATACAGCGAGTAGAACGAGCGATATGAGACCTGATGGTGACCAGGTGCAGTCGCATAGTTCCCAAGAATCGAGTATGAAGATGACGCTCGTCATTATATCCATGGATGCCATGGAGTGATTAACCAGAATTTGGCTCAAGGATGGCGATAACTCAAGTCTTGGAAAGCAGTTTTGGCCCCGAGCGGACAAACCTCACAAGGGCCATGAGACACGCAGACGCGATCAGACAACAAGCAGTAAATAGCTGCAGACCGAGATACCCGTGCGTGTCGCTCAAAATGGCACCCCCAATCGGAGTGCCGATCAACAGGCCGATCGAAGTCGTAGCAAAAATCATTCCCAATCGCGTGCCCAGGTCGCGCACGTCTGGGGTCATACTTGCCATGACTACCGGCGGCAGGGACACAAACCCGCCGGAGAAAAAGCCATAAAAAACAGCCAGGATAATGATACCAGGCACAGTATGGACGCGGATCCAGACAAAGGCCAAGACTGCGGTGATGGTCACGGCTGGGGTGAGCATGTTCAAAGGGCCAGTGTGGTCGGCGATGAAGTTGGGGGCGATTCGGCCAAAGGTCGAGGCGGCGTTAAGCATGGCCAGCAGATAGAATCCCAAGTTCGCGTTGACAATGCCCGTCTCAATTGCGTAGGACTGCACGTAGAAGAGGAAGTTGTAGAAGCCCAGGAAGCCCAGAAACATGGCCACGGCAAAGATGCAATAGGCCGGTTCCTTGAACGCAGACAGTTGGTAGAGCTTCCGTTTCTCTTTTGGCTGGAACCGCACTCGCATCACGCTCAGGGATATGCAGATGGATCCCAGACAAAGGAAGCCGAGTGCGCGGGTGGCCCATGGGAAGCCGACCTTCTTCTGCAGCTGATCGAACATGATGGGGTACACCACGCCACCGACGCTGCTGCCGCTCGCGGCCAAGCCATTTGCCAGACCTCTTTTGCGACGGAAGTACTGCGGCAGGATGGCGACCGAAGGCACAAAGAGACACCCAGCGGCCAGACCGACACAGATCCCCTGTGAGAGAATCAGATGCCAGTATTTGGTGGAGAGACTGGTCATCATCAAGCCAAATGGTAGCATGACTGCCGCAAAGCAGATCAGCACCCGGAAATAGCCCGCGTCGAACAACGGGCCCGTCACGACTCCAATCATCATCAGGAGGAAGGACTGCAGCGATCCGATCCAGGCGATGGACGATGACGGCGTCCCGGCGAGTAGATATTGCTCATAGTAGGTCTGGTAGGCACCCCAGGTGTTGATAATGCCCCTGTTCGATTCGATCAGTCAGCCAAATAGCGGTTCGACATTTCATCGCAGCTAGAACCACATACCAGGAATTGAAGAAGAGGAAGAACGAGCCCAGGACCTGCAGCCAACTCATGACACCCGTATCGAAGGTGATCTCGGACTCCTTCTCGGGAACTTCTGACGCATTGGCCGATGCATTGTGGTCTTGAGCCGGAGTGTCGGCGAGGACCTTTTGCTCTACATCCAGATTAGTGGACCCCATTTCGTGATTCTGCGCTTGTCTCGGACTGTGTTGATGCCCTCTTCTTCAAGGACAGGAGCACAGCGTGAACAATGCGCAAGAGAGGGGAAAGTGGTGCTTACAGTCAGAGACCCGAATAGAAAAAAAAATCCCAAGGTGGATTATAAACCGACAAGCGGGGCGGAGGGCTAAGCTGCTGAAAGGGCGGAAGAGACCGAGACCAAGGCCCACTTGATCGATAAAGAGCACACTGAGTGTGCCGGTTATCCAGAGCCAAGATTGAGTTACAGAGATTGGGATGACTCACCCGGCCATTTGATACGAGGATCCTGCAGTAGGGCCAAACATCCCTGTTGTTTTACATACTGGAATATATATGGTATATCAATAGCATCTTTTCTATTTAGTCTGTATCCATCTCGAGCATACACAGGTGGACATCAGGGATCGACAGTATCACTTTTTTTTTGGTCTTTCTAGATTCATGTACATTTAAGCCTCTTGGTTTTGAGCGACGGCTTTCTGTACTTCCCAAACTCCAAACGCTATGCTGAACCCACTCAGAGGTATAATATCAAAGCCCCAGCAAAAATGAAAAAGGGAAGAGACTAGAGAAGCTCCTCGCATGTCCAATCCTCGTACCTAGAGCTAGGGTTAGCCAGATCTTCTGGTTGATGTTCGATGGAGCTTCCTTACCATCCATCTGGCAAGTACCGCCTCACAATCAGAGGAATCTTCTTCTGGTTCAATTCCTTCATGGCAATCTGCAGGGGATCGGTTTCACCCTCGAGATCCACGAGCACGGGAGCATTCATACTAGATTGGACAACAGTCAGCGACCACCATCTGAGAATCAATTCCCCATATGGTACATACCTGATTTGCAGAGCCCGAGTACCCAGGACACGGGCGCGCTCGTACTTGGTCAGGTACGGGGTGGTCGTGCGCTGGTCATTGGGCACCTTCTTCTCGCGCGTCTGCTCCATCACCTTGCCCGAGTAGCCCGCATTGGGGTCACCCGAAACAACGACATTCTCGCCATTGACTGCAGGCTGATAGGAGTCGGCTCCCTCGTCGCCCTCAAGACCTTCCTGGTCGGCGAAGTCCTCCGGCTCGGGATCCTCCAGCACATCGTCGCCAGGCTCGTAGTCGTAGCTGCGCATGGAATTGAGTCAGAATCTCTGCTTGTATCTTTCGATGCGAACATGTTCCGAGGATGGATAGATCCACCAGGACTGCCTTGCGCCCTCTACCTGGCCAATTGCAGATGGAGGGGAGGGGAGCTCTCTCTTACGTTTCCTCAGCGTCGTGCTCGCCGTAGTCAGACATAGTGACGGGAAGTCAGAAGGAGTGACACTTCGCAATAAACGACGAAAGCGAACGTTTCTCAGAGAGAAAAAGAGAGAATGAGACAGCGCTGGAAGCACAGAAGCCACTCGGGAGTCGATCGCCGCGCAAAAAAAGGCGGGAAAACTTCCTTGCGCTAGTCCGTTCCGGGACTCACCGCCTGTTGTGGCGGCAGAATATTTTTTTGTGAACGTCAGCGACGATCAGGTTGACCTTCTCACACTTCCAGCTTTGTCCTGAGGGGACATTGAACCATGGTCCCTAAGCGGAAGACTCCATTGGAAGGGCCCCTTACCCCAAAACGGGCCCGAAAACAGTCTACACTCGACCACTCAGGTAAGCTGATAATGCCCGACACTTGCGGTGTGATCAAGTGGCTGACCATCGTTCTCAAGATCCAATTTACGAAGAGACACACTCAGATGTTGAGTACTCAGCATCAAGGACACCAAGTGTAGCTAGTGATGACCTCAACGAAACCCCCGCGACGCCATTCTCAACGAGCTCCGCCCGATATCCCTCCGAACTCAAAAATCATCGATGTCCCTTTGACGGGTGCACGAAAGCCTTCAATCGCCCCGCCCGGTTGCAAGAGCATCTTCGATCACATAACAATGAACGTCTTTTTCAATGTACATTTGAGGACTGCGACAAGACTTTCTTACGAGCATCCCATCTCCACCACCACATCAAGAGTGCCCACACCGGAGTCCGGGACTACGTCTGCGATCGCCCGGGCTGTGAGAAGAGCTTTGTGACCGGCTCAAGACTCCGTCGACATTTGGCTGCGCATGATGGAAGGGATAAGTATCGCTGTACTGAGTATCCGCCCTGCGACGAGACCTTCCGGAAGCATTCAACCCTGCAAAAGCACATCACCACCGTGCATCTCCAAGAAAAACCATTTGCGTGTCCCCACGTCGACCCGACTACGGGCCAGAAATGCCCGATGGCTTTTGACACGGCGGGCCATCTTCGAGCCCATGAAAGCAGGGTCCACACAGAGAGACGTTTTAGCTGTGCCGAGTGTGCTCAACACCTGCAAGACCAACCATCCGATACCAACCTCACCGAGGACGCTGTGATCTTTTCCTCCTATGCCCTCCTCCAATCTCACATCCGGACTGTTCATCCTCCCAAATGTCTCCACTGTCCCATTATCTGCTCGACGTCTCGCGAGCTTCGGCGCCATCTGGAGGTGGCCCACGGCGATGTCAGCTTAGAAGAAAGAAAAACGTTCACATGCACCGCCGCCGGCTGCGACCGTCGCTTCACCAAGAAGGGCAACCTGACCGTCCATATCCGGACGGTGCACGAGGGCGAGAAACGGTTTGCCTGTGGCGAGACCGACCTGTCCACCTCGAAGAAGGTCGCCGGCTGGGACGGCATCGGGTGTGGGAAACGGTACGGCAGCAAACTCGCTCTCGAGGAGCATGTGCGCACCGCCCACCTGGGTTTCCAGAATGCCAAGGCAGAGCGGCGGCAGCGGCTAGGGTTGACCCAGGATTCCAGTACCGGCCAGCAGGTCTCCACTCTGGCGGCACTGACGGGCCAGGGCTATGCGGAGGAAACGGGCCGTCACATCCGTTGCTTCGACGATTCCTGCGAGCATCGCTTCCATCGCGACTACGACCTGTGGATGCACATGGGCACCAAGCATGGCTGCTCTGAGGACGAGGTCCAGGGTCTGTTCATGCAGCGGGCCCTGCTGGCGGATGACACTGGGCCGGGGGGCAACTCTCTAGGGATCTATGGTCTGGAATTTGACAACGATGTGCAGCCCTTTTTCCATGAACCATCTCAGCTGGCGGGCAACCCCCCGCCTCACGACTCGTCTCTTGTTCTTGACCAGACTGGTCTGGACTCTGATTTTATGATGCATGATTTTCCCAGCCACGATGAGATGGCTATGATTGATCCTGTTCTGGCATATCATTTGATGGAAGAGTAGGCATTTCTGTTTATTGCCATTGTTCTGTATGTTTTTGAGCGATGATTCCGAGTACTTGGTGTCTATTCAAACTTTGAACTCTGGATTTGACTCTCATCTAGGATTGATGTAATGCTGTAAAATATGTTCAAATAGTAGTTAGCAGTACCCGGATATACTTCGGTATAGAATAGAACCTCTCGTCTATCCCCCACAGGTCCAATCTGATAAAAATCAGGCAGAAACATTGAGGAGCATCCATGCCAAGGATTTTTACTTGATTGGAGACATGTTATCTGCTGGATTGTCTTATGTGCCACCGTTAATTGGGTATAAACCAAACGGAACCGAATAGAGACAAAACAGCCCTAAGTGAGCCCGATCCTGGAAGAACAGGATCCACCGCCACGAGAGAGCGGTGTATTGCGGAGTCAGAGAGACAATGGGCATCGATCGGCGATCGGACTGGAAATCTTAGTAGGAGATCGGAACGAGCGAGAACGAGAACGCCGAGCTCATCAGCAATAGGGGATTACAGGGCTGTCTAGATGGCTGCCTAGGTTACAAAGGAAGCCCATATTGTGGCTGAGTTGTCGATAGTGTGGTCCAGTGCCGGGGATTTCCGAGAATCATTTGTGGGTTCTATTCAATTGATTTTATTCTGTTATTATAATGCTTAATTATATTTAATTATAATTACATATTATGATAAGTATTTTCCAGCACATACGTGGACAGAAAGTGAAAGACGGGGTTCTCGGCCAATATGGAGTGCGCGTCCAAGTTTTGCACTGGGCGAGGTGGGTCTTGAATGTACGTGGCCTGAAGATATAAGAGTAAAAGAATAAAGAAATAAATTTTTAAATATTCAAAGATTTAAATATTGTTCCTTGGGTCGATGTGGTGGCACATTTGCCTCGTCGATTTCATTAGTTCTCTTCATAGAGTGGCGGGAACCAGCGTTTACTTGGGACATTGGAGATGGTATTTATGATGGTATATTATATATTCTATTCTATATTCTATGTTATATATTCTATTCTATATCATATCCAAATACCAGTCAGATCCTGATCAACTAAGACACCTGCTAAATTTGGGGATTGCCTCTCCACCGACGATCCCCGGGATGACGCCAGCGAGTTGTCTCAAATGGTCTTTTCTGTATTGGACTGTGTAGACCCACGGATGCTCCGGTTTGTCGCCTCATGCTTCTGTCTGACCATTTTGACATCTTTCTCCAACCTCTTTCTCTCTCTCTCTCTCTCTCTCTCTCTCTCTCTCTCGCTCTTCCCTTAATCCCTTGGCAAATCCGAGACAACGTCACTTGGCGCTTGGTCACCGGTTTCCCCGACTTTCCGGCTGCTGCCTTGTTTTCTTTTCTTTTTCTTTTTCTTTTTTTTGTCCTTGTCTCTGGGAATTCCGGTTTTTTCTCCATGGATCACCCCGTTGGATACTGATTTGATCTGCCGTTGAGATTTTGCCCTGTGCGATTGTCTGGAGTTTTCCCTGTGAAGCCCCTTCTACTCTCGCTTTTCCAACTTCTCTGGATTTGCGACGTTTCACGGTCGAATTGAGAGGGATATCCCAGGAGAAACCAGAAGCCTGGAAGTGGTCTTCTTTTTTCCCTGTCGATCTCTCGGTCCTACCTCACCATCCAGACGTCATGGGTCGCTCGCGTGGTATGTTGATCGACACCGGGATGTTTCGGACACCACGTTATTGACTCTCCCTTGCGTTGCCTTTAGTTCTCTCGTTTATATCAACCTTCGGAGGTCCCAAAAATAATGATTCGGTCAAGGACAGCCAAAAGTCGACCGTGACCCCGGCCCAGACTCCCCCGAGGTGGCAGACCCCGTCCCCCGAAACCCCATCGCCCCCGGCCGAGCTGTCGCCCGTGAGTGGCTCCGGTCCACGAGGTGATGCTTTCGGTTCGCGACCTGCGTCGACCGTCTTCTCGCGCAACCCGCCCCTGATGCAGCAGGAGGAGGATACGCCGCCAGAGCTGTCGCCGATCTTCTCCTTCCTCAATATCCACACGAACAAGGTGTATCACGAAGGGTATTTTCTGAAACTGAGCGACTTGGATTCTCGTGAGTGTTGCTCTCGTGGTATGGAAAATACAATATGCTCATTACACAAACAGACGGGCGGCCTTCTGCAGATCGACAATGGCTGGAATGCTATGCGCAACTGGTCGGGACCGTTCTCTCACTCTGGGATGCTGCCGCGCTGGACGCGGCAGGCGGCGAAGAGGTTCCCCCGACGTTCATCAATCTGACCGATGCGTCTATCAAAATGGTAAGTTGATACAGGCACAGGGCCATTGCGTATTTGCTCACTGTTGGTCTCTGATAGATTGAAACCTTGCCGATTCGAAATGGAGCGGTGCCGCCACTGAAGAACGTCCTGAGTCTGTCATCCGCGGGCAAAAACCGATATTTACTCCATTTCAACTCGTTCCATTCGTTGGCGCAATGGACCGCAGCAATTCGCCTTACTATGTACGAACATACGTCTTTGTACGAGGCCTATACCGGCTCGCTTATTGCCGCAAAAGGAAAACATCTTCCTGGTATCCAGTCCATCCTGGTCCCCACCCGGTTTAAGCATGAAGACTGGGCACGAGTGCGCTTCGGAGCGGGCACTCCGTGGAGGCGATGCTGGTTTGTGATTACACCACCAGATGAGAAGGAGATCCAAAAGGCGCGGAAATCGATGAAAAAATCGGCCTATGATCGCTTGACAATGCCGGTGACCGGACACATCAAATTCTACGAGACAAAGAAGACCAAGAAGGCCCAGCCTATCGCCACAGTCACCAACGTGTACTCGGCCTATGCGATTTATCCCCAGTCCAAGGCTCTCATCGATCAATCAACCCTGGTCAAGCTGGAAGGACGAATTCACATCCACACCCAGCCGCAATCCTCCTCCGAGGGTTATGTTTTTGTCATGCCCGAGGTCCATCCTGCAGTGTCCGGCTTCGAGACGATGCTCCGATTCCTCTTCCCAACTTTCGATACATTCAACCTTTACGGCCGTCCCACGCGCCTGGTCGCCGATACCAACCACATCAAGAGCATTATGTTTGCTTTTCCGAAGCAAAGACGTTATGGCTACCTGGATGTTTTGGACATTGCCGCCCTCCTCCAGACTCCGGGCAGTCAAGAATGGACCGAGGCAGACTGGAGGAGACAGCTCAAGGAAGCAACCCAGCGGCGCATTTCGGCCGGTCGAAGTCGAACCAACAGTGTCAATAGTAGTCGACCACGCTACCGTTCCAGTATCTCAATTCGGAACGGTGAAACCCCGACTAGTACACCTCCTCGTCGCCAATTCCCCACTCCCGCGGGCAAGTCTGAATTCAACCAGTCTACCGAGGCCATCGTTCGTGAAGTCCCAAGAAACGACCAGGCACAGGCAGTCTACCACTCTCGCGGGCTTTCAGATACTACAGGCTTGCAATCGGGTCACCGGCATGGGCAAGAGTCCATGTTCGACCGCTCTCCTCACTCATCGGCTCAGGATTTGACGCAGCGAGAGAAGCTACAAGCTGCGGTGGCGCCAATTGCGGAGCGCAGTAGCTCCGAGAGTGACCGGGCCCCGTATGAGGATGCACAGACGGGATTATACGAGGATCGGCTGCCACCACGCACTCCGCCCTCTCCCGTTGCAAGCCCACCGGCTTTCTCACACGGCCCCAGGGAAAAGCCCACCAACCGGCCGGAACCGACTGCAGAACAGAGATTGGCACATAACCGGATGTCTCATGGAACTCTCTCCCAACTTGCGGCAGTGGGAACGATGGGCATGAACGGAGCTGCGGTTGCACGGCATGACCAGCAGTCTCACCCCAACAACTACCACAATCCGCACGACAGGGACTTTGGCAACGCTGATGCCCATTATCCTTCCTCATCTCACAATGCTCCACCTGCATACTCTTCGAACGAGACAGTTGGTCTGGCGCTCCCAGTGCAGCCGCCCCAAAACACCAAGCACCGTCCGAACACTCCCAACTCGTCGGGCACCCCGTCACCTCAGCAACTCCAAATCGACACCTCTAGATCTGTGCGTCGCAAGCCGCTTCCTCAAAGGGATCTTTTCAACGGACCGGTGTCCCCTGGGGGAGAGCCCAGCATGGATGATCTTCGTCACACCCTCGATGAAGAAGTGCTGAACCGAATCGCTCCTCATCTCCCATCACCAGTCTCACCGACCAGGAATGAGGATGAGAGTGTGTATGATGATGCATCCACCATCTCGCCTGATTATGCAAGCACCCATGGCTCAATATACAGCAAGAAATCCGTCAAATCTACTACCAGACCTAGAATGGGAGTGATGAAAACGGTGGGAGAAGGGCCCTCGAAGCAGGACGTGGTCATCGGGGATGCTCACTATTCTACGGATAAGCCGGCGACATCGAACCCCGACATTCCCACGGTAGATTTCGGTCCAACATTGACCTACATGCCTACCACCGGGCGCCCCAATACATCTGGGCCTTCGAGGAAGCCCGTGAACCCACGGAACGACTCAGAGGCAGAGAGGCTGAAGTTATCGGTGCCCCTCCACGCCATGGACCGGGACCATTCTCGGTCTCCCAGCCAAGATGAGTTCCGACGGAGCATGTTGTGGCAGCCGGGAATGACTGCTGGCCGCCCGACCACTCCTGGAGGTCTCACCCCGGAACAGTTTGTGCAGCAACGAGCTGCGCCCAGTCCTCAGATGCACGTTCATCACCGAACCTCTTCGAACCACACACCACCTCCGCAGCGACCAGCCTCGGGTGATTGGACACAGCAGGTTCGACCAGGCACGCAGATGACCAATCATCGGGATCCCAACTACCGACCCTCTTCTCGCGGCACCAACGCCATGATGGGTTACAATGACGTTTCTACTCACCTCTCTGCCCGTGAACAGGAGCATGTGGCCCGTATGACAGGGTCCTCGTTCTTCAACATGTCGTCGAACGACAACCGAAAGCCGGAGGCGCAAATGAACCCCCGTGGGCTTGTTTCAGCCATCGATGCCCGTGAACGCGAAAGACGCGAGATGAGGGAGGGAATGTCCAACCAGATGGTTCAGCATGCAATCGCTCAGCGCCAGCAGCGGATGCAGCAGCAGCAACTCGCGCCCCCATATGCCGGTTCCATGTATGCGCCTCCGCAGTCTCAGGATCCCATGTACAGCATCCCCGGAGCCAGCCACACCTGGGATGCCCTCCATCAAATGAACCGCCCCGATGAGCCGCGCCGTCGATCCTGGTATGGACAGCTCGCTCAGGCGCCACCCAACCCTCCGAGCTACCAGCAAAGCCAGCACTATTCCCAACACCCTGGTGGCTACTACAACAATGCCAACATTACCCATTACTAGAGGGCATTGGAATTGCCCTGCCCTGCCCTACCATACCATAGGAGTTTTATCCTTTCCCTTCTTTGACATCGATCTTCTATTCCTCCCAGCTTTCGACTAAACCATACCCCCAATCCTTACCATTCCAATTTGGTTTCATTTTCATTTTTTTCCCCTTGTCCAAATTGCCCACTCCTGCATGTCTACCACCTTAGACCTAGATGTCCCGACTGACACCAGCCTTTCTTTTTCTTTTTCCAGTCCGCCCCCTAGCATTTATTACTTTCTCTTCTGCATGGTTTTCTTGCATTGCGCATCCAATGGAGTTGCAGATCGGGTTGGCGCGACGGGGTCTTCGATTCTCTCCTCTTGCATGCTGCTTGCTATTCCTATCATTCCTTGCTGGGTCTTTTGCTTATGTCTCCCTTTCTTTTTGTTGTTTTTGTCTCATATTTTACTTCGTGTAGATCGATTCTCTCTGTCTATATGCTTTTCTTTATGTGCCACTCTTCTGTCCCGTAGAATGTATCAGACTTAAACGGGGGTGAGCTGGGATTCTTCGCGGTTTCCAATGTACCTAGGTAAGAGATGAGCTAGAAGTCAACACCAGTAATGACAGAACAAACCACTGTTCTCTAGGCAATGTAGGTACGGATGTATCAACCCCAAGGAATGAACTATCTCGAGTATTGATTAAATGAGGCATTTCATAGCAAGTAAGAATAAGTATAGCCATTAGAAATTATTCTAAACACATGGAATATCCTCGTCAATCCCCATAAAGCAATAGAAGACATTCCCTCTCGTTCCCAGTTTCTTCTTGCCACATCAAATCAAATCCAGGATATCAAACCGCCGCCGCACTCTTCTCCTTCCCAGACTCAGCCTGCACCGAAACAGCGCCCTCTGTCATAAAAGCATCATCATTCATATGCCGAAACTTGAACCAAAATACCACCGTCTGCACCGCAAGCGCCACAGCAGGCGCGCCCCAGATCCAAAGGAGCCACGGGTCCTTAGTAACAGGCAACAGGATCTCGCCAAGGGCATAAGACAGAGCCGTCATGAACAAGAAAATCGACATAACAAGACCCTTCATCGAGGGCGGGGACCGTGCATACGCCAGCTCGTAGGCCGTAACGTTACAAAAGCACTCGCTGAGCGCGCCGAGGATCGTGTTGGGGAGTTGCCACCAGATGCTGATGGGCGCGACTTGGTCGCAGGTCGAGGCGTAGTAGCCGCAGGGGGAGAGCTCGTAGACGCGCCATTGGACGAGGGTGCCGACGACGCCGGAGATGGTTGCTAGAATGAAGCCGAAGGTGAGGCGGTCGATGCGGCCGAATTTGATGTTGAGGCGCGTGAGCGTGGGGTAGATTATGAAGCTGAGGGTTGGGACGGCCACCATTATGCTGAGAGCGTTGAAGTTGTTGAGGACGTCGTTGGGCGCTCCGTTCGTTATCATTGAGGCGCCTTGGTTTGTGGCGACGGACCCGATGCCGCCGTCGTTCATGTTCCAGATTGGGAAGTAGAGGAATACTTCGCATGCCGCTGTTATCATTAGTATAAGATTCAGTAAATTTATGTAGTAGATAGAGGGAGGGGAGGTAGGGGGGGGGGGGGTGTATGTGTGTTTGTCTTACCAAGAGTCCGACGCACATCTTCCACCCCCTGGTCCGTCCAGTCTACGGCGATTCCTTGCGCTCGCAGGGTATCCGGCTTCGCCGCGTCCCAGAAGTTCTGACGCCACACGAGGAACTTGTTCCGGCGGAGCGCAGTAAACGTGATTTTGAAAGCGCGGCTGATCTCCGAGCCGCCCTTCGGAGGCGCCCTATAGGTCTTCTTATAGATGACGGCGAGCAGAATCGGCAACAGAAAGTAAATGATGCCGACAAGCAGGAACGCCAGCCAAAAGCCGACATATTTCTCCGAGTACGTGGTGGCAATCATGTAGAAGGCGCCGACATTGACAAACCCATAGAAGATGAGCATGGTCCGGGTGGTGGTGAGCTCCGGGTCGACGATGACCTTCTCGCCCGACTTGAGCACCTTGGTGTACGGTCTCTGGCAGCGGTGCTGGTCGAGGATGGTGGGCGCTATGTTGGGCTTGAAGAGTCCTGCGCCCAGGGCTAGAAGCAGCAAGCCCAGCACGAAGGGCGGCGCCGCGTGCGCTGACCCCTTTTGGAGAACTGACGGGATCGCGCCGACTAGCTGGATGATATGGGCGACGCCGCAGATTAGCACGCCCACCACGATCGCTTTGTACCGGCCCACGTAGACGTCGGCCCACCAGCCCCCGAGAATCGGGATCACGTAGGCTAAGAAGGAAAAGAGTAGCGTCAGTCCCGAGCTGGCCTGGAGACCCATATCCAAGGCGCCCGCTGTCTTCTGGGTTCCTCGGGGAGGAGCACCTGTTCCATTTCCGCCTGTGGTTGTGTTTTCTCGTAAGTATCTGGTCGTCATACAATGCGTTTAGTTGCCTCTGGGAAAGGTAGCAGGGCTGACTTACCGGCAGGCAGAGGGAACTGCACAAAGTTGGAAAACACCGTTTTTGCGCCATAGTATGAGGCGCGCTCAGCGAATTCTACCAGACACAGAGAGTACGAAACCAGCGGTAGGGTTCCTGCGACTCGGCGCAGCGACTCCGTCTCGTGGTCCGACGGCACAGGAAACTCCTCGTCTAGCGACTGAGTGTCGACCTGGTACTCGACCTTTTGTGAGGGAGTAGCAGCCACATCCGGGTCGATACTATCGTTCACTCGAGTCGCTATAGACCGTGTCAGTGTTGGACGAGACGTGTGGTGGTCAAGATGCAAAGAAGAACTATGTAAAAAGGGGAACTCACTCATCTTGAATCGCCAGTCAAGAAGATCTGCTCCACACTGGAAAGAAAGTGTCTGGATGATCCAACCGAGGGCAAGGCGAGAAGACCGAGTATTTAAAGGCGATGAATTGCTCCGATTCCTCCATGAAACTAGGGCAGACAGACCGAGGGTCGAGCGCCATCCAAGAAACCAGGCACAATCCAAGCAGCGGCAGCCCTGTCCAGCGGTTGATAGTTCCAAGACCGCCAATGGCTGGGCAGGGCGTATCTAGCGCTGTTCTTGCGTTATCAGCATGGTCGATGGCGAATCTGCGACTCCACGGATAGAAGCACGCTAACACAGCCCAATAACACACCCCAGTCAACAGATGCAACGTGAGCCCGCTTTTCCCTCAAGTAAATCGGGTCTGTCACCATCGAGCGCCATTCTAGTGCCATCGTTAGCAAGTTGTACATCCTCGCCTTGGTTTCTCTATCTCACATCGGAGAATTATGTAACTATCGAGTCGTTGGAGACACCGTCTCGAGAAAAACGTGGCGATGCCGACTTAGGATTGAGTGCCCGAGGGCTGCATAAAACCATTTTCATTGATCTCGAAAGTGTACATGGGAAAGCCCTTCCCACTGCGAAATCACCGCTACGGGATAAAAGGGATACATACATCATAAATCCAACGTGCAAAACAACAATGTATAGAGGTATCCCAAACAAACGCCACAATTGCCTGCTTTCGTCTCATACTCCCCACCCTCGATCAAAGACCACATCTATCATGGTGTCTTAGGAAATCAGGTTTCAGTTTAGTTGGAGTGCAGCTTCTTGACCCGCATCACGCCCTCGTACAGCCCCCGGTCCAAAGCAGCCGCAACCGTCAGAGTACCACCGATAATGGCACAAACCCCAGTGAGGAAGCCAGTGAAGGTCTTGGGACGGGCCTCGCGGTTGATCACCTTCATGGGAGAGATGTCGTAGTTGAAAAAGACACCGGGGATACCACCGGCGGCGTGTGTGCGCTCCTTGTGGCCCTCGGCGGCGTCGGAACCACCCAGCAGGGGCCGCTTGTGCGAGGTCGCAGAGTACTGATGGGCCTCAATGCTCCCCTGGGAACCATAGCCGAAGCCGTGGGTACCAAGGGGCGCCTTGTCGTAGGCACTGTGGATAGACGAAGAGAAAAGCGGATCCCAGCCCAGGGGCAGGTAGGAGGTCGAGACGACCTTGACAAAGTACATGTAGTTGTAGAGGGGTTCATCGGTCGCCTGCTTGGTGTCGTCGAGCGGGTTGGTATGGTGGTGATCCGTCCATTGCCAGCGGTCTGCGAGCTCGACCGGGAGCTGGGGTCCGAATCGGAGCTCATGGATCTCATGGGTCATGGTGTGTTGTTCGGCGACCGGCGCATCGGGCTGGAGGTAGTTCTCCATGTCGTGCGCGTGCATGTTCCCGCTGCTGAAGCTGCGGCCCGGCGCGACGTGGAAGTTGCCCACCACCTTGTTGACTCGCAGCACACCTTCAATGCGGCATCCCTCGCGGCGCTGGGCCCGGAGCTTCTCTGCGTACCCTTCACGCTGGCACTGCTCGATGTTCTCACCCATGCCAAATGCCCATTGCTGCTGTCCATAGGCCTCGCGCACCTCCTCACAGGTGCTGCAGCAGCCAGGCTTGATCACGTCCGGCGGTGCCGGAGCTCCACCGCACTCGCCGCAGTAGTTCGGGTCCAGGTGTTTGGCCGCTTCGGAGGGAGAGTGCCTGGGAGTCGGAGAAACGCAGGGTGAGCTTATGATCACGTCGCAAGAATAGCGCAAACTTACAGATCCAACGACTGAACTTCGAGAACACCACTTCCCTCGTTCACGGGCGCCAAGCGGATCTTACTCACGCCATGCGCAACGCCCACCTGCTGTTCTCCAGAAACATCCATAACATCCAAGGTCGTCAGTTCGCAGGGCAGTCGTGGGAACGTCATGTTCATGTGGATCTCCATCCTCTCGCCTGTAATGAGAATTCTCATGGTCAGTTTCTCTTTCCATTCATTCGTTTGGCGACTCGATCTCCAAACTCAATTGCGTACCTCGCGACTTGTCCACAATAAGCTCCGGCATTACCACCACCCGCCGATAGTCAGCCCATTCTCCCCATACAAGCCACAGGACAATCAGCAGCGAGGCGATCGTGATGACACCTCCCGAGGTGGTTCGAATGCGAGCATCTTCGACGGTCTTGGCGAAGGCGTCTAACCTCGTAAATCGCGACTTTGCGGGCATTTTGCTGGTTATGCGACGACCATAGAATGGTCTGCAGAATTGAGCAGAGAATTGAGGTCAGCGTCAGCTACACTAATGTCTAGAAAGCGGCGCAAAGGCGTTAGCTGGCTTGTCATGGAACGCGCAGGAGGGCTGGAATCCACAGCCGGCGCAGCACGAGATCAACTCAATACTCAAGGGACACACATACACTGACAAGTTGAGTCAATTCAATTGCTCCTTGACCTTGGTTTCTTTTGCCGAACAATCCCACCGCGGGCGAAAGGTGCAAGTTGGCGCGATCGATATAGATTGGCCCCATGTATGGGCATTACCGTTCAAAGGACAGACGACAGCCGGTGATTGGCCGGTAGTATGACTCAGCATATCATAGATCACATGATATCGGTTCCCACGTGACTCGTGCGTCACGTTTCTTTTTGTCGGCGCCGCATTTTCACTCCGATTGAGCTCTTTGGCGGCGTCGCATTCGCCTGCACCTCACTTTCTTCTTCTTTCACTCTCTTGTCTACCCGACCACAGTCCTGGAGATACCCTCCTTTGATTATTACCTCACTCCAGGTCTGTGTTGCATGCGAACAAACCCCTTCTGCCTATTCTGAGGCGCATCGCGCGCTGCCCGCCTTGCAAAGGCCTTTCTGGCCACCCGTCGCTCTCTCTACCTCCCTCGATCCCTTACAACCATCTCCATCTGCTTCCAAGTCTCTGGAAAAGGCATTATGAAGAGCATGAAGTCTCGAGGCGGCCGCTCAGGCGGCACCGATCGCGGGGGCATCCGCAAGCGGGGCCCTACGCGGACCGACCGAGATGGCGACATGGATATGGATGGAGGAGGTGCTCGTGCAAAAAGGGGACGAGGTGACTCTGGACGACTGGCCGCCGGTGGTCGAGTGCAGTCGCGCGACAAGACCATGGATGCAATCCAAAAGGCGATCTCTAGCAGCAAGGATTCCTCCCAAGTCAACATTCGACAGGGCAAAGCTGGAGGGGGAACCTGGAGCGATTCACCGTTCGTGGATGGAAGCAGAGCAAGGCGGCATCCAATCGCGATGGTGGTGTCGAAAGTCTCGTCGCATTCCTCGAGAGACGCATGAACGCAATGACGAAATCAGGCCCCCGCGCAAAAATTACAAAGGTATGTCCAACACTCGAAGTGGTGGTCACCGACATCAATCCTCGACGCTTCTCGCTCCGGCGTTCTCTTGTTTTCAAGCATGGCTCGGCCGCAGGACGACGACCTACGCTCCCGGAGTTTTCCAGCGTTTCTCCCCTTGGGTGTGATTGCAGTTTTCAGGGTTTCTTTGCGCCTTCTAACATTCCACTAGTCGCGGGTTGAAGGAGACTCTCTTGTGGTTTTCGTCCGGTCAGACTTGGCCGACAAGATGCTCCGAATCAATGGCAATCTCTTCGCAGGAATCCACGTCTCAGTCGAACCACACACCTCTGCTCCCAGCAGCACTCTCGATCAAGACCTAGCATCTGCAGCGGGTACTTCCGCTTCCACCGCCGACACGAAATCTAAGATGACGGCCATTCTGGGCAAACGTTACTACCCTGACACTAAATTACTCGACCTGTCGAAGCTTGGAACCGATCCGGATTTGTTGGCCATGGGAATCTTCAACACCACCTCCACGGAATCCAAGTTTTTTCCCGCCCTGATGAAAGTCTGGGAGATGGGATTCACCACTTCAGCTCAGAGACGAGAGGCGGTGCAGAGCGTCAGCCTGGCGCACAATCAGCTTGCTAATATCTCTGTGGTTACGACCCTCGCTCAAACGGTGCCAGATATCAAGAATCTGGATCTTTCCAACAACAACTTCAAGGATGCACAATCGCTGATTGGGTGGCGGTGGAAATTCCGAAACCTCGAGTTCTTGGACCTGACTGGCAACGCTTTCAGTGCCGATCCGAGCTTCAAGGACACCATGCTGAAGTGGTACCCCAAGCTGCGCATCTTGAACAACGTCGAGGTCCGAACCGCGGAGGAAATTGCCGCCCAGAAGAAGACGCCCATCCCCGTGCAGGCGCCTTACTTCCAGGACGAATCCAAAATCGGAGAGAACTTTGTTCGTGCCTTTTTCGCTGGGTACGACAACGATCGCAACGATCTCATCAACGGTGTCTACGACGATCGTTCTACGTTCTCGCTGAACGTCAACACTATGGCCCCCAAGGCCCAACAGGCCGAGGCAGCAGGCTGGGACTCGTACATTAAGAAGAGTCGGAACCTTTTGAAAATCAGCCATCTCCCTGCACGTATGTCGCGGGCTTATGTCGGCGCAGAGAAGATCCGCGAAGTCTGGAACACACTCCCGCAAACCCGCCACCCTGATCTGACTACGCATCCGGAGGAAATGCTTCTGGAATGCCATCCCATCCCGGGGCTTCCCGACCCCAGCGGACAGAGCGAAACCGGCGTAGGTGGTCTCTTGGTCATGGTGCATGGAAAGGTAGAGGAGAGTGTTGGGGCCAAGATTGAGACACGCAGCTTCGATCGGACCTTCATTCTCGGCCCCGGTGGAGGCGTGGGCGGTATCCGAGTCATCAATGACATTCTCTGCCTTCGGGCGTACGGTGGCCATGAGGCATGGAGTCCCGAGAACCAGGCGATTCCACAGGCCGTGGCACCGCCTCCCGCTCCCGCAGCAGTTCAGCCCGGGATTCCCGATGGATACGGTGTACCTGCCCCGGGTAAAACCGACACGCAGCTCCAGCAGGAGCAGCTGATTGCCCAAATGAGTTCGAAATCCGGCATGACGCTGCAATTCTCGGAGATGGCGCTGTCCGGCAATGGATGGAATCTGGATGCAGCCTGGAAGAATTTTGAGGAATTGAAGGTAAGCATTACGTCCCTGTTGGCCTTGATGTTTTTCTATGCTCAAATATTGACTTGATATGTTACAGGCACAGGGAGCACTTCCCACGACTGCCTTTGTCTCCGGGGCGTGAGACTTATCATCACGACCTGGTTCCAATTCACCACTTCCATTTACATTTGCTGTTCACCGGTCTCGTCCTTGCAACCCCAAGCGAAGTGTTTGCTTGGCAGTATGACGCATCCGATGTGGCTTCAACTTGTTTTTATTTGCATGGCTCAGGCGAATGGGCACGGCTTTCTGTTTCTAAAATTGTACTTTCTATTGAACATGGGCCTCTGTGGCTCGAGACAAAAAAAATGAAGACCAAGACTATGACTATGTATATATTCCGCAATTCTGGGCAAGTAGAACTATAAAGATTAGTATTTACTCAAGATCGGTAAAGCAGGTGGCTAGATTCACCGCAAGACTCGACATCGCCTGCTTTTACTTGATACCACATTTTCGATATTCGTCGTATTCTCCAGGTGACTCAGTTGTACTCCAGGTTGGTGACTGGGTTGCGTAAGATGCCAAGCTGGCTCTGCGCTAGAGACGGCCCGCAAACCAAACCATCCCCCCCCCCCCATTGCAACCTCTTTCGCGCTCGGCAGCACTTGAGCGCACGTGTCCTGAGACGAGGGACAGAATGAGTCTGACGAGCTAATTCAATGGCCGCGATCACTTTCCCGACCATCGGCCAGATGCCACCAACGGAGGACCCGAGCCTCGATGCCTTGGATGCAGGTACGGAACCCGATAAGTTGCGCGCAATCGCCGCGAATACTGATGATCTCCAGTGGACTACGATCCCATTGACCACTTGAATTCCATCTTCTCCCACCCCTCGACCCTCTCCTCCGTATGCCACATCTCCGACGGCCTCCACACATACAAGGATGAATTGGACGACGATATCAGCACTTTGGTGGAGGAGCAGGTCACCTCCAATGCCGAGAGCGTGGAACGCATCCAGGTAGCCAAGGCAGACTTGTCCGAGTTATTTAAGAAGATAGATGATGTGCGGGAGCGCGCATCGAAGACGGAGCTGGCAATCACGAGCATGACGGCCGACATCAAGCAGCTGGACCACGCGAAGAAGAATCTGACGCTATCGATGACGGCGCTCAAGCGGCTCCAGATGCTCACCACAGCCTACGACCAGCTCCAGGCACTCAGCCGGACGCGACAGTACCGGGATTGTGCGCAGCTTCTCCAGGCGGTGATCCAATTGATGGCCCACTTCAAGTCGTATCGCTCCATCGACCAGATTGCGATCCTGAGCCGAAATGTAGCGGATATCCAGCGCGATCTCCTGGAGCAAGTCTGCGAGGATTTCGAGCTGGTCTTTGCCAAGGGCGAGGTGACTCAGAAACAAGGCGTGCTCGCAGAAGCCTGTCTAGTTGCGGATGCTTTGGGCGACTACGCGCGGTCGCGGCTGGTGACTTGGTACTGCAATACCCAGCTTCGCGAGTACCGCCAGGTCTTTCGGAACAACGAGGAGGCGGGTTCCTTGGACAATATCTCCCGGAGGTTTTCTTGGTTCCGGCGTATATTGAAGATCTACGACGAGGAAAATGCGGCCATCTTCCCGGCCTCATGGAGGGTCAATGAGATCCTGGCAAACGTGTTCTGTGAAGGCACGCGGGATGATTTCAAGGGCATTCTGTCTCGTTCTGTCCGCAGCGGCCAGACGATTGATGTCAATTTACTGCTCTCCTGCCTGCAGGAAACGCTTGACTTTGAGCATTCTCTCGAGCGCCGGTTTGCCCCTCTGTCGCGTCCGTCTACAGACACATTTATGTCAAATGAGGCTCCGGTCTTCAGTCAGTCTATTTCTGAAGCTTTCGAGCCGTACTTGAACGTTTGGGTCGATGCCCAGGACAAGCAGTTGGCGGCTTTGTTGCCTAAGTACCGCCAACAACCCTTAAAATCCCCGGATGATGAATTTGACTCACATACCGTGATTTCATCTTCGACCGAGCTCTTTACATTCTACCGAAACTCCCTGCAGCAATGCGCAAAGCTGTCTAGAGGCGGTAGCCTAGCCGAGCTGGCCAAGGTCTTCGCCAAGTACCTGGACCAATACGCACAGCAGGTCCTCCTCAACTATATAAGCGAGCGGCCCACGGGTCATACTTCATCGAAAGTGCCGTCGGTAGAAGAGCTGGTGCCAGTGCTCAACACTGCCGATTACTGCTACACGACGTGCAACCAGCTGGAAGAGAAGATCAAGGGCAGACTTGATGAGGCTCTCAAGCAAACCGTGGACCTGCAGAGCCAGGCTGATTCTTTCATGGGGATAGCATCTGCCGCCGTGCGGGGACTTGTGCGCCAGGTGGAAATCGACCTAGAGCCTTGCTGGCGTGAAATGCGCAACACGCCATGGAGTAAAATGGAGGCCGTCAGCGACCAGAGCTCGTATGTGAGCGAGTTGCTGTCCCGAACGAAGACCAAATCGTCGGAGATCCTGCCATTGCTGCACAAGCAGCAGTACGCGCGGGCATTCTCGGATCATGTAGTTGAGCTTATGTCGAGCTTGTTTCTCAGCAACGTCTACCAGTGCAGACCTATTTCGGAGACAGGCGCTGAACAGGTATACCTTTCTTTCCTCCTTCATTGCTATTGATCTTTTAGGCTTACACATATCTAGATGCTCCTCGATTCATACACCCTCAAAAGCGGCCTTTCATCTCTTCTGCCCGCACCGGCCCCCGCAGGCTTCGTCAAGCGCGTGAACAGCAGCTTCTTCAAGATTGAGACACTCCTGAAGACATTACAGGTCCGCCCATCGCCACCAGAGGCTTTGGTGCAAGCGTACCTGATCCACATCGCCGACTGCAATAACAACAACTTTCGCAAGATCTTGGATATGAAGGGGATCCGCAGCCGGCAAGAGCAGAACCACCTCGTCGAACTATTCCAGCTGCACCGCGCATCAGACCGCTATGCAACCAGCATGGAACAAAACAACCCCATCTTCGCAACCCTCCAAGCACCCACGGCCAGCAGCGCTACAGGCTCCGTGTCCCAGGGTCTCAGTCTCGGCAGCGCCGCCGCCTCGATGCCGTCACGCTTCGATCCGTCGATGCTCGGCTCCGCCATCATCTCTGCCGCCAAGGACGGCGTCGACCGCTTCGGAAACCCCAGCCTGAGCACCCTGGGATCGTCTGGCACTACCACCGGCTCTGCCTCTGCCACCACCCATAACACTTCTTCGTCTACCCCCGGTTTGCCCACCTCTTCCGGCACCGCGTCCCCGGCTCCGGCCTCAGCCCAGCAACCCGGCCACGTCCACACCCCGTCTGAAAACACTGCTGCCGGGAATCTCAACGAGAATCTGAAGAATATTGGCAAGTTCTTCAGGAGGGACCTCGGTGGGTTTGGAGGCCGATTTGGTCGAGCTACCGAAGACGCAAATTAGCACGGTTTATGTCCCCCTGTTTATTGGAGAAAAGAGGATCTGCGCTTTCTTTGGGCGTTACTTTTGCATTACCTTTCTTGTTTGGACAAAGATACCATGAATAGATTCTTTGTGGCCTTGGTCTTCTATCTGTAGCTGTCTTGTTGACGAATATGGGTGTGATGGCTTCGTTTCGTTTCGTGGTCGTCTCGGAGTTGGTTGATTCATACTTTGTAGCCGTATATACCACTACTTACATTTAATACAGATATTCTGGTGGAACAGAAAGAATAGGAGCAGAGATGTCATATTGCGCAATGAAATAGTAGAAGTGTCATTTCCAGACTATCTAATAGAATGCCCAAAAGACACCTAGTATCCGTCCTCCAAGTGGCACGATCCTACAATTCCAAATGACAGGCCGAGCCGATCAACTCGCTTCTACAAGTGCTTTGGCTACGATGCCGGGGATTCCCGATGTGGATAGGATGGATCATCTGCTGAAGCAACGTTAGCAATTTGCTTGCAAACCATTCATGAAAGCATATAGAATGAACAAGTAATGGCAAGGCGTCATCAAAAAATTAGAGTGTAAGTTGTTGCGTTTTTGATCTTCAGAGCGACCCCCGAAGGGGCGAATGCTCGGTGTTAAAAATGTATAATCATTCGCCGGAGAATCGATTGCAGGTTGCAGAGGTAAGGTGGAAGGCAGGTAAGAGACAAAACAAAGAAGAAGCTCACCATTCATGCAGGAGCCAGATAATGGAGCGTAGAGCTACGGTCCATTATACAAGTCCTAAGATCAAAACACCAGCGGAGTGGTCGTTGCCAACATATCTCGTTTTTTTCATTTCCCGTCATGCTCTCCCTTTTTATTCCGAGAGAGTGCCGGTCAGATAAATCTAATACATGGCATTCGTATCCCGCTAGGGAAGAGGCGCTTAGTCGAAGAGACCGAAGCCCATGTCCTCGTCGGACTCCTCCTCATCCTCCTGGGGCTTCTCAGCGGCCTTCTCCTCACCCCCACCAGCGGCAGCGGCAGCAGGGGCAGCCGAGGCATAGGCATCGGGGTTAGCGATGCGGTCCTTGAGCTCCTCAATCTCGGGCCAGCTGATCTCGGTCTCGATGGCGACAGCCAGGACCTTCTTGTAGCTGTTGATGAGCGAGTGGAGGGTAGCTGGAACAGTGGGGAAGTTGGTGGCCAGTGAGATGGCGGTGATGGTCTTGATGGCCTGGCTGAAACTGGACAGCAGCTGCTCGTCGTCGATGTCGAGGACATCGGCGCCGAAGGTCTGACCGTTGTCGTACACCTGCGAGATGGTCATACCGTAGGTGAAGGGCGAGATGTTCAGCATGTTCAGCAGGGTGGCCTCAGAGGGGCCGACCTTGGTGCCCTCCTCGACGAGCTTGAGGTCCGACACAATTTCAATGGTACCACGAGCAATCTTGGTGGGGACGCCGAGGGCCTGGAAGAACGAGGTCTTACCGGGTTCCATACCGGTGTTACCGCCAGGAATCCAGACATCGCCGGGAGCGATGGCACCGGCACGGGCGGGGGCCGCGACACGGTTGGCCAAAATCTTGGTCCTGGTGTCCTTCAAGTCGCCGTTGGTGAAGATGAAACCAACGTTGCCTATTTATTGCGCTAGTCAGCCAATTGATCTGTTTCAAGTTGGATCAAGATTCAAACTCACCCTTGACGTGGGGCAGCAGACGCTCGTACTCGGGGTTCTCAGTGATGAAACCCTTGAGGGCACGGCGGACCTGAAAAAAAAAGTCATCAGTCAGGAGCGGCTCGCGCGGCGGCGCATTGCTGCATTGCTTGCTCTAACATACCATGGTGTTCTTTCCCATCAGAACAACACCCTCACCGCGGAGCGAGATACGGATCTCGTGCATCTGCTGCGAGCTGACATTGTCGACACCGACAATGAAGACGGTGCGGTACTCATCGAGAAGGCTCTTGAGCTTCTCGAAGTAAGCGGCCTTGGTAGCAGACTTGCCCCCCATTTCTCCTTATTTGCGCTGAAGATAGGCTGTTTAAGGGCAAGTGGACGTGAATTGTAGTGGTATGTATTGGAGGAGAGAATGTGCGGTTGGGGAAATTCGGGTTTTTTTTTTTTTTTTGGTGCGTTCGCTAGTGGGTCACGTGAGGAACACTCTCAGAGCGAAACCACTGGGAACGACGACTACCGGGGCCATTGCCTAGTTTCCTTTCGGGCTTTGGGGTTTGTGCTGTTCCTATTCTTATTCTCCATTTCTTCTTTTGTTCTCCTCCCAGTGCAGGGAGTCCAGGCATTCCCGAGCGCACTGGTGGCCCGTCATGGCTCAATTCCAACACCCGTTCCAGTGCTTGCGCTATGTCGCCAGACAGCCGGCTGGCTTGTCCGATGTGTTCATTGGTTCTGCGGGCAAAAATATCTATGTGTATGCGGCAGCCAGTGGCCAGCGCCTCGACGTGTGGCCGCAGAACGTAGATACCAGCGCCGAGAAAACGGACGCAGCCTCTACTACCCAAGACCAATGTCCGCCAGAAAAGAGAAGGAAAATCTCTCCGGGCTCTGAGGAGCAGAAGAATGGAGAATCTAAACAAGCTCTTTCTCCCACTTGGTCCAACATACCCATTGTGGTGACATCCTCCGACGGAAAATATGTAGTGGCCGTCACTGCGGAGGACAAGAGTGTCCGAGTCTTCAGCTTGGGAGAGGATAGCCAGATGCAGCAATTGAGTTCCCGGTATGTGGAGGACATCTTTCTCGAGAGTCTAACAATACTTATTTGTACATAGGGTACTGCCCAAACGGCCGAGTGCACTGGTTTTGACACACGATGACCAGACTATTGTGTGCGCCGACAAGTTTGGGGATGCTTATTCTTTCCCGCTGATCCCCAGCGGGGAGTATATCAAGGATCACGCCCAGGTGAAGCCATATCAACCGGCTGCCACCTCGCTCACGGTGCATACGAAGCGCAATCTGGAATCACTCGAGCAACAGCTGCGACAAGCGGAACTGTCGAAAAGGGCAGAAGAGAAACCTGCTCTGAACTTTGAACACCAGGCAATACTGGGCCATGTCTCCTTGCTGACCGATTTGATCTCTGTGACTCTGCCCGCGGGCTCACCCTCGAGTCGCGCGCGAAGCTACATCCTAACCGCCGATCGCGATGAGCATATCCGAGTCTCTCGCGGTGTCCCTCAAGCGCATGTCATTGAACAATACTGCCTGGGCCACACTTCTTTTATTAGCAAGCTCTGTGTTCCTTCCTGGGCTCCGCAGAAGCTCATTTCCGGTGGCGGCGACAACTTCCTTCTATTGTGGAACTGGATTGAAGGGCAGGCCCTTCAGACGGTTCCACTGGCTGATGCATCGCAAACGTCAGAGGTCTCGGTTCACGATATTTGGGATATCTCCCTGATACCATCGGCAGGCGCGACTGAACCGGTGAGGGTTATTCTGGTTGGGCTTGAAGGGTATGTGTCTGTCGTTGATCAGAAATATGTGTCAGCATCTAACGGAGAGAACAGGTCCTCGCAGCTTCTCTGCTATACCCTGGACAACGAAAGCCTAAATCTTCAAGACACAATCCAGCTTTCTGGGAATGTGCTCGACGTAGTGGGCATTGATTCCAGAGGCTTGATCTTGGTCTCGGTGGATACAGTGCGGGAACCTGACTCAACACATTCGTGGAAGTCGGCCCCCTCCTCCCCCCAGACGCTTCTTGAAAGCTTTCGCGTCAACCTTGGCCCCGACAGTCTGAAGTGGGTCCCAGTTGAGGACTCAATGGCTGTGAAGATCAATGCCGAGGGCACCGCCAGCTTTCCCACAATCTTGGAGGAGAAGCTGAAGAGGGAATTCGACGATGCATTGTATAGTCTGGGCAACCTCCGCAAGAAAAAGGGAGAGGAGTAAAAACGAGGGTGTTTTAGAATCCGGGATTCCTTAAGCTTCAGACATGGCCCGTCTAGTTAAACGAGACTAAACATCTTGGCGGGGAAATAGTGGCGTCGTTAAGACTGCTAGTCCCAGGCGGCCAAACCTACTCGATCCTCTCGCCCCAAGCCAGACTATGAGATGAATGATCTTAATTACATTAATAATAAGAACACCAAGAAATAATAAGAGAGCCGAGGTGTATACGGTTGGGCCCAATTTTGAGTGCTTGACAAGTGCGGAGGTTTGGGGGCGGTTCTCCGACAAAACCAGCCCACTTTCCCCTCCATCTGCATCCCACAACCATGCAGGAACAATTCGCGCCGCTCAAGAACGATCTGCTGCTGAGAGCAGCCAAGGGTGAGATGCTTCTGCTTGGACTTCGAGTTTCTTTTCGCGAGCTGACAATTGTGGTGAATTGCAGGGGAGAAGGTGGAACGCCCGCCGATATGGGTGATGCGACAGGGTGAGCTTGACCTGACCCCTTCCCCCTCATTCTTGTGGCAGCACTGTCCTCCTTGAACCAATTGCCTAACCGCTGGTCTCTTTCGTATTTTATAGCTGGTCGTTACCTGCCCGAGTATCATGAGGCTAAGGGAAACCGGGACTTCTTCGAATGCTGCCGCTCGCCGGAAGTCGCATCGACCCTGACGCTCCAACCCATTGATCGATATGCGGGGCTGATTGATGCGGCGATTATCTTCTCGGATATCCTGGTCATCCCGCAGGCCATGGGCATGAAGGTGGAAATGGTGGACAAGAAGGGCCCGCATTTCCCGGAGCCGCTCTCGTCTCCGACGGATGGCCAGTACGCCCAGGTGCTGGAAAAGCAGGTGGATGTGAAGGCGGAGCTGGACTATGTCTACAAGGCTATCACGCTCACCCGGCACAAGCTCCAGGGCCGGGTGCCTCTCATCGGGTTCTGCGGTGCACCGTGGACTCTGCTCTGCTACATGGTCGAGGGTGGCGGCAGCAAATTCTTCGTCCAGTCCAAGAAGTGGATCTACAAGTACCCGAAGGAGTCGCAGGCTCTGCTGCAGAAGATTGCCGAGATCTGTGTCGAGTACCTGGCGCTCCAAGTCGCGGCCGGTGCGCAGTTGGTGCAAGTTTTTGACTCGTGGGCCGGTGAGCTGTCGCCCAGCTCGTTCACTTCGTTCTCGCTGCCTTATCTGCGCTACATCTCCGCCAACCTTCCCAAGCGCCTGCAAGAGAAGGGCTTGGAGCCCGTCCCGATGACGGTGTTTGCCAAGGGCGCGTGGTATGCCCTGGACGACCTGTGCCAGTCGGGCTATAATGTTGTTGGCCTGGACTGGCTGCACGATGCGGGCGAAGCTAGGCGCATTGCCAACGGCCGCGTGACCATCCAGGGCAACGCGGATCCTGGCATCCTCTACGGAGGGCGTGAGGCCATCACCGCCGCGGTCGAGAACATGGCTGAAGGATTCCAAAAAGGCAAGCAGGGATGGATCGTGAATCTGGGTCACGGTGAGTTCTTTTTTTTGGTTTTAATAGACTCCAGATACTGATTGATTTCGGTTTCATAGGGGTTACTCCGTTCGTGGATCCCGAGCTTCTGAAGTTCTACTTCGAAGAGATCCACCGTCTGACGGCGTCGTGATTAAACCCATCGCCAGCCGGGTTTGACTTCTTTACACTGTATACAAGACATATGAATCATTCTATCTTGTTTTGGTATGACCTAGAACAATGGTCTCGAGTCTAATCATATTTTGGGCGGTGAAATACAAAGTCTTCGGATGTAGACAAATGTCCTCGTTTCTAGCAGTAATATGACTGCTGATGAAGATGCCCAGGGTGGACTCTAGCCATGTTTACATGAGTAATAGATTGGAGGCGTAAATAGCATTACTTCCCAAAGCTCCGGCTTTTTTTTTTTGATCAACGCGGCGCTCTCGTAGGAAGAGATAGGGTGGCGTCAGTTGAGATGCCTCTCTCGGCCCCTTTAGCAGCAATGAGCCGGGGATGTTGCTCTATAGTAACTAATTGATTTTGTTTGCAATGATGCCTGTGACAGGGTGACCTGGATGATGTTGCCCACAGAACCACGAGTAATTCCCAGTTTATATATGACCGAGAACTATATAAAGCTCTTTACAGTATGCAGACCTCACCGAGCCCCTCGTAGTGGATCATCCCCCTCTTTGTTTATCGATAAGACTGTATTATTTGTGTATTTTGTGTATTTTTATGTACACATCCATAGAAACTGGAGGTATTGATGCTTACCAGAGACACCACCTGGGTCCTTGCGCGAGCTACCCAGGTACTTCCAGCGTGAGTTTATATAGACGACTCTTTCAACCTCATTAATAGTCTCAGAATCATCTCTCTTCAATTCCCAGCCATCTCCTCCCCTTACAGCCACACCCAAGTGCACGATGACTCAGCTGTATTGTACGCGAAACACGGAGGAAACCTGCGAAAACCATCGAAGGCCGCAGAATCCCATCGAAACGCTCGGGCCAGACTGTGGAAGCCGCCAGAAAGCCCACACCCTAAGAGCTTGTTCATAAGGCGGACGAGAGAGCAATCGACGAGCGAAGAAGAGAGTAAGGAATCTCAAAAAAAAAGCTCAGAAGAAGAAAGAAGAAAGAAAGACAATCCCCCCTGGTAATTTACACATCTTTACAGGAGCCATACAGTCCCTGGGCAAAAAAAAGAAAAAAGGAAAAAAAAGTTACTCAGCCTTTTCATAATCAACTTTGGAACTCCGATATCTCCAGTCCCATCTTCATCCTCTCTCAATTCTCTTTGGCATCAGTCCTGTCCCCCGGTGTTTTCGGTTTTCGCCAGCGACAGGCTCACTGTGATTTTGTTTCCTGTCCTTCAATCCCGACCGATTTTCGTTTCGTTTTTGTGATTCCCCACATCTCACAATGGTCAAGGACACCAAATTCTACGACTGCCTGGGGGTATGTTAGTTGACATCCGATGCCTGGGTGCCGGGGATCTGACGTTGCTTCTTTCTAGGTTCCTGCCACGGCCTCTGATGCCCAACTGAAGACTGCCTACAAAAAGGGTGCTCTCAAGTATCACCCTGGTACGTGCAAGACTTCCTCCCGAATCCCACCATTAAAATTAGCCCCAACCCATTTGCACAAAGAAAGAGAGAAATGGAAATTTTAACGCCCGCCCCTCTCTACAGACAAGAATGCCGATAACCCCGAGGCGGCCGAGAAGTTCAAGGAACTGTCGCACGCCTACGAGACTCTGTCCGACCCGGAGAAGCGACAAGTCTACGACCAATTTGGTGAGGAGGGTCTGGAGAATGGCGGTGCCGGTGGTGGCATGAACGCCGAGGATCTGTTCTCGCAGTTCTTCGGCGGCGGCGGTGCCTTCGGCGGGATGTTCGGCGGCGGCATGCGCGACACGGGCCCCAAGAAGGCCCGCACCATCCACCATGTTCACAAGGTCAACCTGGAAGATATCTACCGGGGCAAGGTCTCGAAGCTGGCACTGCAAAAATCCGTCATTTGTCCCGGCTGTGATGGCCGCGGTGGCAAGGAGGGTGCAGTTAAGGAGTGCTCGGGCTGCAACGGGTCTGGTATGAAGACGATGATGCGCCAGATGGGTCCGATGATCCAGCGCTTCCAGACGGTGTGCCCGGATTGTAACGGGGAGGGCGAGATTGTCCGCGAGAAGGACCGCTGCAAGCGTTGCACCGGCAAGAAGACCGTGGTGGAGCGCAAGGTGCTGCACGTCCACGTGGACAAGGGAGTGCGTGACGGCCACAAGATCGAGTTCCGCGGCGAGGGTGACCAGATGCCTGGTGTTTTGCCTGGTGACGTCGTGTTCGAGATCGAGCAGAAGCCCCACCCTCGATTCCAGCGCAAGGGTGACGACCTGTTCTTCCACTCCGAGATCGATTTGTTGACCGCACTGGGCGGTGGCACCATCCACATTGAGCACCTCGATGAGCGGTGGTTGACCGTCAACATTGCTCCGGGCGAGGTCATTACTCCTGGTACGTTCTTTTGCTTGCCTCCTTGCTATGAATTTTCCCAAGTTGTGTGCTAACAGGACGAGCAGATGCCATCAAGGTCATTGCCGGCCAGGGTATGCCATCGTTCCGCCACCACGACCACGGCAACCTCTACATCAAGTTCGACGTCAAGTTCCCCGAGAAGGACCAGCTGCAGAATCTGGAGCTCCTGGAGAAGGTGCTGCCGCCGCGCCTTCAGCAGACCCAGCCCCCGGCCGATGCCATGGTGGAGGACTTTGAATTGCAGAGCATCGATGCCAGCGAAGGTTCCCAGGCTCGCGCCCACGGTGCTGCTTCGGGTATGGACGAGGACGATGATGATGTACCGCCGGGTGCCGAGCGGGTGCAGTGCGCTTCGCAGTAAACAAGGAGAGACGGGGAAAGAGAGATGCCGTGATCGGGGAGGTTGCTGCTGGGCCATTGATGAAAAGCTTCGCTTATGATACCATGTGAAGGGGCCGCCAGCCCCGATTGACGCCCGGGAATGTTTTCTTTTTTTTTTTCATTTTCTTCTTGAACCTTTTTTTCTCTTCGTGCTCATTTTTTTGCTTTGCGATGGCGTTCCCTCTTGAAGACTTGGAGAAAAGATGACATATGATCCCCGTATGTCTTCTCGGTTTCCCTTTCTGTAATCATTTCCATCCCCTTGATTACCTTTTTTTACCTTGCCCTATCCTGTCCTCTCCACCTCTATTCTTTCTGTTTCCCTGTGTCTCCCCCTCTTACCTCCATATCGTGCACCTCCTGTTTGCTTTTTTTTTTAGCTATTATTTTTCATGATTTCATGGGGAACCCGCGAGAGGAGGTGTGGTGGTGGCAGGTTGTGAAACGAAGTGTGAGCTGTGACGCGAAGACGAAGCCGGATGAGACTATGACGCAGCCCGGGCGTGAAATGGGAATGAAACGAGACCTTAACACAAGAATAAGAGAAGGAAAGGAAACAGCATGTGGTTTTTCTGATTCTTTGCTTGTTCGCTCCCTCGACTACGTGGGAGAGGACATTTGCGATTGACCACAGGAACCTTTTCTTTTCGTTTCTTTCGTGTTTCTCCCATATTCTCGCCCTGCACTGATGATGACTTGAATAGACCGTGGATTTCATTTGAATGCATTGCTCATTTACATGGGTGTGAAGTGAGTAGTTGTAGTTGTGGCTGTAGCTGGTCTACATGTAGCTATAGATGTCCGTATCGAGGTGCATCCGGTATATACAAGGCCATGGCCGTTGTCTAGAGTATGAAGCTCATCACAGGAATCCAATATCTAAGAAGTTAAAAGTCACCGACTATCTCTTCAAGACCATCGCAATATTAAGAACGCAGCTTGTTCTTTCCTGGGGGCATACCAGGCCGAATAAGCCTGTTTTCTCTCATGCAAATTCCATTCTCGAGGACTGGCATATACCATTATCATAGAAGCGGCGCTTGTCTATATTGGTTTCTGGGGTGTCTTTTCCTGAAGGTAGACAGTATAGTATGATCACCGTATATCTGGAATCTACTATGCTCTGGTCAAGGAGTTTTGCAAAGCTATGCGCCATGTAAACAACGGTTCTATACCACATTGGTAGTGGATCAGCACCAGCCCTATCCATCTCGGCAGTTAACTCCTCCCCTTCCCCCGTCCCTTTCTGTATGAATGACATCAAGAAACATCTCGGGCAGCCAGCCACGTTTCTCGGTAGCTCAACCGTAGCTGTAAGCTGTCGTCATGAGGGTTCGATCAGACAGCGCAGGTCTTGGATGCGGGGAAGCAGATAACGAAAAAAGGGAAAGTGAAATGACTGTACACAGATATTTTGCTGTGTCAGGTGTTGTTACTCTCAACGGGGCAAGTTCTGTCGATCCACGCGCCCCCGGACTCCTCTTTCCATCTGACTGGGGGCCATGCCGGAGCATCAGGTGAACACCGCTGGTCATTTTGCATGGGCTCGTATTGGACGAAGCCAATCAGCAAATCCTCATAGCTTCGGGTAAGCAGTGCTGGTGCACAGAGGAGCAGTCAATGATAATGATGATCGAGAAAGAAAATGAGTGTGGTTAGTCGGGAGGCGCAGTTCACCCTTTGCTTTTTTTTTTTCAGAGTTCCCGTGCTGACTTGAACCAGCTCACATCTCCTCGGAGCAGCTGACTAGCGAGGGGAGCTGTTAGTGTAGAAATATTCTAACATAATAGTAATATAATAATAATAAACCATGTATGATTCTAGAATGCCAAAAAGAACACCTGCAATTTAGGTTATGGGCCGTCACAGCACTAGTCTCTCTCCAGTAGGTATATGTTTATAGCTGCCGGGCTAGGCGCCGATAAGCTCGATGACGTGATTTAGATCGTGATGGCGAGCTGCATAGCTGTCAAATTCGTGGGACTCTATAGATATTTAGCTATTTAGATATTTAGATAAAAGGTCAAATGTAGAAGCTCGATAGGTTTGATCTGGTTGTACGTACTATATATCGCAGGCCACGTACCTCGGTCCGTGGTCTATTGCGTAGAGCATTGTCAGAAGGATAGAAGGATAGAAACACACCAGCTGTAGGTACATATTGTTATTCTTAGTTACCGACCTTACTGATCCAGTAGGGAGCGCCGAACCCACTCCCCTGCCAAGCCAAGATGTTCACTCCCAGCTGGGGCATTTTGAGATTGGACGGTGGCGTTCGATGAGGCGGGTCCAGGAGACTTGCAGAGTTGAGCAGATACTAAAACAAATGTAGGGTCCTTGAGTATGGATAGAAATAGCCATGGGTAGATACTAAGAATTCTATAGAAGGAGGGAGTCATACAATGAAAATAACACCGTAAAATGCAAATATTGTGCAAATATTGTGAAGAGAAAACTTGAAAAAAAAAACTCCGAGCTCGTGGTGTCATCATTTGGTCCAAGATGGCGTGTTCTACGCCCCCACTGATTGGGTGGAAGGACTCCACTACTGCCCCGGGGAGGTGGAGGCTGCTGATTCGTCATGGCCTTGGCATATGTTCTTTCTTTTCTTCTTTTCTTCATTTTCTTCTTTATACGATGGAATAATTCTCTGATTTGAGTGTGATTATGAAAGAGCATGGGTGAGCATGAGTCAATATGGCTGGGTCTTTGATGGTATCTGAGATTTCGTGAATATATTGACGGAGACAGCTCTGGATGATCGAAGTACATAGACCTCCCCATGGAACTCCAGACCAGGTTCCACCCGCGGCTTCTGCGATATTCGGTGGGCCGTGTCGAAACCTGCGTGCTTCTTCAATACTCTTGAAAAGTTTCTTTTTCTTGCTTCCCGGCAGAGCATCTCATCCTACTCCTGGCCCCGTTGCAATTTGCTCAAACCCCAAGCGATCTGTGCGAAGTCTACGGTAAGAAACGTGGATCTGGGGTCCACGGGTGCTTCAGATATTACGCCATCTCGTGCTGGATCACGCACGGCACCCCTTTTGTTCCATTCTTTTTTTTTTCTTTTCTCGAGTCATATTTTTTTTTTATAAAAGCTATCGACAGCTTATATCTACCCTTGATCGTCGCCACGTTTTTGATACCTGTCATCCCGTGTGTTCTCTCCCCGGCCGAGTTCTTCGGTATATACACTTCGGCCTGCGTGCAGCCGCAGCATTCCTGGCCATTGAGATCTCACCCACCTCGGTTTCATCCGCCGATATCAACATGAGTGGTGAAACATCCACCAAAATCGGCCACAGCTTGGCCAAGGGTCTGGGGATCAAGGTCGCCTACAGAGACCCTCTGGGTGCGACCGCCGAGCCCGTCACCAGAGGCGAGTCGGCCTTTTCGGTGGGCACGGCCGATACCTACTCGTATAACGAGCCCGAGCCGACTAGCGGCGAATGGATCCTGGAGCACACGCCGTCCTGGCGTCAGATTGGCATCTATTTCTACAATCTGTTCCCGTTCCTCCGCTGGATCACTCGCTATAACTTACAGTGGTTCTATGGGGATCTGGTTGCCGGTAAGCCTAAATTCGGGGGTTCTTGGCTGTGGCACACAGGTGATACTGACAAATCACTGCAGGTATCACGGTGGGAGCTGTCGTCGTGCCGCAAGGTATGGCCTATGCCAAGCTGGCAGAGCTGGAAGTGCAGTATGGTCTCTACTCATCCTTCATGGGTGTGTTGATTTATTGGTTCTTTGCCACGTCCAAGGATATCACAATTGGAGTGAGCTCTGCCCCAGCTGAGAATTACAATTGGGTAGTTGCTGACTTTCGCCATAGCCCGTCGCCGTCATGTCGACCTTGACGGGAGAGATTGTGCTCGAGGTGGCAAAAATGTACCCCGATTACCCCAAGCACATGGTTGCCTCGAGTCTGGCTGTGATTTGCGGTGGCATTGTCTGCTTCCTGGGACTCTTCCGGCTGGGTTTCATTGTGGATTTCATCTCGCTGCCGGCTATTTCTGCATTCATGACGGGTTCGGCCTTGAACATCTGCTCTGGGCAGGTGGCCACCATGTTGGGTGAAACGGCTGATTTCTCCACCCGAGGCCCGACCTATTTGATCATCATCAACACCCTCAAGTATCTTCCGAGTTCGACCATCGACGCAGCCATGGGCGTGACAGCCTGTGCGATGCTGTACATCATCCGGTCCGCGTGTATGTACGCAGCGAAGAAGATGCCTCACCGAGCCAAACTGTTTTTCTTCGTCTCGACACTGCGGACCGTGTTTGTGATCTTGTTCTATACTATGATCAGCGCGGCGGTTAACCTGCACCGCAAACATCACCCGAAGTTTTCGCTTTTGGGGTTCGTTCCTCGAGGTTTCCAAGAGGCCTCCGTGCCGGATATGGACCGCAAGATCATCAGTGCCTACGCTGGACAGCTGCCGGCTGCGGTTATTGTCCTTTTGATTGAGCACATTGCCATCTCCAAATCATTCGGCCGCGTCAACAACTACACGATCGATCCCTCGCAGGAGTTCGTGGCAATTGGCGTTTCAAACCTTTTGGGTCCCTTCCTGGGTGGCTACCCTGCCACTGGATCTTTCTCTCGTACTGCGATCAAGTCCAAGGCCGGAGTGCGGACGCCGTTGGCGGGTATTATTACCGCCATTGTGGTGCTGCTGGCCATCTACGCCTTGCCCGCCCTCTTCTTCTACATCCCCAAGGCCTCTCTCGCCGGAGTCATCATCCATGCTGTCGGTGACTTGATCACTCCTCCCAACACCGTGTACCAATTCTGGTGTGTCTCGCCGCTGGACTGCCTGATTTTCTTCATCGGCGTGTTCGTGACCGTGTTCACGTCGATTGAAAATGGCATTTACTGCACCATCTGTGTGTCATTGGCAGTGCTGCTCTTCCGCGTGGCCAAGGCGCGCGGCCAACTCCTGGGCCGAGTGACGATCCACTCGGTGGTGGGCGACCACCTGGTGGACGGCGATGGCAAGTACGGATCATTCGGGGCGAACAAGGCGCCGTCGGACGACCGCGACCACGACCACCGGTCGATTTTCCTGCCGATCAACCACACGGACGGGTCCAACCCGGAGATCTCGGTTGAGCAGCCGTACCCGGGGATCTTCATCTACCGGTTCTCCGAGGGATTCAACTACCCCAACGCCAACCACTACACAGACTACCTGGTGCAGAGCATCTTCCAAACGACGCGGCGCACCAACCCGCACGCATACGCGCGGCGCGGCGACCGGCCATGGAACGACCCGGGCCCGCGCGAGGGCAAGGAGCAAGCCAAGAACGAGCAGCACCTGCCACTGCTGCAAGCCGTGATCCTGGACTTCTCGTCAGTGAACAACGTTGACGTGACGTCGATCCAGAACCTGATCGACGTGCGCAACCAACTGGATCTGTACGCGTCGCCGCGGTCGGTGCAGTGGCACTTTGCGCACATCAACAACCGCTGGACGAAGCGCGCGCTGGCTGCCGCCGGCTTCGGGTACCCGACGCCAGTGTCGAGCGAGGGCTTCCACCGCTGGAAGCCGATCTTCAGCGTCGCCGAGATCGAGGGCAGTGCATCGGCCGCCGCCCACGCCGAGATCGTCAACAACGAGCGCGAGCACGCCCACCACCTGCACCACCCCAAGTCCGTGGCCGATGTCGAGTCCGGCGCGCTCAAGTCAGGCTCAGCTACCGTCGAGCGCGAGACCCACGGCATCGAGACTTCCTCCGAGGACAGCGCCGTCCCCGAGGACAAGCTACAGCGCGATCTCACGGCCAGCCAGGCGTACCGCCGCCGCAAGGTCGCCGTCGTCCAGGGTATGAACCGGCCATTCTTCCACATCGACTTGACCAGTGCGCTGCAAAGCGCCGTGGCCAATTCGTCGGACGAGGTTCCATCTCTTGGTTGATATGCTTTACTCCTCCCTCCATTCCTCCCTCTCTGTTCTTCTCTCTCCTCCTCTTCATCTTCTCTGCATTGCATCGACCATGGCTCTCCCTGGCTTGGAGTCCATCTGATATGCCCCGCTATGACCTAATATCTTCGGTATTTGCGTGGAAGTTCATTCCATGATTTTTATTTGATCTGCTCGGTTCTTGGCGTTTCTTTCTTTCTTTCTTACTTACTTCTTTTTTTACCCGCGCGGTATTTGGTCGGGCTTTTGAATTGGAGGTCTGAGATGACCTGGGATTTTGATTGCATTGCTAGGGATACCCTTGAATCTATAGACCGTTTTGATCGAGCTTTGGGTAGAACTGCGCTGTTTGTAGTAGTTGTACGTACATCTTTGGGGACCGGAGACGGTACGCTTGAATGTGACTCGTTTCAAGCATGTAGATGCATTGAATAGACAGGCAGTGCATTCCACCCACTTTGATGCAGTCCTCTATACAAAGCACCCCCTCTACATAGCAACCAAGTACAAAACATGACATGGCAGCAAAGCAAGCCACAGTCCACACAGTAGAACACAGAGTACAAAGTACAGAGCAGAAAGAGAGAGAGAGAGAGAGAGAGAGAGAGAGAGTCAAGAATATCACCTCAAAACCCCCCAACACCAGCCCACCCCAAAACAAACCCACTCAATGCCTCGGCAAAAACACCGCCGCCGAACCACACATCCCTCCACGCACCCTTCCGACAAACCATACCAGCAGCAGCAGAATCAGATCCCTGGGCATTGCTCTTTCGATCAAGCTGCAAGCGCACAATCCCACTCTCAGTCTCCATAGCGACCGTCCCGTCGATTTCGCCATCGTTGCTACCAGGGAAGAAGGCGCCGGCGCCGGCGCCACCAGATCGGTGAATCAGCAGCAGATGGAAAAGACCCGAGACGAGGACGGTGCCGAGGAAGTAGAAGGCGAAGCCTGCGGTGGATTGGAGGCCGAGGATGCCGGCGGAGAGGCCGAGGAGGAAGGAGGTTAGGGAGTGGAGGGAGGAGAGGACCTATTTCGTATTTTTTTTGTCTTTTGTTAGTGTGTATTTCTTTTGGGGGAGATTTGGGATGTTGGTTCCCATTTAAAAGGGGTTGTAGGGTAGATAGAGATGGTGGTGGTGTGGGATCAGATGTATCATACCCGGTTATTGTGCTGGACTGACTCCGGGACCAGAGGCTGGATAAGCAGGGAGAGCTCCTGCTTGGTGGGCGCCATTGCTTGTTGTTTTTTTTTTTTTTTTTTTTTTTTTTTCTCGGGTACACTCGTGTTTGCGGAGTTGCTGGTTGGTGTTTTTTGCTGCGGTGGCCGCGCAAGTTGTCAAGATCCCACCAGAAATGGTGTCAGATGGGGAGGGCGGTCTGCGGAAGGAATTCTGGTCGGACAAAGAGTGAACCAGGATCCAGACTCGGAGTTCAACCCAGACAGAGCAGATGGGTGCCTTTGCGTAGCTTTGCGGAGGGTGGGAGAGTGGTTGAGGTGAGGCGGGAGGTGAGGTTTGACGCACGGGCCAGGGACTGTACTTGGCGCTACTTATCTGTCCTCCCGATGTGAGACGGATATACAAGACCTTACGAGAGAGCATAAAGCATAAATGAGATAAGAAAATACATGAACAAAAATAAAGCCGTACGAGATGTGCCAGTTTCCCGCCCACTGCTATAGAAAGCGGACTACTTGTTGGTAAGACTAGGTGTGTGCGGCTTGTAGATATCCCAGACAAGATGTATGTCACTACTCATTTACAGTTGTTGGACCGTTTTCTCGACAGACAACATCTACCGAGTAGATATCAATCGAATCATGCACTGCTCAATGTCCATATCTACGATTAACCCGCAATAATAACAATCCGTCCTTCATGAATCCGTTCCTGACATCACAGCGTTTGATACATCCCGAATCCCACATCTGATTAGGGCGAAAAGAGATCGCAAATGTTTTTTAAAATCCATGAAATCGCTGAGCTTCATATCAAGATGGTGGCCATGCTCCATGCGAAAAGAGAAAAAAACGATGGGCCGTTCACTAAGCACTGTCGAGCTTGCCGTCGGCACGGGCATCCTTGACCTGATCGAAGACCTAATTGATTATGTTAGAAGGCCGACATCATCCTCAAAACAACCCAATGAACTACTCACCTTGAGCATTTTGTTCCGCGCCCCAAGCGCGTTGACACCACGGTCTTCCAGTGCCTTGTCATCCAGTTCGATCAATTCCGTCCACTTGAGATCCTTGAGATGGTCCGTGTACTTGTGCAGCCGAAGGGATCGCAGCCAGCTGGGGATGTCCTTCAGAAGTGCCGGGTCTGTGGGGTCCTCCGGCGGTTTTGAGCTGCCACGGCGACCACGCGGCGAACGCCCGCGGGTCACCTCCGAGTGGTCCGACAAGTATCCTTCGCCGCCCAACCCAAACTGTCCAATGCCCAACGAGCCCAGGCCGTTGCCCATCAGGGGGTTGTTTGGGTCATACGCCGCCAAAAACCCGTTGTTCTGCGGCGAGGTGAAGCCCATTGCCCCCAGTCCAGCACCCTGCATGGCGATGCCAGGCGAGGTCGGGCGAGACCGCCCGCCCGCCATGGCTGCTTGCTGCTGCGCTTGCAAGGCCGCCAGCTGCTGGGCGTTCAAGAGCTGACCCGCCACCAGGTTTGATCCAGGCAGACCAGGGCTCGACAGGCCCTGAGAAATGGTCGGGTTCCCGGCTGAGTTCTTACCCTGGCCGTCGTTGGACCGGGCACGCCGATACTTGCGCGCATCGTCCAAAGCAATCCGGTTATTCACCGTCGACAAAGCTGCCAGCTTCATCGCCGTCGCGTTGGCCACCATGTCAGCCTGGGTGTTCTGTGGCTGGGTTTGCTGCTGTTGCTGCTGTTGACCGAAGGTCGCTGTCATCGGCGTGTTTGCCATCGACGCCCAGCTGTGATTACCGACGTTGTACGGCGAGAGCAGGGGTGGCTCGATATCCGGAGCAGGGATTGTAGCAGTTTGGGGGAGGGGTGAGCGCATCCCCGAGGACGCGGAGGGCTGGCTAAACTGGCCCATGGGCTGATGACCCGACGAGGACTTGGGCCTGGCGATCGGGGGCTGAGTGTCGGAAAGACCACGGGGACCCCATGGCGACGCCGGCGGCTGGCCCAGGTTGTCCGAGCCGTTGTCAGGTGCAGAGATCGTCGGAGCAACAAATGAGGTACGCTCCCCAAAGGCTGCACTGTTGCGGTTCGAGGGAGGTGCGTTGCCCGTTTGCTGGGTAAACTCGGCCTTCTTCTTTGCAATTGCCGCGGCAGCATCCGGGAACATGGCGTTGATGGTAGACGAGTCGAGACCCGAGTTCCGCTTCGCGCCCGGGGATGGTGGGGGCCGGCCCAAGGAGCTCCGCGACGTGTCCATGTTCAATTTGGACATGGCATCACTCAAGCGGCTCGACATGGCATCTGTAAAAAAAACCATGTCGTCAGTTATCCGGGATTTTGAAGGAAAAAAAATTATTTGAGAAATAAAATCCCATACCTTTTTCACCAAAGTTGGCGGGGGACAGCAACCCCGACATCGGGTGGCCCTGAGACATCTGCTGCAACACTTGGATGAAGAACCGAATCTGCACCTGAGTGGTCTGCTGCAAAAGAGCGTACAAGGCGGCTGTCCGCTCGGCCTCACTCAGCACACGGAACCACTGTTCGATGGCGCTGAGTTCGTCCTTGAAGTCCTGGTCGAGTGTGGCGGCCGCCATCTCCTCCAACGTCGTCTCGTATTGATCAATGTCCGCGAGCCATTGCTGAGCGGCCCGGTCCAACGCATCTTCGGTTGTGTTCTGGTTTTGAGATTGTTGGTTAAAGAAAACTTCCGACGAGGGACGGATGCTGCGGGAGGAGAGCGGCGAGGGGAACCCGGACATGTCGGCCGATGCTCGCAACTGGTGGGATCCGAGGTTGCGGGACGACGACGGAGGACGCAGAGTTGAATTTGACGCCTCTGGGGTGCTGTTGCGATTCCCGATGATGTGGCTGGCCATCATTTGAAATCGAGGGGGGTGGATAGTAAATACAGTGGGGGGGGAGAAATGATTACTGCAAAACACCTGCAGCACCTGCTGAGTTTGCGTAACAAAATAGAATCAAATAAAAAAGACCCTGAGAAACCAGGCCGAGGGAAGATCCAAGTCTGGAACACTGAAAAGCCCCAAATCTCGCTAGGCAACGATTGCACAGACCAGTCCAGTGGCTGCACGGAGATATTAGGGACCTAAACGAAAGAAAGTCAGGACTCGAAGCAATAGTGTGTCAAACACAGCAAGCCACGGACCCAGAGAAAAGGAAAAAGGAATGGGGGGAAAACGAAGCGAGGAGAAAGATGGGAAGAAGTTGAAGTTGGGGAGCGAAGGCTTTTCTGTTTCAGGCCGATCACGGGTTTTTGCCCGGAATGGATCTGAACTCAACGCGACATTCCTCGAAACTGCGAGTGTTGTCTCTTCCATTGTGATTCAGTCCAACTTGATGCGAGAGCATGATTATTTGCTAAAAAAAATCAAAAATTTATCGAGTTCGTTTGCCAAGTATACGCTGAGTATGCTTCCAGCAGTCGGGTTCGCGACCCACGTTCTCTACAATTGACTTCCTCTGGTCGCAATCTCAACCATTTGCGCAGGCTCATGGACTAGTCATTTGTGCTATCATCCTCAGCATGGCGGACCCCAACTTTCACGGGGAGTCAGCTCCTCCTGAGGGGACGGCATACCCGGACATCGATGAGATAGTTCAATACCCATGGCAAGGGAATCAGCCGTCTACAAGCGGGGATCTTATTGCCTCGGTGATCGACCCTCGTTTGTACCAAGATCTTTACCAATCCGAGAATCTCAACGCCGGTCCTGCGACTGATGACGCCGATGGGTCTTCGTCGGACAATCAGGTGGATCCCCCCAACTATGATGGGGGAGATGCATCAGATGATGCGTCTTTTGTGAATTCCGATGATGAAAGTGAAAGGTATGTGTTTTACTGGACTGGGTCGTTGAGATTTTCAGTTAACGCCACGGTCTTAGCGAGGAAGAGGAAGAGATGGCAGAAGATGACGATGACGACGACTCGGCCGCCAGACGGCGACGCCGTCGAGGTGGAGGCCGCTTCTCCGGTCGTTACGGTGCTCGCGGTGGCAAGGGAATCAGAAGAGGGCCCCGAAAACCGATAGAGCCCAGCCCTGAATTCAAACTCCTTCACTCGGAGGCCACATCTGCCTTTATCGATGGCGAGTACGAGCGCGCCATCGATTTGGTGATGCGTGCCATCCAAATAAACCCTGAGATGTTTGCGGCTCATTCGTTGCTCTCGGAGATTTTCCTAGCCCAGGGCGAGCAAGATAAAGCAATCACGGCTCTCTTCAACGGTGCTCACACTCGACCAAGGGATCCTGGAGTCTGGGGCAAGGTTGCCCGGCTGATTCTCGATCGCGCTGGCGAAGACCGCCAAAGTGCACTGAATGACGTGGTTTATTGCTACAGTCGAGTGATTGACATCGATCCCGGCAACTACCATATCCGATTCCAGAGAGCCGCCCTCTATCGGGAACTGGGTCACAATGGGCGGGCTGTGACGGAGTACGAACGCATTCTCAAAGAACTCCCCCACAATGCCCAGGCTCTTCGACATCTCGCGGAGACGTACATTGACCTCAATGATGTCCAGAAAGCGATTGACCATTATGAGGACAGCATTGAACACTACTCCACCCTCGATCCTGAGGATGTTGTTGACTTTTCATGGTCCGATGTCAACATCTACGTCGAACTGTACAGTTATGTGGGCCAGCATGAGCAAGGGCTTGACGCTTTGAAGTTTATCTCCAGGTGGCTTTTGGGTCGCAAAGATGATACCATGTGGGAGGAATTCGAAGACGATGACCGGGAATGGGACGCTGATGATTCACCCCGTCGCATCAAGACGGATGGATTTATTCCTGGAAAGTGGCCCCGGGATACCTATGGACTGGGCCTCCCTCTTGAGCTCCGGATTAAACTAGGTCTCTTTCGACTCAAGATGGGTGAGAAACACCATCACGAGGCCTTGGTGAGTTTATACCAGTTCCAACCGTCTGTGAATCAACACCAACAATATTTACCCCATTTTAGTTCCATTTTGAGTGGTTGAATCCCGAAGACAACTCCGAAAGTGGTCGGATTTTTGATTACGGCGATCTTTTTCGAGAAGTTGCAGATGCCATGAAAGAGACCGGACTGCTAGAAGAAGCGCTTCGATACTATTTACCCATCCAACAAACCACAGAATATGCAGACGCGAGCTTCTTTATGGCCATGGCTGATTGCTGCATGCAATTGGGCAAGCTGGAAGATGCCGAGAGCTGCTATCTCACCGTCGCCGAGCACGATGCGACTGACATGGAATCGCGAGTACACCTGGCAAAGCTGTACGAAAGCCTTGGCATGACCGAGCAGGCTTTCAGATATGTCAACGAGGCCGTTCTGATTGGCCGACAAGAAAGCAGAACTCGGAGAAAGAGAAAGGACACACGGCTGGAGCAACTTGCCATGGAATTTAAAATGACTGAAGTCGGGGCTCTAAGAACAATTGCTCCCAAGCCATCGGCGACGCTCACACATTGGGCTGCCTCGACTCCTGGCAAGCGACGAGCACGACTCGAGGGTGGGCGGACCGAGGATGTCCAGTTCCTTTATACAAAGATGCAAGAGCTGAACCCCCAGATCAAGGAAGGCGTCCTCGAGGCTATTGAAGACTGGCTGGACATCGCCGATGCTTTGCTGCGTGATTTCCGGTCCAATCGAGTCTTCTACCCCATCACACGCAGTATAGCCTTTCAAGGGTATTCGAATTATGCGCGTCGCAAAGCTGGCCGGACCAAGAACCACATGATGATGGACGAAATGCAGGAGATGGCAGGGCGTCTTCAGGAGAGTCTTGGTAGGTCGAATCAAATGCCAAAAATGGGCTAGGCTAATTCGACTAATATAGGTGAGGTGACGGATGAACCCTTACAGGGTGCTATTCCAACAGACTACCATGGGATTCCTTTTGATGAATGGCTTGATATCTTCCTGCAGTATGCGCTTCTGGTGACGGAACAGGGCGAGCCGGAGGAGGCCTATGAAACGCTCGACTCCGCGGCTATTGCCAGTATTTGGCTTCACAGCAAGCACAAATCGCGTATAATCCATGTTTGCTGGTTCAGTCAGTATCTTGCCTTCTCCGTGATGTATAAAGTTTGCTGACTCTCAAATAGCATGCGCACTTCACGCACAGGACGAAGAGACCCTCGCCAACGAAGCACGCTGGTTTATCAAGGAGTACCAATTCGTGACCGACACTTATCGACTCTTCTCAATGCTCAGCCGTCTATCCGGCGACCCTCATCGCTCGCTCTTCCACTCTTCCCCGAATATGAAATTCATGCTGCGTCAGATCAAAGCAATGGACTTTACTCTCCCCCACGAGTCTCACCGGCCAGTCCGAAAATCCATTTGGAAAGAGCGTGCATCACTATCCACACGTAACGAAGCTGGCGAACCGATCCCCGCCGAAGAGCTGGATGTCGCCCTCCTCGTCCTGTATGGCCATATCCTGTACTCAGGGAACAGCTTCTACCCGGCGCTCAACTACTTCTTTCGAGCCTACGCACTTGATGACCAAAACCCGGCGATCCTACTCTCGATTGGCCTCTGTTACATCCACCACTCGCTGAAACGGCAATCTGATAACCGCCACTACCTGATCATGCAGGGCCTGTCGTTTATGGAAGAGTACCGGCATGTCCGCGAGAGGCCCGGGGTTTTGCTGCAGGAGCGCCAGGAGATGGAATTCAACTTTGCCCGCGTATGGCACACTCTTGGCTTGATCCATCTCGCCGTGCCGGGATACGAGCGGGTGCTAGAGCTGGGCGACGAGATCAGACAAGAACATCTGCAGAGGTCGGAGCTGGCTGTTAATGGCGCCGATGTGGTGATGGGCGAGGCAGACGAGGACCAGGATCAGGATCAGGGCCAGGACACGGCTCCTTCGCCGCAACCTTTCGTTGAGGATTTCTCCAGTGAAGCTGCTTACGCGCTGCAGTGTATCTACGTGCTCAGCGGTGACGCCAAAACCGCAAAGAAAATCACCGAAAAATGGCTCGTGCTGTGATGAAACTTCGCCGCAACCCCAATACAGATGCCAGCAGACAGACACTCTTCCAGACACAGGTGTTTTGACCGACGAAAAGTGCTAATTCTACCAATATCCTCTGATGTGTACGATAGTGGGATTGAGGTTGGAGGAATGACAGCGAGAGACATCCTGTACGTTATTTTTATTACTGCCACCGTTTTTTAAAAACTCCTAGTAGTCCGATCATCTACAATAATGCCAGAATGACTTGATCCCCAACGGTCCTTCCCGCCGTTGCATAGCGCCATCAACTAATTAATTAATGATCAATATACAAAAATAAATCAAATACAACCCCCGCCGACGAGTTCCCACACCCCACTATGTCCACCGGGTACAGCGCCATGACGTCCTGCCTCCATCCACACAGTTCCCACCAGCGCCTCCCCATGTACAATGACGTCGGACCAGCCTCGTTGACACCTCCACCACGTCCCTCTCCCGTCGTGGACTACCTCGTCGATCTGCCAAGAGAAAGCGACTCCATTGAAGTGGGCCGAGAGTGATCTACCCGTTGTGGGCGGACGATATGTATACTCGAGAGTGGGGGGGAGGAATAGTTGGGGAATTGCTAATATATTATTCCCCGAGATACGGAAGGGTATATTAGGTCGTATTAACATTTATTTTTGGAAGGGGGAAAATATCCATGAAATGACATGCAGTTGATCTTAATTAGCATCTCCATTGTCCATAATATATGCAGGTAAACACCTCAAATAAAAATAAGAATAAGACAGGAGACAGGAGATAAATAACATTAAAACAATGTAGACTGATGTCACCCGCTCGAGGATCTGATAGCCTTGTGTTTTTTGTATATCTTTACCGAGGAAAACTATGTCAGGAAGTAACCAGGATGCATGCAGTAGGTAGGTAGGTAGGTAGGATACCGAAAATGCTGTATTCGTACACGTCGTGAAACCTATCTATATATGCTACATAGTTCCTCTGGCGCGATGCGGCAAAAGAGTCATGATCATCATAGCCAGAAAAAAAAAGAAGTCACAGAAAATCCAAAAAAAAAGGTGGGAAGGAGGTCAAGAACAACCTCGATGGCAATGTCAGATGCAACCGCAAGAATAAGCACTAGACTCCTGGAGATGCTGGTGTCATGGAAGAACGCCCAAGGCAGCGAAAGAAAAGTAAAGGAAAAGCAAAGGAGGGGAAATAAACATTGACCGCATGTATCCGAGAGTATCCGCACAGACAACAGACAACAGATCAGCCAAGAGCCGCCTGTCACATATAAAAAACCCAAAAAGAAGGTTGGCGCAGAAATAAAGTTAAAAAAAAATACTGTGGGTGGCCCGAAGGAGAAAAGGGCTTACGCGACGTCATCAGACACTTTGGAGCCGCCTCAGGTGGTCAGCGCATCTTCCTCGCCATACAGATCCGAGTCATCAAAGAAGACGGCGGACTGTCGGCGCATTTCTTCCATGAAGCTTCCCCGCCTCGAAGTCGGGGTCTGAGGGCGCGAGGAAGCGGTCGATTGGGACATGCCGTCGGGCCCCTCGACGAAATGCGACTCATCCTTGTAGCGGGAGCGGTTGCGTTCAGGGTAACTCTCATCCAGGCGCTGGACCATAGCATCCGAAAGCTCATGCTCGGGGTTTTGGAACCGACGAGACAGGATCGGGGACGGGAGTCGTCCGCCCGTCACAGAGCCTTGTTGGAGGCCCTTCATGATCTCGCTTTCGATCTTCAGGCGGTTCTGGATGAACTGGATTTTGGGGAAAGCGCTTTGTTGGCCTACGTGAATCATGCGGGCGAGTCTTTCGGGACTGGGGTCTGAGAGGATATGATAGAAGTCGGATGGGATGCTTTTCGGCCAGATGGTCACGGTACCGCTGAACTTCTGCAGCCAAATCTCGCTCCAGTCCTGGCCCATCGGTCGGGGGAGGAGCTCGAGGTGCCGCAGGACGCGAAGCCATTTGTTTAGGTCTAGTTTGATGTATTGTTCGATCGCGGTACCGAGGAAGCCGCCACGCCAGCCACGGCCCTTGCGGTGAGTGACTGGTCGCCCGACGGTCCCTCGGGAGCTAAAGAAAAACAGGTTGATATGGGGATTGACCTAATCTTGTGTGAGTGGGCGCGAGGAATACAAACAATCCAGGACCCATCTTACCTGCGATACAATAGTAAAGTTCACATTGAAATGGAGGTTCAGCGCTTTGATGGGTATGTCGGTGCGCAGACTACCATCCTTCCATTTGTGCCCAAACGAATAAGGCGCGAGTGTGCCGTCCCGCCTTTTGGTCATCAATACCACCGGATTCAATATGCCGGGAACCGCGGCAGAGGCGAGTACTGCACTCCAGATGACACAGTCGGGGCAGGTTAAGTAATTGGCCAATATGGTAGGTGAGTGAGGATCTGAGGGCACGCAGGTGACATTCAGGATGCGGCCGGTTCGCTCATAGGCTTCCCGGAATGTGGTTGATCCTCGGCAGAACCAGCTACACTGCCGCGCCCAGTCCAACGTATCGAACCGAGCACCGGTTCGCCACCAGCGACGGACCCATGTGGCAAAGCCTTCGTGGCATGCGCGGATCCGATGGGCGAGAGCGGGAACTAGCATGCGTTTCAGCTCCTCATCGGTGCGGGTCGCCACGAGGCCGGCCACCAGCGCCCCTCCCGATGTCCCGGTTATAATCTCCGGGAGGACGCCATTGTCCAGCAGCGCCTTGACTACTCCAAAGTGGTAATAAGCAAATGTGGCGCCGCCCGACAAACAGAGAGCAGTGCGCCCAAAATTGGTGTCGAGATGTTTGAAGTGTTGATACTTCGATTCTCGTTCGACCTGCTGGCTATCCAAAACCAACCGGATGCACGCATGCACCTCGTCGATGTATTCCTGGACCAAATCCTTGGTTCCCGAGTAGGTTTCACTGTAGAGCCGGGGGTTTTCCACTCCGGAGAAGTTATTCTTGACGCATGCCTCCAGGAGCGTGCGCAGGTCTTCGACGGCCGGCAGATCACTGGAACTAGTCCGTCCATGCTGCATCTCGAACTCGGCCTCCTGCCTCGTTTTCTTCAACTGGGCCACCACTTTGTTGATGGTGAGATGGTCGTAGTAGGCATACTCGTCGGTCTGCTTCCACTTCTCGGTGCCAAGGTAAGCATCCAGGGCCTGGGCGGCCGTCAACCAGTCCGCATAGTTGTTCTGAGCCGAGAGGTCGCGGCGCAGTCTCTCCCTCTTGCCGCGCCAGGTCACCCACTGCTCGTACAAAAAGATATACACCCGGACCAGCACATAGCCGCAACTCAGCACAGAGATCCACGCGAAGACGGTGAAGAGGAACGGCCACTTCAAGACCGTGTAGAGAACCCCTTCCCGCGTCTCATCTTTGCTTCGTTTGGGAGTTTGGCGACGGCCTCGCGACTTGCGAACCCGCTGATTTATGGGGCGCCAATCGTTGATGGCCACCAACGGGGACGCCTCGGGGGCGTTCAGTGCTTTCTCGAACTGTCGCAGATCATCGGGATCAATTAACTCTCGGTCGGAGTCCGGCAGACCGACCGGATCGAAGGGGTCATATGCAGCAGCCTTTTCTCCAGAGGTCATGATCAATACATGCTGGATGGCTGTACCAAACCAAGGAGAAAGTGTGTATGTTGGGGATTCGACCAAGGCGAGGACCAGCTTGAATCCTGTTGGGGGATGACGTTAGTATCATGTGATATGGTGATATCAAGCCCCACCACTAGCCGCCAGCCACATTGTGGAGTGTGGCGGTGGTGTCCCAGTGCGGCTATGTAGTGATGAGTCATCTGATCATGCCCCGCTGATAAGAACCGGTGGACCTTGGGGGGAGGAGGATCCATGGATCTGATATCAACGAGATAGCCAGATCATGTTGAATGTTGAGGGGAGGACTTCATCCCTTCGCCCATTTTCTTGCTTCAATTCTTGGCGGAGAATGCTACCCCTCCGATTTCTTTCATGCTCCACGCAAAGCATGTGCGACTGCATTGGTTCCAACTCGTGGAGGGGGTATATTGGAATATTTCCCCTCCTTCCCACATCCCACGGTGAGCATTCAGTGCTTGAAGATCCGAATTTCTCCCGCAATTGGTGATCTGAGTCCCAGATATTCAGCCACTGGGAGGGACGGCAGATCTCACCGCTAGATGCTCGCCCGTTCCAATGGCAATGAAAGCTGCTGGGTTCCACTGGTGATTGGTAGGTTTGTATAGGAGAGTTTTTGTCTCGGGGCTGAATTGGAGGTCCAGGAAAGTATCCTATGGGCCAGTGAAATTGATATCATTTGGGCCTGCATCGAAGGCGACATCGGCACAATTGAATCGATCGGTCACCTGATGTGGTAGCTTCAATCAAGCTTGCTATAGGACGTTTCTATACTCCTGGATTGTCCTATCCCGATGATGCGCAGACAAATCACAAGCAGTACCCCATGCATGGGTGGATTTGGTCCCTAATTAAGGCTTATTCTGGTCCCGGGCTCTAATTCCATCCAAATGGTCATCTGCGTCTCGAGGCTGATCATCGGGATTGGCCTGTTAAGGTTTGAAGCTCACAGAACAAAAAAGCAAAAATGAATGCGCGGTTTATTTCTTCGATTTTGCGGGTCTCAGCAGACCACAGAGAACATTTTTCTCACCTTTCTCGCAATCTTCTCTTTGGTCAAGAACCAGCAAAAAAGGGTCAAATCGAATTATTCACACTATGGCGCGGTAGCCGCGTTGAATGGGGTTACATTCGGGATCGCAGAAAGCGGTCCAAATGCGGGAGCGTCAACTTCGGAGCGAAGCATCTTGGCATTTTGCGAAGATTCAACTGCATTTCCGCATTCGGCTCGGTGCAGATCCACGTTCTGAATGTTCTGAATGTTGCGGGTGATCCCTTCCCGCTTACGTTTTGCCTCCCCAGTCCACCTCCCGATCATCTTTCGCCATGAGGGAAAAAGCCAAAAAAAAAAAAAAAAAAAAACGCAGGCTCAGCGAGCCACAGTCGTCTTGGCAAAGGATTACGTCTACAAATGGCCGTGCTGGTGGAGCCAATCACCACACTATAGTCGATATTGCATCCCGATCGCCTGCAGGTGGGGAAGAAAAGAAAAGACAAAAAAAAAAGCTGCTCTTGGGGTTTGAATGTCAGCATCCTTGCATTCTTTTGGTTTGATGTTGTATGGTTCGATGGTAGAGATAGGGGGCGGGGGGGCCGATAGGATCGCATGTCATGTGTACCCTCCCTGGACTCCAGTGACAATTGCCCCATGTGTTGAACATTCTTCGAGGGGAGAGGGAAATTGCAAAAGAAAAAAAGAAAAACCAACAGAATAAACGCTCTCTCCCTTCGAAAGAGAGAGAGAGAGAGATGCAGGGATGCTGCATGCGAACTCCTCGCGTGAAACGTGCAGCCTCGGGGGGACTGATACTGAACCGAGCGTCCTGAGGTGCATCAGAAGGAATGTTACTACCCCACGCTGGGGGGGGGGGGGGGGGGTGAGAAGATCTGTGCCAGGGATTACTATGATCATAAACATAAAACTAATAAATTAATAAAGAAGGAGGTTTTGGAACGCATCACCAGTGCATTCTGAAACATCCACCAAACCGTGGTTCAACATCTGACGAGAGTTTAGGCCGTTCGGAATATATATAGATGAGGTTAAAGATGAGATGAAGGGATGACAGAGACCCATGGGTCGCAATTCGGGAATGCGGTGTGGCTAATGGTATGTCTCATGGCATTTGATGTCATTTATGAATATGAACCAGTAGGTAGATATATATATGAATATGAGGGCTTTCAAAGCCCGTCCGGGAGACAGGAATGTCCGATGTCAGTGCGAGAGAGCGAGAGAGAGAGAGATAGCGCAAGGGCCATGATGTGGCCCCCTGATTCGTCCTTGAGGGGTCTCCGAGCGCTAAGCGCTCTCTTTTTCAGTTGACAAGTGGGATAATAGAATTAATTATAATCATTATAATAATAAGAAATTATCATAATCAGAGAATATATCCATATCTAGATGAATTCGCCACTTTGGCCTACTGAGCTCCCCTCAAAAAAGAAGAGGAAAAAAAAAAAAGATATCCCGAGTATGACGAGTAGGATTCGGTGACGGGCTTTGGCACTAGGACCACTGGATGCTAGTCACCAAAATAATCATAAAAGCGGGCCAGCACAGGGCAACGGGCCAAGTCTGAGCTCTCGGCATTCCCACCCGGCTCTGACTTGCAGGTGGCTTGAGGGATTGGAGTAGGAGAGTATAGATATCGATATAAGAATCAAATGAATCAGAGAAGGAAACAAAATAAAAAAGATCCCTAGGCAAAGAATCAAAAACATCTACATTATCCCCCCCCCCCTCCAAAAAAAAAAAAAATATTTCTGTCGATCTCGCGAGTTAAGACCCACCTCTAGCGTGATATCCTTGCTCCGAGCGGATCGAAAATGTTTGATGCCATGGTTCGCCTCATGCAGGATGCGCCAGAGGATCCCGTCACCGGGCTAATTGGGGGCATATTCCTATCACAGAGACACGGGTTGGATATTATGTTGTATTGGACGGAGGAAGGGAGGGGAGATGGGAATATGGAAATAAATAATAATAGATTAATAGTAAAACCATAGTAACAGAAAAGATAATAAGAAAAATAATAAATTGGCGTCAATATCAGCCGACTATCATTGCTCCCCTCAGCTGATGTACATAATTCCCAAGGTATTTTTACTGCGTATCGTTATCTGCCCTTATTTAGTTATCCCGTGTCCATTCCCTCTCTCTCTCTCTCTCTCTTTCCCCTTCACCTTTTGTTCTCTCTTGGAGGGACATCCCAGGTTGATTGACCTGTCCCATTACTGTACATTTTTTTTTCTTCTTTCATTCCTTGGGAAGAGAAGGTACTGCACCCCCCTCACGGCGTCCCCGAATCCAACGCGCCATTGCTAACTCCCTAACTCACATCACAGCCTCACAGCCCAGTCTTCTCGCGACACACTCCTTTTCGTCGGTTTGGTCGCATTGGCAATATGTCGACGTCTGCTGTCATCTGCTGAGCGATCCATCTTCAGAGTTCTCCGGGTTGGGACCGTTGTCCGCTGGGACGCTTGCCCGCAATGGAGAAACTAAACAATGAAGATGGACAACTTTTCATCAAGGTTGGTCCTGACCCACTGTGGTTACTCTTGCCATCCATATTCTCCCCGATCACTAACCGGTCTTGCGATGCTTTGCAGAACCTCGCCAGCTTTGTTCGCACCCACGAAAAAGCGCTCGCCAATGCCTTGCAGCTTCGGCGCCAGCCTAAAAACAATGCACCCCCACAATCTTCCACCAACTCTCCCACGAGCTCGGGGGGCACCTTGTCCTCGACATCGCTGACTCTCGCGGCGGCCTTGTCCTTTGGGGCGCTCAAGTTCACCTCGCAGAACATCAAGCCCGCCAAACTCACCCTGACCCCCCACCATCTGTTCTATCTCCTCTCCCGTTTCGAGGAACTCTCCGTTGCCGTGGGCCCCATGAACGTCCGGCTGGAGAATATCCACACTGAGGTCTCCCAGTCCTATGTTTCCTTCCTCAATAAGCCCCAGCGGTCCAAGGGCGATCGGGACTCGATCCATTCCGTATCCAGCGTTCGTAGCGTCATGTCCGGTATGAGTGGCCTCTGGTCCTCGTTTGGCCTGGGATCCAAGGACTCTTCCTCCAAATCGGACAAGGCCAAAGCCGCCCTGGAAGCGGATCTCAAGTACCTCTACTCGGCCTTTACTAAAATCCCTTGCCTGCGCCTGGCTCCGGACCACCGCGCCCGCCTGATCCGCGGTTATGAAGAATTTCCTTTCGACACGGCTGTGCCGCTGCATTCTTTCAAAAATTTGAGCGCTTTAGAGATCATTGACATAGACTACCGCTCCTTCTACGGCTGGGACCGACTGTCCGAGCAACTGCGCACCCTGTCCATCAAACGAGCTCATCTAGACGACCCGGCCGACCTTCTCACGAGGATCGTGCTGGATGACATCGATAAGCGTCGACGACGATCGGCCAAGTCTCAACAGTCACCCTTGCTGGGATGGAACAACACTGTCAATACGCAGCCAGTAAACTCCCCCGATCTCGCCAATTCCTTCTCGGCCCCCGGGTCCCCGGTCGTCGAGACCGCGCTGGGAACCAGCAGCAGCCCCAAGGCGACTCCAATGATGCGCGCCGGGTCGGAAGGTGGCAAGATTCGTGCGCGCGCCGAAAGCATCTCGCCCACTCGGCCCGCAACGAAACAAAGTCACCGTCACAATCGTGGCCAACGCATTCGACGGACGGGCTCCGGGAGTTCGAATTCGAGCGAGACTTCCGGTGGATATCGAACTGGCAGCTCCTCAACCCTGCTTGCGGGCGTTCTCCCGCCCTCTAAATGGCGATTCCTGCGCCACCTCGGTCTCCCCGAGAACTCACTTACGTCGATTTCCACTGCCAGCTTGGCTCCCGTGGCCAGCACCCTCAACTCGCTGGATCTGTCGTCCAATCTCTTGACTGAGATCCCAGACAGTCTGACATCTCTGATGGCATTGCGAGCCCTTAATCTGTCGCATTGCATGATCGAGTCCCTGCACTCGCTGTCCCGAAACCCCCTTCCTGCTATCACTGCTTTGAACCTTCGCGGCAACCGGCTTCGCTCCCTGGCAGGCATTGAAAGATTGCTTTCGCTGGAGAGACTAGATCTGCGGGACAACAACCTCTCGGACCCGACTGAAATGGCACGGCTCACCAGTCTCCCTGAGATACGGGAGATCTGGGTGTCTGGAAATCCGTTCGTGAAGACACATTCCAGCTATCGCGTCGTGATCATGAATCTCTTCCGTCGTACGCCAGGCTACTCGGAGGACATCATTATCGATGGCCGGGGCCCAGGCTATACCGAGAGGAAGCAGCTCGTCGAGCGAGTTGCAGAGCCCGAAGGAGCACCCGTGGTGCGGTCCAGCGCCGCGGATCAATCGACGATTGTCAACAAGCCACTGCCACCCACCCCGGCGCCCACCCAAGCGGCCTCGAAGTCGGCTTTCGTTGAGGAAGAGTCGCATGCAAAGGCTCACAGGCGGAATGAAAGTGACGGAGGAACCAATCGCCGGAAGAAGATCCAGCGACGCAGGATCGTCGACCTTTCACACGACAATCCGTTTATTGCAGATGGACTCGGCAATGCGGGATCTACACTCGCCCCAGTCCTTCCCACTCAGCAGATTCAAGCCCCGACTAACCCATCCATCGTGGTCCCTGATCATCCGTGGAAGCTGGACAGTGGGACCCAGTCCGGGTCATCCAGCATTCAGAGCCCGGCAAAGAACCTGCACTCTCCCAGCCCTCCTCCCTTGCAGACTGCCGTAGTGCAGCCCGTTCAAAACAAGGACTGGGCACTGGATGAAGAGCTTTGCCGGCAGCAGCTGGAGGCTCTGCAGCAAGGCATGGGCCACCCATGGCTCACTGTTCTGGGTGGCCATCCCTGGGACAGCCCCCAGAAGCATCTCACTACCCACCTGACCGGGACCGGCTTGGATCACTCGGCTCTCCCAACCTCGCCTCTCACTCGTGCAAGCAGCCAAGCAATCCTTAGTGGAGGCCATGCCTTGGGCGGATAACCAACACCGGGAATCCCCCTTTTTATTCCCCCATTTCTCCTCTTGAGAAAAATCTCCATTCTCATTTTCTGATACACCTTGGATTACCCTTTTTTTCCCCATGGATCAAACAAACGGACCCATCTGTGGCCTTTTGTCTCCCCTCTACTCGACCTGGGGTCATACCTCATGCCCATTTGATTCCTCTGATCAACTTGATTTGCATTGTTTCTGGCGTTGGATGACTTTACGAGATACGGTGGGTTGGATGTATGAACTATTTACGGCCTCTTGTGTTTGTCTTTTGCTTTTGTTTCTTGCGTTGCACTGTCAATTCTTTGTCTCTGCGAAAAAAGCGCATCCTTCGGCCCTTCTGGGGCTTGCTTCCAAGGCTAGACAGGGACGGCACTTTGATGTTTTATTTTGTCTCTCTCTTTTTAGAGCGTTTTGTATTGTACCTTGAGGAAATCGGGTGACTCGGCGTTGGTATCTGTTTTCTTTTTGTGTTTGTTATCTTTCTATTCCCCTTGTTTTGTTTTGCTTTGGCGGAGGTGCTGCATGAGACATGAGGCATAAGCCCACCCGAAGAATAATGCGAAACGTTTGGAAGATCAAGACCCTTTCCATAGATCCAATGGAGACATCAACTCAGTTCCTACCAATCCAGGGTATCCAACTAAGCAGCATCTGGAAGTAAACTTGAACATCCAGTGGTGTACATTTGCCGGATCCAATAAGATTGACTGCCTGATCGGCATGATGCAGGGAGTAAGACAAACAATGGCATTATCATAGATCCTCGAGAGAGCCGTGTATTTCCGGGGGTCTCTGGGAGTTGATGTCTGAAATTCATTCACATTGGGGCGAGTCCAAATGGCCAAGAAGCGGGTCCTGTACAGTAGACAGTCCCTCCAAGTCAGAAAGCCAGCAAAAGAAAGAAGAAAAGGAGAAACATGCTTCGTGATGAGCCTGTGTGATGTGTAACTCTATCAACCAAGAAATAGTCAAAGAATTACTATTTTCAAGCAATCATTCGGGGTCAAAATCCAGTCTATGTATAGTTGGGCGGGAGCCAAACATGCAAACACTAGACTGAACTTCCCGCTTTCTCCCTGCAAGATTCTCCCTTCTCTCCCTCTTCGCCAAACATCGCGTTTTGGATTGTTCAACTGCCAAAATTGTTTGAGTGATTTCTCTCCCTTGATTGAAATCCTCTTCTTTTCACTCTCCCCAGTCTCTTCTCTCCGACCACACCTTTCCCTCGATCGCTTCGCCAGTCAGGTTTCGCCATCTTGTCCAGACTTCTCTCTTCATCTCGGATCTCTTCATCCCAATCAAATTGAAGCGACTCGCAGTCTTCTTTCCCTCAGTTCCATCCGCTCAAGGCGCTCATCAACCCACCGGCCCCTGCATCCGCGTCTCAACACACCCTGAGAAAGCCATCCTTCCACTTCGCTTGGCATCTCTGCCAGATCGCACGTTGCGGCCGTGAGGCCCTCTTGAGTCTTGGTCTCACTGAATCTTTTCTTTTTCTTTTTCTTTTCTTTTTTTTTTCACTGGTTTGGTAGGCATCCATCTTTTTCCCCGTTGTTTTCCTCCCGCCAAAACCCACCAAGGGGGGCAAGAAACCCAACGAAAAAAAAATTTCCCATGGGCGCATCTGTCTTCTGAACTCTCTGGAGGTTTATGATCAGGATTGGATCTCTTTGCCATTTTTGAATGCCTTGCTAATCCGTCTGTTGCACTGTTACAGGACATAGCCGCCGCGTCATCAATTCTTCACCTCCCGATCGCTGCGGAAGCCACCCCTTCCACCCGCGTTCGTTTTTTTCTTCTTCTTCCCTTTCTTCTTCTTTTTACCATCAATTTTCCCCTTTCGTGTCCTTCGTTAGAGGCCACCCAACATGGCCGACCAGGAAGTGGATTTGGACTCGATCATTGATCGGCTGTTGGAGGTGAGGGGTAGCCGGCCTGGCAAGCAGGTCCAGCTGTTGGAGTCGGAGATCCGTTATCTCTGCACCAAGGCCCGTGAGATCTTTATCTCTCAGCCCATCCTGCTGGAGCTGGAGGCTCCGATCAAGGTACGTCGCTGCGCTGTGACCCGGTCGCGGGAAATCGCTCGCCCCTAACATCAACTCCTCTCCCTCTTTCTAGATCTGCGGTGATATCCATGGCCAATACTACGACCTCCTCCGTCTTTTTGAATACGGTGGATTTCCGCCGGAAGCCAACTACCTGTTCCTTGGTGATTACGTCGACCGTGGCAAGCAGTCGCTCGAGACCATTTGCCTCCTTCTTGCGTACAAGATCAAGTACCCCGAGAACTTCTTCATCCTGCGTGGCAATCACGAGTGCGCGTCCATCAACCGTATCTATGGATTTTACGACGAGTGCAAGCGACGATACAACATCAAGCTGTGGAAGACTTTCACTGACTGCTTCAACTGCCTGCCCATTGCCGCCATCATCGACGAGAAGATTTTCACCATGCACGGTGGACTGAGCCCCGATCTCAACTCGATGGAGCAGATCCGCCGTGTCATGCGTCCCACTGACGTAGGTTTCCCCCCTGTCCTCTGTTTTTGTTGATGTGGTTTCCATTGGGATTGCGGGGCAGACGTGGCAGAGCAGTGCCCGAGTCCCCGCAATGACCTAGGTACAAGGCCAGTCTTGCTGACTGAAATAGATCCCTGACTGCGGTCTGCTGTGCGATCTTCTGTGGTCCGATCCTGACAAGGATATCACTGGCTGGAGCGAAAACGACCGTGGTGTCTCATTCACATTCGGCCCCGACGTGGTCTCACGCTTCCTTCAGAAACACGATATGGACTTGATATGTCGTGCACACCAAGTTGTGGAGGATGGGTACGAATTCTTCTCGAAACGCCAGTTGGTCACGCTATTCAGTGCTCCCAACTACTGTGGGGAGTTTGACAATGCGGGTGCGATGATGAGTGTGGATGAGAGCCTGCTCTGCTCGTTCCAGGTGAGTGGATTTCGTGGCCCTTGAGAATTTTTTTTTTTTTTTTTTTTTTTTTTGGTCTCCTAACGAATGTTTTTCTTTCCGACAGATCCTGAAACCAGCAGAAAAGAAACAAAAGTACGTCTACGGGGGCATGAGCTCCGGCGGCGGGCCCGTCACTCCTCCGCGCAAGCAAAAGAAATAAAAGAATCAATACGAGCTTCCCCATCTGCAGCAGGTTCGGGCGAAGATAAGCCTTTGATCATCACCTTTCACCACGCCCCCACGCCGATTCACATCTCTCGCCACGATCACCCCCGCCGCGAGTTCCCACCCTTTCTCCAGATCCGTGAAACGATGAACGACCGAGGATTCCTTATCCGCACCAGGGCCGCGCCTCTTATCCCTCACCCTGATCACCATCTCAGCCTCCGATAATGATTTTACTCTCTACCCGCGTTTCCCCTCGAGTCAACCGGGTCCCCTCCCCCCAGTGCGAAATGCCGACCAACCCGTCTGCATCTATTTCCCGGCCGAACTGCCGCGATTTCTGCACTTCCGGAGTGGAATTTAACCATTTTTCTTTTCTTTTTTTGTCTTTTGTTTCTTACCATCTGGACGGAATGTTTACCTTCGGCATCCTGGAAAAGAGGGGGTGTGGGAACTGGTTATCTTTTTTTTCGACTTTTTTCTTTTCTTCTTTCTTCTCTTTACTGTGTCTTCGGTCCTCTCTTGTCTTCTCTGTATGCGTATGCGCATACCGTGGGACCTCATGTGTTGCGCCTCTCATCGTGTGTTCTCTCTTATTTTCTCGTCTCGAAATACGATCCATTTCCGTGTCTTTTCCCTCTACGAACTTGCCACCCTTATTATTTCTTCACCTTTCGCATCGTTTAGGAATAAGCCAGTCCTGTTTTTACTGGTCTGTTTTGGGGAGGGGGGTCATTATATGGTAGGTGAGATTGCCGAGGTATCATCTATTTAGACGCTTTTCTCCAATCCCTGTCATATCGAAATACTGTTTGTAGTTCGGGAGAAACAATGGTCCTGTAGTGAGATATGATATCAAGGACGGGTGTGCATCTAACGCGGTTCAGGTGATTGTGATTGTGACTGTTGTATGTCTTTGCGGGATCAAGGTACAGGTTCTTCGTCGGTGGATGAAGCAGTCGAGTGTCTTTGTTTCTTCTCTCTTTCTCTTGTCTTTATCGAAGATTGAAAAATAAGGACCTTTTTTTTGAAATTGAACGGTTTAGGTGGTTGTAGCTATAAAGCGAGATATTCCGTAGACGCTGGACACAGGGAAGCAAAAACGGGAGGGAGGAGAGAGAGAAGAGAGAGGAATAGGGAGAGAGAAAAACAAGAACATTTCATTGCGCTTGAGTTGTTCCAGCACATCACGATGATGGTGGGGAAGCATGGGCTGAAGTATTTGAGGAAGTAGCGGGGGAAGAGGAAGGGGCAGGGATCAGATCAGACCAGAGGGGGGGGAGAAGTGGAAGTGAGAAATGAGAAATGAGGTTATTATCAAGAAACATTTGGGACAAATTCATCTTAGACATATTGGGACAGCCATCTGATGCCCTCGCCATACCCTATGAACAACCTCGGGTTAGCATTATCGCAGACACAGATATACAGACAAGACTCTATGATGTATGGACTTACCCTGTCTCATGACAACACTGCACATGAACACCTCAATAGGCCGGATCCCCTCGAGCGGCACCTTGCCCTTGCCGGTGGTCTGGTACAGACCGAGCTGGTGGCGCAGCTCGTCCTCGCTCACGGCGTCCGGGTGGTCAATCTTGTTTCCGAGGACAAGGAACGGCACCTTGGACAGCTCCTCCATAGCCAGGAGCGAGTCGAGCTCGACCTTGGATTCGGGGAAGCGCTCGTAGTCCTTGGCGTCGACCAAGAAGACAATGCCGCTGACTTCGGGGAAGTAGTCTCTCCAGAGACGGCGGGCTAGAATTCAAATTTAGTGAGCGTGACTTTTCTTGGTCGTGTTTCTGTAACTCGCTCAGGTCTGCAACGTACCCTGCTGGTGACCACCCAGGTCGAAGGTCGTGAAGCGGTTGTTGCCGATAGCCAGCTCCTCCGAGGTCGGGTGGGCGGTGGGCTGCAGGACGGCAACACGGTCGTTCTATGAGGGGACCCGGGTCAGCAACCATTGTCCTCTTTGTCTATTCTTTTTTTGTATCGTTGAAATCCATGTCCCTTCATCCAGCCCTTCAGTCGGACCGGTAGATCGCGGTCCAATTCACAATATAGCCATCCTCCACCAATACATCAACCATTTCCGCCAATAGAACTCACCTTCAACATGTGCAGCAGCGTCGTCTTGCCGGCATTATCCAGACCAAGGAAAAGGAGTTTGGCATGCTTATTGGCGAGGCCGAGAGAGGCGAGAAGGTCCCAGACTGTAGGATAAAACTCGGGTTAGCAAGGCGAAAAATTGTCCATGACTAAAATCCCATCGCGATCACAGGCTCTTGGAACCGCGGCAACTTCTCACGGTCTCAACGGAGAAACACGTTAAGAAAATGCTCGCAGAAAAGCCCAATCCATCTGCTCAACTGGACAATGCCATATCCATCTTTTCAAAGCAATCGACCAAGTGTCGGTTGCACTCTTGCTGATGCGGGTGGAAGGCAAGCCGAGGATAGAGCAAGAAGAAGAAGGGAGCAGGCGGTGCCTGGCAGGGCTAGAGGGGGTTGAGGAAGAAACAGAGAGGGGGATCACTTACACCAGTCGATAAGCCACATGGTGAAAGGAGCTTGAGAAGGCGGAATCACAAGACAGAAGCCGGAAGAGAGAAGCGCAGATGTTCGGGACCACGGGGGGGAGGTGGATGGAAAGAGAGAAGACACGCAGCTGGGTTGAGGTTGTTTTCGGGTGAGTGCCTGAGGCAGCGATCGGCGGTGGCGGAATCAGATGGACTCGGCCATCCTCGACGGTTACAGTCCCGAGGTCAAATTAAAGCAATTAATAAGAGAGTGCCAATAATACGAGCATGCTAAGCAGCAGTGATAGTGTTTCAAGAATTTATTCAAGCTATCGATCTAGTCATATTCAAAGTCGCTCCGCTATCCACAATACACCAAATCCAAACCAGGGGTATATGCACCGCAACCATGCACCAAAAGAAAGTGGCCTCAAGCAGTACGTCAGTGGGAAATGCAAGGAAAGGTCCGCCTCCTTGAGTGATTAAAAAAGAAGACCAGGCAGAAAAAATGAAAAATGAAAAAAAAAAAAAAATGAAAAGCAACCAGCAAGTGGATGACGCAAAAGTTGGTTAAGTATGTAATAGCGAAGGGCACTCGGATCACAGACCGAGCGGAGAAAAAAAAGATCAGAACCAGATATGTACAGGTCAAAAGAAGGGGGTAGAGATAGAAAAAAAATATAGGCGAGGTACTATGTCCTCGGGAGCCTTAAACAGATAGGACGAGCTGGGCGTCTTGTCCGACGCCGTAAGCCCTGCACCTCTCAGCAACTTCGAGGCCAAGCTCCTTCATCCGTTCGGCTCCCTTGCCGGGAATCGGCCGCCGCTCTTTTTGCTCTTTGGCAGCTTTGCGGCAATGTTGGCGCCAGAACCTTTCCTTGCGTTTCTGGCGCTTCTTTTCCAGGCCTTCGACAATGTCAACAGGCCCACGGGTGTGTAGTTCCCGCGTGCGCGAGTGCTCGCGCTCTGACGATTCGTCCATCGCCGAAATGCTTTGCCAGCGGTGGGACTTTTCGAGGCTGGTGAAGAAAGGGTTGGGAGTCCGGGGCAGCGACTTGGTGCGGACCATGGGATGCCGTTGTACCAAGTGACTGATGTTGAAACCGCGAGGACTCTCGACCGGGGGCATGTCCTCGGTCATCCAGTTCTCCGGGGAGGGCGACTGGGCTCTCAAGCGCGGGGGCGGGGACTTGAGACGCTTGGGGGAGGTGCGGCCAGCCCGACGAGGCGGCGGAGACACCATACGCTTGGGAGAGCGCCGAGGCGAAGGCTTGCGAGACGAGCCCCCAGCCCGGCCTCGGGTCGACTCATCCCGGTTGATTGCCAGTTGATTCGGGATCACCGAATCCTCCAGCTCCTCAGAGATTTCTCCTAAGTCCTCGTTGTCCTCCGGGTCGCTCGTTGGGAAGCTGGGATCAATATCCTGTGGAATGGGAATGTGCTTAGACAGCCGCCGTTGCTCCATGCAAGATTTGTACGCAGCTTCGAGCGGACGGTCTTCGTCAAGGGTTCCGCAGACAAAGTCCGTACTATCAGGTAGATTCGGAGTGCCCGGACGCATCCTGGGGACATTACAAGAGCGACGACCGTCTATCCTCTGGACAGGGGCCGGGAGCCACTTTTGGTAATCATCAGTCATCGAGTCGAACGAGGTGTTCGAGGTACGACGCTCGATAGTCGGAGCCACTACGTCGACGGTCTGGGGGTGGGTTCGGGGATGGCCGGGGACGGGGACCAGAATTCATAATCGGAACCATCGTCGTCACTTTCATCCGAGTCCGCGAAGCCGGCTTCGTTGTCAGACTCGTTTCCATCGTCCGATGAGAAATCGTGGACAGTTGAGTCATCGTCAGCCACATCCGCGTCGTCGTCCTCCTCGTCCTGGGCCTCCTCCTCGGCTTCTTCGCCAAGGCGTCGGATCGCGTTTTCTTTCTTCATACAGTCGTTCAGGGTGATTTTCTCCGAGTACTCTGCCGTCTTGGTCACCCACTCGTCGTCCTCTTCGATCGAGCTGGCGAACTCGTGGAACCGAGTGGCTTCGGACTCTTCGAATTTCCCCAGCCCGCTGGTCGGAATTCCCTTGGGAGCGCTCGTCGCAGGTGCTGGCTCTTCCTTGAGGGTTTCCTTGGACTCTGGCGAGGTTTTACGAGCAACGGGAGCCGGGGAGCCGCGGCATCGTCCGCGAAAAGAGATCCTTGCGGCCGGGGAACGGGCTCGCTTGGTGGCAGAGTCGCGTCCGGGACATACAAACGTGAGGGTGGTCTTGCGCTTGGGCGGTTCGATCGTTTCCTGGGAGGGTTGTGTTGAGGAGGGTGGCGTGGGAAGGTTTTGCTGTTTCTGGTCGTCGGCCTTGCGGCCACACGCGAAACTGATACATCGCTTGCGGCCCAAATTGGCCTCGACAGTTGTCTCGCTGGCGTCCACGACCTTGACCTTGGGAGTCACTTCCTTCTTGACCATCATCGGAGTCGGCTTGCCCATCAACTGCGGTGGCAACGGCGGACTCGGGGTGTTGGACAGCGAGGGACTTGTCAGGCCACCGTCACTGGTCAGCTCGGCAGTCGAGATGCCACTGATGTTGCTGTGCGGGTAGGAGCGATACATGTAGGAGTCGTGGAAGCCGGAATGATGGTCAATGGGGGACATTTCGGGGCTGCTCTTGAGAGCGCGCGTGAGCAAAGATTCCTTCCGGTCCAAGCCCGCTGGGCGCGCGTAGATCATATCTTCGTGGGGTTTCATCGAGGTGGTATGCAGAACATGTTGGTCCGGGGGTTCATCGACGTCCTCAGCCAGGTCGGCCTCATCATGGGCCGGTCGCGAGGACGAGTTGGGCGAGAGAAGCATCTTCAAGAGGTTGTGCAGGGAAAACGGGCGGTCTCCGCGGGACTGCGCCATCTTCGGACACAGAGATCACAAAAGAGGTTCACGAGAGAATCCGGAAAGTAGAGGCAATGACGAAGAGCATCGGAAGGTGGCGAGGCTCGAGGCAAATGAGAAAGAGGATGGTTATTTTCCTTCTTCAAAGACCCCTTTTAGAATAAAAGAGTCTTTTCTTTCAATCAACGAATGCTCTCACGATATCGATCGACGATCAAAGACCATAGATCGACCCAGAGGGCAGAACAAGAAACGACGTCCCGCGAAGGACGATTGTCATGATTTACAGCGCATGTTTAGGACAGGGGGAGGCTTGTCGAGACAACGGTGGGACGAGGGTTCGCCAAGAACGATAATTGTCTTCCTAAGAATGGCAACTCAATGAGAGCGCCCAGGAGAGACTGTTCGAATACCTCCAGTCTTGTCGGGGTCCGTGCTCCGGGGGGCGATGACAGGAAAAAAGCAAGAATGTCAAGAACCAAAAAATGGAGAGAGGAGAAGGACGGTTTAAGGAGGGAGAGTGGAGAGTGGGAAATATGAAGAAGAAAAGAGAGGGAAAAAAGCGCCAGAAAATCACCGTTGAATGTCTTGGAGGGGGGGGGAAGTGGGAGTGACGATACAGAGACGGCTTTGGTTTAGCGTGGGTCCTGACTTTTTTTTTTTTTTTTAAATTTTAAATTACCGATGATTTAGTGTAATTGCATTACCACTGGGGAAGAAAAAAACGAATTTTGCCACTTTGTCCTTCCACGATGCTTCCACCGACCCACTTACTTCCAGGGGCTTCCCGTGGCATTCTCGAGGATCTTGTCGAGAGTACATAGAGTGTGTTTATGTGTGTATGTGGTTTTTCTTTTTCTTTTTCTTTTTCTTTATTCTTTGTGTCTATGTAGATATTCTACGTATATTGTATAAATGTTTCTTTTATTTAATCAACTTTCCGTATAGCAAAGCCCGAGGGTGGACCACACTGTGTATGAGGCATTTTGTCTCGCGGCTAAACTACATCAGGGCTCTAGGAGCACCCCATCACACCAACGGCCTCTGCGAATAACATGAAACTCGACAAAAATAAATAAAAAATAAAAATAAAAAAACCATCCCTTCGCTACCAAAAATCAAATAACGTGCCCACACACCATCACGTTCCCCCAGTAGAGCAACTGTATGTAGGTATCCCACCTATCTCAAGGGCAGGTAAAGAGGTCATCGGACATGATCGCTGATCGCCTTGGCCACTTCTTGTCAAAAGGGTGGTAACTACATATAATTCAATTTATAATTCAATTTATAATAATAATAATAATAATAATAATACATGTGCCTGAACGCTGCCGAGCCGTCGGAAGTGTAAGACATACGCAGATACAAGCCCTAACCGGTTATGATATTCTATTACTCACATCTATACACGCGCTGTGCGCGCTTCATTTTCCTTTTCTTGGCTTGCTTTCCCCCATACCGGAATGCTTGGTATGATAGTCCACATAATATTATTATTATAACATACTGTAATAATATATCCCGTATGTACAGACAGTAGACAAGGCAAGGCCGGTGCCCTTACTCCCGATGCGGAAAAGGGGGATATTCCTGACGTTTGTCGCATCTCTGTACTCTGTACCTAGGACTACGGGGTAGAAAAGTATATAACACGGGGAGAAGTGGAGTACATCATTCTCTTCTCCATTAACCCTGCCAGGGCCTCCAGGAAAAGGGGGTTTTCTTGGCCCTGTTACTTCCCGGCAGATCAGTCTTGGTGGCCTCAATATATTGAATGATATTCTGAAATAGAACAGCAATCGATTGCCCCATGCCAAGACTAGAAATCAAAAACAAAACAAAAAAAAAGGCAACATGGGAATCGCCCGGGGATGCGGCCAAGAATCCCTTGGCCCAGCATGGCCTCCAAGCTGGCAACCCCATGCTTCGATTTGGGCATCCAGGAGGCGAGGTTCGTCATGGAAAGGAGAAGTCACATACATTCACAAACACACCTCTCGAGTGGCGTGGCCGAATACCCCAACAATCCTCGGGGGGGGGGGGGGGTATGGTAGTAGACAGTACACACAGTGTATGGGATCGGCAGATTCAACCCCAGTGACCCTCGACAGATGCATCCCGTTTATCCAGTTTCCTTGCGAGCTGCAGCCCGTTCAGTCCCCATCTCCACAGCACAGCACATAGGGGGACCACCACGGAAGCTAGGTAATAACAATAATCTCTCATGTTCGCAGCATGACTTCACCGGGCACCAATTGTCATCGGTGTCCATGAAAAGGAGCTGACGAGGACAAGGCTAAGAGGAGCGGTCAGTCGCGATCGCGATCGGAGGTTTTTCTTCGATCGGCCCCGTCGGGCATTTCTCGAAGTATTCGAAGGATACGGTGTCACGATGGTATATATGGGAGATATGGGATCGAATGGGCCGAATGGGCCAAACCTCGAATGGAAATAAGAAAGAAAAAAGATACATGAACCCAGTTTAGATCACGACAAGCTTCGCGAATGCGAGATCTTCCCCCCACACTTGATACCTTGATACGAGCAGGCATGGCCCCTGTCAGAATTGTTTCTCGAGGATTTGCTCACGAACCGGTCAAAAAGGTGCAGTTGGGTTTACAATGCGGATGAAGCTTGTTGCCAACAAGGCGTGCATGTCCAGAATAGACTGCTATATTATGATATTAGTGTAATAGTATATTAATCGAAGATATATACATGGACTTGAAGTCCACGAGCGGCACTTCCGATCGGCCATTTCCGTACCCATATACACATGAAGGGAAATTACCAGCATTTCCCGCGTTGGCCGGAGAAAAAAGAAAAAGAAACATCGCTCGGCCCTAGAATTCCTGGACATTGGATAGCCCCAGGGTGACTTCCAATCCTCGTGTCCAACCACTTGGCCATGAAGGGAATGGGCCAAGGGACCCCAAATCCCCCTTTTCTTTTCTTTTCTTTTCTTTTTCTTTTTCTTTTTCTTTTTTTTTTTTAGAATTTGAATGAGGATTCGATCACGTTGCGCTCGTGGCAGAAAGGAATGTGTTGGCCCCAATGCCCATAATAAGGTGTGAACTGTGCGGAGTCAAGGAACATACTTTTACATGCTAAGCCTGAGAAGGTGTCTCTATGTATATCCATAGATACACTAACACATACTAAGACTAACGAGATAATCATATTCTATTGGATCCATCGCTGACCGGGAGCACAACCGGGGAAGTGGAGTTCGACGGCCCTGAGAGTAGCGCATGAACGTGGGCCCCTATGTTGTATATGAGGCATTTTACTCTCTCCGCTACTCGCTACTGACACTACTGACGCTACTGCGACGGGCGCCAGATGTAGTTTAGATGCGACACTTCATCTGACAGGCCCGCTTTGAACTCAATGGGCTCAGTGGGTTCAAAGGGGTTGTTTTTGAGCATTTGGGTATCTATTTCTACTTAACACTTGCTATCACTGACTGCTGGAGTTATACAGTGTGCAGTGGTACAGTATAGAGTGTATACACATCAGACACATCAGTCATCACTTGACCTCGGTCCTGTGTGTCGCCGAGAATATTCCCTTCCCACTCCCTCTCCCTCGAGTGCAGATTCTTTGTCCGATTGCCCACATTCCTGCCGAGGTGAGACCAGATTGCTACGGTTCTCCCCGAAAGAAATCATCAGACTCGCAGGGTTTCACTACAAAAGAAAAAAAAAGAAAAAAGCAAAACAAAGATGCAACCGCCCAGCAAGGCATGGCGGATGAGCCACTCCGAGTCGGCACACCACAAAGATAATTCTTCACAGTCGAGTCATCTGAGTCAAAGGCATTATTGATCCTTATCATGAACAGAGATTTCGGCTCCAATGACCGAGCAGTGCAAAGAAGCCAAGAACCTGCTATTCTCGAACTATCACGCCGATCGTTCCGATCGGGGGAACCTCACCACACCCCAAAATCATTGCCTATTGCCTCTCTCTGTTACTCCTCAAACTTTTTCATTGCCAAGATCAATACCTGTGCATCCATCCATGCACCGATCAGTCTTGGAAGTCGGGCAGATCAATGATCTGCCCGGCAGGAAGGACACGGAAACCAGAAACAGAACAGGCGTCACTGTCCCGAGATTCTCCCCCCCCATTCCGCAGGGCTTGGCGACAACAGCCTCACAGTTCGAACTGCCAAGGGCTGGGCATTGTCTCTTCAGAATGCGCCTGGTTACAACCTCCACGCCGTGGGCCGGACAGTGTTTTGATGGTTACAATACCATAGGAAAAAGCAAGCAAGTAGGGAGGTCCCCACAAGGATGCCCGAAATGGCAGACCTGAAGAGTCAATCCCTCCCCTTTTTATTTTCTTTCAATAATGTCTCGTGTCAGGTCAGTCCCAGTGAGGCTTGGCTTCTGCAGAAACGAGGCCAGGAGACGAGAATGCGCCGGGGGTTGTTGCATGAACCCCAGACAGGCAGACAGAGATACAGAGAGACACAGACAGGTACGAAGGAGATAGAGAGGCGCTGCACTCTCGGCGCCAAGCTTCTTGGATCGCATCACAATCACCCAAAATTCAATCGTGCCGCCTAGGGCTTTTGGTTTTCTCGGCGCAGGATTCGCAGTACATACATGCTGCCAAGGGCGATCATGGGCGATCATGGCAGTCTCCCTCTGCTTTCTTCCTCCCCGTGCATGAACACCGTCTTGGCGTGGAATCTCCAGGTCGGGGGGCGCAAACTATTTGCAGGCTATTGTCGTTGCCAAGCCGTTGCACATTTGTGTCCCATGCAAGGTAGGAGTGGCAGTGTTGTTTTTCCATCGGGATCGACAACTGGCCTCGGCCTGAATGATTTGTGCCATATCACACTCGGTCCGGTCCGATCGAGCATCCCTTTACTCTTCTTACAGTACACACAGGACATACTGTACATATACAGATTGTATGTATATGTACAGGTTGCCCGGTTATCCACCAGTTCGTCCCATCAATGATAGATCGTCAATCTCTGCATGGTGCCCGGTCTCTCTACTATACCTCGGTACAACTAAGAATATCTCTAGCATCCAAGATCCTTGACTATGAGTACATACAAAGAACTACGACCCTGCCAAGCTGCCAAGGGAGCAAAATAAACAAACAAATATAGAATCCTAAAATACCAACTCACAGACAGTAAACTCGGCACACGCCATTCGAATATGCAATGAAGTGCCTTGGTCCTCGCCCCCGATTCCTCCAGGGCGCCGTGTTCTTATCGCGTACGCCCGACACGGGCTATCATCCACCATGCATGGGCTTTGATGGATGTCTAGTGTCTTGTAATGCAAGCACATCCTCCACCCAATCCTTCTCCGACCTTCTCGAAGGCCTTTCTGACAGCCAGTGATCGGCACAGGCCTCTATCCCCGCATCCTGGAGAAAAAGTGATCAGGCATCCTCCGTGCAGCGAGTTGCCCATCTATCTACCAATAATAAAGAAAAAAAAATACAACCCAGGTAGAAAAAGATAGAGCTCCCGGCATGTCTATCGCTGTACATGACAATTAAGTCCCTTTTTTTTTTTTAACCCGCCCGACACTTCCTGGTTGTCATGGATTTTGGTTCGTTGGGGCCAGATGAGGTACTTGGCTTAGTCTAGGGTTTCAAGGATGATGACAGCTGACATTACATGCAGAGGGGGCTGGATGATATCATTCTTGTCTTTTGGAAAAGAAGAGTAAAGTAATAACATACAGAAAGAGACGATGGGGCCAAGTGCGCCATGACAATGACGAAGCCTGGCGGCCCAAGAGAGAGAGTGGGAAAAACCACGTCCAGCATGGAACAAGGACCTCAGTGTTAACATGGTCCAGTCCCTCCCGAATCATATCCTCAATAATCGAGTCTGCCTGCGAGGCCCACAGAGATACAGAGATATACGTATCTCCTAACTGGCAGACAATGCCATTAGCCCGTGTGTGGAGGGTATTCTTTTTCCCTCTGGGCTCCGTGCACACTGTGACACATACTCTCTCTGACACACGCCATCCACAGCCGGGGCCGACCCTGGCAACGATGACAAAAATAACAATATCATAGCATCAGCAACTCAGCAGACCTCAAGCACCCCCCCCTCCAAAAGCGGTCTGGCGACGCCGAAGACGCATACGCATGGATCAGGGAAGCGAGCCAACAAAGACTCACCCGCTTTCTCCGGTGATGTCACCGGCGAAGCGTGGACGCGGGATACATTGTCATTACTCGATCGCAAATGCCTCTCATCTCCACATATACACAGAGGATGACTCGGTAGTTGGCCCGTTTGTGCTAATGATGGTGATAGTGTCCGGGGGCTATACGTCAGAGCTGGGTCTTGCGTTTCTCTATACATGTATGTACATTTATATATTGATTTATTTATATATGTTTATGTTTATTTATGTGATACATACCACTCCCAGTCCCAGGTGGTGGCTGGCTCATCCTGCGCAACGATGAATGCGTGAACCTAAGCGGCAGGCCCTAGAGTTAGTCCCTCTAGTCTCTCTTGGTTCGGTGGTGAGTCCTCCGGGTGGGGGTGTTTTGATGATATTGCGAGATTGCGGTCGGGGTGTAAATCGCGGCGACTGTGAGGGATTTTACGTCTGAGGTCATTGAACATAACATAAACGCCATGGTGAATATAGGAAAATAAGTGGTTGTTTTTTTTTTTTTTTTTGGATGTCTCTCAACAACTATGGTTTGATGTTGCGGCAAACCAAGAATGCACAAATTAATCACATATGTTGATACATAGTCTATTTCTGACATATAGGTATAGTGGAATAGTGGAACCCCTCGGAGCGAGGCTGCTGCAGCTAGCAAAGTATGTCCATCGAGGGTTATGAACTGGTTCCTTTGGTGCCATTTTGGCACCAGGGGGGGGAGATTCATTCTGCGTGAATGTCGACGAGGCACTCCGGTGCTGAACGCGGCTGTGTTGAGCAATAGACAAGCCGGAGGGAAACCATGTTGAATAGAATGGTTAAGCGTTCATCGTGCATTCGATTTCTGTGCCTGTCAAGCACCACCCGGGCAAGACTAAAGATAACGTTGCAAGAACATCTCCCATTGCCTCAAGTCTTGATGAACCTCGACAAACAGCCATCACCGGTTGACAGCCCCAATCCACGGTGCATTCTCGGAAGCGGCAGCAGCCTCTGGATATCCTCGTCGTCGGCATGGTATCTCTCCAAATACAAGCAGATGGCCTGACACTCCAACCTGGCCCGTCTCGCCACCCACCAAGTCGCATCAGACAACGGCGCGTACCAGGACGCGAGAATCAGCAGCGCCCGCGGGTCCTTGCAATGCAACAAACCTTTAAAGGCCGGTTCCATGAGCCACAGAAAGATCAGGAACCGCGGGATCAGCGGCTGATTGTCCTTCGGGGGCTGCAACAGCCGGGCGAGGACAGCAACCGCCGTAAAGTACGGGTTCTCGTGTCGAGACTCTGACCGGTCCAGATAACAGAGACGCACGAACTCGGGCGGGATCTCGTCGATGTCACAGCACGGGGCCTCGCTGGTGAACAGGCTAGCGTACGCCATCGTGCAGAAGATGCTATCTGGACGCATTGGGTCGGTGATATTCCAAATGGCTTTTTTGTTTTGGGCCAAATTGATCCATTGTAGGTCTAGATCCTGGGATGGCTTCAATGGCCATGATTCCTCGGGCGTGGGGGCCTCGCTTGATGTGAGGCTCAGGACGCCCAGAATGGCAACCGATCCCCAGAGAGCGTCGCGGTCCTGGGGCCGGATGGGTACTGAGAGTTTCTGGTTCAGCAGCCTAGCGGCATGCGCCCAGTGGTAGGCTTCGGTGAGAGACCGGCGGGCGTTGCGGGGTGACATGGACATGTGGCGATCGTGGGTCGCCGTGAGGGTCAGGATGACATGCATCAGGAACGGGTGCTACGAGACATGTCAGTAAACCATGGAATCTTGGCGTGGCTCGTCAACAAATGGCATTTCTCACCCCGAGCGCAAGTGAGGTGATCTCGTTTTTATAAATCGTGCAGACCTCCGGTGTGCCAATGGTCAACACCGTGCGGCGCTGGAACCGGTCTAGTCGGGCCAGACTCTCTGCATCCAATTGAAAGGAGCCCGGTCCATCTCCCACGATGACTGAAGGGTGCGCGAGAGACAGCCGGGGCTCTGCACGAAAGACTATCTGGCCGGCGAGGCCATTTGCTTGAGCCGGCTGCAAATCCGGGCCATGGGGCGCATTGTAGTTGCAGGCTACCCCGAACCCGACGCACTTTTGACACTGCGGTTGGGCTTCATCGCACTTGATCGGATGTTACTTATCCTGAACCAAGACTCTGGGGGGGGGGGACGCTTACTTTAACGCGACGGATCTTACAGTTGCGACAGCCCCGTTTCGACTTTGCGTGGACACGGCGTTTGCGATCAAATACCGTCGGCATTTCCACGGCCTACTCGAGTACACCGAGAGAATCAATCGAATCAATCGAATTAACCAAGAGACGACGTGCTGACAAGGAGCGAAGTAAACGTCGATGTGGATCGCCCCGCTTAACTCCGGGTCCCCCGTTCACGGTTGATTGGCGCGCACCGTCTGCGCTAACCCGCGATCGTATTGCTTCTTGCGGTCGAAAATCGAGAGGCTGCGCTTTGTTCCAGTCGAACATTCAATTCAATGATGGATTTAATCGTCCGTTTATGTCCGCGAATCCGGAAAGTTTGGTGCGGGCGGGAAACTATATAAACCTGGAGGGTGGCAGTTGCGAGAGGTATATCCCATCTGATTCTACTTCGATACATCTCTATACATCAACTCGATACCATCAACATGCACGTCTTTGTTACTGGTGCCACCGGCTTCATCGGCCAAGCCGTTGTCCAAGAGCTGCTCGGCGCAGGCCACACGGTGACCGGACTCGCCCGTTCAGATGCCTCAGCCACCGCTCTCGAAGCAAAGGGAGCGAAGGTGGTCCGCGGCTCCATCGAAGACATCGAAACCCTCAAGCGCGCCGCAGCCGACAGCGACGGCGTGATCCACCTGGCATTCAACCACGACTTCACCAAATTCGCCGAGAACTGCCAGGTCGACCGCACAGCCATCGAGGCCCTCGGCGCCAGCCTTGCGGGATCCAACCGGCCGCTAGTCATCACCTCGGGCACCCTGACTTTGCCCAAGGGCCAACAAGGCACGGAAAATGACACCTCCGACCTCGGCGCCCCGATGAACATGCGCGGCGAGACAGAACAGCTCATCCTGGAGTTCGCCGCGAAGGGCGTGCGCGCCTCTGTTGTGCGTCTTCCTCCCTCGGTACATGGGGACGGGGACCATGGATTCGTCAATGTGATGACTCAAACTGCGCGCGCCATGGGCGAGTCGTTCTATATCGGCGACGGCCTGAACCGCTGGCCTGCTGTGAACCGCTTCGATGCGGCCCTTCTCTACCGCCTGGCTCTTGAGAAGGGCGCTGCTGGGAAGAGGTTCCATGCTGTTGGGGAAGAAGGGATTCCGTTGAAGGAGATTTCCGAGGCGATTGCCCAGTCGCTGGGTGTATCTGCTGTGTCGAAGTCCTTTGAGGAAGTCCAGAGGGCCCTGGGCATTTTGGCTTTTCCTTTGAGCGGTGATAACCCAACCTCGAGCAGGCAGACTCAGGAACAGCTTGGATGGACATACTCGGGACAGGGTCTCCTGGCGGATATCAAGGCGGGGGTTTATCTTAAGGAGTGAAATCTCAGAAGTGTGCATGTGGATTAGTTTAGGCTTGAGCTGAAGGCTGCGTGTATGGAGCTGTTAAGTGGTTAGTTTCATAGTTCTCATTGTCTTGGAATACGAACATCTCACCTGTATAGTACGTGGCAATGTAAGCTTGATCGTCTGAACTCAGTAATGCGCAGGGCAGCTCAAAGCTGCCTTGTTGCTTCAGTGGAAGTCTTGTACACGGAAGTTGAATATGCCTAGCCTGTGCGCTGAGGTCGACAGGCGCCATAATCCTACAGCATAGTCCAGTTGTCCTTCAGCCAAATGCAACAAAATCAAATGATAGAAAAATTCATACACGCTATGCACTACAGGATCATAACCGTACACCGAATCCCAAATGCCACCCAATTCCAAGATCATAGCACCCAAACATCCACAAAACGCAGACAGTAAAAGAGATAATATGTTAAAAATGAATGTACCAACGCCAGTCGTCACTCGAGCACTGACCGAACAGTGACCCCGTCACCACAATGTCGCTAAAAATCGCTAAAGAAAAAAAAAAAGGGGGGGATATGGAAAGAAAGAAGCAAAAGAGCGTAGCTTTAGACTCGACGTCCAAAAGTCTTGCGGCCCTGGCGATCGAGGCTTCGGAATGTCCGATATCGTGTGGCTTGCTCTTGCTCCTTGCGAGCCTGGATCTTTCTCCACCACCGAACAATCACCTCCTTGGCCCACAATATTTCGTTTCTGGTTTGCACAACGGCGGCACAGTGGACGGCAAGGTTCTTCGCCATAGCCCGCCGGTCGTGGTCTCGTTCTCTCAGACAAGCTCGCCAGGCACGTTGCAGTGTGGTCGCGGCACGAGGGCGCTTTGATGCGGAAAGCAGTCGGGAACAGAGGAAAGCGAGCGCTGCCAGCGTAAAGTCCTGGTTGAGGATATGAGAGGAGGCGGGGCTTGGGGAAACAAGGTGTGCTATGCATGGATGGTTAGTATTGGTTATAGTTCACACCGAGATTTTCCAAGGTGAGGCTTACCGAACTGAGAACTGCACCCTAACACCCGCAGGCGTGACTCCAGGGACAAAGAAGTGGGTTTCTTATCTGTCACCTCGCCGACTCGATTGAAATTCCCCGTGATGTATGGCTCGTACTCATCGACCACACTCTCATAGATTCTCCCGTCGGCGAAGCTGGTGGTCATGTTGCGGATTTGCAGACCCTTTAATGCGGCCAGGACTGCAGCCCACTGTTGAAGGAGTTGGGAGTGTTCGTCGTCAATGGAATCCACGTCAGCGAACCATGTCTCGTCCTTTATATGTTCATAACCGAACTGAGAAACGGCTTTGCATTTCAATCGCGAAATGTCCTTGCGCAGATCACCCCAGTCAACTAGGCCCGCAAGGCCCCATTTGCTGACAAGAGACCACAAAAGAGCGATGGTCTTCTCCCGATAGCCGTCCACAATGTGTTCAGCCCGCAAGTCACCAACCGTGGCTCTGAATCCCTTGACAGAGCTCAAGGCACCAAGGGCAATTTGTACATTGAATACCTTCGCTGCGCGGCTCGTGCATGGAAACTTCAAATGCTTGGACAGCGGCAGGTCTATTTCGTCTCCAAGAGGAAGAACTCCGCCCGTGCACAAAGAGACTTCGGTTTGATCCTCCAGGCTAGACCGCCCGCGCTCTGGGGCGAAGAAGAGCACCTCGACAATTCGCGTTAGCCGCACACCATCTCTTAGATCAATGGCAATGTTGTCAATCTGGTAATTGTACTCTTGCAGTCGGTGCTGCTGGTAGGACAGGTGGCAGTCAAGATGACCCAGTGGCTTCGTGATATCGCCACAAGATGGCAGTAGCACTCGAGCTAGAGCCTGGAGAACCTCCGCGGAGGATTTGAAGGGCGATGTTGAAGCAAAAAGTCGGCGGGGAACGCCAATTCCAGGGTTCTGTCTTCCTTGATCCAAAAGAACAACCAACATGATACTCCGAAGCACGGTACGGCGATAAGCCTTGGCTAATTCCTCCGCTGGCGTGTCTTTGACCTCGGCCGTGATGTGGTCAATGTCTTCATTGCGCAGCAAGAAAGTATCCAAGAAACCTTCCAGCTTTCTGAGAACAGACTTCTCGCGTCTAGCTGCGCTCTCTTGGGAAGTTTGGATACTCATTCCAAAAAGATTTGAATCATTTGAGACTCTTCTGCCCACAATGGTTTCTGCGGCTGCCACCAATGCGCGGCGATCGTACGACTGAATCCAAATATCCAAAAACTTCCGTCGTAGGCCGACGTCTTGTTTGGCCCGATTGTGTCGGGCAAGGATATCCTTTGGGATGCTCAAAGTCCCACAGGTCAAGGAAGCCTGGATTCGTCGGTAGAGAAGAGTGAAGTAATCGGTGTGGTACAATCCCAGCAACCCAAGTCGAAGGGTATTGGGGTCATAGGCCGTCAAATGGCCGTCTGTACATTCGAACAATGCGTTGACCAATTGAGTTATGACAGTCTCCTGATGAGATAGCCAATTGTCTTCGTAGAGAGAAGGGTTTGAGATGTCCTCCGTCAGCGGCGGATATTCGTGGTTGAGATGGTTCAGCTTCGAGGGCATGTTTCCAATTTTTGATGCTCGGCTCGGTCCAGATTGGCTTGAGCGGTTTGAAAGAGCAGAGGCACGAGCATTCAGGGTGGAAGTGTTTCTCACTGGCTCCTTGGGCTTTGTGGGCATTGCCTTCTGTTGATTAGAGCAAGCGGACGAAGGTCCAGCATTGCGTTGCTTCTCTCCTAGCACTGATCGTGCCCGTTGCTGTCTCGCTGGTTGGACAACAGATTTCGTGGGCTGAAACGTGGCTTTTCGACGGACTGGGTTTGACTCGGATACAGCATTTCCCCGGTTGGATTTGGACAGAAGAATAGGATTTGTGGCCCTGCTCTTGTCACCAATAAGGGTTCCAGGGGGGATGTTTTCCTTTCCACCGTTTTTGCCAGCAATATCCATTCTTATCGCAGCCTCCTGGGAAATCTTGGAACTTGGCTGCAGCGGAGCTCTCTTTGCAGAAACTGCGAGCGACTTTCTCGCTTGCCGTTTTGCGATTTGTGCTTCCAAAGTGTTGGTCTGAGTATCCTCCAAATCCTGAGGTATGGCGCTCCCAGGTTGCTTTTTGAGGGGACTAAAGAGCCCCATGAAAACGCTGGCCACGGTAGTGTCATCTGGCGGAATATACACAGTGTTGCGTCTCATATCCTTCTTCGGAGCCTGTTCTCGATCTTGCGGGTCCGATTCCTTGCCTCGGGTTTCGCTGGGTCGGCAAAATTCATTTGACTTTCTTTCAACTCTGCCGGCTCTCGGCTGTGTTTCTGTCTCTTGTTTCATAGATCGGGATGGCGGGCTGAGAGCAAAGTTGACTTTTGGGCGAAACCGCTGAGCTGGCTGAGACAGCAGAGATGATTTGCCATCTGAGGGCGGCCGAGGCAATTCATTAGGTCTTCGCCGTTTCTCGGCAGGACCCCGCGGCTTCTCGTCAGTGTCGTGGTGGATTTGAAACCCCGAAACGGTCCTGTTGGCACGTCGCGGTCGCGCGCCTGTCAAAACAGGTGCACGCACTTCGGTGGTGAACTCGATTTCCCCAGTATGCTCCACGCCCGAGTCGTCGTCCCACAAGGTCTCCAATGTGTCGCTCCCGCTATTCCGTTCGCTGAACCTCGAGGTCCTCGACCGCGACGGACACGGCGTCGCAGCTTCGTTGAGGATACCAGACATAATTTCAGACCATCCAAATTGGTTCGAGGTGGAATTTGAATTACTCTGGGCACATGGGGACCTGATATGTATGCGAGTTTCGTCAATGGTGGGTCGTTGTAGTTGGTCGGAGGAGCGGTGAAGTGGATGGGTGAAGTGTGTTAGCCACCGATGGTGGGGTTGAAGTTTGAAAATGATCAGAACCGCCTTTGACACGTTCAAAACACCGAGTCAATGGTATCGATCGACGGCGCGTGTCTGGACAGAACAATGCGCGGGTGTTGACATGCTTTGGTTGTCCTGGGCAACACCTATTACCCAACCGGGTAAGGTGCAACATACGCGGTCACGTGACGATATGGAATTGACATCCACTGGTTAAAGAATGGGCAGCCATGGATGACTATTGAAACATCGACTTGATAAAGAAATGTCTTGTCCTTGGGAGTTTTGGCCACGTACACTTTGTGCTGTGGCTAGTTCGAAGACCTATACTCATCATACTTCATACACTGCCAGCAACCGAGACATAATGTCGCAGGAAACAATTTGAAATTGCTGAATGTCCAACGTCAATTTGAGCCAAATTATCAGCTGTGATTCTGTTTAAACTGCATGATCCTCGACGAGATTGGATATAGGTCATAATTAGGGGGCCTCCATGGCTTACACTTGAATAGTATTTGTCAACTAGTTTAGCTTGACAATCCTCCGAGAATGGCACAATGCTCTCTCACTTATTCCATGGCCTAGATAATTAGTCTAAAAAAGATCGGCAGTCCTATACAATATGTGGAGAAGCCCCAGCTCCAAAAAACGCCCCCATGCTTACATTCCTGCTGATCAGGAATCTATATGTATATAATGCTTGTAAAAAGCCCCGAGCCTAACAGGTATTGGAAATCGGGCGGAATAAATGTTTTACTTCCACTTAGAGGGATGTTTCCCTTCGGCTTCGTGCTTCCCTCCGCATTACTATCACGACGGTGAGAGTCCCACATTATGTTAGCCCATGCCAGGTTTGTAGCTAGACCAATAGCTTCTCTAGATATTAGATTCCTCACGATGCTAAATGTGCCAATCTATCTAGTATACTATAGGGATTTTTCGTTCACTAGGCAGAAGTGACTATACTCGGCCTATGTTTGATTAGATTGATCAGGCCCAACTTCGGCGCCAATCTGAATAATAATATTGTATAAGAACTCCCCATTAAGCGCGTAGTTTTTAATGACCATTCAAAGCAATTCTAACAAGTCTCTTTCATAAACCTATTGTTTCAGGTAAATATCAGTCTACGTAGTTCATGCCTCAGGCGGAAAAGGAGAGAGTGGGTCACGACACAGTCCCGGCAGGAACCTCCGATTCGACCTCCTTTCCCCAGACACGCCTCAACGTGGCCGACATTCCTTGTTGCCTGCGACTGATTTGCATTGTGACTGAGAGTTCTTCCCCTTGCGACATGGGTCTCTCCTAAGCGCCCTGCCCCCCCTCTGTTTCATCCTACTCTTTCAATTGTCCCTCTCTACATCCCTGGTCTCCGCTCGGAATGACCCTGTGTCATGGAGTCTCTCGTGTATGAGAATTCGCCTTTGGCCGACTACCTCCAAGGTACGTCCCGCTCATGATGTTACTATGGAATGCAGACTCACAATCAATTCTAGGAGAGGGCGAGAACAATGAGAGCTGGCCGGTGGAGGAGACCCTAAGCGAAGACAATTCCACTGGCCCTTCCTCCAACTTTGCCCCTCGAGGGGCTTCCAAATTTCAGGAGCGAGTTCGGAACAAGCTACCAAAACCTTTGGACCTACAACGTACAGGGCAAGGTGTTGTAATTGGGAAACTTTATGATGCGTGCTCGGTATGCTCTTGCTCGGTCCCATGGGGTTCCGAATATGCTAACCCAAGCCATATCCTAGTCGGCCCTCAACGCACGAATTGCTCGAAGTGACAACCAGCGATTTTTGGAACAGTTTGGCTACGTGATCGTGGCTTCCCAGCTACTTAACGAGCACAGCGCCCCATCCTACACATCCGCCGCAGATGTCCTGTCGGCTTCACACCCCGCGGAGCTTCCGTCCCTTTCCTCAACCTTTGGCATGCAAGGTGCAATAGTCACAGCGACTGCATCTTTCTCAATCGCTTGGTTACTGCATTGGAGTCGATCACGGACTGGTCCTGGGCTCAACCCCAGAAGGGTTGGAGTGCTTCTGATTCTAGTACCGGTCGTGGGAGTTCTATTTTATGCCTTTGCAAAACGCCAATGGCTGAAGTATCTACGGCACCAGGCAGTCGAAGCCGCTGGGGCTTTCATTACCAATGCGCAGGGCTTCGATTCCGCCGCATCGGCCTCAGTGGTCTTTATACAAGAGGTTGAGCTTGTTTCCAGAGGGTACCGGATGTAAGGGCTCTATCGACCTCAGGCAGCAAAAGCCATTGCTAACCATATCCCCTAGAAGCACCCCCCTTCCGCCTATCAGTCGGCTGGAGGATCAAGTACAGACCCGGCGATGCTTGAGATTACGCCGGGCGGTCTCGGAATGCTTTTACTCGATGCTGGGCCGGTACATTCAATCGCAGAACACCCTGCGCCCACTTACCGATGAGGGAAACCTTGCCAAATATTATGATATCTACGATATTGGACTGGAGGACCTTGAAGCGATCGAGGCAGCGTTGTCGCATCGGGCTGCAGATGATCAATATTCGTTGCGTGCTCTCCGAGATCTTTTTGGGAAGCTGTATACCGTGAGGAAGAGCATTTTATGCTGTCTCTTGGCGCTCGGAGCCGATGGAGGCGGGTCTGATATTACGAGGTGGAGTTCCGCGGTCGAGGAAATGCGCCAGCTTGCTGCAGTCACTGGAGAAAGCATGCTGAAAATGACCAGCATCCTGAATGAAGAGGACCGTGAGTGTTGATTTTTTTTTCTACCGCTCCAAAAACGCATTGGCTGACCTGCTGCAGGCGAGACCATCCCCCCATCTCCGTTACCTACCGCCTCCCCAAGCAAGGACCACCTTCGAACACAATTTCGAAAGCTGAACTCTCTTTCGCAAGGCATTCGCGCCTTGCATGCCAAAATGCATATTATATGCGAGGAGTCTCATGCTAACATTGAGCGCCCCGATGCTGGTGATGTCGAGGAGACTCTCATCGCACAATACGAGTCGATTGGCAGTGACATTCGAGCCTTGCTCCAGGAATGGGAAGCAGGAAAAGCCGCCATCATGCACAGCCAAGACCGGCTGAGCACTGTGAACCCTTCGCGACCATCCAGTACATTGATCTCACCATTATCCCCGACCCCTAGTTTGGGAGGCACGACGGCGGTCGAGGGCAGCCCTACCGATGCTCTCAAGGCCTTGAACGGTGATGCACGGCCAGACTTAACACATAGCTATGATGACGAGGAGGTTTTCGAAGCCGTTGTGTCTCCCTCTTCGAAAAATAAGAGGGCGTCTTTGACCCGTGACGAACGTCTCGCACGCGTTCGAGAAGATCGTGTGAGGCAAGCTGCCGCTCGAGAAAAGGTGGATGCGAACACGAACATGCTCAAGGAACTAGAGATGGTCATCAAGCAACGACCGCGGAACAGCCCCTCCAAAAGAGTGACAAGCATTTAGCCTACGATTAGGATGCGGCACTCTGCTTTCTGAGCCTGACATGTCCTTCCTCTTATCTCTTCCTTTGCTCTTCTCTGCCTCCATCTTCATCCTCTCATTCTCTTCTTCTCTTTCTCTTCCTCTTCTTCTGTTATTGCGAAATAACCAACCATCCGTGGTTGGAAACCTGCAAATTGATACCCAAGATGTATAGAAGGGCCCGGCGATTTTGGTGTTTACAGGACGGTGTTTCTTCATTGCTTTCTGGATTAACTCCAAGTTAGCTGTTTAGTACAGGTGGTGTGCCTCGGGTCTAGCTTTTGGAGATACTATGTGTACCATGCCAGCACAGTGTGGCCCACAGTGAATTCCATTTGTATATTATAGTGTCAGACTTCCTGAAAGTATCTAGTACCTCCATAGCCCGACAAAAACTAGGCAGTAGCAAGTACTAGGTACCTCTGAATTGACCGCCTTCAAGTCCGCGATGTCTCGCCTGAGGCATTGCGCTTAACCGTATCGGGGCATATCGCCAACGCGTGACCGGCGCGTCTCGTCCCCACCAACGCGATTTCGCCTTATATTCAGACCGTCTCTTCGACCTCGAAACTCCCATACAGATATACCCTCTCTTCCTTCGCCCGCTTTCCTGACGTTAATTAGACGTGTTGTCTTTTCTCCCATTCTCCCTTCAGTTTTAAGCAATATACATCCCCCACATCCCTCGTTAACAGTAAGTCTAGCGAGACACGAACAAACCTGTTGTGGGAAGAAGTCGCCAATTAACCTCGTGTGCAGTGCTGGAAGCACGGCTGGAGCAGGCAAGCCTCCTGAAGCGGGTAAGCAAGCTTATAATGACAACCACACCTACGATCTTTCTCGGGACAGAATAGTTGACACAGCCTGTTTTGTGGGGTCACAGGTCGTCGACGCCATCAAGGATCTCGTCCAGGACTGCAACTTCGACTGCAATGACTCGGGTATTGCCCTCCAGGCCATGGACAACTCGCACGTGGCGCTGGTGTCCATGCTGCTCCGCGCCGAGGGCTTCTCGCCCTACCGCTGCGACCGCAACATCGCCCTCGGCATCAACCTGCTCTCCCTGACCAAGGTTCTGCGTGCCGCCCAGAATGAAGACATCCTCACCCTCAAGGCTGAGGACTCGCCCGATGCCGTTAACCTTATGTTTGAGAGCGCCGAGACCGACCGGCTAAGCGAGTACGACATCAAGCTCATGGACATTGACCAGGAGCACCTGGCTATTCCCGAGACCGAGTATGCCGCCACCGTGGAGATGCCTGCCATGGAGTTCCAGCGCATCTGCCGTGACCTGAACCAGCTGTCTGAGTCCGGTTAGTATTGAGTTTTTGTTTTCGATATTTCCGGTGATGTGCCAGAGACGATGGATGTTTTGAGTGCTGACTCTGCTTCAGTGGTCATCGAGGCCAGCAAGGAAGGCGTCAAGTTTTCGTGCCAGGGTGACATTGGCAATGGCTCCGTCACCATCCGCCAGCACACCAACGTCGACAAGCCCGACCAGAACGTCGCCATCTCCCTCTCCGAGCCCGTCGCCCTGACCTTCTCCCTCAAGTACCTCGTCAACTTCTGCAAGGCCTCCAACCTGTCCTCCTCGGTAACGCTGCACCTGTCTCAGGAGGTGCCGCTGCTGGTCGAGTATGGTCTGGGAAGCGGCCACCTGCGGTTCTACCTGGCTCCTAAGGTATGTCCTTCTATAGTTGTGTTGTGTTGTATGTCCATTGCCAGGCTAATTTTGTGAATTTGTTATAGATCGGAGACGAGGAGTAAACCAAATCAAGATGTTTTAACGGACACCCAAGCAAAAATGGCCCAAAACGAAGACATCCACGATAATGGAGATTTGAGAATCTGACGGAGGCAATGATTTTTTTTTTTTGGGGCCGTACTCCCGGGATTCTCTGAGAGAACAGCCCCTGCATGATAATTTCCAATGTTCAGCGGTCGATACCATCGACTTTCGACTAGTGATTCCACGTCGAATATTTACTTGAAAATTACTTGAATGGATCTGCCGTAGTTGTAGGATTAAGTTTCTTTCTGTAAGAACCAATAGGGCAGTAAACAGCCCCGCCAATTGAACCATTTGGAGATATCCATATAACCAGTCCAGCCCAACACCATACCCCGAACAGGATAATCCACGAACAAAAGATCCTAGAGGACCTCGCGAAGAGCGTCCGCAACCCCGCTTATTAGCAGAGTCGCCAAAAAATCCTTTCCAGGGACACCCACCACTAAAAAGATAGAGTGAAGGGGGGTAAGGGAAAAAACTCACCAAGAAAAAAAAAGGATGAAGCGCCATCCCCACCAGAATAATCGGAATCGAATGATACCATGCCCTCCCTCAACCCATCAAAAAGACAAGAGAGAAGGGAGGGGAAGTGGTATGCTGCGTATTGCACTAAAGTGTCATCACACACAATCTCCGCACCGACTCTCCCATGGGGGTTGATAGCCCCGATGTTTCTGATGCCAAGTGCAGGTGTGGATTGATTTCACACCAGGCCCTCACGGGCAGTACCGGCCCCATCCCTAGCTCCTAAAGAAGCTGAGAAAGGGCGGGTTGGGTGGGTTGAAGATTCCTCCGAATTTCTCATTTGCAAAGGGGGTCTCGGGTGTGGAGGTGACCACGGACCGCGAGGACAGAGAGTCGCGGGGGACTCATCTGTCGTGTGTAGCAAAGAAACGCAGCATTGGTAGGGATGGCGCTTGAAGAGAAGAAAGAAAGAAAGAAAGAAGAGAAGAGAGGAAGAAAACGTGAGAGGTAAAATTGGTGGGTCACCGCCTTCTACTGTGTGGTCCACTCTGCGACTACGCGATGGATTTGACTCATATTGTTTGTATTTATTCATTACAATGAATTAGTTATTTAGAGTGTGGATGTTAGTCTCCATATCAATTCTTCGAATGATCATCCTTGTGGATTCAGGGCTATGTTCCAGATGAGTGATCTATACTAGTCGTGAGACACGACCTGGGGACTAAGATATCCCAAACAAACCAACTCATCGGATTTCCTCGAATGCTCGAACAACATACACCTGCCCATTAATCTCCACTTTCTGCCCTGGCACCCTCCAATCCCCCACTCCCTCACCATCCAACCCACTCACCATAGAAGGCAAACGATCCCCAACCTCACCCACGACATACACATCCGACCAACCCCCATTCCACTCCTCCCTCCTAGCACGAACATCTCCCCCAGTCGTGCGCACAATCCAGTCCCCAGATGGAGTCCTCTGCCGCGTATGAGTTTGAGTCTGGCGCAGCGCAAGAAAAGTGCCCCATATCCTGCCCAGAAACGTTTTCGAGACCAGGATCTCTCCCTCTGCATCCTCGGGATAATCATCGATTGACTCCAAAACCCATGAGACCCCTCTTCCAACCCCCTCGGGACCCTCTCTGAACGGCAGTTCCCGCCATACCTCCTCATACTCGGTGAGAGGGGTCCCGACGAGATCGGGGCGAGGCATAGTACCAGTCTCGAGGTCGTTGCCGTTCGGTAGCGAGACGAATGTACCGCAGTCGGTGCTTTCAAAGGCATTGTGGGAGTCCAGCTCGTGGGTGAAGGACACGCGCACTGAGATAGTCAGAATCTTAGAATGGTAAAGTTGTAGAAGCTTTGCACACAGAACGCGATGGGCTAGATGGGGAAGGAAGGAGAGTGCTTACGTGGTTCAAGACTCTCGACAATTCTCTGGCCGGCGATGGCCCAGTCGATTTGCTTGCTTGCTTTGTCCATTCGCAGGTCTAGATACCAGTCCTTCACGGACATGGTAATCGTGTCGGTGGTTTCGTGTGCTTCTTCGGGGAGCCATCGTAGCGAGATGCGGGTTGAGAAGCGGCAGGATGAACTAGCGGGGGTGTTACTAGTCATCTTGAAGGAGATGTGCTATGAATCTTTGGGGGTTTTTTTTCCCCGTGATACAATGAGCGGTATTCTTCGAGTTTTCGGGGGAAATGCAGAAGAAGGTTAGATCTCAGGATGGATGGACTGGGAGATAGTCGAGCCGATGTCAGATGCCGAGATCTTCTGACATGTTCGGATTGGGAATGTTGAAGAGAGAAAGATGGAGAGACAGACAGTCAATGGGCCGCTCTGCTTATCTCCCCTCACCCCGCATCGGCTGGAGAATTGAGCCCGGTCCATTTGGGTGTATCCAGAGCATACAACTAAGGGATTAAACTGGTGTTTATGGGTCAATGAATAAATACTTGAGACTACTATCATTGCAGACAACTCCCTTATGTACAACAGTTAGCTAAGTCTTGCAACTATACGAGACATCGGTATATGCGGAGCGCAGCGCAGCGCCTCCTTGATCAAGGCATCGAGGTACAGCAAACTGTCGAGAGGTGCAATCCGCCGGTGCCGAGGTGAGTTCATGTTGCAGTCGCTTTTGAAACACCAGATTCTGAGGCTGGGAGAGCTCCCGCATCAGGAAACACAGGCCGGCGCCGGTGGTGTCGATGCCGGCGGCCATGTGGTCCTTGCATTCAGCGGCTGCTGGCATGCGGGCCAGACTCAACTCCTTGCGCTGCAGCTTTTCCATGAGGGTGTAACCTTCCAGATTTGTTTGTGCGGCCATGTCGAGCACATATTGGTTTGCCTTGGGCGCACTCCGTGGATGTAGGCATTGGGGGAAGTATGGGGCTAGCATGGGCAGATAGTACCCGAGGAGGTTTTCTGGGTTGCTTTAGTAGGGAAAAGAAAATGAACTGAACTGAACTGAAATGATGGCGTGGGTAGGCTGGGCATACTCTGGGGGCTTTGGTGATACGTGAGCTCTTGCATTACTTCTAGGTCTTGTTCGAGGTTGAGCGATTTAAGCCCGCCGGGGCTGAACATGAAATGGGTGACACAGTCGAGGGCATAGCAGTGAAGAAGTGCCCACAAAAGTAGCACACTTGACTTTGAACTGCCGAAAGAGATCATAGTACTCGGTCTTGCCATAGCCACTCCCACCCGAGGCATAGGTTTCTTTGATAGCCTCTAAGCTGGCGAAAGACACCTCGTTGGGACTGAGGCGAACCACAGGACCATAGACCTTGTGGAGATGGTGGATGGATTCACGCCGATTCGCCATGAACTCTTGATACTTGATCCACAGGCCGGTGGGCTTGGTATACCATGGGCCCGGGACTGTGCAGAAGGGGGAGAGGAACCCCCCGACCCACGATGTACCCGAGGAACAGCAGGGCTGCGGCATAGAGGGTCAGCATGATCTTTTTTCAGGATGTACAATATAAGAAAAGAAGAAGAAGAAGAAAGGCACATAGACTTATCAAGGAGCGTCATGATTTAATATTTTTTTTTGGGTACTTATATCACAAGTGTCGGGGACGATGGCCGTGGATGCCATTAGCGGAGGTAGACTCTCTTGGCCTGATAGCGAACCACGCTAACTGAGTTGCCCTACCTAGATAGCATCCCTGGGCTTGATTGCAAGACTTGACCTGTGTATTTGGGATACTGCTCATCATGGTGGTTTTGTAGTAAATCAAATCAAATGAATGCTAAGATAAATAAAAATAAAAATAAAAATAAGATTCATGTCAGCCTCTTGAATGTATAGATCGCAGCAAGGGGGATACACATGGGAGGCTGGGGGCATAGCCACCGCACATTCCCAGCCATATACGAGTATGGGGGAAAGAGGACTAGAGAAGGTCAGATCTATCGTGGCTGAACCATGAAATCCTCCAAGGGTTGTTTCGTATAGATTCGACCCAAATCCATCAATTAGCAGTTCCCTTGGACGATCCCAACCCTATTGATCACCTCCAGGCAACCACATAGATTCGCATTAACAAGATGTACTGAATATCGCATATATTGAATAGAAGAATTCAAGGGGAATCCATAGAATCCATAGAATCCATAGAATAAAAAGAATAAAAAGAAAAGAGTCTGGACCAGCAGGGGACTCCACCGTCTCAGGAGAAAAAAAACAGTGATCTTTGGGTCGCGCCAGTCTAGAATGTCGCAGTCAGCAATGTGGTCCCCCAGACCCCCCTAAGTGCTCCAGTGAGGCTGTAATCTTCCCTCTTCATCTCTCAACGCTTTGTCTTTCTCTCTCTTCACTCTTTTTTCTTCCTCCTTCTTCCTCATCCCACGTTCTGTCAACCTCTCAAGCACCCCCCTGGGTGCTTTATTGACCGGTCGCTGATCCCCCGACACTCATCTCCCCCACCGGCTACAGGCCCTGGGCACCGCGAAAAAAAAGTTCTTGGGCATCGATTCCCCTCGGCTGGTTCGAGTGTTTCTCGGTCTCGTCTGATGCCCCCGTCGATACTCACTCGCGAGTGAAACCTCTCCTGATCAAACCCTGTCCCCGTCCAACCAATTCGCCAAGCCCCGAGCACACGAGACCCCCGAGTGTTTCACCTTCCCCTCCTTGCAACAAGGGACGGGCAGCCCTCATTCCTCATTCCTTATAACTTGACATCCAAATCCACCGTCAGGTGGTCACCGTCACTGTGTCTTATCCTACCCATTCCGCGACGCCGAGCTCCGCAACGGAGCATTTCGGCAAAATTCCGTCTCACGGGTCACGCGCCTCTCTTTTGGGCGCATCTTTCGATCCTTCTTTTCGACGAGGCCCGGAGGGATTTCGCGCCCGGGAAGGTTATCCCATTGCCACGCCAAACCAGCCTAAGCGCAAAATATACATCCCCAATACACAATGGACATGGGCCTTTGCCATCATCACGCTAGTGCAAACTGTTATCACCCTCGGTCTGGAATGGTATGTAAGCTGTGGACTCTTTTTTTTTTTTTTTTCATTTTCTGCAGGATGCTAACAAACCCCATCGTCTAGTTACATCTTCGTCAACTTCCAAGTCCAAGAAATCAGCAACACTAGCCCGTCCTCCAAGATTATCCCAACTTTCTTGGCCCTTTACAGTTTTGGTTTTCTCTATGAGCTCGTGCTGGTCTACGATGCTCTCCGCATGAAGAATACCATTCAAATTATTGGGTTGTGCATGTGCAACATTGGTCTCCTCATCTATGGTGCTGTTCAGGTCAACCAAATCCATGCAGGTGTGAAGAACTTGAATGACAACGGGAAAATCAGCTTGGTGGTGTGGGCTGAATCTCAGCCCTTTCTGATCATCATTCCATGCATTGTGGCTCTGGGGTCGGTGCTCATGGTCTTTGTGGCATGGAAGCTTTATGATGAGTTTGCATGGACGATCTACAAGCACATCAGTGCAGATCTTCGGATGAAGCGCCGCTACCTCACCTACCAGGTTTGTCACCTCCACAGCTTTTTTGGGAAGCGTTTCTGACATATCCTAGATCTATATTGCCCTGCTAAAGTTTGATTTCTTCTTCTTTCTGGGCTTTACTGTTCAATTCTTGGTTGTTTTCTCAACCAAATTGGACGCCGAGTTCGCCCTCACTGTGGCTGCCGTCCCAGTGACCATTCTCATTCTGGCATGCGCTGCATTATTTGTCCGACGTGAATTTCTCCTGGGCATGATTGCCATTATTGTGAGTCTCGGCATTCTGTGGGCTTGAGTGTCGATGTGGTTTCTAACTATCTATACAGCTACTCTTCTTCGCAGCCATGGCGTACTTCTGCTTCAAGCTTTTCCGAATCTATGCCCCTGCCACCCGACCTGACTACCTCCCTGCCCAGACCTCGATGACCTTCTTCGCCATCATTACCCTTATTCTGATTGTGATCACCATCATCAATGCCTGCATGTGTATGCACAACTTCAACCGGGGGTTAAAACCACACATCAACAAGAAAAAAACCCCCGAAGAAGAAAAAACAACTGAGCTTTCGTCCAATATTGGCAGCCAAGTCCCCTCACGGATGATGATCGACTGACCCTCGACAGCAGAGGGTATAACGTGTTTCATAGACTTTTTCTTTTTCTCAATTTCCCCCCAAGGCGTTGAAATTAGGAGCGTCATGTCTTTTCTTGTTTGATTTGTGTCTGTATAGGCACCTTGGATATTTGAGCCTGATCTCTTTGTATTATTTCGGGCTTCTTGATGTGATACCTCCCCTGCAGAACCGCAGTGGCAATCCCTTTCTTCTTTTCACTTTCATCCACAAAATTCTGTGCTATTCACCCCAAACCTTCCTGTGACTCTACTTGATCTTCCTACATATCTACGAGTACACCGATGGTGTTTGATGACTTGATTCCCCTGGTGGTCTCCAACTTTCTCTATGTCTATGACAGCAATCCAATGCCTTTTGGCCTTGAATAATCTCTGCTACAACCTCTAAAGTACTCAACTATGCCTCGTAATAAATCTCATACCTTAGATACCTTATTTGCATTGACTCCTTATTGGTGGATTAGTGGATCTATCGTGTATGAGTGATACAATAAATTACACATATCTTTGGTTTGGAATGGGTAACATAACACTTCAATTACCATACCATCCGGAAACCGTGATCGTGGCCTCAACTCCGCAAAACCTCCCGACTCGCCCTCCTTTGCCCTCGTCCTCCATCCACACCCTCCTTTTCTCTTCTTTTTCTTTCTGGCCAACTCAGCATTTCCCTGGCCCTCTTTGTCTTTTTCTTCAGCTCCTTTTTAATCCAATTCAGTCACAATGGTAAGTGGCCTCCACGATTACTTGTCTGATCCTTCGAAGAAACCACCTGGTGTCCAGCCGGCTCCAAACCACGCCCATTGCCTCACCCAATGGCTCTAAAATACGATAACTGACATATCTTGCTCAATTTCACAGGCCTCACCTCGTCCTGCCTCCCCTCTGACCTCGGGCGCTGAGTCCGGCCCCGACTCCAAGTCCCCTGGCTCCGGCTCCGGCGCTGCTGCCACCGGCTCCTCCATCAGCCGTCCCTCCTCGCCCACTCCCCCCGGCGGTCCTCGCGCGGCTATGCGCCGCCGTGCTGCCGCTGACCACAAGGAGTCTCTGCGCAATGTCCGACCCAGCTCGACCCGCTCGGCCGGTGCTGGTGGCTCGTCGGGCACGATGCTCAAACTCTACACCGACGAGAGCCCCGGTCTGCGCGTTGACCCAGTCGTGGTGCTGGTGCTGAGTCTGGGTTTTATTTTCTCGGTTGTTGGACTGCACGGTAAGCAATTACTTTTTTTTTAATTGGCTATCCTTGATATAGGGGGGTTGGTGAAGCATTAGTAGCCCGAGGACATAACTAACTTTATGTCTTGAACAGTCATCGCCAAGATCACCCGCAAGTTCTCTGCGTAAATGTCTTTCAATCTTCTTTGATTTCGTGCATCTCGTCGCAATCGACCCTTCGAGGCTGAGGCTGTCAACTCTCGGCATCGAATTGTGCGAGTCCCCATCTTCTCCAACATCTCTCTCCTACGACCTGGCTCCTTCTCTCCTATACCCCGTGACTTATTCAGTCATTTCACATCAATGGTGGCGTCGGAATCTCCAGTTTCGGTGTTGACGCCACTTCATCTCCTTTTATTTAAACATGCGTGTGTAATGTGTTTCCATTGGCGGCGTTCCAAACTTCCGCCGTAGACCTATCCGCTGTATAGGTCTGTCTGGTTGGCACGGAGCCGTTGGCGTGTCTTTCTTGTGTGGTTGTTGCTAGGCTGTCGGGTTTTTGCTTGTTTCCGTGCGATTCGATGCGCCGGATAGAGTTCTGGTGGCCAGTGCAACGGCTGGATATGAGAAGAGTGCTGCGGCGGTGTGATATCAGACGCGTCTGTACAATAGAAGAGTTCAGCTTGCGCCTTGCAGTAAATCAACTTACTACTTGGATTCTTGGCTAAAAAAAAGAACAAAACACCCATTCGAGATTTCGACTGTTGGATGTATGAATCTAGCTTCAATCAGCGAGGATCGTAAACGAAATAGACTTCGAGTATGGCTTTAATCACTCGGCCCACACTGAGGATATGTATATATTTTGAAAATGGCCCTTTATTTAACCTTTGAATTACGAAGCTACCGGTTTGGTGTGTAGAGTAATGTCCTGAACTCGGCTCTCTCGCTACCATCAACGTACCATCAACGTACCATCAACGCATGTATATAGAATTCAAGCCCACCAAGAGACAATTTTTTATTCTAAGGCGGACCTGTTCGTTATGTCTAGGCATTACTACTGTGGTTGCGGACTGGATGGTGAGTTGTAAGATTCCGATTGTATCGGATGATATATATAAACATGACTCCCCCGAGACCTGTTTTCGTGCGGGTTTTAGATTGCTTTTCTGCGCTATGCCATATAGCATAGGGCTGCAGGCCTCATAAGACTTGCACTTAAAGTTTATTTACGGGAATATTTGGTCTGGCATCGGGAAGCTTATAAGACATGCAATGCATATGGGGTTTTAAGAAAAAGTCCAATAAGGGTAGCTCGTCTAAGAAAACCAAGCCAGAAGAAACCACGGCAAAATAAATCACGAATCCTAACGCCAGGAGGGCCAAACGTCACTGAAATCGATTGCGAGCACATATTCTCAACCCTCCTCGCAACCGCCGACTTCTCGTCCCCATTCTCCGCAAAAGAAAAAAAAAAAATCAAACCCAGAGAACATATCAACGCTGCACCTTCATGTTCATGCCATCGGAAGAAATAAAAAAAAGTCGTCGCGCTCCATGCTCATTTATACCCAATCCCCTGCTGTTGGGGAGGCTGGGCCTGAGGGGGCGGTTGCTGCCAGCCGCCAAAAGCCTGCGGCGGCGGCTGTGGACCCCATTGCATGTGTGGAGGTGGCCGGGTGTCAGGTGTGATGTCAGGCCGGTCCCTTGAATATTATGGTTAGTATCCTTTCTCTTTCCATGTATTGAGACCGTTGATACAAACCTGAGATCCTGAGTGTACCGACAGGTGTAGCATGTCACCTCCTTTATAGAGCGTTAGTTATGACCTTGAAAGGGAATCACTGCACGGAGAAAGCTTGGTGCTGAGTGCAGAGAGGAGAGGTGCTCACCTTGTACTTGTGAATTGCCAGAGGAATCAAGGGCTGGAATGGGATAATGTCAGAAATATTAACCAGTTGCTTCAATTGCCTAGAAGATGAAGCTTACGATGAAGCAGACAGTGAAAAAGGGCCTGGTTCAATTTGGTAGTCAGAATCAAAAGTTAAATCACAAAGAGGAAGAATAGTAACTCACCATCGAGTGATGCAGTGGCCATTCCAGTGCTGGCCTGAGATTCGCCAGCAATTAGCCGGCGATTTTTATTTAGTGGACACCGTAAACAAAAGGTGTCAGGGATTTCAACCCACAATTGTAGCAGTAGGCCCGAACATTCTCGTAGCCCTCCAGAATTGAAGTGAACTCTGTGATTCTAGTCAACACCCATTGGAATAAATAGTACTAGACCAGTCCGACACCGTGGACACCCCAGGAACGGGTGGTTCCACTTTGGCGGCTGGGTCCAGCAAGAACGTGGGGACAGGCAACTGACCATGAGTTCCAAACGTGATACAGATAGCCATGATGAAGATGAGCCCTTGGGATTGCTGTAGGCCAGGATTCTCTGAGAGATATCGAGGACAACAGCCTTGAAACCGCAGAAGGCAGCGGTATTTAGGGGAGTGTGGCACTGTGGCTTGGCACCTTGGCGGACACGTGAGGGAGTCATGTGATCTATATGTTACAAGTTGATGAATTGGACCTCAGCTACAAGTAGAGAACTCGATCAAGTCATACATGGATAGAGATTTGAGAATTTTATTTTCAAGTCAAGCTCAACCAAGCCCGTTCTCATGTGGGGCCCCACAGGCTAAATAGACATAACCAGATGCGATAAATCAAGGATCGCTAGCATAGCATGGATTTTGTAAAACGATGCTCGGGGTAGTCTCTTCGCTCGTTGCTCATGAGGCGAGGAATCGAAGATCACCATTACTGGGTCTTGAAGAGGAGGATTGCACAGTGTCCAAGGTAGAAGTAAATGAAGTGCTTCGTCTCTGTAAGATAGTCAGCGGGGTCGATCTGAGCCATTCCTGTGCGAATTTCCAAGGTCACTACTGACCATGGGTGACGAAGCTTCCAAAGTTGCGTCCTACAACACAGTGCCAGGTTGCGCCCTTTCGAGAATCAAACTAAATAATCACGTTTAGTGATGCGACAAGCGAGAGTGGGGGAGGGGTGGCCGACTTCTTTCTTGATATACTGCGCGATATCCTGTGGGTTATCAGTGAAATACTCTACAAAGTCATTGCAAGGGTAGAGATGCTTTCACCTTCTCAACGTGATACTTCTCCATTGCCTCGATCGCTGAGTAAATTAGTAGGGGTTTCGTTACGCAGCAAAGAGGGATTCATACAAAGAGCAATGGCTTCCTGCTGCATGTCCTCCGTCTATAGCACGACATAAGTATCCAAAAATTGAGCCAGTAGCCTGTTGTCTCTTACCATATCGACGGACTTGATTTGCGCTGCACGTATCGTTTAGTGGGTGGAACAATCACGCGGGGCAGGAGAACCTACCCTCCAACTTGTCCTTCTTTTCGGTAGTCATTATTGCAAATAGTAATCGGTCACACTTTCTGAATGAGCGTGATGTTGTAGTTTTCAGTTGGTTCGGGGAGGTGACAGTGATTCGAGAGGATGAAGTATCGCGGTGATCGAGGGCGCGTGGGCCGACCGCCTTGAGCGTAATCACTTTATTGCCAACATGAGAATTCACCGCCCGATAGACCGCCCCGGGGGGGGTTTAGAGCGCAGAAAAAAAAAATTCCTTTGCTTAAGTCTTCATTCTAACTATTCCGGCCTCTGAACACCCAAAATGGAGAACACCAGGGTGTTTGTGAGTGGCCTTCCACCATCATGCTCCAATGATCAACTTCGGAAACATTTTGCAGGCCGTTTCCAAGTCACAGATGCTCATGTCCTGCCAAAACGTAGGATGGGCTTTGTCGGCTTCAAAAACCAGGATGCCGCCCAGCAAGCTGTGAAACACTTCAACCGGACATATATGAAGATGTCCAAGATCATGGTTGACATGGCTCGTTCGGTATGTCAATTCTACAGTGTTATCGGCCCTGATTTACTTCCCTTTCATCCCCATGTGCACGCTGACCAGTGAAGGTGGTCCTGGGACTGACCAAGATTCTTGTAGATTGATTCAAACCCCCCTGAACGGGCTCACCCCACACGGAAACGTGATGCTGGCAAGGAGGACACATCGTCAGACAATACGCTGAAGCGCAAAAGGGATGCAGAAGCCAAACCACAGGATCCTAAACTGCAAGAGTACCTCTCTTTGATGCAGCATTCCTCTAAGACCCGCACATGGGCAAATGATGATGACATAGCCAAGCCGACCGACGACGTTGCACCAGCCATTAACCAATCTTCCCAGGAGATCAATATATCCGAGGAGTTGCCTTCCCAGTCGAAAAAGGCCAAGACGGATGGTGTCATGACTGAAAGAAATATGCAGCCGCAGCCGATGGTTGTTGACAGAAACAGCGATGAAGGACAAGGGGAAGCACCGACTCAGAATGACTCGGCGGCATCTGAAGCCGAGGCCAAACCAGTCTCAGATGACGACTGGCTTCGATCGAAGACAAGTCGTCTTCTCGGTCTTCTGGATGAAGAAGAGCAGGCCGAGTTTGAGAAGCAGCCAGTTGATCAGCCGGCTGTGCCACCAACAGACAGTACTGACGAATCGCGTAATGCAGCGATCGAGAATATTCCTTCTCAAGCTACACAGGATGACGATACAGCCCAAGTGGCACCCACAGTGGATACAAATGTCGAGCTCATCCGTAGCTCTGCCCGTTTATTCGTCAGGAATCTGGCCTACGACACCACAGAAGCGGATCTCCAACCGCTGTTTGCTCCTTTTGGAAAGATTGAAGAAGTGAGTTCTTTTTCTTCTACTTCATTTCCCTCCTCGGCCCTCCAGCACCTAGCATACTTGCGAAGAAGCTGGTTGGGTGCTCGCATGATGATCTTCCTGATAGGGACATCCGATGCAAATAGCAAATGATGTCACCAGGACAAGAGATTTTAGTAGATGCTTCTTGTATATCTGAAGAGCAAACCCTTTTTTTTATTGCACATGCTCATTGGCTACTTTGGACCAAGTGCTAATGTTACCCAGATTCACATTGCATTTGACACTCGCGCCACGACCAGCAAAGGCTTCGCCTATGTCCAGTATGCCGATGCTGATGCCGCCGTGGATGCTTATCAAGCTCTTGATGGGAAGCACTTTCAGGGACGACTTCTTCATATTCTACCGGCTTCTGCAAAGAAGACATACAAGATTGATGAGTACGAGCTCTCAAAGCTTCCTTTGAAGAAGCAAAAGCAAATCAAGCGTCGGATGGATGCCTCATCATCCACCTTCAGCTGGAACTCGCTCTACATGAACGTGAGTCTGCCACCAAGCCAATATTGCATTGTTTTTGTCATATGCTTATTCCTTTTGGATAGACCGATGCCGTAATGTCCTCAGTAGCTGAAAGACTCGGAGTCTCCAAATCGGACCTGTTGGATCCCACTTCGTCGGACGCAGCAGTCAAGCAAGCACATGCTGAGACGCATGTCATTCAAGAAACCAAAGCTTACTTCGCGGCAAATGGGGTAAATATCGACGCTTTCAAGGAGCGTGAACGTGGAAACACGGCGATCCTAGTCAAGAACTTTTCGTTCGGCGTTAAGATCGGTGACCTCAGGAAACTGTTTGAGCCGTATGGCCAGATGATTCGACTTTTGATGCCGCCCAGTGGCACAATAGCAATCGTCGAGTTTGCGAGACCCGACGAAGCCCAGAAGGCGTTCAAGGGCCTTGCCTACCGCAAGCTGGGTGATTCCATCTTGTTCCTGGAGAAGGCACCCAAGAACCTCTTCGACTCTACGTCGGCACCGTCGACACTTACCTCGGAAACACGGGGCAAGTCTCAAGGATTCTCTGTCGCCGACACCTTTGCTGCAGACGAGCCCACCGACGGTCTCGCAACGTCAACACTATTCGTAAAGAACTTGGACTTCTCCACAACCAACGAGAGATTCCTCGAGGTCTTCAGACCGCTAGATGGCTTTGTCACCGGGCGCATCAAGACCAAGCCGGATCCCAAGAATCCGGGTCAGACTTTGAGCATGGGATTTGGATTCGCCGAATTCAAGACCAAGGCCCAGGCTCAAGCTGCCCTGGCTGCCATGAATGGATACAAGCTGGACCAGCACGAGCTCGTCATCCGTGCGTCTCACAAGGGCATGGATGCCGCCGAAGAGCGGCGCCGCGAAGACACCGCCAAGAAGATCGCCGCAAGACGGACCAAGATCATCATCAAGAACTTGCCGTTCCAGACCAGCAAGAAAGACATCAAGTCCCTGTTCGAAACCTATGGAAAGCTTCGGTCTGTGCGAGTGCCCAAGAAAATGGACCGATCAACTCGTGGATTTGGATTTGCCGACTTTGAAAGTGCTCGTGAGGCGGAAAATGCCATGGACGCGTTGAAAAACACGCATCTTCTAGGCAGGAGACTGGTACTGGAATTCGCGAACGAGGAGGCTGTCGATCCCGAGGAGGAGATCGCAAAGATAGAGAAGAAAGTAGGGGAACAGGTGGACAGGGTCAAGGCCCAGCAGCTTATGGGCACGGGGCGAAAGAAGTTCATTGTAGGGGCCCAGGAGGACGAGGAGGCATGAAGGCGCTTTTCTCCCTGCGAGAAGGGCGTTGTGTCGATTGGCCCGCGACCATCCCTTGCGTGGATACGGATGTACGATTTGTTACGCAAAAAGCAAAAAGCAGAGAGAAAAGAGAAAAAGAAAAGAAAAGATACCCCGAACACGTTCCTGCGGCTGTCACTGCCCTGCAGTCGGTCCCTCGTGCATCGTGCAGTTTTTCGGTTCCTGGACCTCCCATCCTTGGCCTTGCCCTAACTACTCACCCTATATTCTCTGTATCCTTCCTCATCTGTTTCCCCCACCATCAACCAGGTCTGACTTGACTGTGGATTGAAGGGTTAAATTGGCTTGTTTTGTTCCGCTCATTCATCCAGAGATCATCTAGTCTGCATTCCAGCTATGATGTGCTCCGGTGGTCGCGCATTCCTCATGGATAGCGATGAGTGATGTTGTTGGACATCGAACATTCCGGCTCCCTGGCAATTGTCACAGATCACTGTCGATTGTCGTCAATGCTGGCTTGGAGAATGATTTTCCAAGGTCATTTCCTGCAGCACAAAATCTCCGAACCGCTCATCACTGGATCGTGCTGCTGAGCATCCCTTGCATCGGGAACAGCTTCCTTCATATCGAGCCCTTTCTTGACTCCTGATTTGCTGCGGCAAGGACGGCTGGGTTGTCCTTTGCTCTCCACGTCGTGTCTGGACGCGCGAAGGCCAGGCAGGACTGGCGCCTGTCCAGGAGTATGGCGTTCGAGGGACGTAGTGCAGGCAAAATGCTAGCAATGCTGCGACGGAGGGGAGATCCCCTCCTCCCCATGACAGGAGAGCGAGAGAGTTATGGTGCCCTATAAACACCATCCTGCTCGCTCTCACATTCTCTTTCCCAGGCTCTTACATTCTCTTCCAGACGTCTGCGTTCTTGGTCGGTCGTTTGTGACTGTGCTGCGTTCTTTGCCAGGCAGTAAGCATTCGGCGGTGCTTCTCAACTTCCCCTCCTCGTTGGAATCTGTCATTCTTTTCGAGAAGCCCGTTCTTGGTCCGCTGCCATGGCTGCTGACTGGCAACCCGAGTGCCTCGTGCCTCAGAACCAGCCGTCCCTGGAGCCTGTGGGAGCTCATTCAGACCGAGCTCTGCAGAATACCTCTGGGAATGTCCAGTCATATTCCGATCCTCTTGCACACAGCGAGGCCCCTGGTCGAGATGACCACCTCCAGCAGCTCGGCTTCAAGTACTCTCATGCTCCACCCCCTCCTCACCCTGTGGTCGGTCCCAACTTGCACCAGCAGGCCGTCGCGGCCCGGCTTCATGCCCGAAGGCTTCGGCGGCTTCACTCCGTCGGCCCTAATGTGTCATCCCGCCGGGCAAGAAGCTATCTCAAGTCTCAGAAGTACTTAGAATACCGGGCCCGGCCTCGACGGGATACGGGAAAGGACGGGGATCCCGTATGGTCTGACGAGTTGGAGGATGCTTTCCAGCAAGGTAATTCAAAAGCAACAATCATCCAATCAAGCCATAGCAAATGCTGACTCTGGGAAACAGCTCTCGAGGCCAACCCACCCATGGGTCGAAGGAAGTGGTCTGAACGTGGGAAGTCGTACGGACGGAATGAGCTGATTGCCGAGTACATCTTCAAGTTGACCGGCAAGAGAAGAACCCGAAAGCAGGTCTCAAGTCACCTGCAGGTGCTCGACTCGTTTCTGAAGGGGGACCCTGATTGTGAGTGGCAAGCATGTGTCGGTTTCTCTAAAAACATTGTTAACACGTTCCGGCAGGGGAGCGACTGGTTCGAGAGACGTCGGCTGAACGGTCGAGTGGACATGCTCAAGCGGCCGCCCCCAAATGGCGGACATCGATGGACCACCCTGCGGCATCCAGTCATTATGGTGGCCACACTCCCTCATACCATGACCACATGAGGTCAATGCAGCCCTACGGAGGAGATCTACCGCCGCCTCACTACACCCTGGGCTCCAACATGCAAGAGGCCGGACCTAGCAACATCCACGGGTTCAGCTTCGACATGTGGGTAAGCGCGCCTCAGCAGGTGAACCGCATCGACAAGGCCTTGCACGCATATACCCGACTCCAGGGAGATCTGCACCACCCTGCAGCGCCACCCATGCCTCTAGAGAGTGTAAACGGATGGCGCTCCTCATTTCCTCACTTGTCCTCACTGATTGACGATTCTAATGGTTCCCTTGACTGCGATATCATCTTGCTGGAGGTCAACCTCCAGTTGATGACTGACTTCCCTCCAGCGGGCTCGCGGCTGGGAATTCAACTAGACCTCGATTTCGCTCACCCAACTGCAGGTGATGTGCTGATGGTTGGCCAGATGGACAACTGGACTTGCAGTACACACATCTACAAAGACAGTCAAACACTACAGGAGAGTTACCACGATCTCCCCAAGACACAATCGACAAAGGTCAAGCCACTCTTTGAGTCCTCTTGGTGGGCTAAACTATTCACTGAGTTGACTCAGGAGAAGCGGATAGCCGAGGACTCGGGACAGCCCGAAGCTGCGCACGCCGCTGATGACCACGCCCGCCGCTTCGTCCGCTCTCTGTCCGCGGTGCAAGAGCTGCGCGCCGTGCCACCTAGCGCTCGGCGGCTCTCGAACCAGTTCCAAGCTCACCATGGCGAGGAAAGCAAGCGCATGGCGATTTTGGTCTGGAAATTCCGCCAGACCCGGCCTGGCGAAGTGGGCACTACAACCTGGCGACGACTGATTCCGCCGCCAGATAGAACCTCCACCAACAGCCCGCGGCCTAACTCCGGCGTTGACCTCCCCCCTCTGTCTCTGGAATCGATCCTCCTTAACAACAAACCCTCTCAGCCCCAGCCCGTCTACCATGCGCAGCAGCCGCAGGACTTGATCCACCCGCAGGGCCAGCCCCAGCCCCAATGGCCCATGTACCAACCATCCCACGACAATGTGGCTAATATCTTTAATTCGTCCGGTCATCTCGACTTCATGACGTCGATCTCCAAGGCCGAAGATAGCCTTGGTGACAAGACGGCCGTGACCTCCGTGCTGGACTCGTTCCCTGCCAGCCTCGCCCCGGAGACCTCCCAACCCAGCAGCGTGAACGCCTCCAGCGGCGGGCCCGTCATGCTGAACGTGCACGATTTCCCGCTCTCGCACTCGTCGCTCGGCTACAGCATGGGCTCCGACACCCCGCAGTACGTCCCATCACAGCCGCACGGGATCCCCATGCACGACAGCAGCAGTAGCATGCTCAACGGCTTCTTCGCCCCGGGCACGCAGTCCCTCGACGATCTGGGCCACAGCCACACGCCGTGGGCCACGCACTCTAACCCGATCTCTGGGGATGTCGGCGCCGCCAGCAGCTACCACCATCTCCCCTTTCCAACGGAGCATGCGGTGCCCGTCTCGCGCGAGCCGCAGCAAGCGCACCACCACTTCGATGGCCTCATGCCGCCGGATGACCTGATGGACAAGCTTGTCGGACGCATTTCCAATGGCTCCGGCATGCATGGGGCGGGCCCTGATCATGCTAATGCCGGCTATGCTGACAACACTTCGGTGGACGCCGTTTAATGACCCCTTTTTAACTACTTCACACTACTAAAACACAAGAGAAAAAACAAAAAACCTCACAAAAATTTATTGGTAATGATAATTTTTTTGAAGCACAATCCATGTACGCGGATACCTGTACTGTTATTTCTTTTCTTCTGTCTCATCTCTATGTTTTTGATCCGGGATGGGAAGGGTGTTTATGATGGGATCTATGGGTGTTCAGAAGGGGACCAACCAAACCCCTGGCGTTTTGGGGGAGAATAAACCCCCCTGTTGGATTTGTATTCTTCGATTCTTCCACAATCGATCTCTTTCTTGTATATTCTGTCTGCTGCAGGGTAAAAACCAGTTTAGCCGCCACCTTTAGCCGGTATGCCCGGGCTGGATAGTGTCAGATACCGTGTGGCGCACTTTAGCCTGGAGCCCGCTTTTTTCTACTGCATTTGAGTTGATATTTGCCGTTGCTGAATTTATTAGACTGAAAACACTTTCAAAATGCTGGAGGCCACAATTTGAGGTTTTTTGGCCTCGCCATATCTCTATCAGGTCGGTTCCAGCACTCACCTTACAAGACGTGTATACTCACTAGTCCTTCTAGAATTCTTGGGTTCACTTGATAACTATGGCTGCTCCTACCATCAAGCTGAATAGCGGCTACGATATGCCCCTCGTGGACTTCGGGCTGTGGAAGGTCAGCAATGACACCTGCGCCGACCAGGTCTACAATGCCATCAAGGCGGGTTACCGCTGCTTTGACGGGGCGTGTGGTGCGTTTCTTTTCTTTTTGAATTCATAACCCCAGATCTGCAGACCACAAGGGGGGAATCGTCACTGACCACACATAGCATAGATTACGGCAACGAAGTCGAAGCCGGCCAGGGCGTAGCCCGCGCCATCAACGAAGGACTGGTGACACGCGAGGAGCTCTTTATCGTATCTAAGCTATGGAACAGCTTCCACGAAGAAGACCAAGTAGAGAGGGTCTGCCGCAAGCAACTGGACGACTGGGGCATCTCGTACTTCGACCTGTACATCGTGCACTTCCCGATCGCCCTGAAATTCGTGGACCCGAGCGTACGGTATCCACCAGGATGGACATCAGCCGACGACAAGCTGGAGTTCAGCAGCGCGACGATCCGGGAGACCTGGACAGCCATGGAGACGCTGGTAGATGCGCAGCTGGCGCGCAGTATCGGGGTCAGCAACTTCAACGCCCAGCTACTGATGGACCTTTTGCGGTTTGCGCGCGTGCGTCCGGCTACCCTGCAGATCGAGCATCATCCCTACCTGACGCAGCCGCGGCTGGTCGAGTATGCCCAGCGTGAGGGTCCTGTTGTCACGGCGTACTCGTCGTTCGGCCCGCTCAGTTTCCTTGAGCTTGAGCTTGACGATGCTCGCGATACCCCGCTGCTGTTTGATCATGCCACTGTGGCGGCTATTGCTGATAAGAATGGTCGTACCCCGGCTGAGGTGCTCCTGCGCTGGGCTACTCAGCGCCATATTGCTGCCATCCCCAAGAGTAACAACCCCACGCGTCTGGCGCAGAACCTCCAGGTTACCGACTTTGACATTGAGGCTGGTGAGATTGAGGCCATCAGTGCTCTGAACAAGGGACTGCGCTTTAATGATCCGATTGCGGTGAGTCCCCCTTTTTGTTTGGTTGAAGTGTCCATGCTGATCGATGCAGTACGGCTTCTATGCGCCGATCTTCTAAACGGATGGATAGCACCGAATATTGATAACCGTGTTAATTAAAAATAAAATTAATTCCCTGTAAGAATGGATTGGTGCATTTACCATTAGAATTGCTCGCTTTCTGTATTTGTGTCTCTATACTTATGTTGTCTCTATACTTCGGCGTAGGCCAACGCCAAGACCCACCGCGACGAGATCGACATCCTCCATCTTTCGATCCGCTCTTCTCTCCAAGTCGCAACCATGTCCTCCCCCTCAGTTCTGGCGCGCCTAGCCTCAGGGCAGGTGCACATAACGACGAGTCCCGTGCCACGCTCATTGGGAGAGAGCAAGTTGGTGCTGGCAGCACTCCAGAAATTCGGCGACGTGATAACGTTTCGCAATCTGAAGGTACTTGCGAGCCTACACTCGACAGAGCCCGGCCTATATATCCACACATACTGACACACGTGGAAACGCAGTACGACACCACAAACGACTCGAAAAACGACAACCGCTCGATCGTGGCCATCTTCGAATCGACCGACGCCGCGCAGCGCGCCATCGCCGCGTCGCCGTTGACGGTGGACCTGCCCCAGGACTCCTCGTCATCCGTCTTATCGAAAACAAATGCGCCCTCCGAGCTGACCTGCACTATCCAAGCCTCATACCACAACCATGAGCGCGCCATGCGCCGCAGCCCGTTCTACTCTACGTACAATATATTCAAGAACAATGCCGTGTACGAGGACCTGACAGGAAGAGAAACTGGGATCCCGCTGCCCGCGCTGGGCGATGCGCTGGCTCGGAAGAAGTATTATATCTCGAACCGTGTCAAGGATAAAGTTCGTCAGGAGACTGAGTGCATGGGTGCTGGGAGTTTGATGGGGTTGTGGAGGGAGGGGATGGAGTATACAGAGGACAGCGGGTCGAATGGCAGTGAAGAGCACAAGGAGACGCAGGGCGTGAAACCCGGGGAATGAGTGAAGACTCTTGAGGCTTGTCGTCTTGCCCATATTCCCCCTCCCAGGGGAGCGTATCACACGATCCAGGCGCCCTTACCAGGTGTTCCCATTGCTCCGCTGAAGACTCCCTCGAGGGGATGTATTCAACCTGCATTTGGCGCAAAGGAGCGAAATACCATGAAAGCTCCATGCAGTCAGCATGGCACGGCTCAAAGCCTACCTGCCGAGTTCACCGGCAGGAAGGCATATTGCCGCCTGTCTGCGTTGCATCGCACCATATGGTCCATTGGCGGCCATGCATGTTCTCTGCTCAAGCTATGATATAGTAAGCTGAACGGAAAGCGAGGAACTCGAGGCAATATTCTTCCGGTCTATGGCACTTACCCTAGTTCACGCTATCTCACATTTCTTGAATGTTACTTGGGATTCGCATATACAAGTCTGGCTGCGAGCTACTGTGCGCAGTTCTCTATCGCTGGCTTCTTGATGAGGTGACTTGTTCTTTGCGAATTCAATAGTCGTTACGCAATGAATAAAGATTAAATGTAACTCTGTGTCTGCTAGGATCTCTCATAAAATACCAAGAAGAGTAGTAAAGACATGAGACTGATAGATCAGATATGACATATGACATGCAAGAAGGTGTATAGACCGTAGATGGCCAAGGTAGGTTACAACAAATTCTCTTCAGAGCTACAATGACATAGGATTTCAAACATGAAAATCGACGACGACCACATGGATCTACTGAACGGTGTCATGCCGGACCGTCAGTGGAGGGTAAGACCAGGCCCGGAGCTGTTTGACGCGATTGCTGTGGCGGCGGCGGTGCCGCGCATGCCTGCGCTACCGTCGATGTTCGTCTCATTTGGATTGAGCATGTTCCATGACTACGGGATCGTGTTTGAGTGGCTGGGACCGCAATCTCGGGCAGAGTGGTTCCAGTCGCTGCAGACGGATGAGGAGCTGAGTGTTAAGCGGTGGAATGTGACGCTCATGCCCGAGGCGCGATAGCAAGCCTCGATGAGGTTACCAAGTTGTGGAAGGATGTGGGCGAGGAAGGCATTGTTGCTGTTGAGACATTTGATTACAACCTGGGTTGATATTATTCGGGAATCGGGAAATAATAGAAATATAGAGAAAGTTTCATTGAACATAGACGTCACTTCTCATGGAATAGAAGAACAAGTAAAAAAGAAAAGAAAAGAAAAGAAACATCCAGCCACCCGCTAGTAGACTATAAGACACAAGAAAACACCGGAGCCATGATCTCAGCCAGTATGGGCCACGTAATAGACGAGAGTATAAGGGAAATGGGAAATATTAGGCCAATCTCTCTCACACTCGTACAAAGGCTAAGCAAAAGTTAGGATTGGCCATCATATCCAGAAAAAAAGACAACCAAGAAGAGAGAAAACGTACTTGCGTCGATCTGCGAGATCTGCGGTAGCGCCAACCGCACCTTATTGCGATACAAGGCGGGCCCATTGCTCTGCAACGGATTCCCTTCAAAGTAGACGGTCTGCAGCTTTTCCTTGTTTTTAAGCTCGCGCTCAACCTCCTCGAAACTGGCAAGCTGGTTATTGGAGGCCCAGAGCTCTTCCAGGTTTTCAAGTGCAGATAAGTGTTCTAAATGGGATACTTGGTTGTTGGAGAAATCAAGCACGCGCAAGGAAGGGTTGGATTCAAGGCCGGACAGGTCGGTGACTGCGTTGTGTGAGAGATAGAGCTCTTCGAGGTTGGGCAGGGCGGAGAGGCCGGAGATGTGGGTAAGGCGGTTGGATTGGATCGAAATGATGCGGAGGTTGGAGAGGTGGTCCAGGTTCTGGGAGTTCTTTAGTATTGTGTGCTGGGCTTTAATGGACTCGGGAATTCAAGCAATGTCGCACCTTCATCTCAGTGATTTTGTTCTTCCCTAGCCAGAGCTCCTCCAAGGCAGAGAGCGTTTCCAGATTCTCGATTTCCTGTCACAAAGACTCAGTCAGTTCCATTCAATATCTCAATTTCGAGGAATGCAATCAATGAAAGCATACCCGAATCCGGTTCGCCCCCAGCTCCAGATTCCGTAATGCGGTCAGCCCCTCCAGCCCTTCGATGCGGGTAATTTTGTTTTGCACAAAGAAGATCTCGGTTAATTTTACGAGATGCGACACATTCTTGACATGCTTGATCTTGTTGAAGCTGAGGTCCAAACTAGTCAGGTTATGGAATTCATCCAGGCCCTTGACATGCGAGATGAGGTTATCGTAGAGATCGAGCTCGGTCAGTGTCGCGGCAACGGCGGGAGGGAAGTTGATGCGAGTAATCTGGTTTTGGCGAAGACATAATCGCTAGAGAGATCAAGAATCAGCCCGGCTCTGACACTGCAACCATAGGCTATGGCTGACCGACAACTTTGTCGCAGAAAGACAGAAATCAAGTAAAACAAAAACGAGGGATACACAATGTACCTGAAGCTTGGGAAACCGCTCCAATCGTAGCGCGGGAATCGACGATATGCGACAATGGACCAGGTCAATGTCCTACACGGAGAGATTTCGTCAGCGACCCGAGAACAAGCAGTCGAACAGAAAAAGAAATACAGCGCAAGATAGCCATACCTCTGCATTCAAGTCCTCATCCGCCAATAGATCTGGATCGCCCGTCAGCGCCAGCATTCCCAGCCAGAGAGCCGCTCCCACTCCCAATTAGCTTACCTTCATCCGCCTCGATTTCATCCACGGGGGGTGCATCAGGGTCCGAATAGTCCGAATCTTCCAGGGCCTCTGGGTTTGCGATGACAGCTTTGGGCTCTACCCTTAGCTTCCCGTCCCAGCCTTCCTTGTTCTTCATGATGGATTGCGGGGGGAGGGGAATTGGAGGAGTGAAGGTGGCGGGCGGTGGGATTGCGGGGAGCTCTTTTTTTTTTTGTCGGAAAGACGGTCGCCTATGTTGAGAGTAGTGAAAAAAAAAAGAGATAATCTTCTGGAATTCCACGTTCGAATCACCAGCGAGAGTATCAAGGAATGAGAAATATTTAAGGTGCGATCAACGGAGCTTCGGAGCTGACTACATCACCGCACTGACTAACTAGTTAAATGCCGAATTAGGGATCACCCGACCCACGCCTAGTATACTTCTCGGGTTATGTAGAGCACAGGCTATGAGCATTCAAAATTGATCTAAAAAATACTCCACGTGGAAAAAGGTGAAAAAGGACATGGTTAGGTGCACACCAGAGCTAGCTATCAGAAATCGGTACGTACAAAATCGCGGGATACGCGGTGGGTAGTCGAGCCATAGTCAACTGTTTAGTACTCGAGCGACGCAAAAGAAAGGAAACAAGGGCAAAGTGGGGGGATACAGCGTTGACATAACCAAGACGCCTGCAGAATGCATCGAGAGCGGGCTTGTTACAGGGCACGGGATAAACAGAACACGAAAGGAAAATTCAGGGCGTGGCAGGGAATAGAAACGGATACTATAAGAAAAGGGGGAATTGGCTCGCTCGGAGCGTGGTCAGATAGATAAAATCACAATGCAAAAGGGTCGAAAGATGGCCAGGGGGTAATTGGGAATAGTTTAGAAAAAGACGAATGCAATATATGAGCCACGACCCAGTGGGATACCAGTTCCATCTGGGCCAAGAGGCGTTGGCAAGAAGAGAATTGAATCGGCAAGGGCGGGGGGATACAACGACTCCCCGTGGATGGGGTTGGAAGTTGGAGTAAAAGAGCTTTTCTCGGGCCCAAAAAAGGGAGAAGGGAAACGGAAACGAGGGCTCGCTGGAAAGGGGAATCTCAGGCGTAAGAAAGATCCGGGGACGACATTCACAGGGTGATGTCCAGGACCATGCTGACGTCTTGGACTTGGGCTCCAGCCAGATCCTCAAGGACGGGAATGAGATCAAGCAGCTCGTTGTCGTGTGCGTCAGAGAACCAGCTGCTGATGGGTATTGCGTGTTGAGGGTGGAAGATGTAGGAGGTCGGGGAGTTGTCAATGATGATCGTTTCCTGAAGGTCTCGTCCAACTTGCGAGAGGTCCTGCGTGATGGTCAGGTATGATTTGGAGGGGGATGGGAGCAAATTGCTGAACTCACCTTCACATAATTCCCCTGGTGGTTGTAGCAGCTCTCTCGGAATAGGCGGTGGTGGACGACGTTGTGGATGTCCAGTTGATCCAACAAAGGGTCGCCATACTAAACGACGAGTCAGCGCATGCCCCTCGCTCAACACACAATTTCATTCACTGACCTTGGAAACCGACGCAGTGAACACCACCACTTCATACAGCTCACCCACCCGCTTCATGAACTGATCCACGCCCGGCCGTTTGATGACATAAATGTTATGGTATTGGCCTTCGATCTCCACGGGAATCGTGAAGTCGGCGCGTTCAAGAACCTGAATATGACACGAAATGGTGAGTAAAGTGAGGCGGGCCAGAGAGTTTTGGTGCTTACCTTGAAGCTACTGTGAACCAGAGTCTCATCGAGGTCAAGGACAAGGCACTTCCGGTTCTGCAGGTGAGGCAGAGGCGCCGGTAGCAGCCATTGTTGATCTCCCTCTTCCGATGTCGAGCGAACCTGAGGCGCTGGCGGGGCCAAGGGCGGTGGTGGGGGAAGCACCGGAGGCGACTGGATTACATCTTCCTCGTGTGAAGAATCCTCCGTGCCATCGCCGCCCATTCTTCTCTTCGAAGTGGGTTCAGCTGCAGTGGTATCTTCAGTCCCCGCGGTAGTTTGCTCATCAAATCGCACCGCGGATTGGCCCGTCTTAGATTCCGGCACTGCTCCGTTTACCGTTGTGGATGCATGGTCGCCATGGCGTTCTTTCGAGTCCAAAGACGGTGCCTCGGGCTGCTTGGCTCCCGCGGAAGTCCCCTCACCCTGCGCGCCGGCTGCACGCTGCTCATGAGACTGGGACTGGTCCGCGGTCACGGTCGAGTTTGCCTTCTCATCCCCAAAGTACGCCGGCTCCTTCGACTCCGCCGTGCTGGAGTCGCCGTTGTGGGCCTCCGCCTTGTCCGGGGTTGGCAGTCTGTTTGAAGTGGGTTGCCGTTTGGCGGTCTTCTTTGCAGGCACGGTCGTGTCGTCGGCATCGGCGTCGGGCGACGAGCAACAACTCAAGAATGCGAAAATATTTGACGGACGCTTCTTCTGAGGCTTTGCTGGCTCGGTGGTCTCGGGCGCAGTCGTCGTCTCCTTGTTTTCATCCCCATTTACCACATCCCGAGTCCGTCGCGACCCTTTGCTACTCGCCCGGCTTCGGTCCCTTTTCACCTTGAGAATACTCACTCTTGAGCCCCGTCGAGTCGGCCCACCTCCTGCCGCTTCCTCGGTCCTCTCTGATGCAGATTGTTTGTCTGTCTTTGAGGACCTTCGCGATGGGATGGGAATCAACAAGTGGTGTTTCTTGGGGGTATCTTTGCTAGGGGGCTCTGGAGAGACCGAATCCGACGAAGCCGGATCCGCGGGCGCAACAGAGGAGTCCTGACCAGCTGTCGCATCGGGCGAGGATTCGGGCCCTGGGAAGTGGGGGAAGACACATCAGCTATGTCCTGTCGGCAACCGCGCGCATCAAGCATCAACTTACCGTTTGCATTGGGAGCCCCGGGGGGATTCATCGGTGCTTTGCCTGGGGTTTCCGGAGCTGAGGGTAAGGGATCTCGCCCCGTGCTTGCTCCAGGCATCGGGGGATAGCTGCAGTGTCGGGAGGACACCGCTGAGCATACAACAGAAAAATTCCAGCTTGGAATAGCAAGAGACACACGCCCAAATGGCAGGGCCTGAATGCTCTAGGGCAGAGAGCGCGGCTAATAAAGAGGTCAACACGCCTCCTGGATAAGCAAGCGCCCTGAGCTCTGTTCAGCACGTACCGCCTTCCTCGGAGTGACTCAAGGCCCACCGTTATTGGACACGGCACGCCAAGACGGACAAGACCTGAGCACAGGCACAATATGCGACACGAGGGGGAGGGATTGCAATGCTTCAAAACGAACGGGGGATTGACAAGGCGAGCGAGAGAGGAGTCGGGGATGTCACGTGAGAGAATGGGGGTTGGGACTGGGAAAAGTCAAGAATAATGGGGGCTGAGAGCAAAGGCCTATTCTTGATCTTACTCATGCGAAAGTGAGAGTGAGGGAAAGAGGGGCCACTTGGCACACATTAGGGGGAGGGTCCTTTCACACTTCACACGCTACTCAAGCCCTCGGCGGCTACGGGGAGGAAAACCCATGGGGGAGTCACACACCCCCCCATCCTTCGCTGCAAGACCGATGTACCCTGGTCATGGCCGCTGGACATCTACTGACTAGTTCCTGGGCCTGGACTAGACCCAGTCTGCAGAAGACATATTATTGATCGCTGGAAGATCCGATCAGGGCTGTGGGGGGATCTGAATAGGTGGGTGGATATGTGGCCCCCTTTTTGGCGAGAAAACCCCGTGCGAGAAAACATGGTTAATCATTTCTTGTTCTTGGCAGATGTGACCATCAGGACATTCCTGAGACTATAAGAGACCTTATGATTGCAGAATTTATTTCTTCCCAAGGCTTTTCTCCCACGTGAGGCCTAACTGCGCCCAAGTGGGTAAGGATGTCTGTTGTCATACCAGATGCAAGGATCATGCACTGCAGTGCTTTGATGGCCATGGGGTGCTAATAATAGGATAGTTAGAGTCATTATTGTCCAAGGAAATCTGAATAATCAGCCTGATAATCATTGAATATCGGACCGTCACAACAAAAGCAATTGGGGTTTCTCCATCCACGTGACTTCTCCGCATCCCGAGGTTGTTCACATGCAATGATGCAACGGAGACTCCCCTTCGCATCCTCGACTACGTCGACCTTCTTTCTTCTTTCAACCTCATGGCCTTCGCAGTGTAAGTGAGCTGCTCTCCTGTGAGACGGAGGCCTCACTATTTTCAAAAATGGCCGTCCAGTCAACACTTCGGCATCCACAGGATCCCCTCCTTGCTCTCTACCTCCACTACTCGGACCTGCTGAAGTCCAGGTTTCGTCGCACTTCTAAAACATCCCGGTTAATTGCAACCATTGCACTTCTTTTTTCCATTATTGGCTCAGGCTATGGAGGCTATCGCTGGTTTCGAGAGCGAGCAAAGGAACGAGCCCAGGGTCGCCGACTATTACGGCGCAACTCGGGTATCCGAGGCAAAGATGGATCTCGCACCATCTATGTCCCTTACAAGGGATCCCGCACTTCCAAGGTCTTGATCCATCCGACTAAACCTACCACATTTGACGCACATCGACGGCTGTTCCTCAACCCTCCTGCATCCGCCCGCAGCAGAGAAGAGGCCTCGACAAGCCAGATTCCTCCTCCAACAACCAAGCCGGGCTTGAACCTCGCCTTTCTGCACCAGTTCCTCAGCCTGGGGAGTATTATGGTTCCGCGATGGGGGAGTAAAGAGACCGGTCTGCTGATGAGCCATGGTGTTTTTCTTCTGATGAGAACCTATCTCTCGCTGCTGATTGCGCGGCTCGATGGGGAGATTGTGCGGGATCTGGTTGCTGGCAAAGGGCGGGCTTTCTTGTGGGGCATCGTCAAGTGGTGTGGAATCGGAACCCTCGCCTCGTATACAAACGCCATGATCAAGTTCCTCCAGTCCAAGGTGTCGATCGCTTTCCGAACTCGTCTGACAAGATATATCCATGATCTCTATTTGACCGACAACAACAATTACTACAAGCTCATGAATCTGGATGGCGGCATTGGACAAGGCCCCGACCAGTTCATCACGCAAGACCTCACGCTTTTCTGCTCGGCCGCGGCTGCGCTGTACTCCTCGATGGGGAAGCCATTAGTGGATCTGTTCGTGTTTAACTACCAACTTTACCGCTCGCTTGGTCCACTTGCCTTGAGCGGTATTCTGGCGGGCTATTTCAGTACGGCGGTGGTACTCCGGAAGTTGTCACCGCCCTTTGGAAAGCTCAAGGCTGTGGAGGGCAAGAAGGAAGGCGATTTTCGAGGTCTCCATTCCAGACTGCTTGCCAATGCGGAAGAGATCTCGTTCTACGGCGGGGCCGATATCGAGCGCGTCTTCTTAATCCGAAGTTTCAAGGATCTGCAGCGGTGGATGGAAGGCATCTACAGCCTCAAGATCCGCTACAATATGCTTGAAGATATGATTCTCAAGTACTCGTGGTCGGCCTTTGGTTATTTGGTGACCTCATTGCCAGTATTCCTCCCCGCCTGGGGTGGCACCGGTGGTGTCTCAGAAATGGCCGATGTACCTGAAGACATGGGCCGGGAGCGAGGCCGAATGAAGGACTTTATCACCAACAAACGCCTCATGTTGTCTCTGGCCGACGCTGGTGGCCGCATGATGTATAGTATTAAGGACATCTCAGAACTTGCGGGCTACACATCGCGGGTCTACACCCTCATCGCCACCCTTCATCGTGTGCATGCCAATGCTTATTATCCTTCACGGGGCTCGCACCCCGAGCTCTACTCTCTTGCCGACTCCCAAGGGACCACCCACAATGGATTCGATGGGGTGCGGCTGGAACAGGTCCCTATTGTGGCTCCATCTCTCTACCCCATGGGCGGAGACGAGCTGCTCGAGTCGCTGTCTTTCATCGTCCACTCGGGCGACCATATGCTCATTTCGGGACCAAACGGTGTCGGCAAGTCGGCAATCCCTCGTATCGTGGCGGGATTGTGGCCTGTCTACCGTGGGCTTGTTAGCCGACCGCGCCAATTTGGACTCGACGGTATCATGTTCCTGCCTCAACGACCCTACCTTAGCGTCGGCACTCTCCGGGACCAGGTTATCTACCCCCACACCGAGATCGACATGCGTGAAGCGGGCGAATCCGACGCCGCGTTGCAGAAGATCCTCGACGCCGCGCACCTGGGCTACTTGCCGCAGCGTGAAGGCGGGTGGGATGCTCGCAAGGAGTGGAAGGACGTGCTCAGCGGCGGAGAGAAGCAGCGCATGGGGTTGGCGCGGTTGTTCTACCACGAGCCACGCTACGCATTTGTCGATGAAGGGACATCGGCGGTCTCGTCCGACGTGGAGGGGCTATTGTATGAGCGGGCTAAGGAGCGAGGCATCACGCTCATTACCATCTCGACGCGGGCGTCCTTGAAGAAGTACCACACGTTCAATCTGAGCCTGGGTCTCGGAATGGAAGGTGAACAGTGGGAGCTGGAGCGAATTGGCACCGAAAAGGAGAAACTCGGGGTGGAGAAGGAACTTCAGGAGCTGCGGAAGCGCCTTGACCGGGTGGATGAGTGGAAACAGCGCCGCGAAGAGATTGAGGATGAGTTGCGTAAGGTCTGGACTGCCAAGGGAGAAATTGCGCCTCCACCTTATCAGGAAGTGGTCGAAGCGGGCGTTGAAGAAACCGCCAATTAATTGCGCATATGTATACATGATCGGAGCTGGGTCCTTGAATTTCGTGATATACAATCAAACTATTCCATCTTGAATTCGTCGATATCGTTTTCCTGAACCGTTCCATTTACGGCACGGAAGTACGTATCTAGCAACACATTACATTTTTACCATGCGGCGTATACACATGGGTCGATTGACTCAAAAGAAAAATAGAGCGTTAACTCAAGAATACATTCATGATTCTTACAATCAATTTCCCTGTTCATCGACGCGAACATCGTTAAATATCTTTAATGTGATGGCGGAAGCCAATTAGCCAGGACCCCCTTGCAGTGGATGCTGCCTTAAACTCCACCGCCTACCATATTTAGCCACTCGATATCAAACCCCACGTGATGAGCTCGAGTGCCTTTGTTGTTTCACTCCATAGTTGTTCCAGTAGACACTCTTCACCTTTTCCACTAATTCCAGAGTTGCTCCCATTTAAACCTCTTGACAGTGATTCTTGTCCCCAGTCCTTGCCCTTGGCAAGGCTGGTCAATCCATTCTTTTTGTTCAGGGCTTCTCTGCCCCTCATCCTGGTTTGCCTGCTGGGTATAGATACCTCAGGATGTCTAGCAACACAGAGACCTCTGAGGAGGACCCCAATGAAGTGATCATCCCAATTGATCATAGCCTCTCCGATGGAGACATGAACACCTGGCCCACGGAGGCCAAATACACCATGCCGGATGACTCTAGATGGCGGATGAGTCTGGCCGAGATGTGGCTCAAGAAGACGGGCGCCTATGAAGAGGGTGAGTACTCATGGATACTATAACCACATGAACCGAACTTGCTCTATCTTTCTCGATTATTCTCGGTGCCTCTTCTCCTAACTGTGGGGCAGAGAGCCCTCATGTTACACGGGCACTCTTCTCCTATCTCCTATATTGATTCTTCCGGTTTCGCTTTGGTCTTATATCTTCTCGCCATCCCAATCTAAATCTAATTAGCTAACTACCACTGCGCGGTTAAGGTGTCACTTACATCATAGAGAGCCTTCCGGAAGGTTATGGTCTCTTTTCAAGACCACGAGGAACCAACCCTTCGATTGTAAGTGCTTCTGACTCCCTCGCTCTCTTCAAAAGTTTGTCCAAAATTGACTGACTCGTTGCGAACAGCAAGATAGCTTTCTCCACGGCCATCCGAGTGGGATCTACTTCCAGTCCCGAGTAACCTTCTTCCCTCACTTCTATCATTTAATGACCAACAGTATCAAGGACTGCCCCTGTGTACCGTGCAAGAGGGCTGCCAAAAGGAACTTTCCCACCAAGAGAAAGAGTAAGTCTTCTTATTTCATCATACTTCTACGCACGTTGATTTGACAACCAAGCAGAGCGCACCATGGAGACCTCTCAGCCCCAAAGCCCTAGTCCTTCGTACCCCTGTGACGAAGAGGGGCCTGACTACTGGCGGATCTTGGTGATGAAACTAAAGAAGCAAGGGACCGTTGACGAAGAGGTTGAGCAGCGGATGAACATGGACTGGGTCTTGACCCATGAATGGCTTGGAGAGTTCTTCGAGCGAATGAAGCTGCAAGCCGCCTTTATTCCCCGCCGGGGCGAGACCGTGCTCTGGACTTACTCCCTCGAGGGACAGCTGGTATGGAACGACAAAACCAATGCCATCGAGATGTTGAGTGACAAAGGCGAATGGCTTGGCATTCCGGAATGGCGCGCTGGAGTGGTCACTCAGGTCCCTGAGGAGGAAACTGTGGTTCAAGACATTGTGGAAACTAGCAAGAAGAAGCACGGTGTGAACTATTCCGGGTTCCGTGTCGAGATGCTACCAGACCCCCTCAGCGATGACAAGTCCTTCTCGCTGCAGTCTAGATACCTCCCGCTGAAGTGCATCAAGCCTATGAACAGCTGGGAAATCTTCCTGCAGACTAAGCGTCGCGAGGACTTGCACCCGTCTATTGAGAACGCTCTGACCACTATGTCCTCGTGGAGTCTACTAACCAAATACCGCTTCGAAGGAACCTGGCCCGACGCCTCCGTCTTTTGCAAGGGTATCTACATTGGATCGGAGCTCCTCGTCATCAAGGATGCCGTGCGGCTGAAGCCATGGGGCTACAAGCTGGCAGAGAACGAGGATGACACCTCGGCCAAGGGCCTTTTTCACCTCGTCACCGACGTGATGGTTATCGAGGAGATCCGTCTTGTGCTGACCGACTGTATCGACGACCCGCAAGACCCACAGCTTGCAAATTTGTACAGTCCCCGAATCTCCGGCAAAGTTTACACAATCGACCAGCACCGTGCCAACTCCCAGCCTTTCTCTGACGACCCGATTAAACTGATGACAGCCGACGAGGTGACCGCCGCGTTCCAGCAGGTGGGGATGCACGGCTACGGGGGATGGCGCCAGGTTGCGGGCGGCAAGTCATGCACGGTCTCACAGACGATGGTGCTCGGCCGCTGTCACGAACCGGATGCCAACGAGTTCCTATACGGCGACCGACTCCTCGGCCACGATCTGCACAGCGTTCTCAGCGGCCGCCGCTTCTCGACCCAGGTCGACGCGCGCATCCCCGAGGACAAGTCCTGGTTCTGGGGCGACTACCGTGCCGAGACGCTGGGCATCACCACTATGAACAACATCGACTGTGGTCCGGGCGCCGAACAGCGCGCAGACCCCGAGCGCTGGCAGGCCATCCTGAAGATCGCCCAAGGCACCCACACCCCCGGCGATGTCCGCCGTGCGAAGCTTCCCAGCTCGGCAGGTCGTCCGCCCACCAAGCCTGAATTTGCTCAGCTCGGAAAGACGAGTAAGCTGGTCAGCTCGGCACTGGGCCCTCCCTCTGACAGTGAGAGCGAGGATGTTTCCGACACTGACAAACTGGGCGGCAACATCTCGGAGTTGGAATTGTCTGGACATAATCTCACCGAGTCGATTCATTTCCGTGCGGGAGCTGAGGATGACGACGATGAATACGCAGATGAAGATGGGGATGATGACGAGAAAGGTGACGAGAATGACGACGAGAAATGGCGATGAACGCCATCAACATGGGGCCAACTGGCGCTCCATTCTCAAACACTGAGGTTCTTCCTCGGCATGCATTTCTGGGCTACCTGGACGGAAAACCTACTTCATAGTTATCGACACTACTCTATGATCCTGCCCAGAGAAAGCTCTTGAATAACTCTCCACACCCTGAGGGTCTCAGCTCTGTTCGGATATGTTTTTTGTGCGAAGGAAAAAGGATTTACGAATGACGAATTGAAGATTATGCTTTGCGGGTAGACCGAGGGTGAGCGAGAGACGTTAACACCTTGAAACCCTTTCCTGCCCAACAGCAAGCCTGCATGTACGACTAGAATCGAATACCAATACTGCTTGAATGCAAGTACCAGATCATCTGCCGCGGGAACATATGTTGCAGAACGTTAACTGAGAGAGTCAACATGCATATAGATTATCTACCTTTACATTGCCAGTCCATGCTCAATACGAAGACAAACCCAAGAAAATCCCCCCAAAAAAAACTAATAATTCCGCTGCACAACCCCCCGCGCAAACTCCGCAAACGTGAGCCCCGGCTCAACCTCCTCGCCAAGATTCGGCTGCGTAAACACGGCAAGCGTATTCCGGGCAATGCGCTGCTCGACCGCCGTGCCCGTGCAGCAGCGCGCGCCCTTGACAAAATGCGGCACGGCGCGGAACCGGCCGCGCGTGATGAGCTGCAGGGCCTCGCCGGTCTGGAAGGCGAGGCAGTCTTTGGGGATGTTGACCTTGACGATCTCGTCGGTGCGCGAGCGGATGTAGAGGCCGGCGGATGGGTCGGGGGATTGGCTGAGTTCGGGGAGGACGGGGAGAGTATCAGGACTATCAGCAGAGGCAGAGGCAGAGGCAGAAGTAGAAATAGAAGCAAGGCTCGGCGGGGAGGCTGCTTCGTCGAGGAACATAGCCGAGGTAAGGCCCGTCAGACAGCCATGGTCAAAATGAGTAGCGCACCAGTCATCGTCATCGACAGATTCTCCTTCTTTTTCTGTGGAAGATGCAACAGAACCAGGAGACGGGAAATAATGCAGCAGCCGCGCCTTGGTAGTCAAGCTAGTCGTCACGACATGGTGCAAATAGCCAGCCGCATAGCCCTCGATATTAGCCTCGGCGTAGCGGTCACAGGCGCGAGCCACCAACGCAGCCGTGTCAATCACCAAGCGGCACAGACTCTCGACACTATCCCGGAACGAGGGCAGCCTCGCATCTGACGGCCAGATATTGGGCGCCGTGTACTGCGGCAGATCCGGGAAGCCGTCGGCCGGGGCACTCTGCAGCGCCTGGTCCTGATAGAAGGCGCAGTTGACATAGTATGAGCCCTTGAGGGTGTCAAACTGGCCTGATTTCAGGGTTTCTTTGCCGCAGGACCAGCCCACGAGATATTTGGATTCGGGGCTTGTGAGGGAGTCTTGTGTGGTTGTTTTGTTAGTGTTAGTGGGTTGTATAATTTCTGGCACGCACACACAACTGGCCTATAAAATCGGTATAGAATTCTCACCTAGCTCATTGTCGGGTAGTGCAGCCAGGTACGAGGCATTGGAAAGGACCTGCGCGCGCAACTGGACAAATTCCTCGGGCAGGTCTTTGACGACGATGATGCCCAAAGATGACGGGCCGAAGGCTTCGGTCAGCGTGTCGAAGGAGACGGTGCCTGCGTGGGGTTAGTCCCTTTTTTTATAGTTCAGTTCATTGCTGTTAATTATTACGCACCATCGACCAGCTCCTGCAGACTCACAGTCACTGCCTGGGCCACGCGAGCCATAGTGAATGGGGGCAGATGAAGCGACGATGTTTCCCCGCTTCGATAGAAAAGAGTCGGCTAGCAGCGGCGTCTTGATACAGCGAACTCCGCTCTTTTATGCTAGTCTCTCCTGCTGTTTTATATATATATATATATATTTGAGTATGAAACAGAGAACGTTTTATACATGGATCAACTTTTCTCGGAGCATACCGATATTGTACCATGGAAGAAAGCCTCTTCAGCGATGAAATATCACGGACACTCGATCTCATTGACTATCGTACACTCCCCAAAGTAGAGAGTGAATACATACATACATCACTCGCTACTCGACAGGCCACCACCAGGCCGCCTCGTAACAGCCCTCAAATTCCCAAACGGCAACACATCCCCAATACGCTTCGCACCCGTAAACAGCATACAAAGCCGGTCAATACCGCACCCCCAACCCCCAGTAGCAGGCAGACCCCACTGGAGCGCCTCAAGGTACGATTCATCGATCTCACCCGGCTCGCCCGCATCGTGGCCAAAACGCAGCTGGTCCTCGAACTTGCGGCGCTGCTCGAACGGTGAGTTCTCCTCCTCGTAGGTATTGATGAGCTCTTTACCCTCGACGAAGAGCTCGGCGCGCGCCGCGACGCGCTGGTTGGTGGTTGGGTGGGCAAAGGACTTGGAGAGCGGGGAGAGGCATTCGGGCGGGTGGGTGATGAAGGTCGGGTCGGTGCATTGCGGCTCTAGGTATGTGCCGCAGAGCTCGTCGAGGAAGCGGGGGAGGGTGGCGTTCTCGGGGATGGGGAGGGATTGGTCGTGGAAGAGTTGGTGTAGTTCTTCGAGGGCTGAGGGTGCGTCGAGGTCTGGCAGTTTGCGGCCTAGTTGCTCTTCGAGGCCGGGGATGAAGTCGATGCGTCGGAAGGGTGCGGTGAAATTGGCGGCTGTTGGCTGGAGGGTGCCCTCTTGGTTGTGGGCGTGGATGTGTGCTGCCATGCCGGAGAGCAGGTCTTCGGTGATGGTCATCAGGTTCTCGAGATTGGCGTACGCGTGGTAGAATTCGCAGGTGGTGAATTCGGGGTTGTGCGTCTTATCCAGCCCTGAAGTCAAGTTCTATTAGCACTGCTGGACATTTATATTGCGTTCTTTTCAAGTTATATGCGCACCTTCATTGCGGAACGACGGCCCAATCTCAAAGACCTTGTCGAACCCTCCCACAACCAGCCGTTTCAGCCACAGCTCCGGCGCAATTCTCAGCGACAGCTGGCGCTCGGGAAACTCAGTAGCAGACGTGTAGAACGGGCGAGCAATGGCGCCGCCGGCTACAGACCCAATGATCGGGGTATTAACCTCCATAAAGGACCGATCAAGAAAGAACTGACGGAGATACTGTGTAAGAGCAGAGCGAGCCCGGATGATATCCGCGGCGGCGGGATCGGCGAGAAACCGAACATGGCGGGGGAAGGGGGAGGAGGTATCGTGCGAGGCATCGTGAACAGGGACATCGTGCAAACAGGGCGACAGCAGCTGAGGCAACTCGGTAGCATCGATGGTGAGCTCGCCTCGACCGGTGCGGTGCGGTGTACCGGTTACGGCTATACAGATTGATTTAGCAAGGGAAGGGAGGGAGAGACGCGAGCAAAACATACAGAAAGCGTCGCCACGGCGCAGAAGACGATAGAGCTTTTTAAACTGCTCCGGTGAAATAGCGTCCAGCCGGCGTTTGTTGCACATCACCTGCAGCTTATGGCCATCTTGCACGAGATCGAAGAAGATCAATTTGCTCCCGGCGAGTCTATACGTACGAATCCTACCTAACTAATCTAAGTACATATGGCATGGGGAAAAAAAGGACCCCGAAGGATCAGAGCAGGCGGACCTACCAGAAACAACAACTGTGTCATTTTCTACTGATTCATTGTCGGCCAGCTGGCTGTATCGAGTGCGAAACTCGGCAGTGCTCAGGGTGCGCGGGTCCACCGCCAGACGCGGGTAGGGGTCTGCGCAGGCATTCTTGATCTCCTGCACCCGCTCTTGAAAGGCTTTCTCGGGCGAAGCTGTGGAGCTACCATTTCGGATAGGCTGTGAGGTTAGTCGAAGAGATGTTCCACGAAGGAACTGGGAACGAGAAGGTTGAGTGAGATGCAGTCCTGCACTGAGAGGTCGGGGTCAGCAATGACTCGACAAAATCAATGCAAAAAAAAAAAGGTACAATTGCAATCCAAAGAAGAAACAAGAGCTTGTCAGAGTTGGTAGAGTCCAGTGCGTTCATCTGCTCCGTGAGGAACATCAACTACAGCGGTTCTGAAAGTAGATGGGATAAAATCATCATTCGAAGCAGAAAAAAGAATCAAATCAAATTTAAAAAAAAACCATTGTAGTCTTACCTGCATAGGCCATGGCCCAAGGGCAAGGCTCTGGAGCGAATCGACTGCATGGAGAAGCAGAGGGCAGTCACATCGTGAGTGAAAAGAAGAGAAAAGTGCGAAGGGGAGAAACCCGGCAAAATCTCTCTTGTGGCCCAAGCTTCCCGAGTCCGCGTGTCCGACTTCACTTTGAGAACCATCTCTCTCATCTTGGTACGTTGACCTGATCAAAAAGAAGACCACATTCCTCGTCTTGAATTCGTGCCTATAGTGTGAATTCCCAGAAATCTATTCTTTTCTTCATCTCCAACTCATTACATTGTCACCATGTCGTTCCTTTTCGGCGGTCCCCCCAAGATGTCCTCGGCAGAGAAGCTTGCTGCCGCCGAGACCGAAGTCGAGATGATCTCGGACATGTTCAACCGGTGAGTCATTATTGACCTCTTCATGATTATCCCCATTGGCATTCCATGATATGATGATGTGTCCCTGGATGGTCGCTGACGGTCGCGATTTGCTGTTACCAGGTTGACCGAGTCCTGCACCAAAAAGTGCATCCCGACCGACTACCGTGAAGGTGACCTCAACAAGGGCGAGTCCGTGTGTCTGGACCGCTGTGTGTCCAAGTTCTTCGACGTCAACATCAAGGTCAGCGAGAAGATGCAGGGCGAGGCGGCCAGCAAGCAGGGTGGCGCCGGCTTTGGCATGTAAAAAGTGTCATGGCATGATGCATGAGGAAAGAGAAGGAAAGGAAAGGAGGAAACTGTCATTTTATAGAGGGAATGATTTAGGATCGCTTTTTGATTGCTAGATGCTTCATACGTTTACGCCATCGCATCTATGTGGAACATGTACAATAGGGTGGACAAGGAAAAAGAAACCGGAGAATGAAACCAAAAATATAAGGAAATACTATACAAGCTTCTCCTGGACGCATCGAACCCATTTAGCGATTCAAAAAGCCAAGGGATCGTCCGAGCCACTCCATCCATGAGGAGCCGCTGTGCTGCTCTTCACCCTTGACCAGGGCCTTGATTCTCGTTTCGACGTTGACGATGTGACGCTCGAAGTCACCTAGGCCAGCCTCCATGTCCTCGACTTTGGACTCAAGAACATGCAGTTCATAGTCTAATTTGGCACCCAGCAACTCCACGCGTTTGACACTGTCGTTGAGATGCGAGTGTTCATCGGTGAGCAGGTCGCTAGACCGTTCCCGCAATCGCTGATAATCGCCGAATCGCTCCAGGTAGATCGAGTTAAGATCTTCGTGCCGGTCGTACAGAATCTGGTTGAGCCTGTCCACCGATTCCACCTGTCGCTCAACCCAAGGTACGGTGCGTTGGCTCAATTCCAGAATACGGGAACTGAAAATGCGCGCATCCGATGCGAGCATGTCTTCCTGGGCGATGGCCTCTTCGAGATCCGCGGTGTCTTTGACCATCGCTTTACCGCCCAGTGGCTCCCAGTTCAGAACCACCTCTTCGACGGTGCTGAAGGAAAGGTGTCTCGCGGAATTGTGGTCTCGTCGCTGGATCTCGCTTTCGATATCTCGCAATTCTTCACAGCTCTGCGGTCGTCGCAAGGCCATCAGGGCCAGACCAGTCACTGGTTCGTCACGATCACGGTCACTCGATCCTGCCGTCGACCGGGTCCTTATACGTTCTATGTCGGACTCTTCGTCGGCAGCTATTTGATCAGGGTGCTGGTCCTGAGATTCAGGATCTCCGGAGGGCGCAGATTCAATGTGGATTTCAGGTGGCTTGAGCTCGCCCCCTGAATCAAGTGTAGTGGTGGGTTGAGTAGTGTGATCATCCTCATGAGGCCGAGCTCCAGCGTCATCTCCCATTTTTGGGTCAGGCTGAAAGTCAGAGCCTGTCCGTGTGTGGATGAAGGGTCTTTCAACCTCGCTATCGATGGATGGACGGTAAGCAGCATCGTGAGTCAAATCCATGCTCTCGCGATGTTTATGGTGATGGGAACGTAGACCTGGTATTCCCACTGCGTCCTTGAAGCGACCAAGGCCAGCCCGAGCATCAGAGACGCGGCCACTGACAACTTTTCTTCGGTGCTCCTTTTCTTCCGTAGCTGCCGGATCGGTGGCCTTGGAAGGTCGATCCAAGCCTGCCCCAACACGATCAGGGGGCAAGTCCTCGGAGGAGTGCTGCTTCTTGCGACTAGTCCAGACATAGCCACCTTGCTCGTCGGCTGTAAACATCATATTCGCCCCCGGTGGGCGTGAGAAGGTGTCATCAAAGCTCTTGCGTGGTTTGCCCAGCCACAACCATTTCGCTCTTCTCCCGTAGCAACACTGTACAAAATTGTCCAGGTCGAGGGTTTCGACATCGGCAATGCCTCCTTTGTCACGTCCGCGTACCATGCCCATGACCATTTCACCACCTTGGCCGCTGAGCTCGGCCATAGTTGACTTGACGGCGTCAGTCCAACCCTCTGAATTCGCCGCTTTGGCCGTGGCACGGTGTAACCGGTTTAAGGTTGGTCGGTCCAGTCTTCGCGACCGGCTCATCTTTTGTGATTTTTGGAAGCCGCCAATCCCTCTCTTCAGGTTGTCGATATCGAAGGCATCCTTCGGCACGGGGGCCCCGTAGGCGTGGAGTCGGTTTCTCGCCCCTAGGAGCGTGCCTAACAAGGCGGCCACACTGGTCGGCCCCAGGATGCCATCGTTCGGCTCGATATTGTACAGGTCGGTACCGATATCGGTCCACCAGTCGCTAATAGCTGCCTCGGTTACGTCGCAGAGCAAACCATCCACATACTCCGGAGCGAGCTTGCCGAACACCAGCAGCGCGATTTGGCAGAGCTTTACCAGATCAATAATTGCCGCGTAGAGAGGAACCCGCTCACTGGTCCGGTATAGCTGATGGAATTTCGCCCCGGTGGCTGTTGACGGAGGCTGAAGCTTTAAGCCGGCGCGGCCTGCGCAACCGAGGCGCTTCAAGTCCTCATTCACAATAAAGTCTTCCCGATGTCGCTTGAGATCACCACCTGGCACCGGTATCACAGTAAGAGCAGATGGGAACGAGCCCAGGTCCGTGACCATGACCGTCCCCAGAGGTGTCTCCTTTTTCCGAGCATGGGATTGCTTTACCGCATCGAAGTACATGCGCAAACGCGGCGACCATGTAGTTTCATCGGTAGCAACGCTGAGTACCCCAACGATCACCGTATGCGAAGGGTCGCCGGTGTAGGTCGAGATGATGAAGGTGGGATGGGCGCGCGAGCAGGCCCATTGCTCGACGATGTAGGTTTCGTAGCCTTGTAAGGTCGCGCGACGGTGGAGCACATCGGTAGCAGGGTCTTCTTCGAGATACCGGAGGGCGACCGGGTCAGTGAACACGAGTCGCTGGTGACCCTGCGAAGGAGGGTGATCGGTGCTAGTCGTATGAGAGGCGGGGCTTTCTCGAGTGTTGGAGGCCTTGGCAATATCGCCACGGTCTGCGGCAGCCGGTGCGTTTGCCTGCATGGCAGCTGGTGATTCAAGTCGCAAGGAAAATGAACACCGAGGTGACGAATGACCGGGATCCTTTGGCCCTCGGCTACCTGGCGCACCCAGGTTCACGATGCGAAGGGAGACGCCGACCTTCCTTCGATCCTCCTACACTGTTGATTAGGTAGGAACAGCCGTGACATATCCCACGAATGGCGCTCGAGGCATGTTCGAGGGGCCGTGGAGACAAGCAAGGTAAGGGACTTGGGCAGCCACAACTTGGCCGAACGATTCACGAGGTGCCGACGTCACTACGCGGGCGGTGAATCGATCGACGTCCGGCAACAATGCGTGGAGAGCTGCAGGACGCAGGGGTTTGTAATGGCCGTTACCTTAAAAGCTACAGGAAGTGTTGGATATCTATTCAGGTGCCTAGGGGCTGCCAAGGGATGCCGTAGAATGACTCCAAGGCTACTGTACTTCGAGGGTGGAGCAGCGATAGAATGATAGCCATCAAACGCGACCGACTGACTGCGCTGCTACTAAACTGAGTGGCGAAACAAACGAAGTCATCAAATCTTCTACTAAAATGTCAAATCTCTTCTCTACAGGCCACCGACCTGGGTGGCAAGCAGTAGTGAAAAGAAGGATGCCAGTACTCGACTCGACCTGCACACAGGTCTTGCGTGCGAAGGCACAGCGAGCATCATGACTTCGATAAAAGAAGTCAAGAGCTTCAGATTTTCAAAAATTCCCAGCCGATCCGAAGACCAACTGAAGTGGTCAATTGGGTAGTTTTCAACTAGCAAAAACACGGTCTCGGATGTCTCCTCACTGACGCGTGTAAAACCCGTGCACCAGGATGAAGAAGAAAAGAAAAAAGAGAGGAAAGGGCAGGGGGAGGTGGCCATATTTATATCCTGGGAGAATGGCGCTAGCGTAAGCGAGATGTTTTCTTCGCACCTTTTATTGGCTGAGACTGAGACACAGGACCCACTCTGTATCACATGACCTTTTTGTGCCATTTCCCAAAGAAGATTAGCTCCGTTGGTGCCTAGAAGAACTGGAGGACTCCGAGGCAAGGCATCTGTCTGCCTCGGAGGAAGCCAACAGTAAAAGTAGTCATGTTCATTTCAAAGTTGAATCAGACCTCGGGGAGATGCCTCCTTTCCCGGCCCAATTTCATTGATATGCCGGGCATGGCGGGGCTAGATGCTAGGTCACGTGCCTATGGCGTAACGAACGGCGATCACCTCGATGCTCCGGTTGACCTCCACCCGGCCTCTTGTCATTCAGTTTGCAACGGCCGCGACATATGCAAGATCCATCCCCATCTCAAGAGGTTTTGGGGCTGTAAAAAGCTCGGGAACCTTATATCTCTACGTCTCCACATGGCATCCGGCACACTCGGGCTGCGGTAATCTCATCGACTCCGCACGAGTTGGCCCACCATGGATCTTGTGCAAAAGGAACATGACCGGCTCTTGAAGAGGCTCAAGGCCTCTCAAGGGGCCCGGAACGTACAGTCTACTATTGATTTGCTACAGTCGGCACGGGATACGATTGCCTCTGGTTGGTGAATTTCTGCTAAATCTGGGCCCCCTCATCCTCCGCTGACCGTATCGTCGATTGCTGTGTAGACCCGACCTCTGCTGCGGTGACCTTAGCGAAGCTTCAGAATCCCGTCAAGTCATCTTTCGACACCATCAACGATAGTTTGAAAGAAACCCATAGCGGCTTAAACAAATACACCAAATCACTGGACAAGGTATCGTGATCCTGGATTTATTTCTTTTCCTCAGAGCCCAGTCCTCACCTAGCCACCGCACCAGCTCTTCAAAGATCGGCCTCTCCCTAGTACCGAGCATGACGTTCTCTCTTCCCAAGAACATTTGATCAATCGCGCTATTGCCATGCACCTCCTCCGCGAAGGACAGTTCTCCGTGGCAGCAACTTTTCTTTCGGAGATTGCAGAGCAAAAGGCCACGATGCAGGCACATGAATCTGGCCTCACTTCACCCGACCCTGCGATCAACTTATTCGACATCGACGAAGTCCCCTCCCCCGAGATCCGGAAGCAATTTGCTGCCATGTACTATATCCTGCAGGAGCTGCAGGAGAACAAGAACCTCCTCCCGGCCATCGAATGGTCGAGGGAGAATCGCGAGGCGTTGGAAGCGCGAGGTAGCAACCTCGAATTTGAGCTTTGTCGTCTGCAGTTTGTTTACCTGTACCACGGCGGATCGGACTCGCAGGGCAGCAATGGTCGGCAGGCGGCGCTGGACTACGCCCGGCGCGAGTTCCATGCCTTCGTTCCACGGTATCTCCGAGAGATCCAACAGCTCATGGGTGCCATGGCATTCTGTCCCAATCTACAGGGCTCCCCCTACGGACATATTTTCAACAACTCTTCGGCCTGGGACGACGTCGCCCACTTTTTCACCCGCGAGTTCTGCTCGCTTCTGGGATTGTCGGCCGACTCGCCCCTGTACATTGCTGCAACCGCTGGGGCCATCGCTCTGCCCACGTTGCTGAAGCTGCAGACGATCATGAAGGCGAAGCGCACCGAGTGGACAAGCGAAAACGAGCTCCCGGTTAGACTCATAAATTTTTTTTTTTTTTTTTTTTTTTTTTTTTTTCGAACCAACCATGGCTGACATGATTCCCAATCACAGGTCGAAATCCCGCTGCCACCCTCGTACCTCTTCCATTCGATTTTCGTCTGCCCGGTCTCCAAAGAGCAGGCCACCGATGAGAACCCCCCGATGATGATGCCGTGTGGTCATGTCATAGCCGAGGAGTCGTTGCGGCGATTGAGCAAGGGTAACCGCTTCAAGTGCCCGTATTGCCCCAGCGAAAGCCACCCTAAGGATGCGCGAAAGGTGTTCCTCTAGCTTCTTTTCTTTTCTTTTCTTTTCTTTTTCTTCTAGCGGGACTTGACAGGACCGGGATTTCGGGTTGCTTCTGTATAGGCGTTCGGGAGGGCGTAAGGACCAGATACACACCTTGCAATTCATTTCATATCACTCTGCCAGGTCCCAGGTACCTCCGAGGTACCTCTCCAGTAGCTCATTTCGGGTATTCTGCCTGGGCGGGTACCTGCCTGGTACTTTGTAACAAAAGGAGCAGACGATCCCTTCCCCAACAGGTCATCGCAATCTCACCACGCCTGCTGATTGGCCAATGCAGTCTCGTGACCACGCGCCGATTTGGCGACGGCGCCGCCTGGTCGTTCGCCTGCTTTACGCGTCTCAAACCCGTCGTGACGCGTTCCCATGCCCATTCATGCTCGTTTGGGTAATATTGGATGTCCCCGGGGCCGATCATCCGTACTGCGGGCCCATCTGGACGTCAGGTACCGTCACCAATTTCCAGGGGACGTGGATGGAGTGGATAGATTGGAGATTTCTTATAAATAGCTGCCCGTTCTCCCCCTGAATCCATTCAGAGATTTCCCGTCCATGTCCCTCTCCATCTTGCTTCCTAGTTTCTTTGGTCTCAATTACTTAGGTCACCTACAGTATCTCTCGAGGTGTATTCCTTGCAATTGGGCATTCGATTCAATATTAGCCACGGCAATCAATGGATACCGCCATGTTCTCCAAGAGGACTCCCCAGAGCCCCTCAGATGCCTACACTAGATACCGGGCTACTAAGGCCTCTGCTCCCGGAACCCGTCGAGGGACTCGCAGCAGTCCCAACTCTAACAGTTCGCGACGACTCGAACGTCGGCGCAAACCTGCAACTCCCTCCAATGCAGCGTAAGTAATGTTGACCATCAAGCGCACCAAAGGATACAATCCATGTCCATCAATCTGAACCTAGGGACAATCAGTCATGCTGAAACAATTTCTCTATCAGCAGCTCTCCCTCCCCCACCACACCCTCACCCTCGACATCCCCCATCGTCATGCTCCGCGTCGGCCCGTCAACTCGCCTCTTTGCAGCCCACGAAGCCGTGCTGAGTGCCTCGCCGTTCTTCGCAGCCCGCTGCCACCCCCAAACCCCGAGTCCCACGCCCCCAGCCCGGCTCCGGCCGCCTTTGCAACCGCCCGGCAAGCGCATCGAGCTCCCGGCCGAGCAGCCCGAGGTGCTGTCCTGCGTGCTGGAGTTCCTGTACAAGGGTGACTATTCACCGCGGCTAAAACACAACGCCCGCCGACAGGCCTGGGAACTCGAAGACACCGGCACAGATGCCGAGGGACAGAGTATCGGGGCGACGGTGTTCCACCAGCAGGCTGGAGAGGTTATCTTGAGAGATACGGCTATATAGTGAGTTCTTCTTTCCCCTCTTGTTTTGCTTGTAGTATGTTTTTTTTTTCTTCCAGTGAGTTCATATAGATTAATATATTGTGATTTGCTTTCCAGCTGCGCAGCAGAAAAATACGGCCTCCCAACCCTCCAACGCCTCGCCCTCCGCAAACAGGGCCTGCACACCGGCATCCAGTGCAGCACCATCCTCGCCAGCGCGCGCTACGCTTACGCTCACACGCCCGACACCGAGTCCCGGCTGCGCGCGCACTACCTGGCGCTGATTATCCGGTGCCGGGAGACGTTCAAGCGCAGTGGGACGATGCAGATGGAGATGGAGCGGGGAGGGAAGCTGATTTTTGATTTGTTTGTTGCGATGTGTAATCATATGGTATGTTCAATTTTTTTCTTAGTTATTTTCTTCGAAGAAGAGACGAGGAAGACCGATGCTGATGTATACTAGGACGACGTGCCTCCTTCGACTATTTCGGTTTGTAGCTCGGCTGCTACAACGCATTGAATGGGCTCCAAAGGTAGCAAGATGTTGGAACGAGAGGGACACAGTAGGATTTGGTGGGTTGGTGTTGGGTTGGTTTTTAGTTGTTTCTTTTTGCCGCTAGTTCAGTGTGCACATTTTATATTTTATACCCATGTACTACTACTATTCAATCCTATGGATCTCAATGAAAAATATTTTAAGAATGTGATTGAATGGCATTTTCTTTTATTTCTGGACGGGATCGTCTGGAATGGAACCAATATTTTTCTGTGTGGCCCACCCAGCCATGCTCTTTTATATAGTCTGTTCACCACACGAGGGCCATGGATACACAATGCCATCGAGGAAACCCAGTCTCGCATCTGGAAAATTGGGCAGACTGGATCTATCCAGTACATGTTGCGCACTCGGGAAATTCCCAGTGTAACGAGGTCGTTAGTCATAAGAGGTTCGCGCAGGCCTCGGGCGGAGGTGCTTGGCCACTACTGTCGCTTGATAGGGAGCTGGCCAAAGGGTCTCGGTTTTCCTCAGCAATGCATGGTGAGGTTACTTGAGGTAAGTCATAAATGGTCGTATTCAAGGCGTTGCATCTGATTCTAGACTCCGGTCCCCGGGAAAGCGGCGCCGCCTTTGCTCAGGACGACCATGCCTCGCTCGCGGGCAATATAACCCTTCATGAGGCCCTGCGAAGAAACATCAACCCATCAGCAAGGGATTAAAGCGCGTTTGATCACAACTACATGACTTACCTTGTACACGAGATTGGATAGCAGGCACTCCACCTCGTCGATGTCAACCCGTGATCGGTCAGTCGCATGATTGCCGATCTGGAGGGCTGCCGCAAACTCGGCGACAGGGATCCGAGTTCGCCGGATGGGAGGCCCTCCATCCTTGGGGTCCTCGAAGCCACCTGCAATAAAGACTTTGCGGAACAAGTTGCGCAAGGCAATGTCCCGCCCACGCTCCAACGGCAAGTAAATGCGCCGTTTGACGAACTCCTCCTCTCCAGCGGACATGGCCGCATCGAACCCGACTAAATCACCCTTCCGGATGCAGTTCGAGAGGGGGCGGAAGAGTCGCTCGAGTCGCGGAAATGGGGCCAAGAGCCGTTGGCTGGGAAGTGTGTGAGTCGTGACAAGGTGGCAGGGGATAAGATAGGTGAGGATCAGTCTGCAAGCTGTTCAGTGAAAGTTCACCAAGGTCATGAAACAACACTTACTCTCGGTTTTTGAATGCTCCCCGATGGCACATTCTCCAAGCACTCGTCAGATGCTCTTCTGCCTACAAACCCCATAAGTCAGCGTCCATAGCAGCACGTCAAAGACCAAATTGGGACGTACTTCGGCGTAGTTCTCATCCAAAAAGTGTATGACCCCAACATAGTATTTGAAAGTGACGATATGTGACTTGGGGAATGCCCCCAGCGGAGGCAAATCGGCCGAGGAGGCGTTGATGGCACGAAGAAGATTCTTGGTCAGACCAACCGAGTTGATCTGCAGGGAAGTATTTAGTGACCACCCATCCCGTGCTCCAGGAATTCTTCATACCTTGAAGTAAGTCTTGAAGAGCAAGTTTGTTGTGTTATAAATTCCCCATTTGCGAGACTCCTCGATAGGCGCCCTAAACCCTGTCAGAGGGGCCACCAGAAGAAGCAACAATTGGCCACTCACCTGTCGCTGAGACACAGAGTAAACATGCGATTGATGATCCTCGCAGCCTCCTCCAAGTTGGCATTCTTGTCAATGTCTGCTGCAATGTCATCCTGGAATCCGAATCCCGCCGAGCCCTGGGCGGCCGCTTCAATATCGGCCTTGATCGCAAAGGTCCGCAAGTATTTGCCAACGGTGTACAGACAGGGCAGTGTCCACGCTGGAATACCAGAGGAGCCGGAATATCCCCTGATGAGAGCGTTTGCCAGCTTCTTCCACGTATTGAAAACAGCGATGGTGCTCGCTCCCGGATGGTGGCCTTCGCATTTGAGTATCTCCCCCGCAGCTTCCCAATAAGCCGAGAAGACATCGACCCAGGCGTTTTGTTCGGCTTTCGAGATCTTTACACCTTTCCCGTGGAAGAGCGCGTAATGGATGTCCTTGGATAGGTATGCGGCGTTAGTGAATTGGTAGAAGGAGCGCAACCGATCGGGGTCTTGAGGCGGGGCGATCGGAGTGAGTACCGCTGCAAGAGCAGGGCCCGACCCATTAATATAGGCATCCCTGAACTGGAGAGCAAGGGTACTCATTGTAAGCATCCCCCAGATGTACTGGGTCAACGAGGCACAGTATGTCAGTATACCCGCCAGAGACAAAATGGTGCCCAGGCGACAGTCCCGAAGTACCTCAACATTGAAGCATCGACCCGCGGGCATGTGGGGAACGGCGACTTCTGGCTGGTGCCCTGTAGCTGAGTGCCCCATTCCTCATTGGGACTAGCGCCCACTAGATCGCTTAGGCGAAGGGCGGTAGCCCTAAGCACAATGAACCTCACAATTCTTCATTTCCCCATCCACTAACGACTCAACCACCACAGCGACAATCACAGTGAGTCCATACCCTCTCAACTGTCTTGCTGGCGACTGTTACTAACTCTGACATTCTTCCAGATGGGTAAGTGATATTTTCCTCTCGAATTTTCGGCTTTCTCGGAGATGGCGACGGTGCGTGCGATCGGTTGGACGAAATACCACACGGAGCGAGATCCAACGACAATCACAGAAAAGGACCGGGAGGAGAATAGAAATGGAAAAGACTTGGTTTCAGGAATATTTGCGATGGAATGAACCAACGACACCATTGTTTCCCAATGCCGACCGAATCTCGAAAAACTTTTGGAGGATCCCAACATCCCTCGATCCCCTGGGGTTATCGCCAACCGTGATCGCGCACCGTTCTCTCGTGGAAACAAAAACAACGGCGCCAAAATTCGACAAGGATAATGACTGACCAATTCATCACAGGGCGTCTTACTGAGTACCAGGTTATCGGGCGTCACCTGCCCACCGAGGCGAACCCCACGCCCAAGCTGTACCGCATGCGCATCTTTGCGCCCAACACCGTCGTCGCCAAGTCGCGGTTCTGGTACTTCATGGCTCAGCTCCGCAAGCTGAAGAAGGCCAACGGCGAGATCGTCAGCCTGAACGTGGTATGTTGGAGATGATTCGAAGAGGAGAAAGAAAATATACTAATCACTTTGCTCTAGATCAACGAGAAGCGTCCTCTCAAGGTCAAGAACTTCGGCATCTGGATCCGCTACGACTCGCGCTCCGGTACCCACAACATGTACAAGGAGTTCCGTGAGATGAGCCGCACCGACGCCGTCGAGGCTCTCTACCAGGATATGGCTGCCCGTCACCGTTCTCGCTTCGGCTCCATCAACGTACGCTACCCCATTGATTAGTATTTTGATGGTAATGCTAACCACCTCCACTACAGATCCTCAAGGTCGTCGAGGTTGACAACGCCGACAACATCCGCCGCCCCTACATCAAGCAGCTCCTCCAGAAGAACCTCAAGTTCCCCCTGCCCCACCGTTCTGCCAAGCCGGGCAAGAAGCTGTTCGCTTACTCGCGTCCCTCGACCTTTGCTTAAATGTGACGTTCTGGGTTCTGGGAATGGAGTGTGGATGAATAACTGTTGTGGCCATAGCATGAAGGACACTGGTCGCGCACAAACTACGGCCTGTTTATACTGTCCAGTCCATGGGGCAGGTGTTTTGGATGTCGCTAGTCCCGCGTAGTGACATCTAGAGGTTCAATCGAGAAAAAAAATTACCGGGTTTCTTTGACATGGTTCCGGTCGTAGGCGTGTAATGCTTCGAGTACTACTGCAGTGACATGGCATCCTTGGATAAAGTGCATGATCTGACGTGATCTTAGGTGGTCCATGTCTACCTCGCAAACTACAATGTATGCCCTGGTCATTGTTAGCTACTCTCCGTCTCAGGTATACAACTTGGAAGCGACCGCATGGCCCCTTTTCCGTGCTCAGTACATGAACTTGTAGGGTATTTGGGGATAGGGTTCTAATCTTTTGTCAAGTTAAAAGATATTTTGGGGGGCTACTCTCATATTACTCTACGAAAAATATTATAAACTCAACCTGTTGATCTGGTCGAAGTGCTTAGCTGTGACTTGCAACACTTGGGGATTTTAGCAATCCGCGACCGAGCCCGAGCCCGAGCCCCGAATCCACGCGTGGGCTATTCGAAGGCCTGGAGATCGCTGCTTCGAAAATAGAAAAGTACCTTGGAATCCAAGCTAATGAATACTGGGGCGATTCATGAAAACAGCGAATCGCGGTCCATGCGGTTGGCCAGGGACTATGGCGTCATGCGTAATCCCGGCTCCGCCTTTGCCAATCCGAATTCTTCCCTCCTCTCTTCCTCCACTTCTCTTCCCTCAACTCTGAATTGCCCCAATCCATCACCATGTTCGCTCGTCAGACTTTCCGCTGTGCGCAGCCTCTACGCCAGGTAGGCAGGCCCTTCCCCTTCTCTGAAAGATAAGAAAAGCTAAACAATTTTTTCCCACCAGAGCTTCCGCAAATACTCCGCGGAGGCTGCCCCCAAAAAGTCCTCGCTGACTCCCGTCTACGTGTCGGTCGGTCTCGCTGGGCTGGGTGCTGGTATCTACCGCTACAGCACCGGCTCTGTTGCGGAGCCCAAGGACCGCCCCAAGGTTTTCAATGGCGAAGAATGGGTGGACCTCAAGCTAGCCGGTGTTGAGGACCTCAGCGGCAACACCAAGAAGCTTCGTTTCGAGTTCGAGAACAAGGAGGCTGTTTCTGGCCTCAGCGTGGCCTGTAAGTTATCACCCTGGGTGTGGGTAATGGATTGCTAACGTCGCACGCAGCTGCCCTGCTGACCAAGTTCAAGCCCGAGGGTGCTGAGAAGCCCATCATTCGTCCTTACACCCCTACTAGCGATGAAGGTAAGGATCCCAAGGATTGACAGTTAATTGATCTAAGCTATCCCAGTTGCTAACCTATTATTAGACACCCCCGGCTACCTCGAGCTCGTGATCAAGGCGTACCCCAACGGCCCCATGTCCGAGCACATCCACTCGCTGAACGTTGACCAGCGCCTGTCGATGAAGGGCCCGATCCCCAAGTACCCGTGGGAGGCCAACAAGCACAACCACATCTGCCTGATCGCCGGTGGCACGGGTATCACCCCCATGTACCAGCTGGCGCGCCAGATCTTCAAGAACCCCGAGGACCGCACCAAGGTGACGCTGGTGTTTGGCAACGTGACCGAGAAGGACATTCTGCTGAAGAAGGAGCTCGAGGAGCTGGAGAACACCTACCCCCAGCGCTTCCGTGCCTTCTACGTGCTTGACAACCCGCCCAAGGAATGGACCGGCGGCAAGGGCTTCATCAGCAAGGACCTGCTGAAGACCGTGCTGCCCGAGCCCAAGGAGGAGAACATCAAGCTGTTTGTTTGCGGCCCGCCTGGTCTGTACAAGGCCATCAGTGGTACCAAGAACAGCCCCAAGGACCAGGGTGAGCTCAGCGGCATCCTGAAGGAGCTGGGCTACAACAAGGACCAAGTCTTTAAGTTCTAGACTGTAGAATAGAGAGCCGGGAGTGCGCAGGATCGGCTGTGTATATTGATGCATCTTGTCTTTTGGATTCCCGCTTTTCTCGGCGTTCGCATGTCCCAAGATATCCGATTAGGAAATGTACTTTGATCTAGCCGACTTGGTCGTGCTATGCTAGCTCAAACATTTAGATCATGCGAGCTTGGGGTCAGACAGACAATACTCCGCGCAGGCCCGTTTTGGATGCATTCGAGCAGATTTGGTTTAACCACCCTTATGTGCCGCTACGATTCAAAGCTATTACCAGGCAATGGTCTTATTGTTGGTCAACAAGCCGCAGGAGTCGACTGCCATCCACTCAACTGTATCTGCCCGTCTTCGATCTTATCGGGATATTCTGGAAGATGCTCTTTATCATGCGAGGGAGAGTTGTGGGATTAGTTTGGCTGACCCTACGGATCCAGTGCGCATCGACTCTGTGCAGGCCTTGTTCGTTGCTGGACAAGTGTTTCAAGAACGCCGGGAGCAGGGAGCTCTTCTTGAAAATTTGTCTGGGATTGAAGAGGACCTCGACTGGACTACAAAGTATCATGTCGCTAAGTTGGTGGATGAATGGGACAGGGGTGAACACAGTTATGCTAATTAAGAGAGAAAGTCATTGATCATGGGCAAAACACGGTACACAAGGATTACTGAATCCCTTCTATCATGAATGAAATATTCCGCCTTGCATTTGGGATAGATAGGAGAGGGCGGTTCTATACTAGCGAAAGCAACCAATGAAATATTGACCTGCAATTGATATCGAATGATGAGATTATGCTGTTGAGTTGAAATAAAGATCGTAATGGCACTTAAACACTCCAGTCTCCATATTATCTTGTCCATCCACATGGTATTCAAGACTGGGATTCATCCTCTGGAACGTAAGGAGTTTCATACGGACGCTCGGCCTGGGGAGTGATACGTGCCAAATGGCGACGTTCCCCGGTTGCCCAGTCAATAACCGCAGAGTGAGCAGTGACACGGTTCTATACATCGGTTAGGCACTTTAAAAGCCAAATTAACTCATCAAGAAATGCACTTACATCCCAAACAACAAGCGTCTTGGGAGCCCATCGAATACGAGTTTGATAGTCAATGCCGCGGCCGACATGAGCCAACAAGAAACCCAGAAGAGCATCGCTCTCCTCTTTCTTGAGGCCGACAATGCTGCGAGTGACTTTTCATGGTGTGAGAATCCAGATATTGCAAAGAATGAGAAAAAGTAGATGTACTTACAGCCCCCATTAACGAAGAGCGCCTTCTCGCCTGTGACCGGATGGGTTCGGACTATAGGATGCTCGTTCTTGACCGGCTCCCGCCTCACGACTCCTCCACGCTTCAAACTAAACTCAGCCTGTTCAAACCCGGAATGCACAGCCTTCAGGCCATGCAGGCGTTCCTTGATGGCGGGCGAAAGCCGCTTATAAGCCTGAACTTGATCCACAAACACTGTATCACCACCGACTTCGGGAGCCTCAAGAAGATACAAGAACGTAGTCCCGGGCGGCTGCTGCTCATAAGTGACATCCGAATGCCACGAGACACTGCTATTCTTTTCTGCCAAGTATTGATCATTCTCCCACGCATTGTTGTTCCGGTAGACGAGATGGATCTCAGGATATCCCTCGGGGGCACCGCTGGTAGGATGGATATGATGGCGACCAAAGTAGCCTCCGAAATCAAGGGCCTCGTGGATTGGCAGGTCAGCGAAGTCTTGGTCTCGGAAGGCGACCACTTTGCGTTGCGCAACGAGGAGAGCGAGTTGGTCTTTTCCAGCGGAGGTGAGCTTGCTTAGCTGGGCACCTGTGACTTCGGAGCCGATGCCTGGAGTGAGATTTTGGATCTTGGAGCCTTCCGTTAGGAGATCCTTGAAGGAGGGGTCGGCATCTTTGCCGGGGTCGATATGGGTGAAGGGTTGGAGAGGGGCATATTTCTGGCCATGGTCCCAGGTGGGCAGGTATTCTGGATACTATTTCATGGTTAAGGTTTTGCGTCGGGGGGAGAAGAATAACAGATCTATGTCATGACATACACTCGCAGTAGTCTTCCCTCCTTCCTCGTCGATGATTCTTCTCACTTTGGGCTTGGCCTCGGTTGTTCCTGGATTCACCTTGACAGGAACAACAATCTCCGGGGTGGGTACTTCGGCAATAGATGGCGCCATGTTATGCTCTTTAGAAAATATAGAATGCCCGCAGTTGATCAAGTTGTAGTAACTATTCTAGGATCTATGAGCATCTCCTGACTTAAATATACACACGTCTCGCTCCACTTCTTCGTCACGTCATTTCATTTCAGAATTACGCTTCGCTGCCCAGACTGATACGACATTAGCAAGGGTTGAATTAGAGGATCGGGATCAGAAAGATGTCATCGTGGAGGTCGCCTACAAGTGATATCCATTTTGCCCTGCGATAGTCATTTAGAAACATTCTATATCTACATTTAGACAATGACCAAGTACTTTCACAAACACAGTTTGTGGGGGAAAAGGTTCAAGGTATGAATGAGTCAAGTGGCTAAGGTGTCAATGTAGAATCAATGTCGTGATAAGGTGGGGTAAAGTCACCTGCAAGTAAGGATATCAATGGCGTCTTGCGTGCTATATAAACAATGACATTGTACAGCTATAGTGCCTAGACTATCCGACGTCTAATAGGCTAGTAAAATATCCGTTCAGAGTAAATTTAATGAAAGTTATTTCTGGATAATATAAAGGATAGACTTGCTATTCACCTTGAATACCTTGATTCCTGGTATGACTAGAATTGAAGGCTTGATATAAAGGACTATATGATATTAATAATTTCTTTTCGTCTGTTCACTACGGTCTAGCTGAGCGAGAGCTCGTACGATCTATTATGCTCAAAAGTATATGTTTATTGCCCAGATAAGCGTCTGGCCGCAACAAAGTTTCTACAAGATGCTTACTTTCGAGCTTTTATATGTAAAGATAATCGTTAATACTATCTACTGCTTAACCGCGTTTCTTGGGTTCTTCTTTAAACAATTAACTAACTGGACACCATGAGAATGCGAGAATCCATCTTTCTGGGAGCTGGAGTTGCGCTCTCCGCCGCGGCTAAGTGTGACAACGAAACCTCTGAATCAAAGACATTTTTACAATCCAAGGATATAAATTGATATCCTGTAAGTCGTGTTCATTTTTGCAAGCGGATGAGATTAGTATCCTTCAATGTCACATCCACTTTTAATGTTGTCCACAGAGATCAAAACGCGTTATTATATAAGAGTGGCTACTTTTTCCGTTTCCTGTATAGATATCTGGGAGCTCACCCCTCCAACGCGTTTACTGACTTATGGTGGGGATCGTAGGGAAAGCTGGGGTCCTGCAGAACAGGACTGAAGACAAAGGGTTGATAAATTATGGCAGAAGGAGGAAGCTGGCTAGCTTTTTACTTACCTGTGTACGAGCGGTCTACATATAGAAAGGTGAGAGCTCTAGCAGAGCTCCAGCATCTCTCAACAGTTCTAGTTTTAGTTCTTTGAAATTAGTGCTTGGTCCTATAGTACAAAGGCGCAATCTAAAATTCCAAATAAGAAGCGTCTCTTCGAGAAGTTAAAAGACCTCCAAAAGTTATTGTATCCTAGTTACCTTTTGGTTCTTCTATTGCTTCTGGGTCCTGTTTCAACAAAAGACCGGGTGTTTTTCCTTTATCAGGATCAACCCGATAGATATTCTTCACTTTTTTGTTTTGCAGTAGTGCAGGCAACTCCCAGCCGGTTATAATTAGCCTATTCAAATTAGTATTGCCCTTGTGGCTGCTAGACTTACCACCCCAGGCAGAGTCCAAATCTCAGGATTTATCATCCGGGAAAATATCATTGGGCACAACAAGATAGACATTGCCCTGCGTGGTATATGCAGCTGCCTCGCAAAGATTTTGAGGAATCACATTATTGTAAAAGTCCGGGGCCCCGGTTATATTCGTGGCGACTTGGACTTGACCGGCCGTTCTGGCGTACCAGGGTCTAAGTACCCATCTATCCCAAAGCCAAAATTTCCACTGGGAAGGATTCCACTGCCGCACGTCACTTGTATCCGAATTTTCTCCAAAGTTCCGAACAGCCCATGTACGAGCTTTTTCTACTGGACACTTTGTATAGAAGACAGTAGGCAATCGTCGATTTGATTTTACGGGCCCAAATTCGTAATCTTTGATAACCGGGATAATGTCCTTAACTCCAGGGACTGGCTGGAGTTCGGGGTTATGAATGGAGTCGATTCGCCGAGCATGTTTTAAAGCTCTACCTGTTTTCTGAACGCGACCGAGGCCTGTTTCCCCACCAGTGAATGGATTATCTGGCCGACTGCGCGGCTGTGGCTTTAGATTGTAGGATTCGGGAACAGGTATAGCTGAAAATACAATCCCAAATTGCTAGAGAAATGCAAAAAGCCAAAAAACCAGCATGCTCTGTGCAGGACACTTGGAGATTCCTTTCCAGCTCATGATGCCAATTCTCCCGGGCGTCTTGTAACTAGCTATCAGAAAACGGGCCCCTTAACCCTAAGCCGGGCCCACCCGCCCTCATCCGCCTCCATCCAACTCTTGGATCCTCTTTGGTGGTGGAATACACTGAATAACTGGCCCCTTCCATAAATTGCTATTTATTACAGACGCGAGGGTCTGCCATCCAAACGTACATAAACTATCGCGCAATGATGGGTATTGATAAGGAAAACCCATTTTTTTGACCTCGGCACCAACTACAGCCAACGAGAGGCACTGGGTGGCAGTAAATCGGATCGGCCGTATATACATACTTGAGTACATGGTGACGAAGCGAAGGTAGCAGCTTGTGTGTGATTCTAATAAATTTCTCCGGCGCACCAGGCTTAGAAACTAGCAGAATTAACTCCTCTTGACATGCCAAATTGCCGTGACGAGGATCCGGTCGAGAAGCTGCAGGGCGAACTGCTGACAACTGTACGACCCAGAGCACTTTCTTAAACCTGTTTACTATCCTTTTCGGTCGGTTTCAACAACCTTCTTTGGGGTGACCTCTCCCAGCGAAAGCAATACTGCCCCTTCTCGAGTGCAGTGCATCTTTCTCGCATGCCCGTTACCCAATTCGTTTGCCCATGCTCGTCTGTTCCATGTTCGAAAGGCACACTATAGTCGGGCGGTTCTGGTAGGCTTGGCCATGTGAGTTGGCTGGGTGCATTGAGGTATCGTTCCATGTCCCTGTCTGATTTTCGCGTTGCCACCCATTCGTTTAAAAAGCTGCGGAACTTCGATACATCGGAGTCCAGTTCGCGGTTGCATGCCCATTCAGAGATATCCTGTACCATATTTATAGTACGATCCCAGTGTGGAATGCTCGTGAAGTGTGTGTCGTTTGTGATAATCTCGTAGAGGGTGAATACGACACCAGTTACGTCGTCTCGGTTATTCATCAAGCGGTTCTTTCCATGGGCGGCCCAGTCAAAATCAAAAAGAATGATCTTTTGGGTATCAGGATCGAGGAGCAGATTCCGTGGTGCAATATCTTGATGCATAATGCCCAGTTCCAAGTTGAGGAAATTGACGAGTTCAGTAAGCTGCTGCAGCCACTCAAACCGGAAAGGGACCTTTGGATTGGCGAGAGTACCACCTGGGATATATTTGGTTGTGAATCCAATCACCCGGGACTCCACATCTTCGAGAACAACACGATCAAAAGGTATCAAATTGGGATGCGGGGGCAGGCTTTTAAGAAGATTGAGTTCATTCCAGGCCATATGCAGTCTTAGAGGCTTTCCCAGTGGGTTGAATTTGAATGCAACTTTGTGAGGATTTCCGGATTCGTCTTCGTATGATAAAAGATCAACACCTGGCCCAAGCCGATCGATCTCTTGGAGTTTAGAGTATTGGATTGTGGGAGAATCGGCGAGTGATTCAACAGCCGAGAAAGGAAGATATCCAATAAATATAGTGTCGTCCTCTTCCGGATCAGTCGAAACTCCAGTCAGAAGTCCATCGTTGTTGACTGTAATCGCGCGAACTTCCGGCGACAGAAGATCGGCGAATTGAGCAAAGACTGAGATCTCAATATCCTCTTCAGGTGGAAAGAGCTTAGCGGTCCCTTTGACCTTGACCATCCGCAATTGATCCCAATCCCAAACGTTGCAGTGAGTTTCGGTGATCGGGTTGTCTCGAGGGCCAAAGTAGCCCTGGCCCTCAGAAAAGAATCTATCTTCAGGGTCTATCATGGCGAAATGAATACTTGACAGGGTGGTCTGTATAATTTTGCTTTCGACTTCGAAGCTGGCTGTGGCACTGTGTTGAAGTAAGGGATGTTTTTCATTTTCCACGGTTGACAACCACGTATCACGTGAACGAGGTGGGAAAGCAATTTCTGTGCACCCGCACGGCGCGTAATGAGTGCCTACTTCGATCTATCACACTATAGTGGTGCCCGAGGGTGCCTCTGTGATCAAGTTATGGGGCGGATCACACTTGACTAACTCACATTGACCACTCCCATAAAGCCCGAGATTTATGCGCCGGGCTCGTTCCGAGCGTCAAGTGATGGGCACCTAACCAATATAGTAGTGCCATTGCCCGCTTAAATATAGTAACCTCCTCAAGCGTTTCATCGTAAATTAGAGCCAATCTGGCGTGCGCGAGCCGATGCCTGAAATGTCACAGGTTCAGCAATGGCCGTGAACTAAGGACCCGAAGTATGAGCCAATATGAATGGGCCAGAGTCAGCATGCCCAAGCGCTTTTCTATAAGAAGGTCCAACTATATCCCAGATATCTTCCCTCCGTCAGCATTCCTGATTATTGAGTCTCCTGGGTACCTCTCTATATCTCTATATCTACCGCCTTACAGCTTCTCTCCTTAAGACATCCTTCTCTCAAGCTCTCCGACCAACATGGCCACGCCAGCGATACCACCGGCTCGAATAGGACGGGATGTCTCACGCCGGCTAATCAACCATCCCGAAAACCTAAACGGTTGCTCCTGCGGTTGGTATGTGTGCTATTCCAGTATCTGTGGCCATGCGTACCAGGAGGTGCCATACCACTGCGGCGATAAGACCACAAAGTCCGGCAAAAGTGGTTTCTGTAAGACTCCGGCTCCGAAAGCCATCGTCGCGACGCCGCGGATCAACATCAAGTGCAGGCTCTGTTGAGTATCAATGATTGAGTGAGTGTTACAATCCACCCGTTTCAAGAAATTTATTAATGTGCAATCATTAGGTAGTCATTGCTGCTGCACTGGAAACTCTCGACAAGATTTTTTGGGAAAGTTGTGTTGTTGGTGTTGGGAAAGGGAGAGAAAGGGAGGGTATGAGCAATGGGTTTACAGCGGCAGTTGATGTGGGAACATGTCGGTCATGGTTGCCATGGATCCAGAGCACCAGATCGCCTTTTCCAGGAGTATGTTTACTGAATGGTTTCCCCAGTACGAATTGAACCAGATTATGTTCGTCCCCGCAGCTCCTATTCCCAGCTAGAAACAGGAGTAACAGCTAGACAAATTGGAGCCTCGTATTAATGGCTAGAAATTACAAAGCGCGGCAGCATTTAATATAGCCCTTTATTATTGAGTTTGTACTGGAAAAGGAGGTAAAACGTAAGCAGACTAGTCTGTAAAGTTTTGCCGAATTACGAGCTGGATAGACGTCATATTTGGCCATATTATGAAACTTCTCAAAGCAGCCTCATAGGAGTGAGAACTATATTTGCTAAACAAAGAGATACCTGCTTTGTTCGAGAAACCCACTTACACTCTTCAACCTGGCTCCAATTTTCATGCTTAGTAGATATGATTGATCCTAGACTATACTTATACGTGCTGAAAGTGTTAATTAGATAAACATAGCCAATTATAACCTCTCGGACTAGGTCAAGACCACTCAGGAAATCCCCACTATGCAATGATAGAAGACTCTGCCTATATAAACCATAAATATCTCGTTCCCAGTACATACGATCACAGGGTGTGGAGAACAGGGCTTCCCGTCCGCTCAGCCGTACTTAAGCCACATATTGTACAAGGCCAATTCTCAAAGCGCCCTCGATACTGCTGCCGTCCTAAAACAGCGATGCAATGGGTCCTAGGGTGAGTGTGGGTGATATGAGTGAGAAGTTCGAGGACCGGGGTGATAGAGGTGAGAACGGGGTGAGAATTGTCACCCCCCCAAGGGTGAGAGGAGGTGATTCCCCATCCACTTACGAAGATAAATTTACACACCAGGGCCGCTTAATCGCTTCATCAATTTTCTATCGATCCACAAATGTCTACTGAGTTGAAGATCCAAAAAGCTCTCGAAGAGCGCATTGCACGTGCCGCATCACGTGGATTCACGCAAGAGTACCAGGAAGAGCGGGAACAGAGGGACAATACTGTTTCCCACCGTGCACTTGCACCAGCGACACTTCAAAAATATGAAGAAGCGGCTTTGAACTGGGCTCTGTCAGTGTATAGTTAGCGGAAATCGATTATCCTCTCTAACATTGACCAGATGGAGATTGTCCCGCAACGAACCAACAGACGCGAATTTCTCTAAAGATGACCCTGATCCCACACCCCAGCAGCTTAAACTCTTCGCGGAATTCGTTATTACCTCGTCCAAAACACTTCCATCTCAACAGACTGCGTGTCACAAGTTTACCAGTTTCACGTCGAAATGGGAGCGCAAAACCTCTAGGTCTCTTCCGGAGAAAATCAAACACGATGTCCTTAATGTAAAACCTGACGCTTTTTTTTCCGGTGGATGAATGCTTACATATCTATAGTTTATTCGGAATGAATTAACACCGAAGTATAGTTTGTGCACGAAGCCTAGAGAGCGATATTTGGTGACGGCAAAGGATATGGATATACTCCAGAGGCACCTCTTTATTGACGACTGCCACGACTATAAACATGAGAGAGCGAGAGTACAGACTGGGAGCTCTCTTGCTATCTTTGCCGGATCTGGTGCAAGAGCTGGTGCAATAGTCGAGTCAAGTGCTTATCGCAACAGCAACGAATGCTTATACTATAAGGTTTGTCTTGTCTTGCCTCGATCAGCCTATGACTATTATCAAGCTAATAAGCACTTGCTAGCATATTAAATTCCAGGTCAAATGGAGCAGAGATGGCGGGGGCTTAAAGCGATGGGTAACAATCGATCCCGAGTTTCTAAAGGGATTCCGTTATCGAGATGATGCGACCTCGTAAGTATTGGGGTCGGCCGAAGGTTTCTGAATTTTATGCTTACCAGATGACTAAAGACCTAAGAACTGGTTCAATGAACATCCTGTTCTTGGGATGAGTTTTGTATTCTGGGTCATCGTTCATGGTGTTGCCGACGGTGCCTTCAAAGGCTGTGATACGGTGGAGCAAGTTCTTGCTACAAAACCGCCCAAAGGCAGAGAGTCATTGACATTTGACTGGAATGAAAATGTGAAAAATCTTGCTTTTTTCAGGATGATCACTCCCGAAGGGCCTCATGCGAGCAGAGGCTTGACCTTCGGTTCTTTGCGTCACAACTTCGCGAGCTTAGCTGAACGAGCCTGCTTCCGAAATAAGTTACGGGTACATGGAATTCGAGGAGGTGTTGCAAATAAGATTGATCGTAAGTAATTCCGGTAGGGAAGGAGATCTATTATACTAACATTGTATCAGCTAAGGCATCCGAAGCGACTCGTGGGCAGGCATTAGACCACCAGAACCACGATACTTATATAAAATACCAATCTTCCCTTAAAGCATTAGATATCCAAGCCATATACTATGATTTGGAATCTGATTTCGAATGCCGAGATATGGAACTGAGCATGGCGCACCATCGAGACGCGAACGCCCCTCAAAAACTGGACGCAGCTGCTATCGCGCAATTTGAAGCCGAAGACGACGTCATTGCGATAAACGACAGAATCCACAACCTAACTCGGGAGATTGACGGCAAACCTGAGGATCACAATGGACTTGTACTTGAGAGGTCTCGGTTTTATAATCAGAAAGCCAAACGATTGCGCGCATGGAGATCCGACTTTATTGAAAGATGGTGGGAAGCATCGTATGAGGAATATCTCTCTGGGAACAATTTCCTTGAGCGCGACAACACTCCTCTTTTCGAAATTTTCAAGAAGTATCTACCAGAGCGTGCCAGAGTCAGAGTGAATTTGTTCAAGAAAACGACATTGGATAGCGAGACTGGCCGACAATGCTTGGAGGATATGGTCATGCTTTGTACATCCGCAGAGCGGACTGTCTATTACCCCGAAATGTCACCTAAAGATGGAAGCTGCCCAATATGCTTGAAGGCGATGTTTGAGTGAGTACTCTAATATGAAAAACATCATAGCTCTTGCTAACTCAAGAAAGAATCCCACTGCAAGGGAGGGCAAAGCATATTTTGCAATGCCGAAGGAAATCATTGAATGCTGCTCCCTATCAACAGCGTTATAGAAACAACAAACGCGCCCATCGACGAGTACAGCGCAAATTCCTTCAATTCTGCTATCTCTGCGCACAATTTTTTCATGATGAGGCTTCCTGGGTTCATCATTGCCAACGTCACTTAAGTGACTTGAGTCCACGGTGTGGGATTTTGACATTCCGGTATACACTCGTTGCACCAGGCTTTTGTCCGTTCTGTTTGAGCGACAAAAGCAAGAGAGCGGACGAAAGATTTGAGCAGTGGTTGAACAAAGCGACCCTTCTGAATCATATCGACACCCATCTGGGACAGCTAAGATCGTTGACAGATGTCTTATGCCCGCACCCTTGCTGTGAGGGGAGGGGATATGCGGATACCTCTCATCTTCAACGCCATTTCTATGATGCACATTCAATAGAGGAGCCTCGGACAAATTGTGTATCACGGAAGAGACGATGGGGTAGTGAGGGCAAGGAATTCAAGGCTGAGAAGCGGGTAAAGGTTTGATTGCACTTAAATGACTTGGTCTTTGATGCATCGTGGCAGTGTAAATTTCCGATGAAGGTAATAGGTTTACAACAAGAATATCTGAAGCTCGATATCTCACAATTGCTACCCTGGCACCTCAAATAGGAACCATTATATAGACTAGCTCTCCCGTCTCCCCTCACTTTCTCATATTCTCTCTTTTGATCTGAGCGGGGGAAAATTAGTATCATATTATTATCATAATAAGGAACGATGCGATACGCTCAAATAAAACCCAAAGTCATGAAGCTGGCATAGCCTAAGTCAAAGTAGCCAATTCACACTAAAAACGCCTCAAGATTCACAATAGCTACAACGCCAGGATTCGTCCATTAAAGCCAGGAAATACTCAAAAGAAGCAGTTGTTCCTATCATTCGAAAACATCGAATCTGAAAAAGAAGGAAAGTGAGAAAGAGAGAAAGAGAGAAAGGAGCTACGGAGTACAATTGTACAAGAGGTGCTCTGTGGGTCAGGTGAAAACCACGTAAGTAGGATCAAGTAAGCAGGTCTCGAACCCTCGAACCGTCACAGGAACTATGTGCTAGCCTAAGTTAACGTGCGACATCCAATGCTCTGCCACGCCCTAGGACAACAACTAGAACCATTTCAACTGTACAGTGAGCAGAGATGTGGACAGGGGTGGAACAGAGAAAATCCTCTATATAGGTCGGGAGAGTATGAGAGGCAGCATATTTATATTGTAGTAGATTCGCGTAAAATACAATATTTTAGATCAAACTAGCATTCTGGTAAAAAAGCGTTTCTATTCTGAGAAAAGGAATATCTAGGGCTAAACCCAATATATATTAAGGTGTTTCAAAACAGGGTTTGGGAACCAGTTCGTGAGTTAGTAGGAAAATCTGTTTTTGACTCTGACTATATACAGAAGGAAATCGACCTCACGGCTACCGAGTTCGGAGCTCTGGATAATGTTTTAAGGGATATTCTAAGACGCGAACATGGCGATGGAAGAATTTGGAGACTTAGCCAGTCGTTACAGTACCATTAAAGGGAGCTCCAGGACGATTAGTGAAAGCGGAGCCTAACTTGGTGCTAAAATATATACCTTCCTTTAACACTATTATCTATCTAATAACGCCTAAAAGCAATTCGGGAACCTCCTAACCCAAAAAGTCCGCTATCCATAGCTACAGCAGATTTATAACTTCGGCCCACCTAGGTATACTGCCGCGTATTCTATATTTGAGCTCCAGCCTCACTTCCTGAATCAAGCTCCCAGAGTCCGAGGTAGCGCCGCTCAGACTCTTGCAGACGCGCAGTGGTCTGAGAGAGGGCGTCCTCCATGATGCGAAAGAAATCAAACATTGTTTCTTGGAATTGTAGAAAAATTTGTTTCGTCTCTTTGTGCCAATGAAGCTCGGCTCTTAGATAGCTCATCTCATATGCAAATTCTTCTAGCTGTCTTCTGAGGTCTGGTGATGATCGTTTGGAACGTTGCAGTCGAGAAGGAAGCATCTCTAGGTTAGATGAAGTACCTCCACAGCAGAGAATATGGTGATCTGCAGGTGTTATCTCTTCGGAGATGGGATCGAGACGCCGGTGAGAGTATCGGTTCATCGTGTTGAAGAAGAGAGTAGCAGTAGATGCAGACTTGGCTTGTCAAAATAATTCAGATTGAACAAATCACTTTTGAAGAAGCCTTCGATTGTTCTTCAGGGACAAGTATCTATGGAGAGAGGGAGAAGAGATGTACGACATCTATAAGGGAACCAGTTATCACCCTATGACGTAACCGAAGTGACAGCAGGCAAGAAAAATAGGTAGCAGAGAAATACCCTTGGATACTATTGAGAAGGCCGTGTAAAACTCACGCACCACAGAAAGGGGTGTTGGGAGGGAGTGTGGTGGCTAGCCACTTAATACGAAAGCCCAACCATTGGTTTATAAGCTGGCTATTCCGAGACAGCCTCGAACCAGGAGACACTAGGCTGCTGCCCGCCCCAATGTTCGAACGTAGTCATGCTCATAGGGTCACGCTATTTATGCAAGTTGACTACGCCGGGTTAGATTAATGGATCTTATAGGTAGAAGCTAACTCTGACTAAAATGCAGATCATCAACCGGCGCTTTGTTCGCGGATGAGGGTAAGCGTACGCGTGTGAAAAGTTTCCTATAACTGTTTGATCAATACGATGGATCCGATGTGCCTGATCCCTTTTCATTTTCTTAGCTGATATACTGATATACTGACCTCTAATTTCCTGGTCCGACTGTGAGGCAACTGATAAACAGAATAAAACGATCTAGGATCTCGGACCGTCCGTGCCGCTAGACCTTATTCTCAGGAACAAATACGCTCTCGTAATACAAATACGACTGCTCCCTTGGCGCCTTAACATTAAAAAGGCCGACTGATTAGCGTCTCATTGGTCTTGGGCCCAAGGAGCAAAGGTTATCCCCGTGACCTCTTTTAGAAATTATCACCCAGATCTTCCTGCGATACTGTTTTGGGCGCGCATTGCAGCCCAGTCATGTCATATTAGAGACTGCAGCGACTTTCTGGATGCACTGCGACACGGAAAATGATCTCCATGATGCGGCATGATTCCCATGGTCATGCAAGTCAATATGGACTTAAGTCAATCGCAGACTAAGAGCGGTATTATTGCGAGCTCCATCCTCGTATATATCCCACTTAATTTGAGTAACAAAGGCTATGAGTTAAACGATTTGACCTCAAGCGGAACCTTACCGAGCTGCTCTGATAGACGATCAACCGTCGAGATCATTACCGGAAATTCCAAGTCGGTTATATCCATAGAAACGTTCGACTGGAAATATCACAGGTCATGTCACGGTTTTGAATGTTATACGCTTTTATTCTTAAATCCTCATCCCTTGTCTCATGCCAATAGAGGGTTTCGTTCCTAGATATGCAGTTTGCCAACTCATAAACTGACGAGTAGTTCCCGTCTCGCTTTCGCGTCTATGGTCTCGAGCATTGAAAGGCGCAACGCGCCCCTTTCTGTCTTATAGTAGGACACTGGGAGACTTGGGCAGCAGAAAACGGACTGTCTGAACTGAGTTGAAAGATCATTTTCCTTCAGTTACATCGAGATAATACATACCCCTGAGGCTAGCAGCGCGTGGACTACCATTCCGTGGCCCCCGACATTCTAACTCATCAACGGCGCCTAAAGAAGTCAAGACATTGGTTGGAAAGGGCCCACCCGTGTTGGATTTCTGAGACATCCTACACCGGACTCGCAGGGATCTGCATTGAGTTCTTTTGTGTTGTACATGAGCGCCCTCCAAGTTGCGATTATGAATAGGTTGACGCAATCATCCTAATAACAAAAAATCTTCCATGCTACTGGTGGACCTGATCCAGGTCCCCACCATTAAATCCTCGGCTCACGTCCTCCGTTCTCCACCTAGCCACTCAGGTTTGTTTTCGTTCAGGAATGAAGCTATCACAAGCGTATTTGTGCTAGCGAAGGAAAATTATTGTTCCATCCTCTCAATTCATCCATCGCCCGAGGCACCCATTTCACATTTCTTGTATAATACCTTCTCACGAGAGCAACAATTACTAGGGTTCTGTATCTGTTTCTTAAATATGTCGTCGTAAGCCTTCTTTAAAGGGGCAAAACAGCCAATATTAAGAGGCTGTAAAAGATGCGAGGAATGGGTAGGCATATTTGTTTGAATTATGGAGCGAGGAGGCTACTATGGCCATAGAGGATAGGTCGATATTTACCCTTCGTACAATTGGCAGTGGCTGGTATAAAGAGCTATCTTAGCCAGCGAAGGCCAATTTCGTCTGTGGTTCAGCCATTTTGGCTAACTTCGAAGTGCAAATCGGGTGGTAGATTATTAAACCAACCCTTGGTATAAACGTTGCCTTTGAATGGAGACATCGCCTACCCAGATGCATTAATTGACTTAATAGCTGTATTCCATTCGCAGTTTTCAGCATTGGGGGCGATAGAATGTGCCCCAACTACACGCTAGCAGACCTTGGCTATTATATCATGGATGAGAAGGGGTGCCCGTGCACTGATAGATTGAGGATGAGCTATTAGAAGCACACGGGATAGATCCCTACGAGTTGTACATACGCTTGATATAGGGAACGAAAGAACTAGAGGCAGTTCTAGCATTGGCGCTGTTAAATCCCAAGGGGAAGCAGGGTAGGTGGATATTTTCCAACCAGTGTCATAACGTATATAAGCGCCGTTGGTTATATAGAGAGGGCACAGCATAGCGGCCTGTTATGCGCTAGCAATCTCAATGTCATTATCAAATTCACAACGTAACTGACTAGAAAATGATTGATGCTTATCTGCCAAATTTTTAAATTGTGCCCGGGGAGAAAGTACTGCTTATCTTAATCTTAGCCGAGACATATTATCATAGGACGATCACTGAACTACATAGGCCTGGTAACTTGCCATATAGGCGAAATATAGTCTAGGGGAGAGTAGCCCTGCGTTTTGGAGTGCCCAAGACCATAGAAGCGATAGGTGAAAATGCTTACCTAGGTAGTTTTGACATTATCTTACGTAACGAACTTTATCTATCGTTCTCTTGTGGGGCTGTGGGAAGGGAATTCTCCATTATATTGAAACAACGATAATTTAAACATAAATAAAGCGCATGTACTTCAAAACTTGGGGAAAATCGAGGCTGGCCTTTTCGTAATGATCTCGACAGATGATTCTTCATCCGAGCAACCCGAAGGAGTACCATTCGAAGTCAAATCATCTGGCTTGTTGAGGTTGCTGTTGCCCCTATGGAGTTCTCGTGTCAATTGCTCTAAGGCGACTTGGAGCTCTTGGACCATTTCTTCGCGAGCCTGAAGGGTGGATTGAAGACAAGCAATCAATTCGCGCTGGCGCAGATTCTCGTGCTGAAGTTGCTGTATAGTCCACATCCCATCCTGAGAGCCAGGAGGGTTCTGGTCTTGTGTTAAACGTTGAAGCAATTTATCGATTGCCGGATACACATCATTGAAGCGAGACTCTAACTCCTGCACTTTGTTTCTCTCAAGAGCAAGATCCCGAGATATTGCTTGGCATACGTCCGCTGTATAGCGCAGTGTAGCCTCTTGTTGCGATTTATGATGCTCTAATCCATAAACCATTTTCTCTAGTTGTATACAATGATTCCGTAGCTTTTGGTAGCCCACAGAATCACTGTAGACCCTAGTTTCTAGGCGCCCCTGGTAAAGCTTTGATTGTTGCTCTTGACGTAGTAAGTTCTCAAGCAGGACAAGTATAGTGCGTTCAGAATTTTCGGTAGCAGCGGGATTCTGCAATGTGTCTTCAGATTAGCGAGCAACTTGCGGCTAGGGAGGTTTCTGTTCCTTACCGGGCGATGAAACTGGCCAAATTGCGGTGCTGTGTCCCGATCTTCAGTTGGAGCGTGGAGTGACATAGTAAAGGAGGATAATAGGTGTGTTCTCAGAAAAGTCCAATGCTTTCACCTTTGTATTATTTCAGCAGTTGGGAGTTGTGTATGTCAATGCGAGGATGGAGCCAACTACACAGCCACCGAAGTATCCATGTTAGCTGGTAGGATCCCTGAACCAAGCCGTATCGCCGAGCGATTTTCTGTGTCGCATAGTGTCCCAAAAAGTGCCGTAACCCCTCTAGAGCGTCACAGTGCACCCCGAAAGGCGTCATGCATACACCGAAAATATCGCGCATCACATGACTAAACTGCAATGCGCTCAGAAACGATGTCGCAGGAACTTCTGACCCTTGCTCCTTGGCTCCAAAGCCAACGACAGCCTCCTTAAGGTGGAGACAAAAATTAAAGTGGGGGAGGAACGTTCCAAAATGGCAGGAGCGTGGTTAATGATCGACATTTTAGCGCAAAGTCGATCTCTGTCAAGGGATGTTGCTTACATGGCGTAGTCAACTCGCATAAGTGGCGTATCTCAATTTGGAAGTGACCCCAACCAGGGCTTGGGGGAGCAGTAGATATATACATAGTATCTGACTCGAACATTGGAAGACTGGAAAAACCCTCCTACAGCGAACAGATTACGAGATCAGTAGTCTCAGGTCGTTAGTCACGTAATAGTTACCACACTTAGCTAAAGCGTATATCTGTGCTCGTTATCTAAATCTAGAGCATGAACCGTGCCCATATACTGGACGATAAATAGCACCTATGGATGTAGTTCACTATTTGTTATAGATAAATGTGATCCTTCCTAAGGATCCTCCAAAATAATCTAAAACAATTTAAAGGGATTGTTCTTATTCTGACACATTATGACAACTCCGTGCGGCTCTATGTTTGCTGCTACTCAATACGCTGTATCATCTTCATCGCAATGAGCCAATAACCTGAACCAGCGTTTTGGCCCTATGTCCAAAGAAATCGCTTATACAGACCATCAATATTCTGTGTCGTGGTGGCACTTCCTCCAACCTAGTTACCCTCACACCTACAAAGTTCTAAATGATCACCAGATTCAAGACGATAACTGGAGGGATTTGCGTATGAGATAAGCTATGTCAAGGCCGAGCTTTATTAGTATAAAGAGATAAAACAGATATTTTTACAACTCCAAATTCGCGTCTTTTGTTTTATAGAAGATTCACTCTCACAGTCCACTGCACGTCACGAGTCTGAGCGGCACTATTTCAATCTCTAGGAAACTGGCTCGAGGAGTAAAGCTGGAAATTTAATATAGAACATGCCATTCTAATCCAAGCTAAAGAATGTATCAAGAGGTTCCGGGATTTTCCCTAGCCTATTATATAAGTGGTTGAACGATGTTCTTATCAAGGAAGTTGGTATCACGAGAAAGTGTATAACTATTGGGCTGTTTTGTCTGATGTTAATACATAATTTTACAATTCCTTATGCTTCCAAAAAAGAATACATGACACACTGCGCGGTATTGAGGTGGGGAATTAATTATCTACCCTCCATGCTTTCCCTTTTGGAACTAGCGTAGGTAGGATCCTTGTCAACCTTGGATAACTCTCCTTCGCTATCCTTCCTTTTCCTTTGTTGCTCTAGCACCTTTTCAGGACACCAAACCTTGGATATGTCTCCACGCTTTTCTTTTCTTTTCTTTTCTAACTGAATTATTGACCTGACGAGAAGAGCTGGCTATGTTCCTAAAAATAAATGGTCAAGAAATACGATCTAATAATATACTAAATATATTTCCCCCCAATGCAATCGTTAAGAGAATAAGGGCCAATAGTGACAGAATCGTTTAAACCGAGGTCAAGGGAGCTTACGTGACATACAAGGGGCTTAGTACGAGTGTTGGAAACAGAATACGACACACACAGCTTGTACAAGAAAGAAGATGGAGAAAAAATGGAGAAAAAGGTTCTAGCCATCGCTAACATCAAGCTTTCTGTTAAAAAGCCTGGAGTCGTTATCCGTCGAACCGACTAGCTATGTCGCCAAATTTCTCCATCGCCATCTGTTCGCGCTTTAAGACCTCGCTCAATATATCATCCAGAGCTTCGACTTCTGAAGCAGTGGAGTCAACCTTCTTCTGCATATCATCGACCTGGCCGTTCAGCTTCTCTATCTTGGTGGTGAACGTTTCAAGTTGAGCAGAGACCCGTTCCATAATGGCCGTAAAGTCCTTCATCACGCGAGCTACCCCGTCGAGGGGATTGAGTTGGATAGGGTTCAACTCAAGGTGATCATCGGAGTTTGTTGAAGGCGAAGGATTAGGATTGCTACAGGCATGACTGGAACCTTTTAGTCCAGTGAAGGCAAGAACGGAGACTGGATATTACCTGAGAGGATTGGGCGAATTCGCTCTATTCACATATAAGCATTTATCTTCAGTTAGAAGGAGTGACATACACATTTTGGCAATTGTCGGTTACCTGCGAGCAGCCAACCCAGTCCTTATGTGGCTCAGGGATGCCGGTAGACATTCCTAAAGGCTCGATCTGCCACCAGCTGAACTCTTCCGCTTCAAGTGTTGCGTGGGGAACATCGTTCATAATAGAGGCTATAATGTCCTCATCAAGGTCAAGGTACATAGACGAAGGGTTGGCCGTCCAAGGGTCATCTTGTGCATCAAGAGTAAGGGACGTCTGGTTAGACATTGAAAAGTCAACAACCAAGATAAGGATAAATTTCAGAACTGCTGGGTTGGGCTTTTTATCTCCTTATGACATCGACCGGGGTCTCGAAATACCATCAAACGTGCTACGATGTCGATCTTCGGCGCCTGCGCCAGGGACATCGAGATTTACTGGATGTTGGGGAAAGATTTCTCTTGATTGGCTGCAAGGCAGTGAACAAAAAATCGAGCTAAGAGGAGGGCAGGGGCCGGAAGGGGCAGGGGGAGTGGCGGGGAGGATTTATCATCTATTTCCTTTTTTTTACCCTAAACCTTTCCATTTATTGAAAATAAAAATATTAACAATTAGCAAAAGTACCCGGTCGGACCAGGTTTAGGCCTGAGTTGTCTGATATAGACAGGGTGAGAGTGAGGTGATAAGTTGCTCGAGTCTCTCCCAAAAGGCACAGGATGGTCGACTCTCACCTTACTACCTGAAACAGGGTGGCAGTAGCGGATTGAACTACAATTAAAGAGCTTATCTATATATTTTGATCCCTGTATGGTTATATTGGAAAGGACACAACTAACATACTTTCCACCATTTCTGAAATAACATATTCGACTCTTTCACAATGCAGCATATGCGAGATATCAGTTGGCTTGATATCGGCCTCCGCGAGGATTCCAGACTTGCTGTTTTGGATCACGGCCGGTTGCAACAAGTGGTAGCCGAGCTGCCCGATCCAGATGATCAATATCCCGCGCTATGTGTGTTCCTCGGTGGCAAGGTCAAGAACCACGCCCTACAGCAACTTTATCCCCTAAACAATATAAAAAGACACGCTGCGGGGGCGCACATTCAACTACGATATGATATTGCATCTTTGAAATGCGACCAACCAATTTTCTTCGCCGATGGTGACATCGTGCTAGCGGAACAGTCATGCCCCACGAAGAGATTTGAAGCCGGCATGGGCTATCCAGCGCCTTGGGATTGCCGGTCGGCTGGCACTATGCTTCTACTACTTTGGTCGCGTTTGATCTTTCTCTTCGCCGACGTCATTTGCATTTTTATTGACGATTTGCCGGACCTTGAAAAGGTTGTGGACTTTTTGGGTAGCTGCGCACGGCTTCGCTCCGCGTCTTCTTTCTCTCCTTCTGTCTTCCCCCGGGTGATCTTCGTCTTCGGAGCAGAGAATAGTAAGCAGGAGAGAGATATACCGGATATGGCACTGCTGTACCGGAAAATTCGTGAGCGTGGATGCAGTAGTCTATCCGAAGTGTTCTCGGGCATCCAGTCAATCCACCTCGCGGATGATCGTTTGTCAGTTACCGCGAGTTACGAGCGTATGAAAACCTTGATTGCGGGACAATTAGATATCATGTGCACGGTCCGCCAGGAGCATCTAGGTCGACCAAACGGCACACAATTGGCAGCGCTGTTCCAGTCGGCATTTTGGCATATGTTGACCAATACTGATCAAGCATTCGATGTTGTGAGAGCCACGAGGAAAGATCGCCCTGTGAGTCTGTGCATACAAGACAATTTGGCTCATTATCTGGAGGCTGGGAGCCGCGCGGACCTGCACCCCCAGGAACTGGCCCCGTCGATCGCGTCAGCGATACTGATGGACCATTATGTACCTAACATGCTTGGTAAGTTGATCTCACTGCTTGATAGACTACGCCTGACGAGAACCAGCGTCAAAACCGTGCGTTGTTTTCCGGACATTGTATCGGCCCGCCATACTTCAAGGGTATTTCAGATCCAAAGCTCTTTGGACGGACCAGTGGCCAGAAGAGCAGACCGATCTGGTTGAGAGGCATTTCTCCACCTTCTTCGATCGCCTCTCGCAAACCGAACGCTCATCGATGCATATACGAGAAGAGCAATTGATGTCTCAGAGCGGCCGACTTTGTCGGGTACGCAGTAACCATATCTGCCTATATTGTCTTTTCCGTACTGCACAACACATTCTGGCCTGTGGGCATGCACTGTGTGACCGCTGTGCTCAAATTTTCGGGACCCCTACAACCGGTTTAGAGTGTCAGTTTACCCTCAAGGGCTGCCTCTGTTGTCTCTACCAGAGACCATTGATTGTGGATATCCTGCCACCAAGTGTGAGCCCCACGGTCCTGGCTATTGACGGAGGAGGAGTCCGGGGGGTTATCCCGCTAGAATTCCTTCTTCTCGTACAGGAACATCTACGCCCCTGCGCGATTCAAGATGTGGTCGATCTCACTCTTGGTACAAGTTCAGGTAAGCGCCTAATGATCAACGCCGCAATTCTTGGCGCTTAGGTGGCCTAGGATATGCTAACGTGTCGTAGGAGGGCTGATCGCCCTAGGGCTATGTGTCATGACTTGGGATGTTGCGGCTTGCTCCAAAATCTTCGAGAATTTAGCGCGCCGCATCTTTCACGAACGGCGCCATTCAACCTTGGCCTACCTGCTTCGTCACATCTACGGATACAGGCCTATTTTCGGAGAAGTAGCTCGATGGATCCAGTGGTTTCTCCATGATAGCTGTTACGACGCTAGGGTGTTCGATACCGCGCTGAAAGGCGTTTTCGGGGAGAAACGCTGTATTTTTGGTCCCAGCCGCGACGATCCACGGGGGCCCTTGCGCTCGGGCCCCAAGGTTGGAGTGGTGACTACGAGCATCTCCAGAGACACAGGCACCTTTGTGATCGGAAACTTTAATGCAGCCCATGACTCATGTGGTGAGCAGAGTAAGCTCGTGCTCTCGACCTTATTTGCAATCTACCGAGTGTACTAACGCTAATAGACTATCGAATAATACGTCCAGATGAGACACAAAACGAGCCAACAGTGTGGAAAGCGTACGCTCCATGTCATAAAGTGGACATATACCGAGAACTAACAGATGTATAGGGCCAGAGCCACAGCGGCTGCTCCTTTGTAAGTGAATGGTATGTGTTCATCCTGCAGGAATAAGCGCTAATCGATTGGATAAAAAGTTTCTTTACGCCTGCAGATCTACCAGGAATAGGTTCCTTCCAGGACGGTGGGCTGAAATACAACTTTGCCGGGGAGATTGCCAACCAGGTTAGCCGCCAGATCTGGCCCCAAGGGGTGGGATCCATAAGATCCCTATCTCTTGGTACAGGAATTGCCCCAGCCTTGACTAATCAAACTCCGCACTTCCGCCATATCTTTCGAGACAGTTTCGTCCGCCGGGGCTTCGATGCATGGATGTCCACGATGGAGACGGATAGCGATTGGAAAAAATGGAAAGGCCAGCTCAAAACGTCGACCAGTCAAGACTGTCACCGTCTGGACGTGCCGCTGGGGAATACTTCCAATATGATCGATGGTGTTGGGGCTATGGAGGATTATAGAAATCTGGTCATCCTGCAACCTGGAAGCGCCCGGATGGCTCGGGAAGCGGCGGTTATGCTGCTCATTTCTCGGTTCCATTTCGTGCTCGGTGATTTACCGGAGAACACTGCGACCCCTTTTGGTGTCGCGGATCCATACGCTGTAGAGGGTCGGCTCGGAATGTAATTATGGCGCTGCAGCGTCTTTTCCCTGACGGGCTAAGTTATGTCTCAGACTGTGGAGTGATCGACACGTTCGCAGGACTAGACGAGCTCTGTCCATCATGTGGATGTTACAGCCATCCAATATCATTTCTGACCCGTCATCAAGATCACACGGTGAATATTTGCCTCCAATCCAGCTCGAAAAAGCGCTGGAGGATTGGCGGATTTCCTGAGAGCGTGGCCACATTTGCCGCCAAGCAAGGTCTTCGGTCACCATTTGGCCGAGACGATCATGGATATCCCAACAGAGCCTACTGCAGCAGCTGTGACATCAGTGGGACTCCAGCGAAGGGCAAGCGGCGCAGGCGCAAATCAACTGACTCCAGGGATGAGGAGCCAAAGAGAGTCTGTGTTAGTCTAGATGAGAACGGACCTCAACACGAGTAGAAGAATGTGCTTAGTTGGATCTTGGTCCTGATCGACTCGTGGTTTTGTCTTTTAGTTCTACACTGCCCGACTATTCATCAAACGTGCTTTCCAGGGCAGAATTTTGTTCCTTCTTCTCTACTTCTTGTTCACAATAATATATTTTGTATGAAATCATGGGTGGCCCAGATCCCCAGAGAAAGGAGCGAGTCAAGTTCCAGAGAAGAAGCCAGACCTTATTGGCCAAAAGCCGCGAACTTGCGACTCTGTGTGGAGCAGATGTCTACCTCTTTATCAATCATCCACGGGATACTTTCGTTTACAATTCCGCCGATGATTGCTCTTGGCCTCCTCCGGATGAGGCCTTGGTATGCCTGCACGAATGCCAATAGATTCTTGAGCTAATCAGCCAGCAGGAGTACCATTATCCTACTCTGAGACGAGAGCCGTCCAGCGTGCAAAGCTCGCGACCAGACATGGACCTACATGAGCTGAAACGGCTCCTGAAATATTTTGCCACGAGAGCAGACTTGCTCCGGTCACTAAACAAGCCTTCCCGCACTCAGCAAAGTTCGACTTCCGACATCACCCAGGGTGAGAATATCACCCTGGGTGACAAGATTGAAACGTCCCACAGGACGTGCAGCCCTGGAAGGCGTCATGCGAGCAGTCATGATCGACCCAGTGATCAATAGGGGAACACAAAGCTACGGTTGACTTTTCGGCTCGCGGAAATCTTTTCATGAGGATAGTCCAGCGCTTTATATATAAGGTCACCTGTGCTCTCAGCAAAATCAGTTTTAAGAAAATTCCAAATATACGCGTACAATGGAGACTATTCGTATCGCCAATCTGTTGACTGCCCCCGAGGCAATTTATGGCGCAATTCTCAGTGTGGTTGTTTTATCACTGATAGCGTACCGTTTTGTCACTGAAGTCTGTTCTTTTTTGACGACATCCTCCTTTTTATCTTCTCAGGTTCGGCCATTCCTTCTGAATCATGTGGTTTATGCACAGTCATATACGCGTTTCTCAGGGATTTTTTCCGCGTCCAGGCTTCACATGGTCTTCATACTCCTATACCTTAGTGGCACCGTTACCTGTAACGTCGTTCAGATTCACACGGTTGCAGATGCTGGCACTAGAGCCGCAAAGCTCTCCCTCATTAACCTGATACCGATCTTTTTAGGCGGTGGTTACGAATTTGGTGCTCGGCTCCTCGGGACTTCCCTTTATACCTATGGATTTGTTCATCGGTCATTTGCAGTAGTCGCGGTCCTCGAAGCAATCGTTCACATCATTATAGTGGCTCAGATAAGGGTCATATCGTGGTCAAACGAACTTCAATTCTATGGGCTTCTGGTATGTCTCTACTATCCACCTTTAGTGCCATGCCAAATGTTCAAATGAGCCTTTAGGCCGCCAGTATGTTTCTTGCCCTGGTGCTTTTGCCACTGGTCAAGAAAAGGGTCTACGAAGTTTTCCTCATTACACACCTGGGATGTGCGATGGCTTTGATTTACGCAATTTGGCAACATACCCGATCGGCTCACGAAAGACTATGGGCATTCCCAGTCACATATATCAGCATTTTTGCCATCACTGGGGCCTTGCAGCTCGTCCGGATTTTTTACCGAAATATGGTGATAGGCAGAAACCCGGTCCGATTGATTCTACGTCCCTATGTGGGTGATGTTGCTCGAATAACGCTCTTACTACCACGACCGTGGACCGTGCGTGCTGGTGAGCGCATCAATCTAGGAGTTCCACATGTCGGAATCTTTTATCTAGCCCAGTCACACCCTTTTGCGATCAGTTGGTGGGAAGATGACGGGAGAGGGCGAGCGGTTTCAATCTCAGTTCTCTTTCGTCCACGCTCCGGATTCACCAGAAAACTTCTCGACCGCGTTGAACCTAATCGAGAATGCGGGGCGTGGATTGACGGTCCGTTTGGTCCAACGCGTGTCAACTGGAGCTCAGCCAGCACCGTAGGCGATTATGGTCATATATTCATGGTCGCCACGGGCATCGGGATTGCTGCCCAGCTGCCTTATATCAAAGAACTACTAGACGGTCATAACAAAGCACAGGTCTGCACACAGAGAATCTCCCTTGTTTGGCAGCTGGATCGAGTTGGAGACTGGGAGAGTGCTCGCGACTGGCTCCAAGTTCTGGTCAGACAAGATAACGGATATGTCAGTACCCAATCATTTATTTATAGAAAAGATTGCTTGCTCATCTTTGATTCAGATGCTTCATGTCTCGGTTTATGATCAACTGCGGTCTGATTCTGGCAACGAGATACAGCGTATTGGAGAAAACGGTCTGATCGAGGTGCATAGCGGTCGTGTGAATTGGGAGAAGCAGCTAGATGCCGAAATCGAGAGCCGGATTGGAAAGCTTTTGGTATCAGGTACAGTCTTTGATCCGTCTTTGCCGCAATTAGTCGGACTCACACGAAAATAGTCTCTGCTCGGGTTCAAGTTCGGCACGATATCAGGGACTTAGTGAGAACACGTGTTGATCAGGGGATTGAGTTGTTCGAACCAGAGTTCCAACCATGGGGCCAAACGGGAAGCTTGCGCGCATATCTTAAGCCTTAGAGGTAGGGTCCCTAGGGTGGAGATTTGAAGAAGGCAATAATTTATATTTCAAGATCTATCTGGGATGTGATCAGGAGCATTTCGACAAGGGTTTCGGGAATACCAACGAAGGAGCCGTGAGGAAGAGAAAAGCAGAATGAACCAAGACTATGAAATTGTTCAATAAAGGCTTTTTCAATAAAATTGCCTGTATAGATTCCTGTAATGGATCCCCCTCTCCCCCCCAACCCGCAAAAGTAGAAACGGATCGACATAAAAATACTTCAGTGGAATAATAAATTACCCCCGGAAGTGAACTTCTCTTCTTGGTTGCACTTTTGAGTCGCTGAACAAGCTTATGGGCGGGGTCCCACTTGCGATCTGTTTCAGGTTCATCAAGGTGGCTCGGGAATTAAAATAACGAAGATCCGGACAACAGGATTGCTCCTTGAAAACGATAATGGATCCAAATATCCCTGTTGCGCCTGCGCTTCAAAGCAACCGTATCTCTCATAATATATTTGTGACCCGTTATGTACGGATGGTGGTTGAATCAGACCAAATTCCCTGGAAACATAACGTTCTCGCAAGCGCCGCTCATTGGGTCCTACTTGCGGGTTACCTTGTGATTCCAGGCACGTTCACATCTCTCCAGAAATCAGACTCACTCAACGGCACCTTAGGGAGCAGTGAAGCGGGGGAAGTTATCTTAAAAACCATCCAGAACCCTCCTCTGCTTGCAATGGCATGCGTGCTTTTCTTACTGGGATCAATGGCCATGGGATGGTTATTCTGGAAATACAGAGATAATTACATCTGGCTTCTTAATCGACTTTTTCTGTAAGTGGGCATGTGAATAGGGCATGGATGATTGGCTGACTTTCGAGAGACCGACCCTACTGAACGCTTTAGCCGGCCTGCTTACCACATTCATCAATATCTATACGGCACACCACGGCGACTGGTCGATTATGGCTCTTCTCACTGTTATTGCCTCTGGACTGTCTGTAGCCTCTTCCTCCGGATTGGTTATCATATACAAGTTTAGAAAATTGGAGAAGGTGAAACAGGAACATTGGCAGGCCACAAGTGTTCGCAATCGTGGACTCTAACACCTAGATAAACCAGTGATCTGGAAATTCTGACGCATGTAGTTAGGATTAAGCCATGGCATGTATATAACTACTGTATTTACAGAACTCGAAAGACAGATGAGTATTCTACTTGGGGACAACAGGATGCTTGCTTGTGGTCAGCAAATCCTGAAATAAGTGCTAACTGACTAGTTAGTTATTGGATGTGATGCCTCAGGCTCCAACAGTCGCCTCTGAGCCCCCGATACTTAGTCAGCTCTATAACGTAATCCACAAGCGAGTCGCGCACACAAGCGAGTCGCGCACCCAACTAAATATTTAGAATTCAAATTAATATATTTTCGCCACAACGCCTTTATATACAAAAAAAAACTAATTCTATCGTTTTGGGCACTGCAATCTTCGATGACCTAATTCGCGGCAGTCGCTACAGCGAGGTGGCGCTCGTGTAGGTGGCTGCGAAGCTGGTTGATGAAGGTCTGCCGAAGTAGCTGATTGGGCTTCAGAGGCTTGGTGCGCCGTCGATATTAGCTCACGAGCCTCTTGGACTGATAGACCTTGATCTCTAGGCATCTGCCTATTAGATCTAGCTCGCTTTTGCTTCTGCTTCTCATTGGCTGCGCGCAAATCCTTGTTTTCATGCGCTAGAATTGTAGCGCTATGCATCGCTAGCTGGCAGCCTTTGATAAGCTGACCTAACGTAGCGCCAGTTGGGCTTGGCGGGCTATGAGAGCGATGCTTTAGTAGAGCTTTGATCGACGAAGCCTGGCGCTGCAGCTGTTTTGAATTTTGGGGTGTTTTTGGCGAGAATTGACTGCTTTGGCTGCCTTGGCTGCTCCCAGGAGGTGTTGGTGTATAAAGCTGAATATCAAGCTTTTCGATAACCCGATCTGGATTGTAAGGGACTAATCCAGCTGCTGCGAAGCTATTTTGAATAGTTGTAGCTTTATCAAAGGCTTGCGAGCGAGCAGTTGGGTATGCAGCGAGAAAATCGAATTTGTCGATATGATTCATACCACATCGCATTTGCCTCTCAACTAAGCTGCCGTACGCCTTTTTTAAAGGCGCAAAACAACCAATATCAAGAGGTTGTAAAAGATGCGAGGAGTGGGCAGGCATGCAAATTGGTATAATATTGGCATCGCTGCATACTTGGTCGAATTGAGGAGTAAGATGGCTGCCATGGCCATCGAGGATAAGAAGTCGATATTTACCCTTTGTACGACTGGCTGTAGCTGGGATAAAGACCTTTTTTAGCCAGCGAAGGCTAATTTCGTCTGTGGTCTAGCCATTTTGGCTAACTTCGAAGTGCCAATCGAGTGGTAGATTATCAAACCAACCCTCGATATAGACCTTGGCTTTAAAAATAAGGCATGGTGGCAACGCCCAACCCGAGGCGTTAATTGACTCGATAGCGGTAACCCATTCACGATTCCCAGGTTGTAATAGCGATCGCCGACCGTAATATTCAGACCGAGTAATCACTTTAGCTGTTGAGGTAAGGCCCATCGCGAAACCGGTCTCATCGAAGTTGTATATATCATCGTATAGAATACCGTTCTCCTCAATTGTCTTTCGGACGCAGTTGAACCGCTCGTGTATGATCTTTGGGTCTTTATTTTTGGCGCGCTGATAATCGTATCGACGAGAGAAGCGAGTCTTTATTTCATCATGACGCTTGATAAAATTATAGACCCAATTTTGGCCAACAGAATAAATAGGGGTAGATCCACGCATAGCCAATAAAATATTAGCCATTTCTCGTACAGCTGTTGGCCGAAGAGCTGCTCCACGCGAATCCATAGAGAGAATCCATCGAAGAATCGATTCCTCTTCAACTTGGGTCAATTTCTGGCAGTTGGCGCGTGTTTCAGACCGAAAGGTTTTACCATATAGTCGATCGCGTAGTGTGGTTTCTGGTATACTAAATCGACGCGCTGCTTCGCGAACCGAAGGAATTTCTTGCTTCTGAATAGCCTCGATAGCTAATAAGATATTACCCTCTTTCTCGATAGATTTTCTGGCATTTTGAGAGCGAATTGGTGGCATGGTAAGTGGTTAAAATTGATGGGTTCGCGAAGATAGCGCGATTTTCGTGTGGTGCGCGACTCGCTTGTGTGCGCGACTCGCTTGTGGATTACGTTAGTGTCTGGATAACTTTTGCTTTATTGCCCTCAAGATGTCTTGGGGAGCACTAGGGGAAGCCGGGAAAGCAGAACTACTGAGGAAAGAGAGCAAAAGAGAGAGAGAGAATCAAGTTGTCTGTTGTTCGTTGGTGTCTCTTCTCTGAGAGAAGGAGAGAAGCGAAGCTATCTGCTATCTACAGGTCCGCTGCGGGCGGTCAGGAAGGCGGTGGAGAAATGCTGGCAGAACCCCACTCCCAACAAGATGCCTATAGGAAGGTAAGCGGTGCTTCCAAGCACATCTAGGATTAATGGGCATATCGATCGCACTTCTTTCAGAAGCGCAACCATGTCATTGGCTTGCGAATCATTCGCAGGATACTTCGCTCGTAGGACTAGCATCCTGATACACGTACCTCCCAGTCAACGTTCCATCAAACCCAAGTCTTGAACTAGCTGGACAGCTGAAGAAGCAAATAATTCCCGTCCAGCAATGGTACTCAACGGTTTAGCATAGTTGGTAGAGTATATCCATCCACCGATGGAGAGGAGCACTTTCAGTTTTCGGTTTTTCAGTTTTAGGAGGAAAAGTCGTTTGGTGCAGCCATATACGTTGGTACCTGCCTCATTTCAAGAATCCGTCGGATAGTTTTTGTCTGTGTCAGCGTAAGTGTCCCAGAGATACACCTCTCCTGATTCCGCGCGTACATTAGCGAAAGCGTAGAGCATATGCGTTAATTGTTCAGACAAAAACTTGTGGATCAAATTCCCGGGCATAGATAGCCTAGAATATCGATATCGGAATTAAATTTTTTTTTTCACTTACCAGGAAAGGTATCAACGAATCCAGTTCACGAAGTACGCCACAGAGAGGAACCCATTAATATCCACCCGAGAGTCAAGGTTGGTTGTTTTAAGAGAAGTGTTTTTTCGGCATGACAGACTAGACCAAGGATTACCCAAGAAATAATATACATGGTGAGATATTAATCATGAGGCTGCCGGTGCACATAGACAGAAGAAGACAAGACTTTATACAGAACGTAAGCCTATCCTAAAGCATGTTAGATTGATGCTGGTAGACTAACAACTAATATTTGACCCATATATTATTGTCTGATATTCTTATTGGGGTTTGACCTCTATGTTTTGACAGGGTCGCATCACATCGAGAAGCATAATACTGATAAACTTGAGTGAATTGAATGGTTAATGCGTTCTGAAACAGTTAAAGACGCTTCCTCACAAAACTGCGTGTTTATCATCCTAAGATTTTGTCCCCTGTATACGAAGCACGTTACATGAGAAATTTGATGTGCTCTATATGTCAACATATTCTTAAGTATAGTGCTTTTATCAGAGCTACAACGAAAAGAGCTTGGGCATTTTCATTTGTTTTCTTTGCTTACTCTGACGTATCTTCCCTTAAAACTGTGGCCTTCCTTTAGAAACAAGAGCTCCCACGATCTAGATGATCTGACGGTTAAGTGTGGCAAAGGTTCCTTACTATTGTGGGATCCTTAGGGCACCAAGGATATCCAGAATCCGTGGCCTGTCACGGGACAGGCTGATCCTATGAACAGCCTCTTGTCTTGGACTTACGCCGTGAAAACCGTGTTCTGTCGTAGGATACGGGAAATCGGACTATTATTTAATAATATTTGTATAACTGTGAAGGGTTAGGAGCATAGGGAGTTACTCAGCTTCTCGTTGTGGGGACTGGCTTGTCGCGCCTAAACTAGAATAGCAGAGTACAAGAGATATTAACAGGATTATCGTTGAAAATAATAGTAGACTGGTCATTGGGGAGCGAACTGCGCCTAGGACAGACGCTATCGACTTCCTGCTCGGATGCCGGAACTGGGTAGAACGAAATCGAATGTGGGCAGGCAGGTCTCCATGCGTTTGATTTGACATCAAGCGTATTCTGTCAAGCCGAGTCTGAAAGCCAGGGTTGACGATCCATTCGTGATTGTCAAAGCAAATAGAATCATATATCTTCTAGAGATCATATAGGGTGAAGTAGGTACTAAGAATGATGAAATGTAGGGACCCCGACTGATGCATCTGGATGTAGCCGGAAATATTTTATGCTTAGTTATTATGCATGATTGAATTGCTAATCCACTAAGATAAACACCTGTCTTCACGTCACACGAAGACGTTTTGCATCACCTACGTCTGGTTGACGTAGTCTTCGTTTTATGGCTCGTGGCCGCTGCAAAGTCGGCCGGCGTTTCAATCTAGAGCGGTGAAAGTCGATAATTAACGCTCGCCCAAGTTCTTCATTCCACAGGACATTGTCACGCCGAAGGTCTTCGTGGAGGATTCCTAAAGCTCTTATTTCCTTGTTCGATTGGTGGATCCCTTGCAGAAGCTGGGGCGTCAGCTCCATCGATGCCGTGCTTTCACCCCCCAGCCCATCACGAGCATATAGCGAATCTCTCCAGCTCCGTGAAGGAAATAAATTTTTGCCAAGTCGATCGTACCCAGGAAAATGGGTACAGCGGACCCTTGCGCCTTCTGCAGAATTCGGTATACCTCCGCTTCGCGGGAGACCTCTTTCCACAGCTCCGAGGTAGTTCCTTTTCCGATGACAGTGTAGCCGTATACGGCACAAGTAAGCTTGAACGGCGCACCGTACGCCCCGCAACATCCAAGAGGTGTACATCGGTCAATGTTTTCGTCCAATTGTGCTTTGAGTAGACGGACCAAGTCTTCTGAAGTAATCGGATGCTGCAGATCATCTATGCTTTGACGATGGAGCATTACATTTGGACAAAAGTTGTCTAGAACACCTCCAGACTGTAACCCGAGTAAACATCGCTGGGTGCAAAATTGGGCATCGCGGTGGCGGGACTGGCTGTCTCGGCCCTTATCATTATGTATGTCTCTTTGTCGAGTCACGCGTTGGGCAGATGGGGAAGATGGAACTTGACTGAAGGCTCGTTTGCGGCGTGTTGCTGGGTTCGAATCGGGGTCTGGTGATTGTGATGACTCTGAGCGATGTCTCACATCGGATGGGGCACAGCTGACTCGAGATCCAGTAGACACTTGACGAGCTGCTGATTCAGGGGAATCTGGCGGAGATGACGAGGGTTCATAAATTGAACCAGAATCTGGACTTGGAAATTCTGGGGCGGTACTGTCGGAGTTGAGAGGAAGTTGCCGGAGTTCATCTTCGGGAATGCGAGAGCGAGTGTGATCAAAATTGGTCTTCCATATAGGAATACCTGGTCGAATGGAATTCCTCCACTCTTGACCTCGCACAGGCGAGGGGAATGCCATCAGATACAAACACAGTGTTCTTGCAACGGAAGTATTTGCAAAGGTGGCTTCTATTTCCGTATTCACTTCACTATTTGGATCACATAGAAAGTAGTAGAGTGTGCCAGGATCATCCTGTGGAACACGGAGGAGAACTCGAGCAACCCCGTTGGTCACGTAGGAGAATTCGAGCCCTTCTTGAATCATCACATGATACTCTTGAACAATAGCAGAGCAGACAAGGCGCTCTGCATTATACCGCAACTTCGCGTCTTTATCCGTGGGTATTTTATTTGATTTGACCATCTCCTTCCACAAGTCCATTGGCCGAAGCCCTATCCGAAGGGTTGCGACGGGAAGCTTGTGAGGTGGCTTATACTCGACGGTCGTGAGGAGAGTGTCGGTAGGCCCATCGACACGGTGGATACAGAATTGATCAGGCCTGGGACGGTGTACACTTGATGGTTGGCTTGCATCTGCCTCAATGGCGCCGTAATTGTTCAAGGAATTTGTATGATTGTTGAACCGAATGCCATCGCCTAGGCCAAACTCTTCGCGAGCAGCGGGGATCTTGCACAATTCTGTTATGATATCATTGATGTGCTCTTCCACAGCGAACCGCTCATAAGCCTCGAGTTCTTGCTCGCTGCTGATGGGATTGCGGTTCAGGAGTCGGCCTAACCCTTCTAGCTCATGTGAAGATGTAAATAGACGCGGCCCCTCTCCTGGCGTTGGCTGGAGATAGCCGTGGACGGATCTGTAAAGCTCGGACTGTTGCACTGGACAGTCGGCCCAATGTTCCAACCGTATCGGACAGTATTTCCCCGTAGGCTGAGGTATTTTCCCGCTGGTCGAACGAGATGGTGTTTCAATTCTCAACGGCCGGGAGAGTAGTTTGTGGCAATAGCGCATGAATTCCATGAAAGTGGTTCGTTGGTTGCGCTCCCTTTCCCTTCTGCCTTGATCTTCGGCTTGCTTCTGTCGCTCCTCGGCTTGCTTCTGTCGCTCCTCGGCCTGCTTCTCTCGCTCCTCAGCCTCTTTGCGTCTCGTTTCTGCTTGCAGAAACAGAGACTTGTAATCCGGGGAGCTGTTTTCAGCCATCGATTTGTCAGGGAGACGAAACAATAACTCAACTTGACCGTAACACTCCCATCCGGCGTTTGATCCAGGAGGCTTATGTCAGCTGATCACGGTTCCCGGCAAATTAATTTCTCCGTTAGATGACGTAACTCCTGAGTGCACTGCTGACGCCAATGGGATTTTCCCAAAATACAAATCGATTAGCCGTCCCCTCGAGTCGGACCCACAGCATTTTCAGCTGAAAATGCTGTGGGTCCGACTCGAGGGGACGGCTACGCTGCTATGACAGGTCTAGCCTAAGTCTTTCTACAATAATTAATTTCCCTATATTTCTGGCCCGTAAGTATTATGTACTTCTACCAGTAGTTCTGTGTCGTCTAATAGTGGAAAGTCAAGGGTCACACTAATTATCTCATCAGAAGAGCATGGAATTTCGAGGAATTTGACGATGCGGGACTTCCTACTCGGTCCGCATATTAAGGATACTTCGGCTACACTTTGGCCCGGCCGCACTCTGGAATGGCGAGCAAATAGAGTAGAAATATGGATACGTCAAGTATATGATTTATTTTTATATTGTCGATATTTCAAACGGAATGCGTCGAATATCTTACTGCCTACTATCTCCTTCCCCGGCCGTGACTTTGCTGGGGCCTGTAGAATATTAATTCGACAACTCGCACTTTTCGGAACCTCGAGAATTGCCATCCCTGAAATATACTCAACGTTGAAATACTATAAAGTTACTTCAGCTAAAGTGTTATGTCACACAGCCTTCTATTTCTATACAGATGGCTAAAGCTGCCAATGGAGCCAGCTCGCAAGTTATCCGAGGGGAATATTTCTTGGTAGGCTATTGCATCTCTGCCTAACCTATAAAGACCCTATTTCCAACGGTTATCAATCAAAAGATAGCCACTATCAGCTATGCGATCAGCGGAGACCTGAGCTGTAGACTAATGGAAAGCATAATTTCAAGGAACCGATTTCCTAAGCCATGATCGAAGATATTGGCGCAGGACTTGCAAACAACGAGGAAAAAGTGGAAGATAGTCAAGCCGAGTAAACTAGGACTAGTTAACGAGGGATAGAAATTAGAGATACAGGTGACCTTTCATACGGTTTCGCCAGTAGAAAAAGCAAAGCCGTATAATTTTGGGATCGGCACATCTGGGCAGTTCTTTTCAAGCCATGCATACGTTCCTGCTTCGCATCGGACTTTCTCATCGCAATTTCCAGGCCTGAATCTCTCTCCGACGCGATATAGCAACGGAAATCGCATCAGAACTCGCTTGTTATCCCAACTATTAATTCTGATCGGGACACAAACGTTATACCTGCCGTGGAGCCAATTTTCATTGTCTGCAATATAACATTGACTAGATGATCTCAGGCCAAGATGGTAGGCAACAGCAGCCTTCATCCATTCACGCTTCTCATGAAGGGGGAGCGAAGAACTTTGTTTGCTCAAGGGTATCCAAGCTGATGGAGAATGTTGGATTCTTCAGATTTGGCATCTGAATACGTGATCTCTCCTCGAAGAAGCCGTCGTGTTTTGGGCATAATGATGAATATTGAGGAAGCAATATTTGGATTCACGAATCCAGGGGTAAGTGTTTTATTATTGAGAGAAGCTGCTGGAGCTCTGCCGCAAAGTCCGCCACCGCCTTCCTGACCGACTCCACAACAAGCTTCTTCAGATTATATGTATAGCCTAGAATACGACTTGGGGCTATTTGAGGGACTATTTGGAATTACAAAGACTAAGCCTTAGGAGAGCCATGGATTGGGTATGATGATATAGATTTGGCTCTCTATGATATAAGAATAGGAAGGTGATCGATGGACTTTCTCTTGGATATCCCTTTTCTTAATATGATAGGGAGTAATATACCTATAAAGAATTTGGAATTGCTGACGCTGTTATCTCGCTAGCATTGGCCTATAAGCACCTCGTCTTACGCTAGAAACCCAAAAAGGAAGATTAACTGACAGAACTTGCCTAATATTGTTACTGGATATAATAAATTTGATTAAGAAGCTTGCAAATTAGGGAAATTAAAGAAGAGTATACTATGCTGTTCGTTAGCGGACAGAGAAAGCCCTCGACCTAGTTTATGTTACTTCCTAATTCCTGGGAATAGAACATAATATCAAGCATATGGCATCCTAAATTCAAAAAATTCAGGGCAAAAAGTATCATATCAGCTTAAGTAACGTCGGCACTTAAAAGAAAACAATTCCATCCCGAAGCTTCTATATCGATAACGATCTAGGAAGTATAGCAGAAATGGCAACTTCCGTATTTTCGGAACGACCATAGGGTCCTGAAAATTCGCTTTGTTTATGGCATCCAGCTAATTAACCGATGATAATAATAGATAACATTAATAGGTAGCAATTTCGTCTGATTGTCCAATGTTAAGAGGGAAGCCCAGCCGAAAACGCCTCTATTGAATGATCTAGCCGAAATTGCGGAAGGGAAAATCACTAATGACGATACGCTCAAGTGTTCCAGTAAACCAGCATGACTGTGTAAACCTGTGTAAACAAGGACAAGGGGATTATTGAACGTTTTAGTGCAATTTTGGCAAGCTATTGGCAGCGGGCTCAGCTATGTAATTACATGGGGAGAGGGGGGGGGCAGATGAGTATGCTCTAACACGAGTTCTTATCTGAACAGTGTGGTAATTTGACACGCTTCTTCTACTGCAAACGTCAACATAAATTCAGAGGATAACAGAAAACCTAAAAACAATTGCAAGAACTCGGATGAGACCAGCTCAAGTTAGAAATAACACGTAAAAAGGACAACATCGCAACCCAATTTCCATCAGTATCCTATTTCCACCAGTAGCTATTCTATATAACCCTTGTAGATCACAGCAACAACTTCAAATATAAGATGAGTGGGATCTCCGGGATTGTCGATCTTGCATCTTCAGTTTCTCCAGTTTCTGTTCAAGCTTTTGGATTTCCGTATCTCGAAAGCTGGTTTTAGACGATTTTTGGTAACGTCTAGAAGGGGTAGGAGCAGACTGCCTAGTGGGGGGCTTAGATCTTCGCTGTGGAGGTCTGTGATGCCTCGAAAAGGCAGGTGCAGAATTTCTCGAGCGCCCGTTGAAGGCCAAGGATGAATCGCTTTCCGTATTGGTTTCTTCGCTGATGTTGTCCTCAAAGTGAATATGGCGTCGGCTACCACGGATCGGACGGGGTATGCTGTCTTCCTCCGACGGAATTTCATCTTCATCCATTCCGTGTATAGCACGATAGGCGTGCTCAAGCTCTCGTGCTTTTTGATAGATCAGGCGATCTCCGTCTAATACGGACCCAGTACTGATTCGCCGAATAAACGCCCTCCCCTCAAGCGTAACAACCTTATCTCTCCATTGCACCAGAGTCCGGGTCTGCGGATACGCTGCACCTGCCTCCGGCCAGAGCAAGTCCAGTGCATCCATGCCGCTTTCGTCGTCACCTTCGACCTTCCAACCAACCCCGAGTATATCAACCACATTCTTTCGGTCGAACTTCCAATACATTTCGTCTCCATACATATATTGTTGGTTGCCACGAGTTTTCGTAGGCAAGAACCGTTCCACTTGACTTGGGTTATAATATTCGTGAGAGCCAGCTCGAATGCGGTATATTGGCGCTGATCGATCTCCGTAGCGAACGAAGATTTGGGAACCTGTACCCTTGGGCCACCAGTACAAAACCTTGCCGGTTTTCAGTCGCCGCTGTTCTTTCTGCGTTCTGGCTTCCAAGGCATCAAGACCCCCGATCTGGTTACTTTCGTCATCAGATTGTGACTCAGAACCTGAATCTCGAGCCGCAGAATCGGTTTGATCATCGCCATCAGACGAATCTGCCTCTGTTTCCGCTCTGGGATTTGGCGATCCAATTGCTTTCTCAGCCCATACCGAGCTAATATTCCAGTTCTTCGGAAGGTGATGTCTCCTGTTGAAAAGTTTGATAAGATCGAAGGTTGTGTGGAATGCTCGCCAACCCTCTTCCGTATTCCCTTTTTCTTTCGCTGACAGAAACTGATTATGCCACGTCCGGCACGTGTCATTGTAATACCGAGGATTTATTGTTCCGTTGTCAATGTTGACAACATCATGCGCCCGGTTGGCAGCACGAATACGTTCATTGAGATTCTCAAAGAATTTTTCGCAGCTGTCGTATTCAGGCGAGTCGGAGGTGAAGAACACTTGAATTATATGCTCCGAGTGTTTGTTCGTCTCCTCTCGGATCACATCTTTGGTCCACTGACCAACATGATGAGGTTTATCCTCGGCTGGCGCTTCATGCATAGATGCATCGTCGTCTGTTTTGTCGGATTCATCGTTCTCATCGAACGCCCCGGGAGCATAATCTGATTTGTGGCTCGGGCTGCGGTCTCGGTTCCTCGGGGGGTCCGGATCTTGGTCATGCGCTTGGACGTGAGTTTTCACATCTTTATCTGCTGTGTTTGCTTGGTCTAAATCGGGCGTTCGATTATCCCGAGTATTTGCGGGAGAATTTTTGGATTTGGTCTTCTTCTTTCCCTTCTTTGGCATTTTGTGATATACCAGTGGTGGTGACACAGAACTGGAGAAGTTTTTCTTGAAAATTATAAAGATTATAACTTAGTTGGTTGGGCGAGCTTTTATATCCTTGTTGCGAACCGGAATGGGTGTCGCAAGCGTGTGCGTATATATAAGAGAGTAAACGCACCGCCATCCTAAAAAGATAGCGGCGGGATCCGCAAAAGTGTCGCAGGAAACTCGTCCTAGTTGATAATATATAAAACGCTAATATGGGAAAACCCCTTAAGTTAGGGCCAAAGGCACTTCCTGTATTTTGAACCATGATTTGCGGACTTAATTAGAATATTGAACGGCTAGCACTTTATCGAGAGCCGCGCTGAAACATCTTTTTTTCCCTATAGGGTACGGTAAGTATAGAGGTTTTATCTTCTATTAAGGTTGAGTGATTCAACTAGACTTTATATTTCCTATCAAGTTCCTATCTACTATGGTACCTAAGGCTTTAGAATTTAATTCAACAATATATAGTAAAGTATTATTTTGGGAGACCTTATTTTAGTGCCGATTGTTCAATAATAGTCAGCACTAAGGATCTAACTAACGATAACGTATTCCACAAGCGAGCTGATCACCCCAAAACACCATAGTTAAGCCGATTTTTACCAACGATACAAATCAACAACCACGAGATAGATTCTATTGATTTTATAACTATGGAATATGTTCTATAAAGGAAGTACACTGTATAAATCTTAAAATAATCTAGTGCCGCGATGATAAGATTACCAAGATTACACGCTTATATGGATGTATAAATATATATCTTGGTCGCAATGCTCTAAATTTTTTCGATTTTTCAAAAAAATTTGAATGTTGACTATTTCAATAGCAAAAAGCTAATATTCTAAATCAGACTTTCTAGAAAGCTATAGTTGTTGATTTATGAGGTTGGTAAAAATCGGCTTAACTATGGTGTTTTGGGGTGATCAGCTTGCTGTGGAATACGTTAGTACCCGTAAAATTGATTAGTATGTAAATATCAGATAAGTAATAATTAATGAGAGAAAATAGAAATAATAGCAGGCCGACTATTACGTCAGATCGAGTTCACGAGACGGGATTCTGCCAAGAAATCGTGTCTTATTTACTAACGTAGCTGTAAGCCGGACATTGTAGATTATTATGAAGTTAGATATCTCTATATTCGAAACTACATATTTTATATATGAATTAATCGAAACCCCTATATATAGATAGTGACCTAGGTTTACTCAATTTAAGACTAGATTCTACAAGATTAAGGAAAGCCTGATATTGTAAATCTATATCCGGATAGATAGTAGTAGACAGTTAATCCTATATCGATAGCGTTTCTCCTATATTAGGGTAAGGTTATCCAAAAGCACTCCTTCTATCTCCTCCGAACAGCGGCACTAGGGATGAAGGCTAGCCGGAAATAGGACTCTTTCCATAAGGCCGCACTTTGGACGAAGGCCAACCGAAAGTAACTGGCCGCACTGGGGGGGACGAAGGCCGACCGAAAGGAACCGGTCGTACTGGGCTGGTCGAAGGCTGACCGAAGGAACACTTCGACCTTTCTGGTTTTGGACAGTTTTCTTGCCGATTCTTGCTTTTCGTGCGGTATTTCCCACGGTTTCTCCAGGCTATACCTATATTAGCAATATAATAACCAAAAATTCAATTAATAATTGACATACGGAAAACGATGTTCAATACTCCCATGTTGAACAGTTGAACTAGGCTTGAAACTAAGTATTCTTCCACAAAGAAAATTCTTTGATAGATAGAAATTAAGGAAGCGCGAAGGGAGGTATTTATCAAATTCAGTCTATAGGAGTCAACTAAATAGGCAACCAAAATTCTAAAGGGGATCTGAAACTCAGACGCATAGCAGAACAATTGTGTGTGTTGTTTAGCCGTGCGAACCAAAATAGTGTCGCAGCCAATCTATCACATGTGATCTTACCTCTGATAATGGAAGGTCCACCAGCTGGTCTATCGCGACGCTATTTCTGTGCTTTCAGAACAATAAAGCATTTTTGGTTGTTAATTATTTTACTGGGGCTTGCTCAATAATTTATTCGCGCTAAGGACTTGACGGTGAGGCCAGAAAAGAGTCAAGTCGATTGACTGACTGTACCGATTTTTGGAAAGGGAAAGATAGACAAGGCACAACAATATATTTTTTCTTAGGGTGATATTTCCCGATGAGGGTAGACTCAATTTCATGCGTATGTAGTAAATATTATGTAACAACAATATTGAAATGTTATAGACTTTGCTAGCTATCATTCACGGGAACTGTGGGTTCGAATGTTGCGCCATGCAAAAATGCCATCATTTGCCCTAGGACGTCCGAGCATTGTATGCACCTGAGCTGATACCATTCTGAAAGTGCCCTCCACTGCTGGATTTCCTGTTGATGAAGATAGATAGTCATCTGTGCTTCCCTGATGATTGACTTCTGATGATTGATTTCCGCCTCTGCTTCTGCAAGAGCCTGTTTGTAACAAGAAGCCTGGTCCTCAGCTTCTTGCAATTTCTCGACCAGAGAGTGATTGTCAGCTTGCAATTTAGAAACCAAATCGACTTTCGTATTCCTCTCAGGTTCCTGTGCCACTCTGAATAAGCCTTTAGCTTCTCGATTCACCGAGGATCAGTAAGTCACCTTATTTAGAAGAACTGCGTGAAATCTTTTCCCAACTTCCTGGCAAAGTTTCATATAGGCTCCCACTGAGTGCTTGCTCAAATGCTTTTGAAAAAGCGGCTCAAGAGACGGATCATCGATTTGCCATGCATAGGGCACCTCGTCCTCTGTGATCTTCAAGCGCACCTCAGACGCCTTCACATTGATACCGAGTGTCCCCACTGGCTATCTGTTAGTAATTATTGTTGAAGCGATCCTAGGCCATACATATATGCTGGGAAAGACGTTCACGGCAGGTGGATCTCCACTCGGCCCGTTTCTCATTACCTGGGAGGGGAATTTGGTCTTTCATCTCTGTCTGATGGAGAGGAGTCTCACTAACCGATCGGTTGGTCTTTATGCGTCCTGTTACTTTGCGAGCCGTTTCAGGTTCGGCATATTTAGTCATCCACGGGTTATCTAGTTAGTTAACTACCAGGTACCTAGGTACTGGCGATCTATTTGCCAAGTTCGATTACTTGAGACGATCATGTCGACAAAAATGACTTGTTAATTTTGCTCGTCTGATCTAATATTGGAGCAAAACTCTGGCTGTTGCTTTCATTCGTTTTCAAGATCTCGAATGATTGTGAGCTCATCAAATATACTAGTGTTTTGGATACCAGAGAGAACATCCATCAGCGCTTGAGCACACTTTGAGCATGAACAGGCTTCCCTGAGCTTCTCGTGTGGGAGACAAATGTTCCGCAGGTGTAGTTGTCGCAGGACACTAGCATGGCATTCCATAAATCTAGCAAGATCCGGGCCCACCAGCCAACAATTTGCTAGGTCAAGTCTCCGCAGGGACGGCATAGCAACATCCGACATGAAATCTAGAAGGCTAAAGCTATCCACCAGCTTGAGAGCCTTGACATGCGTAAGAGCATCAGCCGCCGTCCCCATGAGGTTAACATCAGTAGCAACCAATTTAGCATAGAAACCTTCGATTTCCATCGCTTCGATCAAAATACCTTGACCGCGAGCAGTCACCATGGATCTGAGAACCGTCTCCAGATGGATTGGAAACGAGTCTTTCCAATCGACATAGATACGGTTTGCAAACCAAAGAAACTGGTCTTCCTTGAGCGCATCAAATGAAAGCTTGACTGCCTTCAAGCCACAGAGACGGGAAAGAGACTTGCAAAATATGCGTATATCATTTCGCCCGTGCAGAAGTGTGTGCTGGGCTTTAGCAAGCCAACTGAAATAGGAGTGTATCGCGGTATAAGAGAATTCCCTGCCTCGAAGGCCCCAGCGAAAATCCTTATGGTCCCTAGCATATTCCTGTGGTGTATATATGCAAGCAGTGAAGTAGTCCCAATGTTGGATCACTAAAACTATCAGTCAGTGGAAACGGAATTCAGGGCTATGGTGACGCACATGGATCAACCAACTCGGATGCGCTATAATGGAGCATCTTCACATGCGACGCTAGAGGTGATTCCGATATCATCTCTAGGCAATACAAACCACGCTCCGAAAAGTTCACCGTTATCATGTGGAATAAATAAGATACGCTCACGGCTCGGCATTTCTTATTGACTAAAGAGAAAGAGCTGAGAGAGGAACCGCTAAGGTCGGCGACAATCAATCCCAAGAGCTCCACCGGTAAATCTGTAAAGTGCCTGGCAGGTTCCGACGCCATCACGTTGATTTTCACCAGCGACATTGTTCTGTGGTTGTTCTCTCAATGGCACTTGTAATGTTTTCTCGAAGTCGGTTGGGTTTAGGAGCACACTCACCGATCTTTAGCCGCTGGTTTGCGTGAACGATGGGCTTAAATGATGGATGCCGTTTCAAATTGGATAGGGGTAATGTTACTGAACCTCAACCGTTCGTTTAGCACTTCGATTTATCGTGGAAATAAGCCTGCCAACGCCCTTAGGGGACGGCGGAATCCCTGAGAATGACATTAAGACAGCGGTCCTGTTTTAGGTATACAGAGCATAGTAATTTGTGTTCGACCTGATGAGACTTTCCGTGGCAATACACTATACATCTGATTGGACAATTTGCCATCCTTGAGAACATGCTGTTATATAAATGAAAACCCCAGGATAGTATCGCTGGTCCGAGTACCACATAAAAAGCCTACATTTTCTATACAGTCAACACTCTAAGACGATTCTTTATTGCTCGCAAGCTAGAAACGTGAGTCTTGACCGAGTCTATCGTTCGCTCTTCGGGAAGGAACTAAGGATTTCTCAGAATGAAGGGAGTTATCTCCTGGTCGTGTGTTTCCTGCCTGGTTGCCGATTCGAAGTTCCTGAAGATTAATCTTATTCCACACGATCCTGGGTCCGGCTACATAGCCCTTTTGTCCTTTCTGCTTCCTTCTAAACGACGGATCAACATCCACACTCTTTGTAGAAATTGCATGGAAGAAATGCAGTGTGCTTCGTCGGAGGAGCAACTAAGGATGGTTATGAAGAAGAGAGATCAAGTGACGTTTGGCAAAAAGATCGCATGGGTGAGACAGCAATGGAACTTTTGGGTCTCATGTTCAGAAAGTCAGAGGATCAGCGAGATTCTACAAGACGATGGGGATATTTATCTTAATCTCTTCGGCGGCGCGACATTAAACTAGCTTGAACTAAACTGGATGTAACTTCAGATGGACCGCATATAGCCAACCAAATCATAACCTGAACTTTCATACAAGAAGTGGAACTGGCTGGAGTAGATTTTGATTCTTGATCTACTGAACATCTGATACCTATCTTTCGATGAGTGGATGAGAATATGCAGATATATTCCTTTTCATGGTTTAGGTCTGAAAGAAATTAGTATTCCACGAATAAATTTACCAAATAGCCCAGTGCGAGGCATTAAAAACCCCCGAAGCCCAGAGGATGAACGCTTGACCCATCTCCCAGCAGACATCTATACGCATAGTCGTGGTAACCGGAAGGCATCAGAGCTATAGAAAACCCACGTCACCAGAAACCAAGAAGAGATCACTAGTATTTGTTGCTATAACACCTAAAATGTTCAAGCTTCTTCCATAACATCATCTTCACTCCGTTGCATTGGAACGTTTCGTTTCCCAGATTGATCGTCCGGTGCTTTCCTCTTCCCCGTATGAACGTTATAGTTGTATACGTATTCACGAAGCTTATCCGCTGAAATCGAACCTTCCTCATTCCTCCTTTGCTTTGGATTGTCCCTTTTTGCAACTAGCACGAGACGTTCTTTCAATGCTTCCTCGTACGCCTTGTTCATGTCCGGTATTCCAACCCCATATTGGTTGATGAGCAAGAAGTAATGGTCTCTGGCAAGATCTTGCAAAGTAGACCGTAGATTATATCCGTCCCCCGTAGTGAATTTGTAATAAGTGCGAGATTCAAACAAGAACACAACAACTAGCTCCTGATTCTGCGACTGGTACCACATTTGAAGGATCTCGGTCACTTTGCGATGGACTGATAAATAATTCTTGATGCCTAAGGGACGATTGCAGGATGCATCCTCAAAGCCGGCGGCCAACGGTGGCGCGGCCTCAGTTTTGTCGCGATCCGGTGTTCCACTTGGATGAGGATCGAATTCGACTGGTTCACTTGGGGAGTCTTCCTCCTCAACCGGGTCTAGCCTGGAGCTTTGGGAAGGCTGGCCTGCAGTCTGATCTCGTAGAGACGTCTCGTCGGTTTCCATGCGATTAGGTCCGGTGTTACCATACGGGATTTCATTCTGGGGCTCCGTGGGGCCTTCAGAGGAGCCGATGTCGCGACTGTTGAAGGCTTCTCGGAAAATTTCTTTTCCAAAGAAGCAAAATAGAATGTCTCTCGTGACACCAAGAGGGGTTGGATATTGTGCTGCAGGTTGGTCGTCGCCGAAGACTTGTTCGAGAAAAAGATGCCTTCGCTGCTGTTCATACTGGTCTTGGGTTGGGCTGTTAAACCTACGCTTTGCCATGAAGTCGGTGTTGTTTGTTGTGAAATGCGCTCTCTCGGTCGGTCCTTCGTTGTATTTTGGAAGATTGCGCAAAGAACTCTGGAACCGGTTCGACATTGATTGCACCTCGCGCTCTTCAAATCTGCAAAATTCTTCTTTGCAGAGAGATTCAAAGAAACCTTGCGCGATTTTTTGGCTCAGGTTTTCCGTTCGAAGCACCTTGATTTGATCCGAGGAGAAACCCAACCGGTCAGCCAAGATAGCCAGCTTGCTCAGGCTGAACATCTCGGTCGACCAACCAAAGTTGCGTCGGTTATTCTTTGCATCGTTGTGCTGTTGAACGAGATGCCGGAGTCCAAAAAGCCATAACTGGATCATACAAGCAGCGAAAGGACTTGCCGATGATGGCATGGGCGTGAAGTCTTGTTCGGATCTTTGAATCTCGAGTGATCTGCCAGTTCCAACAAGGCTCCATTGGTAACACATGGTCTTTCTTAGATTTATGAATTTTGGCGGGCAGAGACGATGAAGCGCTTTTGCCGGACCCTCAAGAAATAATGTGTCCTGAATGAGCGTGTTGAGGGATATCAGCCTTCCTGGCGTTGAGACAAGTTTGTCTTGTAAGATCTTCCTCTCTTCCACTCCAGAAATAAGAGGAAAAATTTGCTTTGATTCAACGAGCTCGGCGATACGCCTCCGGTCGCCCAGTGAACACTCGGGCATCAGGCCTTCGACAAGCCGTACGGACGCTGAATCCGCAAAGGATGCACTGCGTTCTTCGAGAAGCCTGGCCCATAGTTCATGGACCCTGCAAAGATAATGATACAAAATCTGACAGGTTAGTAGATGACAATTATCGGAGGTAATTGTCATACCTCTGGGCACTTTAGACCGAGCATTCGCCGAAACTGGGTGGATTTTAGAGGTTCCCACAGTCCTATATAGGGCAACAATTTATCCAGTCCATCAAGAAGAAGTTTGTTGCGTTGCAAGCGTCGTATGTCTTTACGTCGATCGTCAGTCTCGAGTCTAGCCCACCACTTCTGTTCCTGTGCGCCGTTTTGTAGGGTCTGGTATAGTCTGAGAGTGCGATAAATCTCTCCGTCTGTGAGTCTGAGGCTTTTCGTCGATTCTTCGCGGAGTTGAGTTAGGGCTTCCGAGGGGAGGACTAATAATCAGGTCAAACTTTGATTGAGTAGATCTTTGTCTGGAGACCTACCATCTAGATAGAGGTCCACAAGCCATCTGTTTTCTCCAAATGCTTCACCAGCCTTCAACCGATGTTTGCCGTAAACACAAGTCAGACGGGCATCCCGTTCCAGTAATAGGCGTGGCTGGTTTGTTGGGTCCAGAAGTGCCTGTCGGGAGAGGTTTGTGTGCGTAAGGGTCTTTGTCAAAGTCTCTTGATCAATTATAGCAGCGACTCGATGCTCCGGCTCAAGGTTACCGCAACCTTCAATTTCGAAAATTGTAAGAAGCCTTTTAACATTTCTTTCGTTCAGCTGTCTTCCCCCAAAGACATCATCTGGCTCGAACATTAAGTGCCGTAACTCGATGATGGCGCATCCCTGGTAGTATTGTAATTTTTGGAGGGCAAGTTGGTTTGTCCGATAACCGAGGGGATTATCAGGAGAGTCCATTTTCCGGTGATCGAGAACACCTACCAAGTACCTATGGATTTATCATATTTCTGCGGCACCGTTTCCGTGTCGCAGACTGAACCCTAACAGCCCCACCTCCCTGATAAGTGCTCCGGCACTCTCTGGTGCTCCGGTACTCTCTGGTGCTCCGGCACTCTTTGGTGCTCCGGCACTCTCTGGTGCTCCAGCACTCTCTGATGCTCCGGTACTCTCTAGTGCTCCGGCAATACTTACTGCTCCGGTACTGCTTAGTGCTTTAGCACTTTTTAGTGCTCCGGCACTCTCTAGTGCTCCGGTACTCTCTAGTGCTCCGGTACTCTCTGGTGCTCCGGTACTCTCTGGTGCTCCGGCACTCTCTAGTGCTCCGGTACTCTCTGGTACTCCGGCACTCTCTAGTACTCCGGTACTCTCTGGTGCTGCTGCACTGTTTAGTACTCCGGCACTCTCTAGTGCTCCGGCACTCTCTGGTGTTCCGGCACTCTCTAGTGCTCTGGCAATACTTATTACTCCGGTATTACTTAGTGCTCTAGCACTCTTTAGTGCTCCGGTACTCTCTAGTGCTCCGGTACTCTCTAGTGCTCCGGCACTCTCTAGTGCTCCGGCACTCTCTGGTGCTGCTACACTATTTAGTGCTCCGGCACTCTTTGGTGCTCCGGCACTCTCTGGTGCTCCAGCACTCTCTGATGCTCTAGCACTCTCTGATGCTCCGACACTTTCTAGTGCTCCGGCACTCTCTAGTGCTACTACACTATTTAGTGCTCCGGTACTCTTTGGTGCTCTAGCACTCTCTGATGCTCCGACACTCTCTAGTGCTCCGGCAATACTTACTACTCCGGTACTGCTTAGTGCTCTAGCAGTCTTTAGTGCTCCGGTACTCTCTGGTGCTCCGGCACTACTGGTGTAGTCATTGGCTCTTATAATTTATTCTCATACTGTGGTTTGCTATATCGAACAGTATCCTATTGTATCTTTATTATATATCTGAGAATACCTATCCTTAGCTTTCATAACCTGCCTCATCCACATGACTGCCAATCCGAATTCCCATAGGAAGCGTTTCAAAGTAATGCCGTTTTAGACACCATGCTCCTCCAGGGTTTGCCAAATGCAAAAAGTCGTCCTATATAATATATCATCTATGAGCATCCTCTTCTATGTCCATAGTAAGTGATAGTACCTTCAAAAGTTGCTCCACTGATGTTGCTGCCTTCGTTCTCTCGATAAAAGAATTCGCTTGTTCTGACAAGGGCGGTATATCTGCATCTCGGCTCGATTCACATAGTAGAGTGGTGCGATCGCTGAGCGAGACCACAATGGATCCAACCGCTTTAATATCTTTATGTCGGTCATAGAAGGATCTTTTCTCCAGCAAGCAATCGCCGATATTTGCTAATATATAATTAACACGGTTCAATGAACACGATTCAGGAGCCACGATAGGGAAATATACCAATTTTTACATCGCCTTCACAGGTAAGAACAATGTTGCTGCAGTCGATCGAACCATGGGAAACTCTCAACTCCAAATGGATATGTTTGAGACCCTCGAGAATCTCTTTGCAGATTGTCGCTATATCTGCCTCGCTGAACTGAACCGCTCCTGCAGCACATCCTAAAGAGATTGCTAGATGCTCATAATTATATATTAGGTAAACCTTGTTTTGGTCTTGAGATTGGAAAGTGTCCACTAGGGCAACCAGGCTTTTGTGGATGACGGGATGCAGTCCTCGAAAAGCTCCAGCTTTCTGGGTTCGACGCTCCTTGATAAGGCAGACAGGGAAATTCTCAGTATCCTTCAGGGCTACCACACCTGGTCCAGCTTGATCAATGTTATAAAATCTGTGGTACTGAGTTGTCGACTGCTTCTTTGAACGATCCAAAGCTTCGCTAGTCCTGCTTGGCTTGATAGGAATTCCGAAACGAGTTGAATGATTCTTATCAGTTCCCCTTTCACTAAGGATTCCTCTGGATCCCACCCTTTCGTTTTCATCGCCGTTCCTTTTGTTTTCCCATAGCTTATGTGGCAGGAAGGTCTCCCGCTTCGAGTCTGCCACCATGGTTCAAAGCTTTCGTCGTAGTGAGGGCATATATGAAGCTATAGCTGAAAACCGCAATATCTGGGCCAAGTTCACGATATGTAGTCGCCTTCGAGCAACTTGAGAGGCGGGAAGGGTGGTGGGCGGTGAGAACTAAGCCTGAGAAAGTCAACTAGTTCCTACTCCCAGTGCACGGACCCAACCAGAACATAAGAACGTCACCCAATTGCTCCGCGTTATCCCGGGACCTGAAACGGAACGCAAGTCAACTAGATGTCGTGGTAATAAGGTAGTCCAATCAGATTTTGCACTAATCCTCATCTGCAACACCAAAGTGTATCGGCACGAAACTAAGCAAATACGTCACTGTCCATCACTTGCCAGGTCAGTTGCGACACTAAAATGGTACCGCGGGCACTGCTAACGATTTTGTCAAGCAAAAAATGTCGCACTAGACAACCATAGCACGATACACGCAGATGGTCACCACTTTCTACTTACTGTCGCATCTCCTTCCGGTAAAATGATCCAAGGTTGTTCGATGTTCTAGATACTTACTGAAGCACATCTACAGGGCCACCAAATTCAAATACAAGGAACTAGAGCATACTAAGGACTAGCGGTGGATACGCAATGTAACAGGGGGAGTGGTCAAACTCATCAGGATTGCTGGCAGTGGGGAAAACCATCTTTCTGGATGAGTGCATTAGCCCATTTCTGAATCATGGCAAGACAATTTATATTCGCTCCATGCTATACAGAAAGGCCCCTGCAAACTGGAAGCGCTCATAACCAAATCATGCTTAGAATGCTCCGCGCCATCGAAAATGACGTCCTTGAACAAAGTCAGTCACGAGACTTGAAGTTCGTTCAAAGTGCCTACCCCATGTTTCAGTCCGCTGTCAATCCGGGATTGCTGTCCTGTCCTGCCTTTAAAACAGAGTGGACAGAGTGGACAGAGAGATGTCACCCGACGATCTAAACCCATGTTAAGTCCCGTTTACTTGAAGATTCTTGGCCTCAAACCCGGCTGGCTGGCGCCAGTTCTCGGACACCCGAAGGAGCGAAACAAGATAGTTTACCAAATAGTATTAGGATGGCTCAACCTCGACACCATGCGATTTTCACTTATATAATGCCGTCGAAACAATTTTGCCCGAGCTCCGAGTGGGACTCCCGAGGTCACGTGGGAAGTTATATCACCGTGGTGTGGCGTTGGGCAAAGAGGAGGGGTGGGTTAGGCAATTTTCATCTGATGCCTATCCACAACCTCGACTTACTGCCAGGTCTTTCATGTCCTCCCTCCGATTACGAAAATCCTGGCGAACAGACTGAGCCCTGTGATACTACGTTCTCTTTCTCTATAATCATCCTTCCCACCGACCTTCAACTCTAACCAAAAAACCAACTTATCGCCTACGACCAAGAAGGTCTAAAGTCCCAGCCTGTCAAGGTATTATCGGTTGCGCCTCTTGTTCAATATGCCTGAAGCGGTCACAAAGGACACTCTGGTATGTCTACTGTTGGGATTGTTTTCCAGGTAGTCAATAACATGTCCCAGAGCAAGGCTTGGAAGAAAGAGCTTGCCGATCCAGCTGCATTTAACGACTACATTACGCATCCGTACCATTCCATCAACCGAGAGCCTTTCGAGAGAGAACTTTACTGCTTTGAATGCCAAGAAATACGGTTCCAAGATAAAAAAGGCAAAACGATCCATACGGAGCAAGGGAGTGGTGAAATTGTTCTTCCTCCTCAGATTGGAATTTTTGCAATCGGTGGGAAAACAAGAATCGTAGACAGACGATGATTGTTTGGGTCAGCGCATAGTAGCTGAGGGGCATCCGTCATAATAGAGTTTGTTTGCCAAATTCACTCCCGCAAAAAATCCGATGCGCAAGTGAATGATTCCATGTTGCGGCTGTGCCCTCCATATCTGCATGGTGATGCAATCAGTGGTATCAACAAGTAGCTGTTCTCGTTCCCAGGTTCTCAATTCACTGTTTTCAATGCCTTCGCAGATATCAGCACCAAAAACTGATACCATTGCCGAGACAGATGCTCCTCGCAACGTAAAGTACGCAAAATCTGTAACGGGTAATTAGCGGTGCGTCTTGGTGACTGACTTCACCTTCCATACCAATCTCTGAAGAGAAAGACATATCAGTATTCCCAGGACCCAAAGACCCCTCTGATCCGCTCAATTTGTGAACCGAAGGGGGTAAAGCCGAGAGGACAGATTCGATTTTTCGGCTTGCGAGTGGGAACAATAAATCAGCAAGTTCAAGTGCAGCGCCAACATCAAGGCGAATGATAGTATCTTGGTAGCCGTCATAGGGAACTTTCGTCTGAATACATTGGGTTGTTCGGGAAAAGTGACCAGTCAACTTCTTTGACAGATGAGTGGGTGAGCGTTCGATCGCGTCACATATCTTATCTCCGAAAGCGATTCGGATTGCCGAAAGGTCGCACATATCTAATGAGCAATTTTCATTGCCATCAGCTTCCGCTCCAGTCACTGGTGGGCGTGATTCGAAGATCGATCGCATTAGGTTTCGAAAGTGGACGGTCCTGTCAATGCCATGCTTTATGGCGATTTGCCAAAGTAGCAAGTTGGCATCATTGGAGAGAAAGATTTTTCGCTCCCTGTGCTGTTGGAAAAACCGCGAGTCAATGCGATCACAAACTCTTGGTGAAAAAGTGAGTATAAACGCGAGAAAGAGGTATGGATCTTTCTCGAGAACTTCCAGATAAATTTTTCGAGCCTTCCTTTGTCGAGTCTGTGCCAAATATTCGCGATTTTCGAGTGGTTCACGTCTGCGTTGCTGTGATTCTTGGGCCACGCAGGCTATGGCTAAACGCTCCCCAAGAAGTGTTTGATCCGCAGCAGGAATAGTCTCCAACGTCTCAATTTCGTCCATTTTCCTGTATACGGCAGCGAAATTCAGATATTTGGACGGCATGGTATTTGCACGTAAGGACAGAATGGACAGAATGGACAGAGTGGACAGAATGGACAGAATGGACAGAGTGGACAGAATGGACAGAGTGGACAGAATGGACAGAGTGGACAGAATGGACAGAGTGGACAGAGTGGACAGAGTGGACAGAGTGGACAGAGTGGACAGAGTGGACAGAGTGGACAGAGTGGACAGAGTGGACAGAGTGGACAGAGTGGAAGGAAAGCCCGTCGGAACAGGGAACAGGCTCGATTGGCTGGATGGTAGTGTGACGCTCTCGCGCGATCGTACAAAATACGATGATAGAAAAGTCGCCTGTCTGCGAAGACATATAAGGCTATGGAATTCCCCATCTTACCCTGCTAGAAAGCATGGTGCTTGATTGCGAAAGCAGAACACGTGCCAGTTACCACATCTGACCAAACTTCCTACCACTGTTATCCAAACGATCCACTGAAAGTTAGTCATGACTTAAAGTTTTTGATGCTGTTAGTAACTAATCACCTCCAGTAGATGTGCGGCTGGGACGACAAGTACTACCAAGGCTGCGGATGCCCTTTCCGTACGGACAAGACCAGGCCGTGTGATCGAGGCAACTGTCAAATAACCACGACTGAGCCCCGGCAACAATTTACGATCGTGTGGGTGCAAGGCAAATGCGCACAGCACTCGTATCTCAGTCCGTCCAGTTCCGAAAATAGCTTCCCTTAGTTCTGGCCATTTGCCAATAGGAACTGTCACTGCTTACGGAAGTGATAGAGTCTATCAAGCGAAACAATGAGTAGGGGTAATATGTACTGGGGTTGTATCTATCATGTATTCAGTGCGCACGAAATGGCAACATACCACACGTACATATCTCGGTCTCTTTTTCTTCGAATAACAGTAAATATTACGCTTGCTTGTGTAATCCCTTGCTTCATCACATTAAACTAGCTTGCCTTCATAGTTAAAAGGCCGTGACTAAGGTCGACTCCGGTATAACCTTCCACTTTAGGATTAGCGTTAATCTCTCATTCCAGAAATAAAAAGGATAGTTTGGAGGCCCTTCTCCTACAGTCATGCGCAGTTCCTTATCCCTTTCCAGAACTTGCCCTTTTCCAAATCCTATTCAATACATACCACTTACTCCGACCATATACCTGCAATTGCGCATCATTCATGGCCAACCTCGCTGATATACGAGGGGAGATCTTCGGAGACAACGATTCCAAACGAATTGTCATCAAAGTGAATACCAAACTCCTTGATCCTCAAGACTATCGCGCCTCGGCGAATAGTGTTGCCAGCGAAATATTCCCCGAGTGGGAAAGTGACTCTCGGATCCTTTTCCTCGCTATTGATGTGTGGAGTGAACGAACCTTTATCGTTATTGACGTCAACCGTCATGATTACGACTTTCGCACAGCACACAAAAACAAAACCATTCTTCCGGTCTATGTTCTTCGGCACCGTGGGAAAAATCGTGGGTGGGTTCTCATAAGGTGGCCCCAGGAGGATGAGCCCCTCGCTGTGAAACTAGCCGATCTTCACAATGTCAATGGGTTTGACATACCGACGCCTTTCTTGGAAAACCATAATTCACGCATCGTACACGCGAATCCCCGCGAGTTTCCTGTGTGAGCTTATATTGTGTTGGTGACCTCGTTCTGCGAAGGCTTGCTGGTTCGTCCAATCCAGTTGCTGGGCAAAAGCAACACTTGACAAAACGGACGAGATTTATTATATTCTAAGCCACAAGATTGGATCTATCCCACCACAAAGGTAGAGCAGGGCAACACAACAGGACAGTATCAACATGTTCATAAATTACCCACCAACAGCCGTCAACCAGTATAATAAATGGACATTCTACCCGCTGTCTCAGAGGGCTTGACGACCTGTATTTTGCCATCGCCATATCGAGACCACAGGTGTTGGCTTCTTCGAGCAACATCCATCCCAATTCATCACGTCTCGCTGAAATCATAGGAGCTTCAGAGAGACAAGGCAAACACTTTCCTACTTTTGCCTTTTCGTCCCTTCTTCTTGGGCTTAGAATTGACGCTTGGCTTTCCTTCCCCATCTGGATTAAGGTGCCGTTTCCTCCTCAGCCTCATCCAGAACCTCAGGAGGGCCCCCTCTTTCGGTCGACGAGTCAGAAAGCTCAGATTCTTCCGTATCCGAGGTCATCTCACATAGATCCATATCTCCCCTCCCTTTTCAGGCAGCTATTCATAAGAGAGGATCGAATCTACCTTGTGTAGGTTAATTTAGTCTCTTATAACAAGTTAGGGTCAAGGGAAGACTGTCATACCGTCGGCCTTTGCCCTAACGAACCGTTCGCAAGTCTCCGAGACTTTGGTCAAGATTGAGTACCCCCTATCCCAGCTACAATATCGTTGCGGCGTTACTATTATGACTACTCAACCAGACCACAGCTTTCACCCGGTCTGATTAGGTAACATAGATAATGAGTCTCAGGCCAAGTGTGTATTATACAGCCACACGAAAGTAGACTTTGGCTCTGGGTGTAACTCTGTTACTGCATGCCAAGCTGTTAAATTGCTATTGCGAATTACAAGACCTCTTCATATATCCCCGAAATACTAATACAGGGTTTACAGTGTTTTCCCTCGTGCAACGCTATACCCTTACATCGAATATTCTATTCCTTATCCATCAAATGATCCAAAAGTCCGGCCAGGTTGTGCAAATTTGCTTCACGTGCTGCAAGAACCAGCGCCATATCCAAAAACCAGTCGCTGTTGCAAACAAGAGATTTTTGAATCTTCAAAATAGCGCGCTTTTCCAAAATGGTAAGCTCGCTTTTGTATACCTCGGCGTGTTGTTCTGCGAACCTGGCTTGTCTCTCACACAGAACTTCTTTCTTCATGAAAAGATCTCTGCTTTTCGTACATGCACCCGACACAATTTCTACCACGAGATCCTGGAGCGGAAACAGAGACCTATCCCTAGACTGGGCAAGGGATGTGCGTTGTACAATACCATCAAGTATGGTTGCACTTTCATCTGTTTGGCGCTTGGCAGCCTCTATTGCAGCCGGGCGATATTCGATGGAGTCATTGCTATGATCAATAAGCCAAATGGCAGCTTCCACCCGGTCTGATTGGGTAGCTCGGAGTAGTACAGCGGGTCTCAGTTCCTGAGGCAACAAAGCGTGTATATGGAGCCACTCGAAAATAGACTTTGGGTCTGGGTGAAACTCGGCTACTGCATGCCAAGCTGTCAAATTGCCGTTGCCAGTTGCAAGACCCATTGAAATATCGATGCCTCGGGCCAACAATCTGTTCGCCAAATCGACAGTGACGTACTTGCAAACAGTATAGATATGCTTCACCCGAAGCGTTAATGAGAGGTCTAGGTCTGGAGCCGATTCAAGTCGATCCCAACATATCTGAAAAACTTTCGCGTCGGTCACAGTTTGTTGGAAGATTGTTGTATGATCTTCAAGTCCGGTTGACAGAAATTTGAGCAATTCTTTGGGTTCCGCAGAAGAGACTAGGCGACATAAAAGCTCTTTGTTCTCAAGGTGGGAAGCAAGGGCAAAGAAGCTATAGCCGTGGTTGTTATAGTAAGAAGGTCGAATTGCCCAGCGGTCAAGCATAAAATAGAAACAGTCCGTGCATTCAGTCAAACTCCAGGTAGCCAGATCCCTTTGTCGTTCGGGGTATAAAGGGATCTCGTGTTGATTGCTCACGGCATCGTTATAGTTGAGATAGAGGTTCCAACGGGTTCGTATTATTTCTCGGATCCGTAAGCTCCGTAAGAAATGTTCAATCTCTCGTCGAATACGTAGATAAGGGTTCGTTTCGTGTAGTAGCAGTCGAAGTTGATGCAGAGCGTAATGGGAACCAAGAGGTTTGGAAAAGAAATGTAGTTCAATAATATACTGTAGGAGCTCAGGCGGAAGCCGTTCAAGTAGCTGGGGGAAGGCCTCAGGATGAGTGTCTTGGATAAATTGCATAGCGGGTATAGATTGTCTTCTTTGGAATTTAGTGATGCGTTTAGACTTGGGTAAAGCGACACCATCGGGCCTTCTTTATAGAATCTTTGATATTAGTATTTTCGAAAGAGTCCGTTCAAAAATTTTCAATCTAAGCTAGCCCGTCTACATATTCTAGGCTTCCAACTAATACGCCCACAATAAATAACAATATGTGATAAAAGCCAGGATAGGAATGGCATTCAATCTTAAACCACTCCCTAATATTTCCAAATACTTGAATATATAGCCATTATAATCCCCAAAAATCAATGTGGGAGAGCTCAATTAAAGCGTTTCTAAGCTTTCTTTCTAACCATTTGTTATACATGTCAACTAGTAAAGGGAAATTATGCTTCCCATAACTAATTCGGCTTGGAATATTGTATATCAGCAGTTGTGCCAGAGAACTAGTAGGAATTTCAATACCTCTAGGGTTCAGTAGAATAGCGGAAACAACTAAAGCGGAGATTCTCTTTCACGAGATCATATCTCCTATAAAGGTTTGTGAAAAATTATATTACAATATAGTCCTACACTATATCAACCCAGATTTTCAAACTCCATCACTGCTTCCCCCGTAAGACGGCGAAGAAGTTCTGGAAGTGTTCCGGTGAAGTGCATTGTTCGTCCCTAGCTCGGAACGGAGAGGCTCAGCACCCATCCAGGTCCTCTCTTCTTTGGTCTTAAGCCTTGAACTATCGCTCGAGATTTACAGTGCACAAGGCCAGTACCTAGGAACTCGGCAGCTCGAACCAAAAGCCTTTCATCATCGGATAGCCGTTCATTAAGCAATTGGCGCAAGATGTTCAAAATATGTGGCCCTATCTGTCGAATCATAGTTGCCAGCATAGGGTCATTCCACATCGCCGTATATATTTCCGGGAGAAACCATTCTTGGTAAGGGACAGTCGGCTTGGGGTACAAGCGCTCGCAAGCTAATCTTAGAATCTCGATCCTAGGGATGTAATATCCCTTCGTTGGGCCAGGCTGCAAGACATCAAAAAGAGCATTCATGCTTCTAAAAAACATGTTTCACCAATGATAAAATCTTCTGTGATAAGGTCAGAGAGAAAGTAGCAGCTTTGTCACTTCTTATTTACCTTGGTGAGCTAGAAGGAGATAGGGGTTAGGTTTCTTCGAGGAAACAAGAACATAGATTTGAGAAAGGGAATTTATATTCAATTTATACTCTTAGATATCTTTTCACCGCTACTTCACCGAATAAACTATTTTGGGTAACTATTCAATGATTTTTTCGATTATTTCTAGGTATTTTTCCTTGTACCTATTTTCTGAGCATTCTCCATAGTGCCATAAATACACTCGTACTATATTCCTTCTTTGCGTATAACCTGGTAATAAATTGACTAAGATGAACCACTATCTAGGACTTCAATATACCTTTATACTATTCTTGAAACTTGAGTTCTTCCGTCGGTTTTCCGGGTTATTTCATTATGGCTCACGTACCCCAACTCAGCCTTAGAAATAACAGTGAAAGAAGGGAAGGTACTTTGACAGTAGCTTTTGTGAGAAACGCATCTGAATATTTAATGTAGATACTTTAGTAAATACTCTCGCAAATAGTATTTTCTAGTACTGAAGAAGCTGTAATAGATCAGGAGCTCTCCCCATCCGCTTTACAATATACCCACCAAACTCAGGAAGTGAAAGCTCCAACCACCAATAGCCTTGATACACGCAGTATCCCTTACGATAAGGGCTTAGACACTCTACTACTGCGGTAGAGACCACCGCCCCATTCTGCCGATGAAGAATGTCTCCTCCGTTTCTCCAAATCTTGACCTTTCTGTGCAAAAGTGTCACCAGCTGAGAAAGTTGGCCCACCTCACTCTTTGCAAATCCCTCGTCCATAATTTGTTTCTGCAACTGGCTGAGAATATATGGCCCAATCGTTGAGCAGATTGTAAAATATCCGGTCCCTAACTTTACCGCCAAATAGATCTCTGGAAGGGAGTATTCATTCCTGTCACTCCGGTAGAGCTCGTTGCAAAAGGTCAAAAGGCCAGAATTGATTGGTATAAAGGAAACACCGATAGGTGAAAGCTTTTGCACCATCACCACGTCTATCCTATCTTAGCGACAAGTAGTATTAAGCCAGTGCTCCTTTGTTCTTACCTGTGCTAATTGTGCATATTCCTGTCGATGCTTGGTTTAAAGTGTCTATGCTGCCTTTGATAAAATTAGTGATCTGGATAATGTGCGTATTGACTTACTTACCATCCAGAGTTCCGTTCAAAGGCCATGGGCTTTGGGAGTCCCAAAATGTAGAGCCAAGGGGTTGATACGCGGACGATTGCATTCTTGTAGTTCACGAAGGAATTGGGGAAGACCTGATGATTGCATGAGTCTGACTGGGACGATATGGGCTTCGAAGGTATATATATATCACCAAACCGTGATTATGTGGCCACCTAGACGGGATATAACGATTAGATTAAAAATCGAACTGATGGAAAACAATAGCAGAATCGTATATTGTGAGTCGATCTGTGGAGACTAGCTAGTATCTTTTTATATATCTATAGGACTTCTTAAGTATCTCAGAGCTAAATATCGCTGTATATGTGATATTCTACCCTCGGATTGGTCTTCCGACTTAGTTCTGAGACCTAAACCCTGGGCCCGTCAAGGAAAAGGACTTCAGCAGCGGTCCACCCATAGATTGTACAGCCATAGATTGTACAGGATTATCTTACAATTAATATTAATTTTGCCCGAGCCTTCGACATCATCAGAGCAATCTCTAGAAGCGACCTTGACCACTTACTTTCAGGCTGGCCCATAATGACCGTGCTGGATATAGGCAAGAAGAGTAGTTCTTGCTGCCTTTACATATACAAAAAGCGTTCACAAGTGCTATCTCTAGTTTTAAATAGTGATAGTAGAAACCAGAGGTATCGTATTTAGCAAACTATCTGATCATATACTCGAAATCCTTCTTTTAGGCACCCAAGGTGTACAAGATGACTAGTTATATAAAAATAAAAAGGAAGAAAACCGTAGCCAAACAACGCAACGGGCAAGGATCTTGAAGAGGCTTCGTTAACTCTAACCTCTGAAGGAACATCCGAAGGCATCCAGCCACAGCTCTTGCATTTGTCAACAGAACAAGTCTCAAAATGAACATTTGTTTCCGCTCATAAACATACATTTTGTCGTGCGAACAATTGACTGCCACTGTCTTTTTAAGCTCTGGAAAAGAGTTTTATGCTTTGATACCTCGTTCTTGTCTTGGTTGTTTTTGTTCAAATTTATGACATCCAGGCGACGAAAACTGTCCTCAATGTACATAAGTTCTTGTAGAATTGTTTCGACGGGGATGGGTTGTTGAAGAATTCGCAATGGCTTGTCGATAACAGCGAAGTTTTTGATCACAAATTCTTCGTATTTACCTTGAATCGCACATCGCAAAGCATGATGGAGGGCCTGATGCGTGAATGGATCGATTTTGTTTTGTGCCTGAGATTAGTTAAAAAAGAATGGCCCTTGGGTATCATTCTAACATACCAAGGATTTTTCATAGTCAACGCACTTTTCTTCCACCGGCTCCACCTTGTGCATAATCTGGAAGACAGCTGAAGAAAGCTTTCCCATCTCCATAGAAAGTTCCTCAAGGTGTATAGACGGTATCTCAAGTGAGTTTTGCACAAAGGCAAAAAAAGGAACCCGAAGAAAGATCTTATAGCCATAGTGTATATGGCTTTCAACAAGATAAGAAATTCTTGGATCATCGCTCTTTGGAACAAAACCCAAATGTTCCTCTCGTATAGAATGCCTGACTTCTGGCAAGTCAATCCCAGCTGTCTTGAGAAAGGAATCATTGAAAGGGCGATATCTGCGTAGAAGTTGGCACAGAGAAGCTTCAGGGTCTTTCAAAAGATCCAGGACGTCTTGTTGGCGCCAAGACCTAGGCACAGTTTCTTGTTGCTTCACTGATATAACGTTCATAATGTCAAGGTCTAGGAGAGATTATCGAAAAGGAAAATAGTCGATAGGGCGTGGTAATTCAAGCCGCTTTAAGTTAGGAATTATAGAGCCTTCATGAATGCTGTTTATATATACCACTCTGAAGTAACTTATATACCCCTATTTACTAGTTGTTACTGATCGTCTATACTATTGGCGCTAATGCACAGCATACATTTCGACAGGTTTACCTGGTGGTCGGCCCTACTAGGAAAGCAGTCACAGCATTACTAATTAAACAGTAGCTCACGATTCCTATCTGTGCAGATATACCCTAAGCACTAATTTAAGCCAATATATCACAGTTCAGACCCTCTGATCGCGTTACTGGCATTTTCTTCAACAGATGAATCATGACCCTCTATAGAAGCTTCCAATTTTTTATTTTTACAAGCGTCACAGTCACCACAATACTGTCGAAGGTCTTGGTTTCTCTCTTCAGTTTTGCTGCAACTGGGCTTGTAACACTGAACCCAACCCCAATATACCTTTTTTCTTCCACAGGAAAGGTAGGTGTAGTATTGGTCCCAACACATGGCTGCGCGTATAAGCTTATTCTACACCAGGTTAGCATAGAACCTTTCTACCAGTATAGGAGTTAAACGTACGACCTGGAACAGCAGATAGTAACCAGTGCTTGCCAATAAGGTAATGGACAAGAAAAGATACCGCGTCTTAGATACGCGTCTGAGGCCGTGAAGTTCTTTGGTAGCAAGGAAAATTGGGAAGGAAGATTCTGAGGTTCTTATGTGAAAGCACTCCTCCTTAATTGTCCAACTGCGAATAGAGGACTGAAACACATTATACCACCAATAAGGACGGATATTTGAACATTAAGTTTGTGGTGGGGGTGTGGCACTTGGCTTCTTGGTCCCAGTGGTGTCGTACGCACCACGTCTATTATGATTTAGCATACTTTGAGCTGGCAGTTAATCAAAAAATAGTACCTACCCCAGGTCAATTGACGAGGCACTGACAGACCCAACCATCGCTAGATTCATTTCAAGTCACTGCCTTAATACAATGAGCCTTGTATTATGAATGTTTCCGGGAATATAGCTTCAACGAAAGGCAGGCCTAATGGCGTGGCAAAAGAGGACACAGATCAAGATCGCATAGTAGATAATGATGCCATATAAACAAAAAGAGGAAAGGATATCAAGGTAAGGAGAACCAAGATCTTGCGTGATGATATGGCCTTTAGAAGGGGTGTTGGTCTGCATTGGACTTCGGCCTACTTTTGAATCCGCCAGTCTCTATATACTATGTCTGCTAGGGAAATAGGATATCTGGCTTCTGCTGTCACACATCCTGCCGCCGGATGTGTAAGGTGTCCAATAAGCATAAGTCCTATTAAAACTTCTGTAGAAAGCGTATATTACTGGTAGTGCGATTAGTAAATAAACATTTGCTTTTTAGAGACACCCACCCTCTGTAGCGACCTGTACATCAGAATTTGTATGCAGAGGTGCCATTCCCGTTTCAGAGCCTAGTATGGTTTCTTCTTTTGAAAAAGGCTCATTGTTAGGCTCAGGAAAAGTGTCTGTCAGATGAGCTTAGGAGGCAATGAGCGAAAACCTAGCCAATTCGTAACGCATGCTTTCGTTAGGGGATTCTGAATCAATTAATACACAACCACAAGCATCTATCACTTCTCGTAAACGGTACAGTAAAGAAGAGTTCGTTCAAGATTTATCCAGCTCCCTAAATAGAGATCTGGATAGTCTCAAGAGCTAAGGCGCCTGAGGTTTTCCAGTTCCTGGTATTACTTCACATTAATCCATTTCGGGGGAATTTTCTTGTTGCACAAGAAAATTCCCCCGAAATGGATTAGTGCAAATCTAGCCGAAGTTTCTACTCCACCCTTACGAAAAGAGCGAGCTTAGAAAGAGATCACGAAGTATATATATACGGACTAAACTAGTATAGACCTATGCCAAAAGAAGATAATCTCTGAATTCTCAATTTAAATAAAGCCAAAAATTTTTCTAATACCCAGACCCCTAAGCGAACGTGTATGCCCTAGGGGTTGGGGTTCGTACGTCCGATGTGGTCCGTATATAGTTCGGATCGGCGGCACTGCTGAGTAGCGTATTTTACCTTAACATAAGAGTCTGTTTCAGTCACATTTCAAGACTATTTGCACCCCAGTACTTATCGTGCCTAGGATTACCCCGTAGGACGTTGCCGGAATGGAGGCAGCACCGGAGGATTATCTATGTTCCTATGTTTTCGCTGGTTTGACAGATATGAGTCATATGACAATCTATCTCTTGGTCACGTGACTCTCCAACTTTGTGTACAATAGCTTCAGCCCTCTCGGGCTCTCTTTCGTTCTCCACCTTCAGTATTTTCGTACGAATGCAACTCTTGTTCACCAAGAACAGTGCGTGTCACAAAAACTGGATTCAGCTGTGTGTGCGATCCTTTCAACTGTTCCTTCTGGTCATCGTGAGTTTGGCGCTCTAATCACGGCGATCTGATACCCGATCCATCACAAAAACACTCAAATTCACTAAGAGAGAAAGCCTTACTCGCAAAATATGAGTTTGTGATGTGCTGCTCCCGGGTTCATGAAATCGGACGGCTTGAAGCCTTAACGAAGGACGTGAAGGGACTTGCCTAATGTCTTCCTTCCACACACTATATGTCTGCAAATAAGATCGGTCAAGCTGTCTTGCAAATGCTATAGGTGCGTTAGGGATTGGTGCACTTGGGTATCGGCCCATACTTTCCATATCTCTCCGATTGACGGAGACATCTATCAGTAGAGATGGGAACTTGATATCTATAGATATACGACAACCAGTCCTGTACTTTTTATGGGCTCCAAAATGTTCCTGGAGATATATATCTCGAAGTCAGTTTAGTTTGGGCCTTACGTACATCGACTGCAGATTTCGTCAATGGCACTCGGGTGGATTTCCCAGGCGAGATCATTGCGATCGACCAGGTGTAGAATGCCGCACTAGTGGGACTTATGAGTGCCATTGAATGTAATAGACTTGGTCTGGATCCGTACTTGTCGATTGTCTTTACGTGTATCTCTATATTACTCTACGGGACATCTTGGTTAGCGCTTGAGAATCCTCAGGTTTCGGTGTTTCTGCATACTAATCCATTTCTGGGGAATCTTCTTGTGCAACAAGAAGATTCCCCAGAAATGGATTAGTGCAAAACTAGCCGAAGTTTCTTCTACCCACACTTGCCAAAAGTTGTGATAATCTTTTGTGGGCAGCCGCATCAAGGTAGACCGGGGTGTTGGAATCTCAGTGATGAGCCGTGCTTTGTTCCATGTCTCGGCACTCAAAGTCCGGTTCCAGATCGTAAAACAAAGCCTGAACATCTAATGCGTTGAGGTGTCTGGGTTCTGAACAGTGCCAGGGTTTCCAGGATCGTCTCCCAATTCTGCAGACTTCAGATAGCAACCAGCAAAATCACCCAGATCATCGATATAAGTAAATGGAAGTATTTAAATGCAGCGGATTCCCTCCTCCCCTCACGCTGTTATCTTGTCTACAAATTAATTCACTTGGAGGATACCAAAGATATTGTTGCAAACATGAGCCGCAACATAGTTCGAGGCTTCCAAACAACCTCGAATGCCCTGGTTCGATATGCTGGCGCTCCTCTGGAGGAGCTTGTGACCAGCAACGGCTCGGATGGTTCCCAATGGAAACAGGCAACAGACACTATTTGCAGGGCGGTCGAGAAAGCAGTGAGACCCACTAGTTCTAAAGGAGATGAAGCATGGTTCTAATCAATTACTATCAGGATTCTCGGATTACCATTGCGGATATCCAGTTTGTACACACTTTATGCTTCCGCCGCTGAACATGTATTGACATTTTCATGCAGAGGATCTAAGGCTCATCTTTCATCGAAAGATAGAGACGACAAGCAACAGGTAATAACGGTCGGACTACAAACGAACACAGGTACACGCATCGGCTCGCTCCATGTGCACCTAAATGGAAGTTTTAAATTTTTCCCATCCCGCGCTGGAAGGGAAGGTGGATATGCCGTGAATATTCTTCAAGCCAATATTCCGGGCTACACTTCTAGCTAGAAGGAAAAAGGGTGGTCGTATGAAGTAAGCTTGAGGAGTGTATATAACTGGTATGGCTCGTTGCTCGGAGGATCATCATGCAACAGGATAGTACTGGGGTCTGGGGTCTTCGATACTTAATGGAAGCAAGCATTTTGATTCTCCCAATTAAAATGAGCTGGAACTATATATAAATTCTGTCAAGTTCAACCCGATCTACAGTATGATAAACGAGGAACCTTATTACACCCAAGTGACGCGGGTCGTCCACCCTGCTCCATGTACTATACTCAGCTCAGCGATCTTTCCGTTGTGTGCATGCAGCATTAAGCTTCACTCAGTAGAATTATACGCATAATGAATAATAGAACGGGTCTTGACCAATTAAATAAAGTCCGGCAACCGGACAGCGTGATGGTCTAGCAGTCCAGCCGCATGCATTGTGACCAAGGTCGGATGAAGACGCCTGGAAGAGCCTGAGTGGGGTGGGGTTGCGCGGCACCACAAATCCTATAAAAATCCCAATAGCCTGATGTACCTGCTTATGAAGGGGTACCACCAGCACAATGCGAAAGATGGAAAACGATGTGGGGACGACCCTTGAAGAGGCCTCAACCCCATCCACTGGTGAAGAAAATTAGCTCCAATGATGTAATCTAGATACCTCAGGCGGTGAGGACCAAAATCTAACTAATTAAATCTCTGGTTGGTTGATGTGGGGGCACACTAGCTAGGGCGGCGCATAGGACCCAAAGTTGCCAAAAAAGGGACTCGCAACCACACTCTCCCATTTGCATTTATATCTACGCTCCGGATTCCATTGGACCTCCTCGACCTTTGTTTCCAGCATGAGCCAAGCCGTACGTAATGCTCTACATATTTGTGCGCCTTGTCTTCGGCGGGGTCAGACTCTACCTCTATCTTCAACTTTTTCTCTCCAACGATTGTTCCCACCTCGTTCCTGGCGCATGGCAGGCGCACCACATCGTACAGTGATGTCTTCTCCTCAGTGGACATCTACCCCGAGAGATTTTCCCACTTCTGGCTTTAATTTGCTCGATCCGTCTCTGGGGATCGAAGAGGAGACTCTTCCAACATATCTTCCCGAAAAATACTACCCTGTCCGACAAGGGGAGGTGCTGAACGAAAGATACCAAATCCTTGCCAAGTTGGGCTATGGGGTTACATCTACTGTTTGGTTTGGCCGAGACTTAATGTGAGTGAAATCAATTACTTCATTCCTGATTATGCCTCATGTCTCTAATTCCATTACGAAATAGCGATTCCAAATATGTTGCTTTAAAGATCTATGTGGTAGGCCAAGATAGGGACCATGAGCTTGACATATATGAACGTTTAAACTCAGTCGAATCCAACCACCCGGGTAAAAGGTTCATTCGCAAGCTCTTCGACCATTTTTATGTCACTGGTCCTCACGGTCGCCACATCTGCCTTGTTCATGAGCCTCTAGGAATAAGTGCAAGTGAGCTATTAAAATGGGTTCCTGGACAAGCAATGTCTCTCGAGGACCTAAAACCCTGCATCAGACAACTGCTCGTTGCCTTGGATTTCCTGCATTCGGTGGCCCGTATAGTCCATACAGGTATTCCATTGCCCTTCCCAATATCTGGAATCCAGAACGGTAGCGCTAACACCCAAAGAGATATTCAACTAAACAACTTGCTTCTTCCTACGCCTCAAAACAATGCTCTTGTTGATTTTGAAGAAAAGGAAATTCAGACACAGTCGCCCAGGAAGGTGCTGAAAGAACGCACAATATATGCCTCTTCACGTTTTCCTCCAGGCGACGGGCTGCCTCTTCTGAGTGACTTCGGTGAAGCTCGATTTGGCGATGAGGAGCACCATGAAGATATTATGCCGAACCCTTACAGAGCCCCCGAAGTCATCTTGAGGTCCAGCTGGGACTACAAGGTGGATATTTGGAACGTTGGCATGGTTGTAAGTGGTTTGACTATTCTTTCTATCCCCACGTAAGCTACAATGGACTAATTTCTGTCGCACAGGCCTGGGATATTGTCAGCCCTAATAGACTCATCAATGGCAAAAACCCAGATGGTATATTTGATGACCGGTCTCATCTTGCGGAGCTAGTTGCATTACTGGGCTCGCCGCCACCTGAATTTTGCGAACGGAGCCATCTTAGCTCTGTCTTCTGGGATGAGTTTGGTAACTGGAAAGACTTGGCCCCGATTCCCAATACAAGTCTCGAGACCTTAGCCGCACACATTAAGGGAGAAGACAAGACGGGGTTCCTGCGTTGGCTACGGATGGCCTTTCAATGGAACCCCGAGGATCGCCCCACGGCTCTAGACCTCCTGTATGATGAGTGGTTGATGAATGGATTGAACCTGGGAGAAAATAAAGAAAGAGGGGGGGTCTAATCTCGAAGTCCAGGGCGAACACACTTCTCTTTATCCCTCTTGAACTTTGTTGCCGTTTATCCCGATTTCTGGCGAAGAAATTCACGTGGTATTAGATTCTCCACGCATAATGCGGTACTTGATGTAAAATGAAAATTTTTTAACTAGCGCTACTATAAGTCGCGCCATCCCTAATGCCCGTAACGAACAATTGGAGGAACGCATTTCGTCTCGTCTTTTCTGGATACAAAATTCCTATCAACCTAATTTATCTCTTCTAAATTGGATAGATCTGGCTTTAGTCTCTAGCACAGAAGCATATGACTTGGCATTTTCCCCGAGGTTGTAGCCCTAATAAAGAGTGAGGCCTTGGTATCGGCATTCCAGGCACACCGTCCCTGCCCGTCAAGGCAGTTCTCCGTGCTCTAAATAGCTGCTGTAACTTTGACCTCCATGACAAGGTTACCCAGATATTTCTGTAAAAGGATCATCGTGTGTAAATACAGGTTTTTAATATAACAGGCTAGCACGTTATTTTTCCGGATGGTCTAACAGCAGATTGGGAGAGGCAACGATCAGATGCTACAAGACTCCAAAAAGCTGAGGACCACAGCTTGCCCGGCAAGCTCCACTGAAATCATCTGGCAGTCTCTCCTCATAATATAACAGCTTTAATACCTCAGATTTCTTCTCCTCTTCCTTTTGGGAGCTCATCGAATATCATTCGTTTCGTATCTTCTTCGCAGACCGCTCTCAACCAAACGTTAATGGTTGAAGCTATCCAATTCCACCAAACAGGGATGAGTAAATGTCTGCTGGCGCTAAGTCCGTCATCAGATAGGTCTTGTGCATGACAGGGGAGCCCCTTTCTTTGAGGAATGTTTGGTATTATAAGCCCTGTCTTCTGTCAAATTCAAGTGACCCACAGCGGGATTGTTCCAGTGATGGCTTCTCGGTTAGAGGATTATTGTCATGTGATCTTAATTATGTGGTCATGTGGTCATGTGGTCATGTGATTTTGTGCCCAACGTCCCTACCCCTCCCCCTCCACCAACGACTTGGAAATATTACAACTCATGGTCGACTCATCATTCACCGCGCTGAGGGTATGTGAGAGACTCCGGTTATTCGAAATAGTCGTTCTTTTGATTGACTTGAAAGGCTTTATTTAGGCACTTACTGCTGATTGTTATTGCACTGTTCGGTAGCTGCCTGTTTCATCGAAATGGATCCTATCAAACTTCCTCCCGCAGCTGAAGATGTTCGCAAGGAAATAAAGGGGATAATTCCCGAGACCTCTACTTCATCACATCAAGCAGCTGAGATTGAGCCGAAGATACGCAAGGATGGGAACAAGACTTACCTGGGAGACTGGCTTGCAAACAAAATCTCTTTTCTCAAGAAAGAAATGCATATCGGTGATGCTATCGGTGATGTATGTACATCAAGTAGCTTCTGACTTGGCCATTGAACTGACCGGCAATCAGGGTTGGGGTTGGCATCTGGTATATTTTTCAAATTCCACCGAACTTCAAAATGATCGGAAGCAGGGGTTCTTGGTACCACTATCTGAAGAAATTACTTTGACACCTGGAGGAGTACTACAAGAAGGGTTCTACATGAATATCACGACTGAGCCAGTGGTCAGTTCGGGAGCAACTGCTATATTCATTGTCCCTCGCAACTGAACTAAGGTTGGAATGTTCAGGCATGTGCTTATTTAGCTTTCTCTTGATATCCAAATTTCTAGAATTTCAATATGATGATTGCATTCAGACTATCCTGAATTATCATAGGAAGTAGATCACGTTAGAAAATTCTCAAGTCACTAAAATAGGGGGTGTGAATGCCTGGTCAGGAAAATTGTGCTGGTGTAATGGTGCCAAAATACAGGATGTGTCAGAGGGTATTTGTGACTCGGGATTTTGAATCCCAATGAACAGATTTGTTGAACTTCCTATTCCGGTCGACGCTTGTCCGTCTTGTAGTGGCAACTGGGGGTTATCGTGGATGTTGAACGTGGTCTCCATCCCCGCCATCGCTAGTCCGCCTTGTAGTGGCAACTGGGGGTTATCGTGGATGTTGAACGTGGTCTCCATCCCCGCCATCGCTAGTCCGCCTTGTAGTGGCAACTGGGGGTTATCGTGGATGTTGAACGTGCTCCCCATCCCCGCCATCGCTTGTCCGCCTTGCAGTGGCAACTGGGGGTTGTCGTGGATGTTGAACGTGGTCTCCATCCCCGCCATCGCTAGTCCGCCTTGCAGCGGCAACTGGGGGTTGTCGTGGATGTTGAACGTGCTCCCCATCCCCGCCATCGCTTGTCTATCTTGCAGATCAAAAGAAAACATTGTTTGAGTGTTCTCCGGTAGAACGAAAGTATGGGGTACCTGGTTTGCCTCGGCATTTGGATGAATTGTAGAATGCTCCTGTGATCCGTTCCTTGAACTCGCCGGAAATATGGGAGTGCTGACTGCGGAACCTGTGACGGAAGAAGTTGGGTTTAAAATATACTCATAGGGTCCAGTGTCTTGCTCCTTTGGACCCCTTGTATCTTGCATCCGAAATGACTGGGTGTGCTGCAATGCCTGTTGCGGCTCGATATTCTCGAATACTGGCTGTACTGAGGCTGTGTTCATCTGCGGACTTGGAGGACTAGGAGACTGGTATATTGCTGTGACTGTTGGCGCATTTGTTCCCTCATCATATTCCGGGGATGAGTTTCTTGCGTCTTGTATCCTGAAATATTGAGTATGTTGCAATTCCCAGTCTAAATTAAATTGTTGTTAGCATTTGGTGTGAAGGAGAAACAAGGAGTACACTGACTTGAACCCGGTTCAGATGAGTGGAGGCGGGAAATTGCGGATTCCATCCTCTCCCACAGACGGTTAAAAATCCTCTTTGCCAGATTTTCCAGCCTTTTTTTGCCGTCAACCTGCGATATACCACGATCTCTGAGTAGGCGGATCTCCTCTTCACGGATTTCTCCAGTAAATGGCAACACTCTTATGCTATTGAGAAGTCAGTAATTAGCCAAGATAGCAACGCATAAAACTCACAGCTCGTCAGGAATGTCTTCAGGTAAGCAAAACAAAGTACCGAGATGTGAATCATCCAGAGACTTGGATGTGTTGATATCTCGGCACAATGTGTCGATTCTCCTCCCTTCATCTGTCCACCGAGAGACACGCTGCTTAATCAAATCCAACTTATCCTTAGCTATGCCAGATTGGGATATAATTTGAGCCACAGTCTCCACATTGTCGGTGCGTAGCTGATTCAAGCATAGCCTCTCTTTCAGTCGATGATATACCACCTTACATAGCCGCAAACGCATCGTATCTATCTCTGTTCTCCGCTCCAATCCTGACACGTAATTGTAGGATCTGGCAAGAGGATCACTCCCAAGATCAAGAGAGATCCTATTGTCTTCTGTGAAAAACAACAAAGGATCATCTTCCCAGAGATGTAGCTTGGCCGTGAAAGCCTGAGGGAACGTTATCATGGACTTATTCGGTGCTTTACGCCTTTTCTGGGAGCTTCTGAGTCTCTTATCTGGACGGCGACCGATGCTTCTTCTGGTCTTCAAAGGGATATAGACCCATAGGTCTCGGAGGGAGTTAATAAACTGATCGATATTAGTTTTGCTTGTCAACTGGTATAACGAACGTACCTCCGGTTCCGAGAGCACCGGAACGATATCATGCTTCCCATCATTCTCAGCCTTTGTGCAGGCTCTTTGAAGGGTCTCAAGGATCACTTTGCTTTCAGAGAGACCCATGGTAGTATGAGGTTGAAGAGACAATAAACCCGCTTTCTTGTGAAGTGAGAGAAAGGAGAAAAGGACTCTGTTCGAATTCTCAGCTAGAAGCCACATCATCTCGTCCATCTGTCCGTCTTGTTATTGGTTCAACTGCGGATGCACTAAAGCAGGGATACGCAGCCACTATCGAATCATTTGCATAGTCTAACCGCCACTTAGCATCTACGATAAATTGCTATTATTGCTCGGACGGATTCACTAGCTGCATAGCGATCGAGAGGATGCTGTGGAGTACCGGCCATAATCGAGAGGCCAACACTTAAAATAGTAGGTGGATCTTTCCCTCGCTGTTCGGCGGCTATTCAGAGGTGCTCGTGCGATAGCACACTAAGCAATAGATCTGTGCTCCAAGGACTCTATAAGTTAGTAAGGCACGGGCCGTCGTGTTATATTCCAATTTGCTCCTTTTGGGCCACCTGCCATTAGGAACTGCTGTCTTGTGAATATCGTTCGTCTGCCCCGCTAATCATCACACCCTCAAAGAATATCTTATTGGACCTTGCCAGTTGGTGGTGGCTATGTGCAGATGCCAAGGCGCCCGAGTGTTCTGGGTGGAAGATACGATCCAATGATTTTATGTTGAAGTTCAGCTAAGAGGGTCAGTGCGGCGGTCGTGCATCTTCGAGTGATAATCATCCCGTTTATCACCCTGTCTATTGCGCTATGCAAGACCTCTCGGAATGTTTAATCTTGCATCCTTGTCCTGCATACAGTGTATCTTTTGTAATCTCGATAGAAAATAATTTAAATTATCTGAGACTTATAAATAACACTATCAATATCCTGATATATCTCTACTCTTAATATCAAAAAGAACCAATATTTTGTTGTTGAGATAATCATATTTACTATGTGTTTTGGGGTGATTCGCTTGTATGATCCAGTCGCTTGTAGATTACGTTAGTTAATTTTTCCCCATTAGTAATAACCTACCTTATTCGGCTTTTTTTCTGGGCCCTGCGGCAGGCTGATAGTATAGACTTCTCGTCGGCTGAGCAATGTCTCGATAGGCGGCGGCTCGCTGTGTGATGGGTTGTCATCGCTCTAGGGATATGTACGGAACACTGAACCAAAAATAGAGGCACGTCTTCCACGAGATACTACTCTCCTGCCACACCACTGTTTGAGCAGCCGCTGCCCCACCTGACCGCCTCGGAACCTGCATTCGTCACAGCATCACTTGCGAAATGAACCTAGCGTTTACAACTTGACGCCTATTGATGCTCCTTGAAATATATAAGGTCCTCTCTAATATCTGAGGGAACATATTAAATATATTTTCCCCTATCATCACGCGAACACAACCATGGCTGAACTAGTCGGACTAGCTTCTGGAATCCTCACTTTGGCGACATTTGCGTTTCAATGCAGCGTCTCACTCTACGAAACTGTAAACAGTTTCCGTTCACACCCAAGGCGTGTACGCGACCTCCTTAGTGAGCTGGAAGCTTTACGTGCCGTGCTAGCTCCCCTCGTCGAGCTAGTTAAGTCGACCTCTGATGCCAACCTCTCAATCTTGGATCGGCCATTATTGCGATGCGGCAATGCTTGCAATGAGTTCCAGCAAGAGTTACTCCAATGCGTGTCGCGATCGAACAGCAACCGCTCAAACTTCCATAACTGGGCCCGGTTGACGTATATGGGTGACAATATTGACGATTTCCGCGACTTACTGGCAGGATATAAGGCTACAATCAACATTGCTTTGACCTATACTACTCTGTAAGCTGCAATATCCCTTTTCGCCGCTCTTCTATTTTATTAATTACTAATTGCCTATAAGGCGCCAATCTACAGAAGCTGCTGAAAGTATCGGGGACTACGAAGGTCTTATACAAGATACGAAGGAGGATCTGGGAATTCGGCTCGAAAGCATTGATAGAAAGTTGGAACAACTAGTAGAAAAGGATATGGATCAGTCCGGATCAAATACGGCCGAGCTACATTCGCTGAGAGAGGAGCGCCTGAGTACAGAGAAATGCCTTCAAATTTGTGCCCAGTTATCGAGCCATATCGATTAGATCCAACAAATAGCCGGGGAGGCAGATTCTTCTAGAGAATCAGTCAGAGCTAAGTCGTCGCCCGAAACACTCACTAACGAAGGCCTGCAGGAATGCAAAAATAGCTTAGCTACGACGGCTGCTAAGTTGGAAAAGCATATACGAGATGTCATCGATCGGCTTATCGCGAAATCTATGACTGCAGCCTCTTCCGACGAAGATGCTCAAGATTTATCGAGGCTACGCGATGAATAGGAGGCTGCTCGGCAGTGCTTGGATATTTGCTCACGGGCAGATAGCGACTTGAAGGAGAACACCAGTATTATCGAAAATCATGGCACCGGTGACTCTTTGCAGTTTATGGTTTCCGCGAATGGGAAGGTTCTTCATGGAAAGAATCGCGGTTTGGGTTGGAGGAACACTCAGGTGGGTGGCTACTTAAGCAACGAGTCAGTCCAGCAGTTATCGCGAGACCTTGCGGCTATACACACTAGTCACATAAGGAGTGAAAAGCCTATCTCAAAAGATGAGCCTACACCAAGTACATATAATGCGGTGGGTGGCGAGGCTACTGAATATCAGGAACGATACGGGCGAGGTTTCACGCTATAACGCGAGGGTTCGCAAGAGAGTCGATAGAACCCGAGGCCGAACATCGCAGATTTAATTTCGAGTGGAGAGAGGAATTCTTTAGTGATAAAGACTATCTTATAAAGGTGTTCTGTTGTGTCTAGTATTTATAATTTATCTTGTATTTTTCTGGAAAGGACTTTAGCTCGCATCCAATAAAGAGGTAGTTGGTTATGCTAGAGGAATTAACAAAACTAATAGAGAGCTGCGACTCAAATTTTTGAATTATCTAGTCGGTATGCGATATAAGCTTCCTGACTAGCAGTGGGCCGAATATCCAGAATTTCTATGTACTACCTACATACCATATACCTATACTAGGGAAACTAGTCGGTATTCGCGGACTAAAGAATGGGAGCTTCTAGCCGTAATGGCCAACTTTCTAGATTACCTACGTTGCACATTAACGTTAGTCTTAACTGCGATCAGATGATTTAATAGTTCAACTTCGGTATATGTAGCAAAAATAACAGAGAGCCATTTGGCGCTCCAGGAGAGACAAGATATTGCGAAACTGGCATCCCATTCTTTTGCAATACCCCTCATTAATTATGTCGTTCCGTAAAGTTTGCAAGTGAACCATCTATATCATCCCATTCATTACCGCTTTAATGCGTTCATAGATCTGATATCTCAAGAAAGTATGTTTTCTTCCATGAGGAATGCCATGGCGTCTTGATCTGTTTGGAAGCTGCGAAATCTCCAAACAAAGGAATACAAGTCGTCTGGTGTGCTATATCGAAGCGTAGCGATGGTGTAGATCAGTGCTTGGTGCAAGGTAGATATTTTGGTAAGATAAGCTTTGCGTCTGCGGTCACTACTCGGGTCAAAAACACACTCGTGTCCGTTCGCAGCGCAGCGTGCGCATAGTATTACACCAGAGCACTTTGCGGATTTAGCCTCAGATTTATGATCAGGTTGGTACTCCTTACGAACCTTGACTCGCTTTTTCCGACACTCTGTACAGGCAAGGGAGGCTCTTTTTCGGGGGGTACAAGAGGTGGCTTCAGCGGATTGAGTATATGTGCTTCCAATGGCTGGGAGTAAAGTGTGTAGCGGCATGTCTGCTGATATTCGGTGATGGGATATTCGTTACTTTTAAATGTCAAAAAACTAAGGGGTCTATTTGTATCTCTATACTGCACTAGTCAGGTTTATAAGTACCCTTGTGATGGTGCGTGGTATTTTTTTTGCGCCAGGGGGTTTCTTGTTTGCTATATTGGAGGAACAACGAAAAAGCGCCACCAAGGAAGATCAATAAAAGCAAACAAAGAAACGGATGATATTTAAATCCGACCCACTAATATCTGTGGCGACGAATCCGATTGGTGACAAAGCTACACGTAATACCGTGCTACTATGCTACTTGCCTATGGATGGATGATCTAGATTCCTTCCCGTTCTATAGTATATTATCACAAAATTAAGTGGGTCTGCGAATAACCAATTAAGGAACCAACTATTACCGTATCTAGAGAATGTCGTTAAATGAAGGTGTACGAGATGATCCCTCAGATCGTGTACACTTTGGTTGGGGTTTGTAGAGCAGTGCTGAGAAGGCTGGAGGTCGTATATGCGTAACAGAAAATGGTAGGCCTGAGTATTTTATTTATAATTTTGTGCTGTTGATCTAGATAAGGCTTGTTTAATCAGAAGGAAGCAATAAGCCCCCTTTCCTTTTCACGAAATCACAAAAGAGCCTAAATAACAGAGGAGCGGGGACAACCACCTGATCGCTAGTTAATATCTTAGACCACTCTATCCGTGAGCGAGAACGCGTCTAAAGATCCTTCAGGTTTATAAGGGACATCCCACTTATTATTCCTGCTCCTCAGCGGCGTCCAAAGTCACCATACCCTTAAGGACCCTGTATATATATATTAGCGAGGCGGTGGCTATGTGCAGATGCCAAGACAACGGAGTGTTTTCAGGTGGAGTGGTATGATCCAATGATTGTATCAAATAGTTCAGCTGAGAGGGTCAATGCGGCAGTCGCGCGACTTGGGTGATAAATCACCCAACTTCTCACCCTGTCTATTGCACACTCACCCCTGCTCACCCCCGGTCGCGCGACGCTAAGGCGGCTCTCACCCTAAACTCACCCGGGCGACCGGCACCCGGCTATTGGCCTCGGACAAGCCACACGCCGGCCAGTTAGTAGTTGGGTGGGTGACCACCAGCGAATCCTGGCTGTTGTATGTTTTTTGTTTTTGATTTATTGAACCTTTCGTAGAGTAAGGCGCCTTTCTCTCTAGCCATTTCAAAAGCTCGTAATCCCCATGACCAGCTAGTCCTATTGGAACAGTAGAAAAGTGGTGCCCAGGAGTATCCGGGGATACAAACCGGCACTTTTTTTTTTAGCAGTAGTCGAAAAATCTCGAAGCCGGCCTGTTCAACTTCAACTGGAAGAGGACTGAGATACGTATTTGGATTACATCGCTGGTTGGGGCTGACTTGGTGGGCCAGAAAATACATAGTCAAATTGGCGCCATAAAAAGAAGACCTGAGACTAGGAAGATGGCCCGAAACAATTACAGGTAAAATGGCTCATGTGATTGCAAGAGGGGTATTTGAATAAATGAGCGTGTTAATATCCTATCTATGGTCAAGGAATGCCCGGTAATTTTCTATATGAGGGTTTTCTTTTTGGTTGCTTTCATAAAAGCCCGCGGGCTATCGGGACTTGATAATAGAGAAGACAATCGACTATAGAGACATCGCTGTTCCATGTAATCAAGCTGCAAGTGCGTCAATCTTTCAGTAGCCCTTTTGTGACGACAGGGGGAAAGTAGTAAGTGCATGAGAGAATCGAACCTTTTGAAACATCCTGAAGCGATAAATTCGCGCCGCGGGGTCAACCAAAGTTGTGAAATTCGTCGGCGATAGGGAACTATGTAAGCACTCAACAGCCGCTCTCAAAAACATAGCCACTTGGTTATGCACCCAGTAGAACCAGACATTGAGGATTGAAAGAACCTTGGAAGACCACCAGAGATTGTAGATAATGAAGCTCTCAACGAGAAAGAGAGAAGTTAGCTATCACCAAGTAAAATAAACCGAGGGAGCGCTATTTCAAGCAGTAACGCCTGCTGCAGTCAATGCTCGATCGTGCATCTTGCCAGCCAACTACTGAAGGCAGAGATTCAAGGTTTATTGGATTATATTTCTAACTCTAGAATTGTCACCGTCATGCTGTAATAGGAATTGTTTCCAATTAAGATCGGTGTTTCATGTTTGAATCTTTTTAGATTTACTGATTGGATGAGGTTCTGAATTCTATAATTATAGCCACAAGGCAACGATGAAGGCGTCTAGTAAAACAAACTAGGGCTTCTTAAAAGTTTTGGTAAGAATAGAAGATGCCACATTAAATAATAAGTTTTAATCAGACGCGCGCTCTGATCTACGATGTAGATCAGCACCACGGTATAGATTTAGCCGCCAGCCACCAACTCAACAATATCTAGCTCTGGAAATACCTAGGCGCCTTATCAAAAAAATGAGTGATAGGAGACAGGGCTTTACAGGAATAGAATAGCAGCGCTTCTCTTTCAGTCTATTTAAATGTTGTGTTCTTCGCTTATATCGAAAACTCAAGCACGATCACCATTGTAACAGCCAGCTAGCCATTCTCCAAATCCAGAAATTACCAGACGACGAAGCCATTCTTTACTATGTGCCAATGGGACCTGGTTCTGTGCCCAGCTCGAGGCTGTGTTATGGGGACCGCCACCACGCAGCGATGTCGACAGTTGCACCCCTCCACCCTCCACCCCAGCGAACACCCGCGAACGCGTCTCTTTGACACGATGCAGACAATGCCTTGGACATGACTCCGGCTATGGATCAGGCTCCAGCTCTGGCTACGGATCAAGCTTTGGCTCTAACTCTAGTAGTTGATACGTCTTCATATCATGGTAAGTAGATATACATAGCTATAAACGGATATTTTAATACTTACTGCCTTTCAGCAGAGTTGGACTCAGGATTGTCGATTTGGTTTATCGAAAGAAATATCGCGGAGTGACGAGTACAAGAACGAAAGGAGTGATAGGACCGAATCGGCACAACGGAGTAGAACGAAGAAGGGCGGGGGGGAGGAGAAACAGCGAGAGGGAAGGATTGGTATATTTGAGATGACGGCCATTCATTCAATCTTCTCAGAATCATAACAGGCTTGAAGCTCTTAACAGCCAACACCCATTTTGGAGGAAATCCATTGTATTGTTCTTGGAATATTATTTTGGTCGGTTTCACTTAAACTCTCACAGACTAGTAGTCTTCATAATTGTAATAGGCAATTTTCAAGGTCACCCACGAGTGGAACCTTCTAATTATTTTCAAGGAATTCTAAGGATCAAGAAAGTTTTTATGCTGTTTCATAAACTATAATTCGTAGGTAGGTTATTGAAGGCGAGGTAGGAAACAAGCGAGAGGAACTATATTAATGGTATGCATAGAATAAAGCGCTAACAACCTAAGAGAATAGGTCGTATAATATTAAAATAAACGATAAAATCTAATAATAGGTATTGACCCTGAAGCTATTCTTGGTCCTCCCCAAATTTAATATATTTTCGAAGAACGTAGAGGTCGACTCAGTCATGCCCTACGTTGATACGACGGAAGATCCTCACACGGTCAAGTATTTAGCACGATAAAGGTGCAGTCCTATACAATTACGGAGGACTCGATAGTTCTATGGAAGAAGAGCTATAGTCTCAGGCCGAATGCGTTCTTCACTGGGAGCGCGATAAGAAAGAACAATGGAAGGAGGGAGATCATGGACGAGATCGAGTTTGCCTTTAAGTTCCCTTATCTCAGAAAGCAACTGAATATAACTTTAAGTATCACTCGGAAGGAAAAGATAAAGATGACCGTCTATTCTTGAGTTTCGTGCTCTAGTATATTTGTACAAAACCTTACTCCGCCCGGGAACTTCTTATGTAAAAAGCTCTATTACTTCTGACTGAGTGAGCTTC